CGCGTTCACCCCCCGCCACAGTGTCCCCGACCAAAGGCCGCCTCCCGTCCTGCCCCTCTCGTGCCGACCAGCCGCGGGCGCTTCACTGCTCGGCATGCGGAAGATGCAGACCGTTTATCGTCGGCACCTGAGGTGGCGCAACAACAACAATACCCCGTAGACTCGCTGCCGCATCTGCGTGCGGCGCTCTCGAATCTCGACACGACGCTTGCGAAATTGGTCAGAGAGCGGGCCGCGCTGTCATCGTCGCTCGAGGCGGCCGCGCGGGCATCTGTCCCCGTCGCGCGACTACCACCTGAGCTGCTCTCCGCCATATTCATCCTCGCCGCCGTGGACGATGCCCCGCTACACTTTATGCTCGTTTGCCGCCATTGGGCAGCACTCGCTCAGGATACACCGGCGCTCTGGGCTCGCATCCGCATCGGACCCCACCACCCTCTGTCGCGCGCGCGAGTGCGCCTGACGCGCTCGAAGATGGTCCCTCTTGACCTCTCGGTGGCGTTTGACAGGCGGAACGAGCCGACGACGGAAACGGCAGTAGCGTTGACAGCGGCGCTGCAGACGCTGACCCCACATATTTCCCGATGGCGCTCTTTCCGACTCTCCGTCCCCTCGCGCGCGCATGCCCAACTAGCGCTCGCACTCTGCCGCGCCCCTGCACCACTCCTCGAGACCCTTCACATCCGGGTCGCCGACACCTACACGGCAGATGAGCTAGAAGGAGCGACAGCATCGCCCCTGGTCCTGTTCGGTGGGCACACGCCGCGTCTCGCGGAATGTTCCATGCATGGTTGGACACTCGGGCGCTTGCGCGGACTTCGCCGACTGGAGTTGGCGGGATATTGGGACGGCGCGGCCCCGTCTGCCAGTGAGATGCTGGAGATCCTTCGCGCGTGCCCGAAGCTCGAAACACTTGCTTTGCGCAACATGTCAGATCTGGAGCTCGATGACCCCGCTGCGCTGGACGGGCCCTCGGCTGTCCCCTCCATCTATCTCCCTCGACTCCGCCGTATCACGCTCTCGTATGCCGGTGGACTCAGGACCCGTGCAGTTCTTGATCAACTCTCGATGCCTGCACTTGAGGATGTGGAGCTCTGCTATCTGGACAGCATAGGGCCCGTGCTTCAACATTTGACGGCCCAAGCCGTGACCGGACTCCCGCTCGCGCGTCTACACATAGAGAACTGCAGCTTCCGCGAGCAAGATTTGCTATCTCTCCTATACCGCCTGTCCGTACTATCTGTACTCGAGTTGGTGGACGTGCACGATGTCGGATCTGGGATTCTTCAGGTGCGAATCGAAGCCGCTCTAATCCTTTCCAGACTTTTCCACTGACACGCACACGCTTAGAGCCTCGCTGTACCCGTCAATCAAGCGTGGGCATGCCCCAACCTAGACACGCTCTGCCTTGACGGATGCAGCTCGTTCGACTTCGCCTCTCTTCGTGCCTGCGTTGAGGCACGATTGGCCCCCGACGTCCGCGCTTTCCCTGGCCCACGTCCACCGAAAACCTCGCCGTCCTCGGTCTCCGCTGCTTCTACAGCCACAGACGGATCGGCCCTCACACGATATCCCCGTCGACCTTCTGTGGCCACCAACGGCCGCTCGCACTCCGCGCCACCTGACGGCGCGGGGACTTGGACCTGGCCTTCGCGAATACGCCGCGTCTCTCTTACACGGTGTGAGCAACTCAGCGCCGAGATGCTCGGTTGGTTGAGAGTATACGTACCGGAAGTGACCCCGGCGCCCACGTCCTACTAAGTCCCTCCATTGCCCAGTGATTCTTTGACGACCGATGTTCCATAACGAGCGCATGATGTTGCATGTTTTCTCCTTCTCCTTCAGGCTTCTCTCACTGTACAGCTAGGATACCCCACACCATCTCCCGCAGCGTCGCCCCCTACAAACACAAATGTCCCCATAACGCAACAACTGAAAACCCATCATATCACGGATATATATTTCACTATCTATCCGGTCTCATTCCATCTACCGCCTTTCTTGGATACATTTTAGAGTCGGCCGCTTTCCATCTCGCTTTCTCGCCCACTGGGCGCCGCTTTATCTTCCTGTACATGTCCACCTTCTCACCTCATCCTGTCCCTCTCGCCTGGTCCACACGAAAATGTCTCGGCCTGTGAATATGAACAATGTATTTGTATCATCTCTGACGCTACACACGATTGGCGCAATCCAAATCGTATCAGTACTTGCTTCCTCCTTGTCAGGACATGTGAAACACCCGCTCATCAAACACACGAGGAACAGATCACAAAGTTGGACAGGCTACAGAAGATTATGAGCGTCTATGAATTCATATACGCCAATAGACGTTCGCGCTTCTCCCGCTCCGCCCTGTCCTTCCGCGCATGTCCATTGCGGCCTCGCCCATACGTCTCTCGCACCCTGCGCGCATGCTCAGACGCGCGAACGTGTGCCTGGAGCGCTGCAGCATTGTGCGTCACACGCTTGACGCTCTGCTTGTGCGGGCCGGTCGTCTTGGCCTTGAGTCCGATCCCGAGCCTGTCCGCCTTGAGACGCGTGGCAATGGGCGTCTGAAGCGCGACTCGAGGATCGTCGGGGTCCGTATCCGGAGAAGGAGAGCGCGTTGTCAATACAGTTGCCGCCGGAGACGGGGGTAGCGTATATGAAGGGTCTTCTTCGCCTTCGTCGGAGGAGTCGGAAAGGGTTAGGTCGATAACGGGTGCATGTTTGATTTCGACGATCTCTTCGTCATCGAGTACGTTCTCCGTGCGAACGTATTCTTCTTCCTTCTTCACGGATATGGCTTTGCCCTTGCCCTTCCTGTCCGACGACTGTTGTGGTGTAGAGCCCAACCCTGCACGCGCTCGTCTCGGTCCGAGAACATCGCCCTCTGCCCAACCCTGAGCTTGCATCATTGTCCACCCACGATTGTCAGGCGCCAGGTGCAAAAAGACAGGTGGCGTGTGTGGCGCAGAGCGCGAGGGTGGTTCGCGAGCCAGGATATCGGCCAGTGATGTTGAAGGCGTTGGCGTTTGAGGGGCGGAAGACCAGGAGGCAGAGGCGGCGCCTGAGGCAAACCAATTCTGTTCGTGACGTATGGGCTTCTTAGAAGCAGTTTGGGTACTGGAATCAGGTCCAGCAGTAGAGCGGGAAGATGAAGCAGTATTCAAGGCGGAAGCAGTCCCGACAGTAGCGGCAACAGCAGGAGATGATTCAGCGCGCGGGAGGGATCGATACCAAGATGCTACTTCGTCCTTCTGCCCAGCACCTGTACGCCGAGTGGGCTCATCTCCGGCGCCGGTTATCATGTTACCCCATTCATCGTAGGAAATGGTAGCTGGGACGAACCGCGGTGGTGGCGCACGTCGATTTGTGAGCAGGTTCTCCGTCTCCCAAGGATCGCGCGCTTCGATCTCCTGCGCAAGCTCTTCCTCCTGTCCCGTTTCCAGCAGTAGTTTGTCCCGCTCAGTATCCGCCTCATATTCCGAGCGTATGATGTGGGCACGGGTGGCCATGGTGGTGGTTGTGGACAAGACTACTCGGGTGCGCGCCACAGTGATGGGAAGATTCACGTGTGACGCATGGCCGGTCGCATAATGCGCTCGCCATCGAGCACGACAAAGCGCTCGCACCTCCTGACGACGTTCACGCCATATAGCATGAGACCTGAAACAATTCGCGTACTTCCTTTCCTCTTCTCATCAAGACAATCTTCGAAAGATGGCTGTTCGCACCGACCACGACGCAACGAGTTCGGAGAGGATGCCTCTGCTTTCCGACGCAGGCTCCCATGAACATGAGCCGCCCTCGCCGACAAAGTCGTCGAGCGTCGGCGTCGGCGCGCTACCCGTGCCGCCCGTGGACCAAAAAGACAAGCTGCACAGAGGGCTCAGTGCTCGTCAAGTGCAGATGATAGCCATAGCTGGTACCATCGGCACCGGCTTGTTCTTGGGCACCGGACGGTCACTGGCGCAGGGAGGCCCTGCGAGCATGCTCATCTGCTACTGCATAGTCGGCTTCATCGTCTATGTCACATTGCTTCTACTAGGAGAAATGGCAACGCAGTACCCCGTCGCTGGTGAGTTTCATCTAAGATTCATAGACTTCCTGCGACGGCGGATCCCGAGCACCCTAGCCCCGAGGATAGGTTCTGAGGTTTGAACTCAGCCCGGGCATGGCCATTGCGCGCATGCGCGATCCGGGGTCCTTTCCGTTGGACCATATGAAAGCTTGTACACGGGCTGTCTAGCTTTGACTAGCGTCTTTCCGCGCAGAATACGCAGGTGCAGCCGCGAGGCGACGGGTCGGCGTACGCCGAAGCGTTCCTAGAGCCCAGTCGCGCATGTATTGCCCTCTATATCTTCCTCGACCCCAAGGTTGCAGGCGTATCTTTTCCTCCGGAGTACCATCACCACGATGCGCACTCTGCTGACTGAGGACGGCCCCAGTGGCCCGAGCCTAACGTTCTCTATCTTAGTCGTGGCATCCCGACCACCTCCGTCCGAAAGATTACTGACCAACACGCGAGGATAGGCTCATTCAACGCGTATGCGACACGCTTCTTCTCGCCTTCCTATGGATTCGCCCTATCGTGGAACTACTGGTTCAATGACGCAGTATCCGTCGCATCCGACCTCACCGCTGCACAGCTCGTGCTCGACTTCTGGAACGTACCTCATCCATGGATCATCTCTCTGGTGCTCTGGGTCTTCCTGGTCGGCGTCAATGCAATCCACGTGCGCGCCTACGGCGAAATGGAATACTGGCTTGCGTCGCTTAAGGTCATCACCGTCGTCATCTTCATCTTCATCGGTATCATAGTCAATGCCGGCGTCAACCGTCAGCATCACTACATCGGCGGTGAATACTGGCATATACCAGGTGCACCATTTGTTGGCGGATTTGGAGGGTTTGCGCACGTCTTTGTGACTGCCAGCTTTGCATACGGTGGCACGGAGAGCCTGGGCATCACTGCGGGAGAGACGAAAAACCCGACCAAGACGATGCCGAAGGTCGTCAAGGTCGTGTTCTGGCGCATCCTACTCTTTTACGTGCTCAGCATCATCCTTATCGGCCTCGATGTACCCTATACGTATCCAAACTTGTCCAATAAGACAACCACGACTTCACCCTTCACTATCGTGTTCACATCCGTGGGATCCAGTAAGCCCTCTCATCAACGTTCTTATTTATCGTTCCTACTCACGATCGCCTCTAGACGTTGCAGGGTCGTTCATGAACGCAGTGATTCTTACGTCGGTCATTTCTGCGGGGAATCACGCCCTCTTCGCCGGAACGCGCGTGCTGTATGGCCTGGCCAGCACCTCTCAAGCCCCCAGCTTCTTCCGCCACACTACGAAGCAAGGTGTACCGCTCGCTGCGCTACTCGCCACCGCCTCTATCTCAGGACTCTGCTTCGGCAGTTCTTTCATCGGATCCGGACAACTGTGGGGCTGGCTGCAGAACATCGTCGGAGTCTCAAACCAGATAGCATGGGTCAGCATCGGGTTGGCGTCGTGGCGTTTCCGGACGGCGTGGGTCCGACAAGGTCGTCCATTGGAAGAACTCAAGTATCGTTCACGCTGGACATGGGGATGGGGACCTCCCTTTGTAGTCATCACCACCACAGCGCTGATCCTCAGTGAGTCGTCGATCTCTCCTGAAATCAGTGTTCATGTACTGAAAGTGTGATCAGTTCAGGGATGGTCCAGCTTGTTCCCCGTGTTCACAGCGGTCGACTTCGTTTCCTTCTACATCGAGATACCCGTCATGATTGTCATGTACGTGACATGGGTTTTGGTCACCCGTGCGCTACGGCCGAAGCCGCAGGAGGTGGAAGAATCCGACGGCGGTCTGAAGCGGAAACTCTTCAGATGGCTAGACATTGTCGACTCGAGGACGGTTGATCTACGCGCCGACGAGTTCGAGGATCTGCCGGAGAGTGCGGAAGAGGTGGCGGCGCACGAAAGAAGGAAGGGTGCGAGGGGATGGGCGCAGAGGGTGTATCATGCCATCGCGTGAATGCTGTATATATACCCACGGATATTTAATCATGCATACCTCTTGGATGGATCAGTGTGCTAATTATTGAGGTTGAGTAGGCTTCACAGCTATGGCCCACTACGGCGACTACTATAGGCTGTGGTGGTATTGCGCAGGCCCCTGAGGTGGGTTCACGACCTGACCCAGGCGCCCTGTCGGCCATCACCGAGCGCCAAACTTTGACGCGCCCGTCTCGAACCGCGGCGCGTCGCGAGACGCGCTTCTTCCCCAACTGCGACGACGCCCACACGCGTCCGCAGATCCCAGTTGCCGCGCACCATCATGTCCTCATCTCGAGGGACAACATCGACTCCGCCTGCGAAAACGCGAAAACGCCCGGCACCCGAAGTCGAGGAGGACGAGGCGGATGAAGCGGACGCTCAGCAGCAGCACAAGAAGGTGCGCTGGGGAAGTCAGCTCGATGCAGAAGATGAAGAAGAAGACACTTCGGAGGAGTCGAGTACGCGTCCGGAAAAGGTGAACCAGCATTTCAGAGATATATGTCCGAAGCTTACGTGTTATAGTTGTGCTTGGCGGCTGCGTGCTCCGGGTAAACGCGTCTTAGGCGCTTACTCCGATATCCGCGCTAAATTACGTCACGTCTAATAGCGGTAGACTCGGATGCTCTTACTACGATCCTATGAAGGGCATCATGTATGTTCTTGAGGATACGCAGGAGGATGCACACTTCGACCTTATGCAACTTCGTACGCATCATTCTCAGCCTGCGAAGGTGGTATCTAGTATCTGACTGTATGCAGTGCTTGAGCAGACCAACCCCGACGTCGTACTTGTGGGAGCTCAAGCGGAGGACGAGCTCATTGAGATCTGCCGCGCATATAGTGAGCGCTCCTTCTCATCTTCGCTTCAACGCCATAACTTACTCTAGCTCTTGTGAAGCGGAGTCCGCCGAGAGCATCTTTCAGCTACGCCCACAGAAGGACTTCAAACCAATCCGCGGTCGTAGCGCGCTGATGTCCCTTGGCTTCCTCAATGATCTACCTGACGAAGAGCAAGACCGCGTATCTCTCTCTGACGACGCGACTGAGCGGAGTGAACCACGCAACGCCTACGAGTTCATGCAGCGGCGAACGACCGAGCTCGGAGACCCAACTCTGAAGCGCTGGAACGCGTCGATCCGCATGTCCAACTACGCTTCTCTTGACTCTGCTCCGCTGTCACTGGGATCAATCGGCGCTTTGCTGGACTACATGTCTCGTCAGCGTGCCGTAGGTGATCTGGAAGACGAAGGTATTGGTGGGTTGGAAGTGCGAGGGATCGAGACGTTAACTCTGTACGCTTCGCAACGCATGGTCATTTCCTTCTCTGATTAGCGTCAGGGACCGCTTCATGCATATCAACCTAGATGCGTTGCAGTAAGCCTCAACCTTGGTTCTACCACAATGTCGTCGCTCAATATGCCGTAGTTCGCTGCAGGTCTTTGAAGCGGAGAGTCACGCTTCCATACACTCTGACAAGACCAAGGAAGGTCTTTCGCTTTTCGGTACGTCATCAATCATCTCTCGCCGTAATCTCAATGTGATTGACGTCGTGAAGGCATCCTCAATCAGACGAAGACAACGCTCGGATACGCGATGCTCAAGACCTGGCTCCTGCGCCCTTCGCTCTCTATCCCGACCATCACCGCACGGCATGGCGCGGTCGCCTGCTTCACGCGGCCCGAGAACTTTGACATCGCATTCATCATGCACAATCATCTGAAGGGCATGAAGCCGGTGCCGAAGGTGCTCACTTCGATCAGGGCTGGGCGCGCAACAGCCATGGAGTGGCAGGGGCTTATGAAGGTGAGCATTCTCTTCGGGCGGTCTACATTCGTGCTCAGACGACCTATTTTAGTTCTCTTATGACTCCACCATGTTGAGGGACAAGCTCTCTGAATTGAGCGGTGGTGCGGATGTCGAGATCGTCCGGAAGGTACGTTTGACCCATCCGTTCGATGGAGACTTCGCTCATCCATCGAATAGCTCGTCGATGCTTTGGACACCTCGAGTATCAGGGAGGTCGGCACCATGGTAAACGAGACGGTGCGGCTTCTAGGTCTCATGCTGTCTTGACGACTTCTTGACGCCGCCTAGATCGATTGGGAAGAGTCCTCCGTCGCGGGTCGTGTTTGTGTTCGTCCTCACATCGACGAGGAGCTCGATAACCGCAAGCACATCTACAACGGCATTGATGCCGTTCTCGTACGCCGAGCCTAGCTGACGCTTCTTTGTGTATGCTGAGATGCATGCAGTCCAAAGTCGCCGAGGAGATTAGCGACATTGTTCCGCCGGACTATGCCACTACGTTGAACGTGGTGTACTTCCCGCAACTCGGTACGCCCCTTTCTCCTCAATCTGCGCGAGGCCCATCCTGATCGTGGATAGGCTACCTCATATGTGTTCCCATGCTGGACGAATGGAAGACCGACAGCGGTATACGGGTGCTTGATGGGTGGACGTTTCAGGTAAGGACCTCGTATAGCTGGCGTTGCATGCTGAAGTTGACGTCGTCGCGCAGTTCTCATCCGAGTGAGTCTGTACCTCTACGCACAAAATCATCAAGCTTCACTCTTTGAACCCTAGATCGCACGTGTACTTCAAGGACGACAAGATGCACGGTATGTCTGCGTCTCTGTCTAGCTCGCGCTTTGCTTACACCGCACTTAGATCTTGACAAGCACCTAGGAGACCTCTACCCCTCCATCGTTGGTCTGTCTTGCACCATCTTCGCCCTTTCGACCCCGTTCGCTGACGCTATGACAGACCGCGAGCTTGAGATCATTCAAGAACTCCAAGATCACGTTCTAGAGTACGACGCGCTCATGAGCCGCGCATGCGACATCTGCGCCGAGCTAGACTGCCTCATCTGCTTCGCCAAAGCATCGCAGGCATACGACTACCGCCAGCCGGAGATGAGCGAAGACAACGTACTGCTCATTAAGCAAGGCCGGTACGACACGCTTCTCTCCTTTCACCTCTCCGCGGAGCTCATCAGTGCGAAGTCATCCGTTGCAGGAGCAAGTCGTCGATACATTCGTGCCGAACAGTATCACGCTCGTTGGCGGTGGTGGGAACGGGGTATACCCTGTTCTGCGCGAGCGGAGCGATGAGACGGATGAAGTTGAGGAGAACGAGAACGTTCATAGCGTTATGGTCTGTACTGGAGCGAATGGTTGTGGCAAGAGTATATACCTCAAGCAGACCGCTCTCATACAGATCATGGCTCAGGTGAGATATCCCTCGACTGCACTCTTGGCGGCGTCCATTGCTGATCGTAGATCTAGATCGGATGGTGAGTTGCCGAAGCCATAGACAAAAGTGGTATATGAACGTACACATAGCTTCGTACCGGCCGAGTCAGCGACATTGGGTGTTGTGGACAAGAGTACGGTTCCCTTGACCATCACACGGACGACGCGGCTCATCGCATCATCCAGTATTCACGCGTGTCCAGACGCGCGAGTCCGTCTCGAAGGTATGCAGCTGCTGTTCCTGTCCTCTAGTCGTTGTCCTTCATACCCTCCGCAGGTCCAATCGGCCTTCATGATCGACCTTAATCAAGTCTCGCTCGCCTTGCGCAACAGCACCGCCCGCTCTCTCATCATCCTCGATGAGTTCGGCAAGGGTACAATCCCAACCGGTATGCTCCTCTTTCCCCTTCCCTCCCCAACATAGTCCTGAATCCTGCTTCTATACAGACGGCGCAGGCCTCTTCGCCGGCACCCTCCAATCCCTCCTCGCACGCGGTGCTAACTGCCCGAAGGTCCTCGCTACGACGCACTTCCACGAGGTCTTCCGGCGCGACCTCCTAGACCCGCGTAGGATGAACGTCAGTTTCGTTCATATGGAGGTTATGTTCACGAATGCTGCCGGTGAAGTGGTCGGTGGAGATGTAGAGGAGGGCAGTGAGGTCAGCGGTAGTGTGGATGAAAGGGGAATCATCACGTATCTCTACCGGTCAGTCCATGCGAGCCTGCGGTCAATAGGAGTTGCTCTGACAAAAGCATGCTTAGGGTCGCGCCCGGTCTATCGTTGCACTCGCACGCCGGAAGATGCGCAGAACTATGCGGTATCCAGCCCCATGTCGTGCAACGGGCGATGCACGTCAGCCGGCTGCTCGCCGCGCGGGAGATCCCTCAACTACTAGACGAGTCGCTGACGGAGCGCGAGGTGCAGGACATGGAGGATGCGGAAGCGATATGCAGACGCTTCCTTGAATGGGATCTGACGGTGGAGCAGGCGGACACGGTTGATGAGGTGAAGCAGATGCTTTTCAAAGTGTTGGGAAGGCAAATCGTAGAAGTGGAGGCCGAGGAAGCCGCTGAGGAGACTTGACTTGGACTTCTGAACGCAAACCGGACCTTTGAGCCATGGACTCTTTCTTGTTGTACTACAGCGGTTTGCGAAAACCTTGCGAAAGTCGCGTCGAAAGCGAACGCGCGACTTCAATAGACTTCAATCCCAAAAAGGCGATTCTTCCTTTTTGGGCGATTGCCGCGCCCGACTACAAAATGCCGGCGTCTTGTGCTCTCCTGCACAGTAAAGCATCGGAAGTTGACTGGCTAGAAGCTATGGTATACGGGTGCTGTAAAAATGCTCCTATGGTCGAAAGAATGGGAACGGGCGTCCTGAAAGGGTGTAGAGGCATATTGCCACATAAGGAAGATTCGCCTTTTTGGGAGATTGGTCGCGCGGCCGCGTCGACGCGACTTTCGCAAGGTTTTCGCAAACCGCTGTAGTAGTCGCACATGATGCGGATTGTGCGTGTGGCTGCACGGCAAAACATAGCAGCAAGTCATATGCATACAGAGAAGAGGCGCGGCATGATTGTTTGCATACAAAGAAGCCACCCCAAGAAAATACACCCCATCACTCCATCGAATACAACGCTCATGCGCGGGCGGCCTCGATGCGCTTGCGGGCGATCTGCCTGCGGTTGAGGCCGGTGAGGGCGGGTGCGACGGCGTCCTTGTCCTTTGCGCGCTCAACGGGCTCCTCGTCTGCGGCGAGGATGATCTCGACGTGGCAGGGGTGGCCCTGGTAGGGGTTGATGCGACCGTGGGCGCGGTAGGTGCGGCGGCGGGTTTTGGGCGCCTGCTGGACGACGATCGTCTTGATGGTCAGGTCCTCCAGGTCGAGCGACTTGGCGTCCGCGTTCGACTCGGCGTTCTTCAAAAGGCGCGTGATGAACTTAACCGACTTTTCCGGCCAGCGACCTATCACAATATTCGAACCAACGTCATATCTTTATAGAATTTACTACGCACCCTGGGTGGTCTTGAACTCCTTCGCCTGGCTGGCACGGCCGACACCACCATTGAACCTCCGGTAGGGAATGACCTGGTCGTGGGTGAGGACGTTGCCAAGGTAGGTGTACGCCTTTGTCAACTTGAGGCCTGTATCCCTTCCACTTCAATATCCCATCTCCCGTCTACCCAAAATATAAACGCACCAGTGAGTGCGGCCGCGACCTCGCGCATGTTTTTAAAGTGGGTGCGGAGGTACTCGCCGCGCGCGCGCGAGGCTGGAGGAGCACAATATCAATATTTTTGCATGGATTCTACGGTCAAAGGGACGCACTCTTCTCCGGGTTTGTGGCAACAGCGGCGGCGGCGTAGCGAACTGTGTCATAGCTTCAGCCTCTATTCGCGCGGCGGACGGGCAGCACCTACCCATCTTGAAGTCTTGAGGCGTACCAACGGCGCGCGCGCGATATTGATTTCCTCAGCCGTCGACGAGCCGGCAACGCCCGGGCGCGATCTGGAAGGAATGGGTTAGGGTTGGCTCAGGTGCTTGCGTGGGAACGGCAATCTCCGAAGCGACTTCACAGCTCCGCGTTCTCTTCCGGCCACCACGTTGCGTTCAACCAATGCAGAACCCTTTGTTCCCAGTATGGCATATGATCGCCGAAGTGCTATACACCCAGTCGCTAGATGAGAGTGTGCGCACCTCGTGTTGTTTCGTCCTTTGGAATTTCCCTCGCCCGTTGTTTCAAGGAGGCTTGCGGGACGCCGAGGCAGTCCTTTACGTCTCTGTTCTGCATAGCACCACATGCCTCTTCACACTCAAAGCGTCGCCAGAGCGGAGATTTGGACGGCTTTTTCTGCTGATTCTCCTACTTCTGCCGTTTCTCCCCGTACTTATGTGATTGGCGTGATCATCGAGATGGATAGAAGACACACTGTCTTGAGACCGTTACCATTGGATCTTCGTACAAATATAAGTTCCTCGATGGTACAGGCCCATCCAGCTGCCTCGCCTAGGTACTCCCTCACTATATCCTTCTGTTCGTCATCCTTCGCATCTGCGGCATCTGGACAAACCCGCAATGGCGCCCACACCTTGGACAGTCGCAGGGCTGGAGTCACAACAGGCTTATGCTTTCGCTCATTCCCAGCTCTTGCCGAATCTGTTCTTGGAGACTGTTGGGATCGGTCCGTGTGGTTCGTGCTCGACATCATCACAACATCCACTCACTTTATTCCAGGGCTGTTCAGTGGAGCCCTGCTTCTATCGACATATCAAACTTTGTCAGTACATATCCTTCGTTCATCGTTCGCCACGAGCTTGGCGAAACTTTGCGGGGTAAGGAGAAGGGTCACGGCGGAGAAGAGGGCGGGCACAGCAAGACCAACCGGCGTTCAATTCGTCGACCCGCCTCCGGACCCGGATCCCGGACCCGTGTGGACGACTCCCGGCGGGAAAGGGAATAAGTTGCCTGGGATAACACCGAATGTTCGTCGTGATGAACATTGTCTCTTCTGAGCGAGCTTTACTTCCCGTAGAGCCGCCGTCTAGTATACTTACTCATTTCGGTCATTCTCTTGCAAGCGCAGAAAGCACTGACCAACCGATTGCAGACGACCGGGCTTACTCCCGCAAACTGTACATGCGCGGGATCGGATCGCCCGTCTGACGGCTTTCCTGGTGCTTTGGATTCTCTTCGTGATCCATTGGACATATTCCCTGAAGAGCACCCGCGCGCTGTTATTTGGAGAATGGTTGCAGTCCCAATCAGTGAGTATCACAGAGTGGGACGGATTAGTCTTGTTTGATAACCTCGAGCCCATCGTCCTGGAATGCTTTTTATTCGGTACGTACACGCTCATACTTGACCCGTCTCTCACAATCGATAATGAAAGAGCTCAGGGATCTTTTGCACACAAACTGCAGTCGCCATATATATCTTCGTCCGGAGGAATCTGCGCATGCGGTCACACCAGATCCTGCTTGCTACGACCCTGTCGATGTTCGCGGTATCACTCATCCACCTCACCATCCAGATGCTCCAAGTCTTCGAAGCGTACAATAGCGCAGAGGCTCTGTTCGAGATCCCCAGATTCGGCGTCGGTTTGAAGTACGCGCCGGTCATGTTGGTTACGATCAACGTCGTACTCGGCGACGCCATTGTTCTTTGGCGGATGTGTGTCTTATGGCAGCAGAATGCCTTTACTCGTATTTTGGCTCTCGTCCTTCTTGCTGGCACCTTCATCACTAGTGTCGCGAACTTGGCTCAAGAGTTCGCCAGACCCGAGGTTTCACACGATGTCCTGGAGTACGACGTTGCTAGCCTCAGCGATTTCACCTATGGGACGGCAGTCTTGGCATTGAGCTTGTTGACCAACTTGGTTGCAACTCTCGTTATTGGTTGGAGAGCATGGCTTTACCGCAAAAGCATCGTACAGCACTTGGCGACCTTTAACCGCTATAGCATAGTGGAGAAGGTCATGTCGCTTCTCATAGAGAGCGGTACAATCTACTGCATCATCTGGGTATGTCTTCCTCTACGTGCCAATGATGATGCGCAAAACTCATCCGCATTAAGACATTGTACATCGTCGACAGCAGGAGCTCCGTCTTCGACCCATCCAGAGCCTTGCAAGCCGCACAGCTCGCCAGCAGGTTCTATACAGGCGGCGCTGCATATTTCAGTCGAATCATGCCGCAAGTCACGGGCATGTATCCGGCCATGATCCTCGTCATCGTGGCGCTCGAGCAAAGCTACTTCGAAAACGCGTTCTCCGAATCGAAGTTGTCCTCATTCGTCGCCGGCCGTCCGCGATCCGCTCGGCATACTACCAGAAGTGCGGCGTCTAATACGGAGGACATCCGTTCCTTCGCGCGGATGGCATTGGCGCCCGTGGCCATTCCCGCCATCACTATCACGGACTTTTCGAGCGTGGAGGCGGGTCGACCTCAGCTTGTGCTCTCCGTTGGGAAAGCTCCCATCCAGTCAACGAAACGCGCGACCACGGCGGAGGCGGGCGAGCTCGAGTCCGTCCACTCTACCCGCAGCGAGTCCATGCGGGAGCGGTACTCCATGTATCCAGCCTCTGTTCGCCACTGCATGACAATGCCCGCTTCCATCCCCCATCAACCTCGGCCTGTTCGCATCTCTGCCGCCATGTCCGTCACATCGTCCGGTCCGATTATATCGCCTCTGAGCAGGCAATTCAGAGTTCAGGCATCCAAGGAAGGTGATATCCCGTAAGTGGTCTATCATCTCATGTCCTATAGTCCTGTCGCTCATCTCGGTGTTGCCATAGTGGTCGCTGCTAAGGGCTAAGCCGCCCGCGACGTGGGCGAGGGGCGCGGGGCGTGAGAACATGCTTCGGCAGGTTCCGCCGGCCAACCCGATCGGGCGTGTTGCCTGCAGCCTCTCCCAAATACTCCCATCCAACGCGACAGCTCTCGCAACGGTCCAGTCGGCCTGAAAGACACCCGAGAGACCCTGTGGCTACGCTTGTAGTATAGTATGAGAGTGGCTGCGCTGATGTGCTCTCTAACGCGGTGCAAAGTACTCGTATCTGCGACTGATTGAATGCAAAGTGTGTGGCTGTACGGGCCAGAAGAGACTAGTACCAACTTACCTAGGCAATCTATGTCCACCCATACCAAAGAGTACGATCTCTCAATTTGCGGAGAGCGCCCGTCAACAAAGCCGGAGGTGCGCTATTTGACAATGTATCAATTGTGCAATGTGGGGCCAATGGAGAGTATCAGACTCATCCTGATGCACGTACACGGAAGATTGTATGACGTGTTCTGACTGAGCTCGCAAGGGTTATTCCTGGCATTCTGGACTCCATACTAAAGCACCCGACTCGCTTGTGAACATGTAGAGGAGCTGATCCCCAGAATCATGCCGCCAGACGTCCATGCTGCCGTGGATGTATTTGACTTCGCGCGCACTCGTTTCTTGCCTAGTCTCCTGTTGGAGTCAGTTCTGCTTGGTACGCGCTCTCAACATCGTGCAGGGGCCACCCTCATACCAACATAAGGAGATCATAGGGATGGCCGCGAAAGTTCTCACTCTCCTGATATACACAACGTTGTGCGTACGTCACTGTATTACTTACTCAGGCTGTATGCGATTATGATCTGGTAGGCGACGAGGCATTACCCCATGGACCCCGCGCGTTCGAGATCGCATTGCACGCCTTGTAGTTTGCATGGCACTCTTCTCCGTGTTCACCGTCCACTGGACGCTATCTATGTTACAGTTCGGAGACCTACTATTCAGAGAGTGGACGGAGGTCCTGTCACTTGAAGATGGCGCTGATATCGACGAAGAGCGGGTGTTCTTTCTATATATTGACTTTGGACCGATTGTACTGGAATGCGTATCATTTGGTGCGCTCAAATACATTCCTCCGTGTCAGGCTTGACAATTGATGTATGGCTCTGCAGGCGTCTTCTGCACGCTTTGTGCAGTTGCCATCTATATCTACGCATGCAAAGATACGCGCACACAACCACACCAAGTCATGCTCATCGCCATACTCCTCATGTTCACCATCTCCTTTATCCATATGGTCTTCCAAGCACGTGTCACTGTCGATGCATACGGTGACATTCTTGAGGACGGAGTGTCACAACACTATCAGCCGAGTCTTGGCGCCGACATAGCCCAGGTTGCTCTCGTCTCGGCAAACGTTCTGTTGGGCGATGCCATCGTGTTGTGGCGCATGTGCGTACTGCTAGACCAGAAAATCTGGGCTCGGATGATAGCCCTGTCGCTTTTCACATCCACCCTGTCACTGGCTATCGTCAATCTAGTCGATGAGGTCAGGCAACTGACCGGGGATGGTGCTCTCCTGGGTCTTGCTGGTCTCAGCGATCTCGCAGCTGGGACCATTGTCCAGGGCCTGAGCTTAGCCACCAATGTGATATCAACCACGTTCATTGGTTGGAGGGCATGGTGCTATCGCAGGGACATCGCCGCGAACTTGGCTGCACTCAGCCGCCGTAGTATGGCCGAGAAGGTCATGACGGTACTCGTAGAGAGCGGCTTCGTGTACTGCTTTGTATGGGTATGGTCAGATTCTCGCATTGTGTAACAGTATGACTGACGCCATCGGCAGATCTTGTTCATCGTGGATAGCAAGACCAGTGCCATCAACCCATCGGCAGAATCGGGGCTGTCTACCCACTCTCTGACCGGAGGGGCCAGATATTTCAACCACTATGTCGCGCAGATCACAGGCATATATCCGACTCTCATCCTCGTCATCGTTGCGCTCGAGCAGAGCTACCTCGAACAGACCTTCACAGAGTCAAAGCTCTCAATCTTCGTTGCCGCGCACCGTTCGATTGACGACTCTCGGACAGACAATATCACGTCCTTGTCCACTCCAGGCGCTACGCCTAGAGCACACGGTCCCGACGCGGCTGTGCGTATAGACACCCATACAGGAGAGAACGAGAGGTTTCCGGTTCGAGCAGCGAGATGGAAGGAAGACGGAGGGGAAAATGACAGGAAGACCGTTGCTTGATAAATCGACTGTACTCGTGTATAGGTATTCTAGTGAGTGGTGGTGAAAGACGAGCGACGGACGAAGATGTGGGGCGTGGTAAATGCGATCAATCAAGGCCGCGGCAGCCGGCGGCACTTCAACGAGCCCGTCATCTCCGCCAATACCCGCTTCGCCACAGCGCACACGGCGCGGACGCCTGTGGCCCTTGAGCGAGAAAGCGCTTACCCAGGCGCTGAGCGCTGACTACGTGTATCGTGACCCAGGGAATATCGAGGGCTACCATCACGATACCCGAACCGGATCCTTCTGTTGCTACATGATTCGCGCGTCTTAACACATCTCACATCTTGTCCAAGTCTTACCCGCCATGCCTGCCGCACGACCCTCTCTTGATACCCCTCGCGATGGAAACCCAGTACAGGAACATCGGCCGTCGTCCAGCGCGCCATTGAACGGAAAATTAGGGGGAGGTGATGGAGGAAGCGATGTGTTCAACTTCATGCGATTGCATGGCAAAACCACGGTCCAGCAGGTTCGTCTGCGAGACAGAGTATAGAGACGAGACATTGTATGAACTATAGTATCCATATAGCTCGAGGTCCTGAATAATATGATGTCCGTTGCGGTCCGAACGAAGGAGGGTGCCGAGGCGACGCTGAAGATGCGCGATGCGCCGCTTTCGGTGTGTACGGCGTCGCGCGTGAAAACGAACTCGTTGTTGAGCCATGTCATCAGGATTCCTTCCGCATTCTCGTGGAATCTGAGCTCCAGACAGCGAAGACAAGAATAGACGCCATCCAGCGCAAGATCGAGGAGAGTGAGTGCATCCTACTTCCCGATTCGTACGGCGCTTAATGAACACACAGGACAGAAACGTGACGTCGAACAGGGTGTGTATTTCGCAAGAGAAGATACAACCTCGCATCCTGATTTGAATTAGATGGGTTCCGTACTGCCTTGCAACAGGCTTCTTCATACATTCGAGTCCTCGCTTCTGCGGGAAGTCGAGCGCCTACGTCCCCATCAGCATCACCAACGGCATCATCATCTTCCATACCGGATGCGACCACCGATGCCGAAGCAAACCGCATACGAGCAGATGCTATGACTCAGCTTATTGTCGTCCTGCAGCGCAACCTACGCGTGCGATACGAGCTGGATGTGGCGCAAGTGGTCAAGGTGTACGTGTGTTACCTAATCACCGACTGAGTCAAGGCTAAGCCCGGCGATCCCAGTGTACTACCAGCGCTATCGACCAGGTCGACGCAATTCTGTCGCGCCACGGCATATCGGCTACTGCGACATCTACTGGTAGACGCTGACTCGGTGACGAAATTACACGAGCAACCGCTTGACTGGTACATCGTCAAGTACGTCTATCACCCCAGTAAACGCTCGCTGGGGGTATGTCTCACATACCATCAAGGTCACTCACGCTCGACAACAAGAATACCGTCGAAAAGGAGCAGGTCATCAAGCTCATTCGTGCGATCGTCGAGATCGGCAGTCACCGTGTCGAATCTCAGACGGCCACTACGTCCGGAAAGGTGATGCTCTCCGAGGAGGTTATGCGAGCATTCGTCGCTGTTGCCGAGCAGCCGGACGATCCATTCAAGAACATATGTGTCCAAACTCTGGCGGAGATTTGTACGTTGCAGTGGATTCTGGTCAAGACACGGGGCTGATACGAGGCGGTAGTACTCATCGATATGGAGCTCGTAGTCAATTCTGGCGGCATGCGTACTCTCTTGCATGTTTTGGCGGAGGGACCTATGGAGCTGTCGAGCCTCCTTACGTCTGTCTTCCTCTATGTGGTCGACTCGCCAAAGACGAGGAGCTACCTGATGCCTGGATCCGAGATGGAGGTATGATACCTGCGACATAGGGCGCAGGAGTTGACTGAGCTGATGGCATCTTTCAGATCGTGCTCTCTGGCCTCACGGACGCGTACGGTCAGGCAGACTCTGAAACCATACAGCGAACGAAGGATGTATGTAAGATTGTTGCCACCATGCTGAGGACCTGGAGCGGTAAGTCATCCTGTTCCATCGTGTATCCCCGGAAGATTCACATTCCGCTGAAAGGGTTGATATACTTCTGCATGGACGATCTAAAAGCGATAAAAACACTCGTTGATACGCTAAGGATACCATCGCTGGATTCTAGAGTGAGAGCGTCTCACTAAACATGTGTATCTTGGGCTTATGTCGATCATAGGAAGTTATACTGGACATGTTCTTCAACCTGTTGAAGATCAAGACGCCGGAATGGTACCAGAGCTTCATTAGCGGCAGAAGATTGACAAGTGAGTGCAGCACATGGACTCCCTAGTAGGACCTATCGTGATGAATCTGGAAGTGTACAGAAAGTCACGACAACCCGAGTCGCAGCAGCAGCAGCAACAGAAGCGCGAGGAGGCCGCCGCACCCAAGCCGTCAGACTCCTTCCGCCTAACGGACCAGTATATCGCATTGCTAATCCTTGTCTTCAACAAGGCCGGGCTTCTTGACGTGCGTATTATACTCATCTATATTCACACTAGCTCATCGGAAGATAGGCACTCGCCGCGATGTTCGAGGAGAGCACGCAAGGCTCAAACTTGTCTCGTAAAGCGACTCTGCTCATGGCCGAGATCTTGCAACTGTCGAACAAGGTCCTGCCCCTTTCGATCGCCGCCAAGGTGCAGGTATGCCATCCAAGTTTCAAAGCAAAAGCATATGCATTTGCTGAGAACATTCACAGCTCATTCCGCGCGTCTTCAACCTCGCATCCGACTACCAAGATGGCGAACATCGCATAATCGGCACGAATGCTCTTTCTTCCATCGACAGCTTCAACCGGAATCGTGCGCGTCTACAGCCGACAGAGACTACTTCGTCGCAACGGAGTCGACCAAGGTGGGCATTCCAATGCATGTGCCGTCACGTCACTGACGTAGGAGGGCAGAGCCAATTCGGCCGATGACAATATCCGGCGCGGTCAACGGCTCGAGCAGGTGAAGATCAAAATGGGCTTGCAGATGGACGACAAGCAATTTCAAGCCGCCTTACTTGAGTCACAGGTCATGCTTACGAAGGACCACCTCAAATGGAACTTCGACACGCTCATGGAACTTATCGAAGGACCTCTACTCAACCCGAAGCGCATGGAGGAGGCCATCAAGGTTTCGCGCTTCATCCGGAAGCTCATGTCGTTCTTCCATCCATTCTCGCACCGGTTCTCCGACATCAAGAAGAGCAAGGAAAACATCAAGTGGGTTCGTTTGGGATGTTCGCTCCTCACAACGTTGCTCTCGAGCGCGGATGGGATCCGATACCTTGCGAATGAAGACGACTTCTTGAAGCAGCTTTGCCGGAGCTTTGCTCAACTGGACCCCTTCTACGGAGCGCGCGAGCAAGACCCCATCTTCTCGACCAAGCGAGTGGCAGAGACGCTCACATATGGGTACTTGGAGATGTTGGGGACGCTAAGCAAGCAGAAGGAGGGCATAGAGTGAGTTCTTGAGTTGCGGTGATGCCGGTGAATCCTATGCTGACGTTCGCTCGCTAGACTTATGGAGAGGTTCAAGATCTTCACGGCTTTTTACCACCTTAGCGAGCTGCGTAGTAGGGAGGACCTCATCAAGGGCATCATCGAGAACATGGACTATGGAATGTATGTCGACGTCTTGGTTTCTCCGTGCTGCGGTCGATTCACGCGCACTTAGTGACGGCCACCCGCGAATCGTCCTGTCAAAGACACTGACATCGAGCTACAAGCACATCCGTCTCTACGCCACGAATCACCTCGGCCAGATGATCATGAACAGCACAACAGCGAACGCGTGGACGCTCCGTCTTTTGCTCACGCAGCTCTACGATCCCGCCATGGAAGTGTGTCAGATGGCGACGCACTTCCTGGAGGAGGCGTGCGAATCTATGGACGTGTTGCAGCTCGTTGTGGCCATGCAGCCTACGCTGGATCACCTTGGCGAGGTTGGACACACGCTGTTGCTCAGGTTCACGTCCACACCTATGGGCTTCCGATACTTGTATAACGCGAGCTACATCGACCGCGAGATGGATCTTTGGTTTCACGTATGTCGCGTTACGTATCTGAAAGCGGACATTTTCTGATCGTACTGCAGGAGAAGAATATCCACTATGTGGTGGACATGGAGGTCTTCCTGGCTAAGGCATTCGAGGCTCTTCCTTGGGACGACGATGACGAGCTCTTGTAGGTCTTCTGCGGGCTCCGTCGTGGATGAAAGCTCATCGTATTGACATAGGTCTTTTGACGGCGCGGTGCCGCCACATTTCTACGGCGTTATGGCGAAGACGGAGCTGGGATGCCAGGTCCTGCACGAGAAGGGTCACTTCGCCGAGTTCGCACTGTTCATCAGGCAACATGGGTTGGAGAAGGAAGACTCGGAGGTGATATTGAAGCTGAAGAGCTTCTTGTGGGCTGTCGTATGTCCACATCGACTGAAGAGTGTACACGTCTGACCGCCTCGTAGGGTAATATCGGTTCCGCGCCGGGTGGCTTGCCCTTCCTTGAAGAGGAAGAGATTATACCCGTGATCCTGGAGATCGCGGAGCAATCCGAGGTACTGTCCGTACGAGGGTATGTCGCATGGTTTCATCAGAATGGTACTCCGGCTCACAGAGCCGTAGGACCTGCTTCTTCGTCCTCGGTCTCATCTCGTCAACGCCGCAAGGTGCCGAGATCCTTGACGATTTCAAGTGGGAAGCAACGATCTCTCCGCTCGGTTTACCCACGGGCGTCTGCGTGCCCATGGATATCGAGAACTTCCTTTCGCTTCCCGCGTGGACTGTCACAAACAACGGCAAAGATATACGCCTTACGCCTCCCTCATCCCAACAGGAGATAGAGGTCCTTACGGCGATCTCAAACTTGTCGAACGCCGTCATTGCCAATACCGCTTCTCGCTCACTAGCCAAGTACGTGTACGGCTTGTTGCAGCTCAGGACTGACATACTGATGCGTTCTCAGATTGAAGTCACGGCCAGAGTACAAGCATATCTTCTCGTCCATTCCCATGTTCTATCGCGCGCTGCACATCATCTCGACCTCGCGCTATCGCCTACCAGTCCGCCGCTTCATCTTTGATCTTTTCGACATCCAGCTCGACCCGGACAACGTTGCGGGGCTGGCCGATGCTTCCCGCACACTCGTGATGGGCCCCGCCAAGCCACCTGCTGCCGGACGTCGACGTGCGATGAGCGTCTTGTTCGCGGCGCCGAAGGCCCAAGCTCAGGGCAGTGACGATGAAGAGGATACCGGACTCGCTACACACAGGCCGGGCGCGAAGAAGGGGCATGCACCGCCCACGGTTTCGTTGAGACCGAAGAGTACCATTCAGGGATTTGGTGAAGCTCTGCCGGAGGAGTCGCTGTGATTGTTTTGTCACTTAGGAATGCTTGTCCAGTATTGTTCTATGGATCTACGCCACACCAGTAGCATGTCGTTATAGTGCCCCTTCTTCTCAGTGGTAGCAGTACGTAACCTTTGCTATCAAAGACCAAGCTCCAGGCAGCTCTGGACATAATCACACAACTCGCGTGATCGCGACAACAACCGAGTTCATGATCATGGTCGGCGGTGGTGGCCGGCCACGCTCCTCGGTTCTCTCTTACCCTCATCGTCTCTACACATAGCGCCAGTCTCTTCAGCCAACGCAGTTTTGTTTCGGACTACTGTAATGCAGGACCACTCGGAGAAGCGGGAGGCTGCACAGTGCGTCACTGCATCACCGCTATGTCCAGTCTTGACATCCGCCACAGAATCGCGTGGCAATCAGTTGTGCAGTCAAGACTTGGGAACCTACCACATGGAGCTCACAGCGACAGAAAAGACCGGGCAAAGCTGGCGGAGATCGAGATTGAAGCTATGCGAGATAGTTTGGCAAGGGCGCTAGAACTGCGAAACACAACGGCTAGCCCTGCGTGCCGGCTACCCCCAGAGACGCTGGCGAATGTGTTCCTGTATCTGCAGGCCGCATGGCCTATGAGGCTTCAACGTGACGAGAAGGTCAATCCTACCGACGATCCGGGGGCTGATGATCTTGGAGAGCCATTCTACCACACCAAAGCCTGGTACAACGTGGCGCACGTTTGCCGCTTGTGGAGAGAGGTTGGTTTATGGAGTCCATTGCAGATGAGAACCCACTCTGATATTCAAATATAGGCCGCAAATACTCCTCTTCTATGGTGTACAATAGCTTGCACAGATCTTCCTCCGGAGTTCCTGCCCCTCGTCCTTTCGCGCACGCGTGGTTTACCGCTCACGCTGTCAGCGCGAAGCCTGCCCTTGGGCGTCGATGCCTCAGGGATGCTCGAGGTCTTATGGAGAGAGCATTTCATAAAGTCAACGGAAGCCTGGCTCACGGCAGCGGTACTGAAACGTGTCAAGCGACTGGCTTTCGAGGACGGTATCCGGGCATCAGACTTCGCGATGTGCCGCACACTCTTACAGCGTCCCATGCCCATACTGAACTCCCTGGACGTCATCGCATCTGCCTCTCCCCACCGTGTTCATCATCTGAGGTTCGGACACCCGCCATTTGGAACTCACGAATATCCGCCATTATCATTGCGCCGCCTGACACTTTCGAATTGCGACGTCCAGGAGGTGCCCTCCCGCACCCTGCTTACGTCGTCCATCACACATCTCACAATCGAGAACGCTACTGGCTGTGACTACACCGTATATAAGCTATTCTCCAACATCGCCCGCATGGACCGTCTTGAAGAGCTCGTGCTCGCCAACTCGTTCCCGAAAGAAGATGATTACATCGGTGTTTCGGATCCTCTTCGCCTACCCCCATCTCTACGCTTATTGCGAGTGTCCGCTTCCGCTCTTAAGCCCGATTCTGGTGCCTTGAGCGGCTGCTTGGGCTTTACCAATCGCCTCATCATCCCACCTGCTACACGCGCAGAGATTCAACTTAGAGGGTGGGACCTGGATACCATAGACGAGAGTAGCGAAGAAGATGACGATGAAGATGAAGACGAATGGATCGACGACGCCTCATTGGATGCCGGTCTCACGGCCTTCTTTCTTTCTGGCGACTACCCAGATGAAAGTCCGCGCGAGCTGAATATATCCTGTGACACATTCACCATGCACACGGCAAATACATCACCTTTCATACCACCGCGATCGTCCTCAAAAGCCTGCCCCGGTAGCAGATCCTTCACACTAGGCTGTACGTGCCGGCATTGCCTGAACACAGTGCTCCTGCAACGCCTACCGGCGCTTCCTCTTCCAGCGCTCAAATCTTTATCGCTGCAGTTTTCAACTTGGACTCAACCACCACACGGACCAAACTGGTGGTCAAACTTCCTTCTCGCAACTGGTATCCAGAGGGTGTCGTTGGAATGGAGCAATTGGTACTGCAACGACCTGTGGGAAGCCATGACCCCGTCTACAGACGACTCAATCGTATTATTTCCCGCATTGGAGACGATCGTGATTCACGATGAAGATTTCCCCATCCGCATACAGTTTGAATCCAGACTTGCGCGCGCGACAGGGACTCTGATTGATATGTTACACACACGCAAAGATCGTCAGGTCCCCGTAGGCAGCATCCTTGTCGACGACAGGATGAAAAGCTGGGCGATCTGGTCTCTCGTCGCAGAAGTGACTCCTGTAAAGTTCTTTGTCCCGTCGTAGTACACGACGATCTTGTATACCTATTTAGAAATGTTGCATTATCCTATTGATCTTGCATTTGCCGAAAGTTGTTCAGATTTCGCAGAAGATTATAGTATCCATGCCAATGAACTCAGCGATGTGAACTCTTGGACTCCTTGACCAGCTGCTCCTCAATCGCAGCCGCAAGCAGCTTATGAACTCGTTGGGTGGGATGCCCCGTATTGTACCAGAAGTAGCTATCGTCTTCGCAAGTGCAGAATCTGATGTACTCGTTCAGCAACGCGTATCATCCAATAGGATACGCTCGGACTCACCCGGTGACATTCTTGAAGCCAAGCTCTTCGTAATCATCTAAAGCCTTGCCGAACCAAGCATGCGCGTCAAAGCTGCTAACATGCAAATCTGGATGGCTCGCGCTGAAGTTGGCGACGCTTGATGCGAGTGCGGAGTTGTACCCCGCGATGCTCTCCGCTGCGGCTGCTTGGCGTGTTGTTCCGAGGTCATTCGGGGAACGGTCTTCAGGTGGGACGTTGATGAAGAGATAGGCGCCGCGAAGACCGAATGAGTAGGCGCGCTCGACAGCGTTGAAGTAGGAGGTCATCTCTTCTGCCCAGAAAGCTGTCAAGTCGGTGATCTACTTCCAGTATCAGCATGCATCATGATGGAAAGGATTGTGGATATTGACATTGTGCCCGAGAACGTCGCCGGTGTCGTTGATTCCGATCCACCACGCCGTGATTCGCTCGTGGTCCTCGACCTTCGGGATAGCTTCTAATGCGCCATTCTTGACGAACTGTGCAACCTGAACGTCGAGAGGGCTCGTGAAGTTGTGATGGAGCGGAAGAAGGTCTTCTGTGATGTCAGACCCGGCGAAGGCGAAGTCCCAGAGCTGGCGTGAGCAGTGGAGAGGAGAGCCGGAGAAGCACCCCGTCAGGTATTCAACCCAGTTCGAACCGTCCGAACTAGTCTGGTACCATAGGTCAGTTTGAGATAGTAGATTCAGGTTGCAGCAGATGCGCGTACGTTGTGAGGTATGATCTTGTTCGAGAGAAGGTCATGAGCGGTCCAGTTCGGGTTGTAGATCAAGTCCCCAATAAAACTGTCTGAGGGCTCAGAGCCGTCCTTGGGCACGAAGTAGGATCGGGAGAGCTAACCTGAAGTTCGCGTATCCTGCAGTTCCTTGCACGAATGTGTACGAGTCGCCGAAGGCGAAGAACTGTTTTATGTCTACCCAGTTAAAGGACGCTTCGGTGGGCTTATACGCTGTTGCAACAGCAGTCAACGAGAGCGCGACCGCGAGACTAGTCGGGACCATCATTGCGCGAGCTGCAAGTGGCGCAGACGCGCCTTGTATACCTTATTGCAGGTATTATATCCGATCGAAGCCAGGTACAACCCGCCGGCTGACGTTGGGTCTTGTTGAGGAGCGCCCCGTCCGCGCCGGCGCGGGAGGTCACAACGACGGGTCAGATGATGGCCTGTGCTTGCGTAGTTGCGTCCGAGAAGACTGCAACACGGTGGCGCCCAAATATAGCTGTATAGAGCGACTGATGCACCCAAATGCGGCTGGATCAGTGAATGGAATTAGAAGTCGGAGCGTAGATCAACGCTGTTCAGCGAGCAGACACCAAATTCAACGAATGTCATTGGACGTAGTAAATCCGTATCTGACCGCCCGCCGTGCTCTTCCGGCGCTGTACATATGAGCATATCCGGTTGGGATGGTTCATCTATGAAGTGTATTTTCTGGGACAAATATCTCTTGGGAGATTGAGGCTGGTGGTGGTCGAGAGTAAAGGCGTGAGAAGGCTCGGCTCGCGTCGGGCTGGACATTGCGCTCAGCCCGCGCGGAGCTAAGCACACACAACCATGTCCCTCTCTCTCCTGCGCAACCGCGCAACAACACTTCGCCCATTGGTGGTACGCGCCTTGGCCACAGACGCAGCCCAGCCGCCGTCGAAGAGCGAGCCCCAGAGCTCGTCGTCGGAGATTGCGCCGTTGCCGCAGAAGGATGTTGTTACGGCGGACGCCATCTCTGGTGCCCCAGGTGCGCTAGATAGTTCGAATATATAGGGATGTAATGTTCATGGGATATTTATAGAGCAGTTGAGGAACCGCGTCGTCCGGATTTACCAGCCCACGCGCAACACCATGCAGAGTGGACCCGGAAAGTCGAGCAAGTGGAGGATTGACTGGGATATCCTGTCGGGCAGTGGACGATGGGAGAATCCTCTCATGGGTTGGGCATCCTCGTGCGTTCAGCTTGAATAATCATAAATTGTCGAAAGAGACCTGACGGTTCATTCACAGGGCGGACTACATGCAGGGTACCCGCATGAACTTCCGCACGAAGGAGGATGCCGTGCACTTTGCCGAGAAGCAGGGTATGTCCATGAGGCCCTTTGACAGCCTGCGAAGGCGTGTACTAATATGGACCCCTGCAGGCTGGGATTACTACGTGCAGCAACCAGAGGTCAAGCGCGTTCCTCCGAAGAACTACGCGGAGAACTACTTGTACAGGCCTGACAAGCTCCGTATTGCAAAGACCAAGTAGATTACAGTTTACCTACGCGTCTCTGCATTATATTATCGTTTAGAATCGGCTAAGGAACCGATTGATGCTGTGAAGCGCGCGCATGTTGAATGGCTCCATCTGGAAATCAAGAACGTCATTTATTTCGGGGCGGGAAGATCAGACTCAGGCCACAACCCTCGCTCGCCCCGGCTGCCAGGCTTCTTAGCACTTCCCGTCTCACCACATCCCCGGCCGCAGTAGCCAGTGCGGCTCGTCTGCCCTTACGCCCGCCCACCATGGCGACGCTCGAAGACCGGCCATTCTCAAAGGACTACAGGCGAGTCCAACGTCCCAATACATCACAACAACCGCTCACGCGAGCATGGATACAGTGGTCTCGAGAACCAGTCGGTCATCGCCGGCGGTCTCGTCGTATTCTGCCTGATCGCGTCGGCCATAATGAAACGGAAGAGACGGGCTGGTGCTCGCTATGCACAAGGTCTGGGTAGCGTCGAGTCTTGGGAGTTTGGATAGTGCGTATTATATTTCCGTCATTTATTGAATCCCCGGATTGACGTACGAGTGTAGTTTGTTTCAGGGCCGTTCGTGGGCGCGGTAAGCCAATATTTAATATGTCATACTGCCGAGCTAATCCGACAATAGACTTGCATCCCCACCGTTGCCGCTCAAGTACCCGTTCCAGTGGGCGAAACAGGCAATAATGCTCAACGAACCCGAGCTACTGGAACTTCGCGGACTTGACGCCACTCTCTACATGCGATGGATGCGAGGATGCAGTAAGTAAAGTCATAGTGTTACCTCATCGGTATAGGCGCTGATCGGCGCCACAACAACAGCTTGGTTCGCATGCCTCCATACGTTCACGACATTTCCTATCTTGCTGCCCATTCACGTTCACTTCGCGGGCCCGGAAGTCTCCATCGAGTCCATGACACGCGCTTCCATATCTTCTCTCGTCGAAACCGCCAAAGGCAGATCCTTACTTTGGGTTCACCTCGTCCTTCTCTTCTGGGTCACCGGAACGTGGATCGCAACACTTGTCTGGATATGCAAGGGAATGTTCCGCTATCGCAAGACACTCATCAAGCGCACCGCAAAACGTCTAGCCGAGGAGTCGCAGGTGGAACGCGAGGCGCAGTACCATCCACACCCGCATCCACAATATGTCTTCAGCGCCCTACCCTCTCTCGATCGGGATGACTCCACGCGCGGTATACGCCTACGCTCCATCATGGTCACCAACATCCCTCTCTCACTTCGTACCGAGAAAGAGCTGAAGGACTACTTCACCTACTACTTGACAAAACCGGTGCCCAAGCCGCTTCCACTCACCACTCGCGGCCGGCCTGGTATGACCAACCGAATCTACCGCTTCATCTTCAACCACGCTTCAACGCGAGTACAGGCGACTTTGGGACAGCCCACCGTCCCAGAGCATCCCGACGGCCACCATTCGCGCGACAACTCGTCTGCCGAGGGACCGGTAGAAGGGCAGGAGCTTGGTCCAGATGCACCTGCCATCGAGCGCGTGGTTATTGTCCGCAAGATGACGGAGCTGGCATCGCTCCTCGAGCGCCGCGAGATCGTGCTCCGCAAACTTGAGACCGCACATCTGGTACTGGCGCAACGCGTGCTCTGTGCCGTTCGCGATGAGATCTTGCGGCGCGAGGATCGAACGACGTTCGCACTGCGCGTGGCGGACCGGGTAGCAGACGCCATGCCGGAGAACATGAAGGCAGAGCAATGCAGCGACAACGACATGGATGTGCTTATCCGCGAGCTACGCCCCTTCGTTGAGGACTTCGGTCTGCTCGAGAACGTCTCGCCTTCTACGCCTGGTGAGCGAAGTCAACAGAAGTGGGGCTTCCTTGGGAACTGGCGCCAGTGGAAGCAGCAGAAACGACCTTGGACGAACTTGCCGGAGATCAAGGGCCCGCAGCGTACGATCTGGGACGCCTTGCTAGGACTCCCGCGTGGAACGCTCGACGCATACCAGCCTCTTACCCACCTGAACAATCTATTCCGAGATAAGGCTGTCCCTGCTATCGACTACTACACCGCGAAGCTCGGGCTTCTCACAGAGCTTATTGCCGAGAACCGTGCGAAGCCGGCACACGAATACGACCCCGTCAGCACGGCATTCGTCACGTTCAAGGACCCCGCCGACGCGCTCAAAGCATGCCAAGTCCTCGCCGTGCATCCTACCAACCTGCTCAACTGTGTTGTGACGATGGCGCCCTGCTACGAAGACCTCGATTGGGTGCGGCTGATGAAGTCAGCCTACCGCGGCGAGTTCGTCAAGGATTGGGTCGTCAACATCGGTGTATGGGCCTTCACGATCTTCTGGCTCTTCCCGCTCTCCCTCTTCGTCGGTCTGGTCTCTATCCAAAACATCTCGGCTTATCTCCCGGCGCTCGCAAAATACCTCAACGGCCATCCCTGGGAAGAAGACGTGATCCAATCATTCGTCCCCACGCTCATCGTCGCACTCCTCACGCTTCTCATCCCGATTCTGCTGCTGCTCATCGCGAAGAAGGCTCATACTATCCTCACGCTTTCGAGCTTGCATGACCGCATCATGACACGATACTACAAGTTCCTCATCGTCAACATCTTGGTGTTCTTCTGCGTTGGCACCGCTGCTCTGCAATCCGTTCTGCTCAGTCTCTCTGCGCCTCAAGATACGACCACGGATCTCCTCGAAATCGTTGCTACAAGTTTTCCTTCCGCTGGACCGTTTTACGTTGGCTGGTGTGAGTATACATAGCCCATATCGTGTGATACGACACTCATCCGCCCTGCAGTGATCTTCACGACTGGTATCCACTCCGGTTTAGAGACTGGTTTATGTGAGTGCATCGCATGCATTTGTATGCAATTCGTACTGACAAATAATAGTCGGGCTACCCCTCATCACGTATCTATTCACTCGCAAAGCCGTGACTCCTCGCAAACGCGCTGTGGGCATCCGACCTCGCACACTCAACTACTACTGTAAGCTCTCTGACTTCATTCGGTCGTTCACATACTCATCCATCTGTCAGATTGGCTACCCAATCACCTTCTCGTCTTTCACGTCCTCGCATTATTCTCCATTCTCAACCCACTCGTGATACCCTTTGCATGGATATACTACATGGTCGACAGCAGTACGTTCCATCCCTACGTCGGGGCGGCTGGCCGTACTCATTTCTTGACAGCCGTCATCAAGAATCAGCTCCTTCACGTCTACGCCAAGGTCTACGAGCAAAACGGCAAGGTCATTCTGATCCGCCTCGTCCGCTACTCGCTCGACGGCCTCATCCTTCTCGACGTCGTCTTCGTCGCCTACATGGCTGTACTCAAGATCAAAGTCAATGTCGCACTCGCCGCCGTGTTGATCGCCGTCACAGTCTTCGTCAAGCTCACGTTCACCCGCGTCTTGCGGGCTCAGTTTGACCGGGATGACCTCCTAGAAGCTGAGGTCTGTTGTGGGATGCGCACCCTAGAGGATCTCGAGGATAGCCACGGACATGGTGCTGCTGAGGCTGCTGAAGATACCCAAAACAGCACCGAAAGCTCGCCAGAACCTCCAACCCGCTCTCGCTTGTGGCGTACATGGAAGAACATGACGTTCAACTATGGCACCTCGCCCAAACCCGCGAAACGCGCAACCCGTCGCGCGCGGAATCCGTTCATCACCCGCCCTCAAGGCCCGCTAGCGCAAGAGGCGGATGCGGGCAGCGAGCCGGCTTCACCAGTCGTACCGGGACCCAGCAGCAGTAGACCTTTCGATGGCGCCGTTCCTGAAGAGAAACTGGCCGTCGGCGCTTTGCCTACCGAGCGCCGTGCTTCTCGTACGGACGAGTGGCGCAAAACGCAAGCGCCTGTAGCCAAGCATCCGCTGGTCAAACGCAGCGCGCGTGCCCCGGAGAGGAGACGTTCTGTCAAGCCTGAGTTAGAACGGCGGCAGTCGATCGCCCAGAGGATGGAGAGTGATGCGCCACTCGTAACCCCTCATCCTCCACATCCTCGCTGGGACGATGAACCGGATCCGGACAAGCCATACGAGAACCCGTACTACAGTGCGCCGATCGGAAGTTCGCTCTGGCTGCCGCGCAACCCGTGCGGTCTGCTCGACCTCGACGATACAGTTGACGTACACCGCTCTCTCACAACTGTCGAAGCTGCTGGAGGTCTCGGGGAGTGGCACGCACCCGAGCGGCCTCCAGAGCTAATCCTTTCCGTCGACTCCCTGCATCCATTCCCGCTCACATCATCGCCCGAGACCGAAGAACCGCCCAGCGCTGCCCTCTCCACACCACGCAGTGATGCGCGCACTATCTTGACCAGCGGCAGCGCCCGTAGTGGACACCTCACATTGCCATCACCGCTCCTTCTTCCACAAGGCCGCAGGCTGAGCGGGACCGAGACAATCTCGCTACCTCCTCGGATGATGGCACGCGCGGATAATCCGGCCGAGTTCAGTGATGATCTTGCTCCGGACATGGAACCGCGGCGCCGACCGTCGATGTTCGAGTTTGGCGCGCGGAGGAGGCGGAGATCGTCCGTCACGTCTGGGTCATACTTCACCACGATGTCGAGCGGGCTCAGAAGACCTACGACGCGGGATGCGGAGCATGGGCCCACGGCAAGTAACCTGTCGCTTGCGCTTCCGCGTCGCGGGTTGTCGCAGGATCAACGGGCGCAGCTCGAAGAAGCTGCGGCGCGTGGCGTTCGACCGGATGCTGGAGCCCAGGCAGCGCTCGCGCAACAAGCGACGCTGTCGCTCACGAGCCTCGGCGTGGCTCGACACCGGGCGGAATCTACGTTCGTCAGTGCTCAAGAAGCCGTGCAGGCCGAGGTCGTTGTCGAGGAGCAGGAGGCCGCTGATGCGAGGTTGCGGCAAGAGGCTGCGGATGTTCTACAGGCGACTCGCCGGAGGGCATGGTGGCAGCGCTGGGCCTTCGCAGAGACGCCCGAGCAACAAGAGCCGGAGGCTGGCGCTGGCACGGGATAGTCTCTGCGCGAATGCGGAGAGTGGTCCATTCCATGCGACCACGACGGAGAATACCCGAGTATACCTCCGACTAACGAGGTGTACGATGCTTCTATCTATGATACATACCCTGTACGGTAATGTCACGACGTGTTAATGATGGCCTTCTGGCTTTGTACTATAACAAGGGATTGTCCGAGGACAAGTTCAACCGAGGCTCTTGCCTACCCCGCGTGTCCCGTGAGCGAGCACGTACGTTGACTGTATGCGCATTCCGCGTTTACCTCGACCCGACAATTATCCCAAGAGCAAATCAGGCGGCTTGGTGGCTAGGTAACCGTCTGAGGTCATTGTCAGATCTCTTCGCGACAACATGGGCGGCCGATGTCCGGTGGTACGTATAAAACAGTTTCGTCAGCTTAATACTGGGCTTCTCTAGAGCTAGTACCCCAGGCCCTCCTCTGATCGCCATGTCCCGCTTCTCGACGCTCGCTGCTGCTGCCACGCTGGTCAAGGTTGCTCTTGCCGGCACCACGATCTGGTCGGGCTCGTTCGACTCTTACCCGACGTCCGAATCCTTCGACACCTGGTCGTGGGCGAATGAAGTCGGCGAGTACCAGTGGTACATCCACGGTTCCGGCGCGACGTCCGAGTACCTCGCCGTCGACCCCAGCTACAAAAACCCGGCGTCGAGCGAGGCTCAGGGACTTCGTGTTACTTTGGACGCGACCTCGCTATGGAACGGTCAGACCATGGAGCGTACTGAGCTCATCCCACAAACTTCGGCGAACCTCGGCACGGGTAACCTGCTGTACCACTTCAGCATGAAGCGCGACTCTACGAACCCACCTGAGGTGTGTAATCATGATCGGTCGTTGGGATACTGGCGCTCATCGTTCTTTCAGTTCACGGCTGAGCACCAGATGGTGTTCTTCGAGAGCCACTTCACCGAGTTCAAGACCGGTGTCGCACCAAACACGACCTACCTCGAGTGGCACGTTGGTGGCGTGCCTCAGTGGGGTGTTCCGTGGGACGCTGATACCTGGTACGTTATATCTCGTCCTCCATCGCGCTCGTACTGAACCAAGTTACAGGTACAACTTCGCCTACGACATCGACTTCAGCGGTTCTACTGTCGGCCTCTGGGCTTCGACTGGTTCAGACCCTCTCGTGAAGGTCCACCCGAACATTGGTGCATCGACGTCCACGAACAGCGAGGACTGGCATCTGGGCGTGCTCCGACTTCTCATGGACAGCGCCGTCGAGCACTACTACTTCAGCGGTGTGTACATCGAGCAGGCTCCGATCACCACCTCCGTCGGCACGGGAGGCAGCTCCGGCAGCGGCAGCACCACTGGCGCGGCCGCACCCACTACCGCTGCCCCTACGTCAGCTAAGCCCACCACCTCAGTGTCCGCGACTACGAGCGCGGCGGGCCCAGTGCAGACCAAGTACGGCCAGTGCGGCGGTACTGGCTGGACGGGACCTACTACCTGCGCGTCTGGCTCGACTTGCACTGCAGTCTCCGCACCGTACTACTCCCAGTGCCTGTAAGCGTCTGGAAGGGGGCAAAGCATTTCATTTTGCACTCGTACGAGTACAACATTTTGTCTGGGTACCACCAACAATACACGGTTCATCCCTCACTGTGCGATACCTACAGGACGTGGGTCAGACAGTGTTCCCCAAGCGTAGTTCTGTTCAAAGCTCACCGATGACTCCACATGCTGCACGTCCACCGGCGTTGCCTGTCTTCAAAGACTCGTCGTTTCCGCCTTTGCCCAAGTCGTCGGTACCCTGGAAAGACAATCAGCCAGCGGTCGGAGAGGAGGATGCGGCGAATTCTAACGCACTGCATGCACAACGACGGCGCGCCTAAGAATAGGACGTTTGAGTATCACCCAGCGCTGACAAGAAATCACTCTTACCCGACAATACTCAACGGACCATTGAGCGTCAACTGTTCATCATTGATGCTGAGCGAGACGGTGCCTTTGCTATCGGACTCGATGTTTCCGAGATCGCCGACGTGCCTGCTCTCGTCGGTCGGGGCGCCGTGGGTCTTATCGAACGGGTTGAAGTGCGAGCCCGCGGAAACGCATCCACCGCTAAGATCGCCGAGAGCGCTGTCACGCAAATTTGAGCGGTCGGGGATACCCATAGCTACAAGGACCACTCACTGAATGTGGAAGCCGCGCTCAGCCTCAGCGTCGAGGTTCTTGAGCTCGCCCGTGATGTAGACAGGCGCGTCGGGAGATGCTTGGCTGAAGGTGACCGTGCCGGATACAGTACCAGTCAGAACCGCAACAGCCTGTACGTCCAATTCACGGTTCAGAATCTGCGTATGTATAATCGTAGCATGTACTCATACCTTAGTCACCTTAGGACCAGAGACACCGGGAGCAGGAGCGAGCAAAAGTGAATAGGCCATGTACAGCACTCCTACACCGGCGATGAAGACCAGCCAGAGCGGGCGCCCATTGTTTGAAGAGCTGTTGCGGAACGATGGGTCCATGACGCCGTGAGTGTAAGAGGGAAGGAGCGCTGTGCCTACATAGTCAGCTTCGCAACCCAGTTGGTCGATGAGCACACACAGGGGCTCATGCACATGAGGCAATTTCGGTTTAGGCGTGTGCGTGATCCCACGCGGTGTAGTGATGTGTCAGCTACAATGACTGATCGAAAGACACAGTCCAAGAAGAATGCTACAGCTTATGGTACAGCAAGAGCGTATTCTACGCCTCCTTAGTGTGTATAGATATTTACTTGAATCCCCCAGCCAGCCAGCCATTGACGGCGTAGAATCCAGTGACCCTGTTCGCCTCCTTCTGAAGCACTAAGCTTCCCCATGGGTTGACGCGAGGTCCTAGAGCTGGGACAAGCGTTGCTCCAACCTCAGTGAAGAGTTTCCCCTCCGCCTCGCCTTCTTCTCGATTGAACGCCTGGATACCATGACGAATGGTCAGCCATATAAGCATAGCAACCCTAGCTGCACGTACCGTAAACACCGTCGGGATATGTCCGTCCACCAGCAACTTGATTGTGGGCTTCCATGTATCTGCTTCTTCTTGAGAGCAACCCGAGTTAAAAGCGATCGCAAGATCTGGCTTCGAATAAGAAGAGCCGCCGCGCTTAGCATATTCATGGTACATCCTATGCATGGAATCAATGGCAAAACGTGTAGAAGTATGAGGATATAGACGCACCTTTTGACAATGCGCTGTTTGCGCCTTCGGCCCAACCTGCGGCAATCTCTGCATCAAATGTAAGCCCAACGACTGCAATGTGTGGTGATACATCTTACGGACAAGTCTCCATCTCCAACCACTGTTCCGAAGCTTGACCAGGCATCTCAGGTCCACAGAACGTGATCTGCGTGAAGCATCAGTGAACGTCGACGTGACTCTGAGGCCAGTGCCTACATACCTCCAGTGTCTTGACATCTGGCAGTTGATGCAGGATCTCCTCGAACGCCATAGCGCCCGCCAGTTCCCGGTCCGTCGTCGGCCCGAGGACCTACAAGGCGAATCAGCCATCATGATCCAACAGTTAAGCAAACCTCATACATGGACGGATAGTGTCGACTTCTTCGTCCACGAGTTATCCGGATAGAGGTTCTCTAGAGCGTAAAGTATCGACATCGGCGCGCTAAGTCCCTCTGTCGAGGACCGTAGCATAGGGCCGTAAGCAATGGATTTCTGTACTTGCTCAGGCGTCTCTAGCTGAAGTTCTTGACGAAGAAGGTCGCCGAACTCGCTTCCCCAATCGGCGCCATTCAAGGATGTCCATTCTTCCTTGATACGTGCGGGCACCCATTGAAATCCGGTCTCACCCTGGTCAGGAAGCGAAGTCTTGAACAAAGTGTCCAGCCGAATCTGGCGGTTCAATGCGCACTGAGGTAGATCTGCGTATCCGTCTTCGTCAGGGTGTTGACTGTGTTGCTCCCGCACAGCGTTCCAGTGATCAACAGAACAGTAGAACGCAAGATGACAATCCGGGCACTCGGATAATGTGACAGCTTCAGAGCCTTTAGCGCGCGCTTCCATACGCAGGATCGTATCCGTACGCGCGCTGCGTTCATGAGTCAGCACGGTGTACGGGCATTAAGGAGTGGCCCGACGACGTACCACGCGAGACAACGCGGCTGCCAACCTATAATGTTCTGTTCGATCACATTGAATGATTTCCCCTTCTGGACCTGGACTGTGTGCAACTCGGCGAGAGCGCTTTTCTGCGCGACTTCGTCCGCCGGCTTCCCGTCCAGAGGGACGTCGAACCAAGGAGCGATCGTGTCATAAAACACGGGACCGTTCTCAGCAGCGTGAAGGGCTTTACACATGCTCTTATGACTCTTCCAATCTGCCTATACGCGAGTTAATTCCAGAGCAATTACGAGTTATCTTGAGCTGAAAGGCTAACCTTCTGACATTCTGCACTACAGTATCTCACGCGTCGGCAGGTCGTACAGATCTTCAGCGCCACTCCCTCTTCAACCGACTTAAAACATTTCTGACACGCCTGCCCCACTCGGGCTGTGATGGGTGGAACGCGTGGCACAGTCTGTCCTTGTATCGACATCAAAGGAAGTAGAAGCCGATATTGCGAGCAGAATTAGATGGCCGTTGGAGAGAAGCGCGCCTCACCGCCACACGTCGCGTCGGGCGCGTCTTGATGCGACGCGAACACGTGAGTTTATTCATGGGGATCGTACGGGCGGCATGTATGGGGTTTGTATGGATGTAGTAGTCCGTGATCTGCTATAATGGTGCTAGACAAATTGTTCCGTGGGAGGTATAGTACAAAAATGCGGATGTGTGGCATAGGTAACGACATACGTGTTGCAATGCTAGCGCTTCTTCAGGACAAGTACCAGATATAGTAGGATGCGGTAGACCACAGCGATGATGAGCAGGATACAGGTGTACAGTGCAAAGTCGATGCCGGATACATCGAGGTATTGAAGGACATCATCTCCTGCTAGTGCGCACTGACCCTGAGCGAGCAATGAGCTCGGATACTCGCAGAAACAAGTCCCGTCGTCCACGCGGCCGGTACATGCGAATGTCAGCCCGCGGAGATCATTGTAGACGAGAAGATCAAACGCATACGTCTGTTATAGCAAGGTATCAGTCTTTGTGGAATGCTAGAGGCGCTATGCTGACCTGATAATCGATGAAATGCGCCCAGTAGTACCAGAATCGCGGCAAGTTAACGGTGCGGATGAAGTAGCCGCCGACGGACATGAAGAACCCATTCAAGAAACTGGCAATCGCAAGGGCCGCGACAAATATCGGAATGACAGCTGCTACCACGGCAGACTGGGACTCCGCAGTATAGACTGCAAGGAAGAGGACCGCCAAGAATTTGAAGAACTGGTCCGCGCCGGGGTTGAGCCCTATACTCCAGTAGCAGAGTATGGCGAAAAGAAGCGAGCAAACGAAGAGATAGGGTAGGGTGACAATCGAGTTTGCGAGGACATAAGGCCCCGGTCCGTACAATCCGTTCATGCGCTCGCGTACAAAGACTTGGCGTTCCTCGAGGAAGGCCGGGATGCCGGCGACTGACATGAAACCGAGGAATGCCACGGAGTAGAAGTGCACGGAGAGGCGATCGTCCTTTGACAGGCAGTGAGCATACGAAGTCGCCCAGAGGCAATGAAAGACTGACTATTCGTGAGGCAGTTTGTGGCAGGTTGACCCAAATTGTAGCAAGCATGACGCCCATTCCAACTACACACACTAATGAGCCAATGTATTCGATACAAGCAAAAGGTAGACTTACGGTACATGCCAGCGCGCACACCGTACGCCAGGATATTCCTGCTGTAGTTGATCGCGTTCCTCTGCATAAGATACCATGTTCGCCACATGTTCGCAGCGAAGGTAGAGATTGCGCGAGGTCTCCGCGTGTGAAAATTAGACATGAGCGTCTTCTCTTCGTGTAAGGCGGGGAGGCTATGCGTAGATGGACGTTTAGAAGAGTACTGTCTCCACGAGTCTGTCAGGTGGTCAACGTGACGCGCAGCCTCGTCAGAATCGTGCATGAAATCGGTGTTGATCATGTCGAGAGCAATGTCTGAGGGGTTCGCGTGATGAGGGACAGGATGATGAAGCCCAACCGAAAGGTAGGCATCGAGTTGATCTATTGAGTCCGCAGTGAGCAAAGCATATCGGGCGTAGGGGATGAAAACGCACCGATGGGACCGTAGTACATTGTCTGACCCTGTGCAAGCAACAGAAGCTTGTCAAATAGGGAGAACGTATCCCAATTCGGTTGATGTATGCTGGCGATGACGATCACTCCGTGCTGACGAGCGAAGTGCTTCACTGCGCAGTAATGATAGTCAGCAAGGAGAGTGTGTTCCAGCAATGAATGATTTACCCGCAGACATGACTTCATAACTCGTCCGAGAGTCGAGACCACTCGTCGGCTCGTCGAGGAACAGTATGCGCGGCAGTGTCACAAGCGATGCACCTAGTGTTACACGCCTCTTCTGTCCGCCTGATATTCCGCGCTGAACGGCATTTCCGATACGGTTGCGAGACACTTCTGACAGTCCGAGATCCTGTATTGTTTGCCTGACACGCGATTTGATCAATTCTGCAGACGTGGAGACCTCAAGACTGCCCAGAGCCACCACATAGATATCAGGCATCATATTAACGAAGACACGCACAGGACGCACCAAAGGCGCGCGGCAAAGTACAGGGTCTCCTCGACCGTTAAGACACCGAGTAGAGCGTCGCTTTGCTCGACGTAAGAAGCTAAGTGTGACATGTCAGCAGTGGCGTCCCCGTTTACCGTAACCTAGTCCAGACGGGGATAGCGTTTTAGCGCTGAGACAAGGATCAGAACGTATGGTGAGGAATGTAACTGCTCACCATGCCACTAGCTTGTGCCGTCCGCTTTGATATCACGTCGAGAAGCGTAGTCTTGCCTGCGCCTGAGGGGCCCATGACTGCGCAACCGAGATTCGAAGTTTAATATATCTGTCAGATAGTACACCGATAGATCGTCACACACCTGCGAGTAGCTCACCCGAGCTCACCTCTCCAGAGATGCCATCCAGAATCATCTTTCCCTTGATGCTGTACCTCAGGTTTTCCCATCGGAGACTAAGTCGCTCCTGGTCACGTCCTGACTGTACATAGCGGGAGGTCAGTACAGGAAGTGTATACGGATGAAAGACGAGGAACATACTTCAAGGTCGTGCAATCCCATCTCACGGAGAGGCACTTCCGCAGAGGACATCTTCTTCAGACGCCTCGAAGTGAAGGACAAGAGGTGTGGCGGCAGCACCATGGTATAGCGATGAGAGCGAGGCTTATATCTTGACGCGGTGGTCTCCCGTGCAGATTGCGGCGCAGGTGGATCTGATGGATGAGAGCGCCCACGTTTGGAGAGGGTGGTGGTACTGTGTTGTCTTCGGTTAGCGTAGCTTTTAAGCCCCCTCGTCGACGTCAGGGCCACAGACGTCGCCGCCATGCATGTTCGGAACGAGGATGAGTAACCCAAAAGTGCATGTCTATGACGGCCTCTGACACTACTTCGCTGTCAACTCACTAAAGAGCTAGAAGTACCGCCTTCCGAGCATGCTACGTGAATAAGCTATTCCTCAATTCGCACAGGGTATGGGACGGGCCCCGTACGCATCAAACCTTGAGGCTCTTCCGAGTGGTCATTGTAGTGTTAGCCGACGTGCCCGCCTGTGGGCCCTGGCAGATGCATTCTATGGTTTCGACGCATGAAGGCCATCTAGGTGCCTGTAAGACCCGCATTCGCGTGCAAGATGGAAGTTCGGGACGAGCCTGGATGACCGGATCGCCGTCATGCGGTTATCGCCGCAACACGCTCACGTGTCTTTTGATATACTACCCTTTCTTTCGTTTTTGCGTCCCTCAACCACGCTAGACAAGTAGACCAGGCACTATTTCTATGTACGAAAATGAGATCAAGCATGATGTGCGGGGAACCAGCCAGCCAATGCACAGTAATATTAGACATAGACGTGATGCAATGTATGTACTACCCGGCAGGAAGTCCAACAAGGGTGCCAGTCGATAATCATAATCGAGAGAGGGCGGGCCGACAAGAGAGTGGTCTGAACATATGAGTGTCAACATTATCAGTGGGAGTGTCAGCTCCCAGTCAGTGATGAATGTGTCAAACGTGAGGTAAGGCATTCGTAAGCAGAATCAGGTCGAAGTCGAATGCGTTGTTCACGTCCACCTCCGAGTCCGAGTCCGCCTGCGTCTACGCAAATATTGATCTTCAAGCTACTGAAGACCTATGAGTATATTGTGACCGGTGATACCGTCCACGAGCCTCCGTATACGTTGTGCTAGAGCTCGTGGCGATGGGTCGAATACAGCCGCGAGCGACAATATAAGCGCTGAGTCTTCGCTGGAGCCCCTGCGGACGTGGCAGAACATTGGGATAGGCTTCTTGAGTGCCATGGTGAGTAGTTCACGGCGTTGGATAATCAATAACGGGCAGGCATTGATCGAGGATGTTCTGTGCAATGAGCCGAGTAATGTCGATAGTGCGCACGGGAGTGCGGGATTGGTGCAATATTTCGTCGACTTCTACGACGACTCATCCAATTTGTTCGTTTGACGTTCTGCCCTTGGGGTGCGTCCAATCGAGCCCCTGCGGTCAGGGTCGTGGGAGTGTCTATTCATCATTAAGTCCAGGACAAGTACCGGGCAAACATGTGCCCCTGCGAGCAGGACTCACCTAGTGCGCGGGCGTCTTATTGACCGGTTCCACGACCTCCACGAAGCTAGATAGGTATCTCCAATGAGCCCCGTCCGCCCGAGACGGGCTCATACAGCATCTCCTTGCTCGTACCATCCCCTCGTCCATAAGCTTAGCGTATCGTGGACTCCGACGAGTCTGCGGGCCGTCTATCCCCACTCATGACACCATCATTCTATTCACCATAGAGGAGGTCGACCAACACGGCGAGCGTCGCCAAGGCGGTAACTGAGGTTCAAAGATGGTTGAAGCAGGGCGTGCCAGCGTGGCCGTAGAAAGCAAGCCACGACACGTCTGCGTTATGCGCACCCTGGCCCGAACCACCATGATATCGTCGACATTAGACTCGGTTTCAGTGCCCGCGGGTCTGGTAACTGTTGATCGTATATACTTCGGTCAATACGACTAGTTCAATGAAAATGCCCGGTGCATCAGATTGGCCTGCCCCTTCGATAACTGCTGGCGCAGACGCAAAACACCGCCGGCGACACAGGAAGGCACCCTGGCGCTTTCATTCTTCAACTTCCGACGAAATATATAGTCTATGTCGATGGTCCTCGATGTGCTTCTGCTCGGCACAGCATAGAACCATACTGGATGACTTTCCACAGGCGTTTGGATCGGCCAGTCGTTTCCAAACTGCTCGCTGAGCGTGATCGATCAAGGCACCGCGTGATCCGGCGCTAACNCTGAGCGTGATCGATCAAGGCACCGCGTGATCCGGCGCTAACAAAAACGATTCTGAGCGAGAGGTTTAGAACACGGTGTCGACCCGTGCACCAAACGCTTTCGAGGTCGAGTTTTGATGGCTCCTTCCCGAGAAGGGAAAATGTGATGCGGTGGAAGTACCCAGTGGGTCGGCTCAGCGGGTGGCGGCAGCGTCGCTGGCCTCTCAAGTAAGTACCTCGCCTATGTCTGCTGCTTGTAAGTATTGGAGTAGGGACCCTATGCCGCTGGTAGTACTGACAAATATTTTCAGGACGATTCATGAGACCCCGGTAGCTGTGCGAGCCTTGCAGCGCAAGATAGACTGGATCGCAGCCGAATCGGGCGCGTTGAAAAAGATAGAGACCTTCTACGCCTCCCTCTTTTGCAGATGCAGATGCCTTGAGGTACGCTCGTCCTCGCGGACCATCTTTTGAGCCCATCTCAAGCAGTACGCAGTGCACAGGAAGCGGGTAATTCTCAAGAGCATTTCGAAGAAGACCGATCGGGTCGAGGCGGCCACGCGGGAAACAACTCGCCATCAAGTCCGCATTTTTCGTTTATCTTTGGTCGGAAACTCACCCTCAGGCACGATTGCGCATTCCGATCAAGCGTTTGGAAAGGTTTGGAGACGACTTGCGGATCCAAACGCCTGTGGAAAGTCATCCACTCACAGTTCATTAGCCCATCTTGACGTAGATCGGCCCCTTCCACCGAGGCAGCTTGATGACATATTATCTCTACCGCCGCTAGTCCCACCCGACACGTCGCGCTGCCTTGATAACGATGACGTCCACTGCCCTTCATAATTCCGAGTTGCCACAGCGCTCTCCGAGCGCGAGGCGGGCCACTGATTTGTCGCTGGCCAGACGCTCTGATCGGGTTGTACATCGCAGATCGCCTGGGCGCCGAAGGCTCTGGACTACGGCATCTTACCGGCGTTCTGCGATCTTGTGGCGCTCGCCCACTTATTGTACCCTGCAAACTCTCTCGGCCAAAGCTGTCGATTCTTAATACACCGGACCTGGGCATCCGGTGTCTTCCTCACAGAGCTGCGGCTTTTCATTGGCCGGATTGCGCTAGCGCTCATACATCTGCACTTCACACGTACACAAGCACGAATTGACACTCCGAGTCCGTGAGCTGCCGGGAGTCGTCTACTCAGCCTGCAAAGAGCCGTATACGTGAACGATGCTCACTGATATCTGTTCCAACAGGACATCCGTATACCAAACCCACGTACGCGCTTAGTGAGACATGGAGAAGAAGGTCTGCCTTATCCGATCGAGGGTACTCTGCAGCTCGTGTGCACTGATCCTCTCCATTCTCAGCGGCATACGGTCATTGAGGGTGGGCGTCATAGGTTCCGCGCGCCCGACCCGAGGCTTTCAGCTTCAGACCCAATGAGAGGCCTGTTAGCGCCCCAGAAGTGGGGGAGTAGGATGGGCTGGGTGAGGGACTTGCTTAACAACTGTTCAGACCCCGCCGCATTGACCATGCTCTGGCGATGCCGCCAGTCTGGGCACACCTCACATTGATAGGTGAGACTACTCGAGTGGGCTGTGCGGAGTCTTGATTGTACCAATGAGTACCTCAGGCGTTGCAACGTGTGGCCGTCGTCGACGCGGCTCCGAAGGTGACACCGCAAACGTCGATGATCGACGCGCAGGGAACTCCAGGGCCAGGAAGAGCGATCGGATGGTCCTGCGGTTGAGTTCGGACGCCCTGTCAGTCCGATTCTGCATCTATGTTTCCCGGCTGATTCGACTTCTTATGTCCAACATAGAGATACGTGCCTTGCTCAACATCATCTCGCCTCATGTCGTAGTTTTGCGCGAGCATACCGGTCCCACCCATGATATAGATAGTAGCGGCATGCTCTTATCTGACGTGTCGGGATTGTCCGTACAGTTGACAGGCGTTCTACGACGGTGTGAGCGTCCATCGCGTGGCCGCATCTGCTCCCTTCGCTGGACCTAACCGAGCGGCGTCACCCATGCTACCCCTGGTTAATTGGCATCGGGCGCTGAAACGAGCTACCGTGAAATAGATGAAGCGGTATACATACGCACATACACGCCTGACATCGGTGGTATTCAGTGAGTTGAATGCGACTCTTACCGTCTACATCTATCGGCAGCAGTCTGCACGCCACAGGTACCCCGAAGAGCCTGCAGGCTCTGCGCCTCCGACCCGCGACATGTCGAAATAACTTGCAAAGGTTACATTCAAATGTTGCTAACAGAGGTCCACATCTCGACGGATGAACAGAGACTCTTCTTCTCCAGGAGCGCATTGTTCCGCGTGTCAGCGATGTACCCCTGGTATCAGTGTACGCCGGCCAGACCATACAATGACCATACCAGGGACTTCGAGGCTGAGCCGAGGCTCGTGGTCCGGCGACCGTACGAACATACACTTCACGCTCGTGACTAGTCTTGCGAGTACGCAATGAGCGTATCTGACCCTGATGTTCAAGCGACGCGCGAAACCTTCACACGACGAGTCCGTCCTGAATAGCGTCTATATCTGTCGCCGGCTGTCCAGGGAAGGTAGTGTTTGGATGGTCTCCCATGACGCAGAATAGCACAGCGGGAATGAGGTCCTCACCGCGGACCTACCGCCGCGGCTCTTGAGGGGCCAGCACGAAGATGTATGTTCGCATCGTACCAGTACGCATCACCGGATTACACCAGGAGCTTGCACGAGATGACCGCTCATCACGCAACATACGCCACGCCGTCGATCCGGGGTCGCAAAGACGTGTATCGGACAACCAGCAATACATCATGCGCTGACACAACGTATTCGGATGGTCACGGAATGCGGGGTAAGGCGCGTACACGCATGTGGGGTAGCGAACGCGGGGAAAGAAGTAGCGGTGATGATGACTACCTCTTATGGTGAGCGAGATGAGATGGGGCCTGCCGCTCGAGCGCGCACGCGACCGACTACCGTGGATACCGGCTTTGGTTCAACGGAAAGTATGAGCATCGGGTGCAGAGATTCCGCCTTTGCCCGAAGGCTGGTTTGAACTTGCGCGACCTGATAGACCAACATCCGTACTTCTGAGGAATCGCCACAACGCAAGAGGCCTGTGGCGGGCTCGCATATGCTATGATACAAAGGTGCTGAAGACCATCTCGGCCAGCGTGTAGAGTCCGTGGTCTAACAGCGAGTCGTGCCGCGTAGCGGCGCAATGGCGCACCGCGCTTGCTGTCGCTCCAGACTCAGGCGATGAAACCAGTACGGTATCCTTCAATATTGCGCGAGCCTCCTGACCTTCGAGACGACGTGCGCATGCGAAAACCGTCGTAAAGCATCGTTACGGACTGTACGACTCGTGCGCACGATGCCGTTTACTAGCAATAGAAGTCAGCGAATGTTGATAAAGTAGAAGAAGTTCGTACCTTTGATCAGCCAGTCGAGCCAGAAGCCCTGCGCTCTGCCGTCACATCAGCCAACGAGCGCATCACGGTCTCCAGCGGTCTCCAACGCACTCAAAAACTGTATGCTGAAGAGGGCGGGATTGGTGGCGAGCTGATGGCCGAGCTCTGTCGATGAAAGGCCGAACGGGTCATCATAAGCCCGAGCGCCTGTGCGGCAAGCTATTCGTAAGATTTCACGGCAAATAGTGTGCTTGAAGTACGGGGTAATCGTATGGTCCCCATGTAGTAAGAACAACCCATGTTGTGTTCTGTTTTAGGAGTCTTCGGTCAGCAATCCTTCTGCTGAAACGGGTTCCAAGGATATTCCGAGCTCGGCAAAGACGAGCGCTGCGACGAGAGCGGACCAGTGGGTGACTGTCGCTATGCCGAGAATAGCCCCACATACAAGCGCGCACAGCGTGCGCACCGACGAAGTTGCGTATTGGTCGAGCAAAGAAGAGTCACGCGTAGGCAGAAGACGGCACAGGCGCACAGAAGAGCACACGTACACTGTGCGAAGAACGGGGCACACTGCGATCACAAGCTCGAGAAAGTCTCGGAAGAGCTGAACTGCCGTGTAGTCCAATGGCAAGCAGCAAGATCGGCGTTGCAGCCTCTGCGATCGCGCAGTGTGTCGTGCACACATCGATGACCATCGTGCTGGCAGCGTACCTCAAAGTCTAGAGGCTGAAGGATTCATCACGATCATCATGCAAATGCTCTTCATCCCATGCAAGTGCGTACATCAAGGCGCGCATTCTTACCAATGTGCGCAGGGCGGGTGAGAGCAGGTGGGAACTCGCTGCCGCCGCTGCGACTCCGAGTCCGAGTGCGGGGCGGACCGCTCGGACCGCCTGACAACGCCGATTCGCCAGGCCGCTCATCTCGCCTCGTGGCAGGCCGGGCGTTGGTGCACGGACGTATATTCCACTCCAGCTCGACTGAGTATCCAGCCAGAAAGGATGGGGACATGCAAAGTACTTGGAATGAGCGCAAGTTCTAGTGCGTAGTTTATTCGGCGGAGAGCCAGGGCGCAAGCCCGCGTCGCGCGCCGTTGGAGAGTTTGGAGAGAATAAATCACTTCGTTATGGACTCTCACGTGCCCACCTTGCGAGAGCTGTGGCTCTACAGCCCCACCATCACCTTATAGCCTTTCTGGAGACCTCCGACTAGCTTGGGATCAGTGGAGGGTTGGAGTTTGGAAGCCGCCGGTAGCGATAGACGGATGTGGGGAACGAGAGTTCGCGCGGTTCACCCTGCAAGCGCTCGCGTGTATACCGCGCTCACAAGTTCGGCTTCGGTTGTGGGTCCCTGCTCAGTGCTCTGCAGTCTCCAGTACGCGCTCCCCGCAGAGACATGCATGCAGCCGAGAGTAGTCATGCACGTATCGCCGGTAACTACGCCCCGCGGGGAAATACCGCCGCTGCATAAGGTGCTACAACTCGACTCTGCATAATATTGATACTTCGTCCGCAGCACATGCCAGACGCGAGGGTTCAGAAGAGTGAACCGCGAATATAGTTCCCAGATGATACGTCTCAGTCAATAGCAGTGGCTATACAGCATAATTTGCCTTAGGTTCCTTCAGGTCTCGGAGGCATCCGGGTTTGTCGGTGACGCAACCAAGGAACCTGTGGTTCGTGCGGGGTATATTCCCCTATGGGTCCACTCTTCTGAGGCACAATGGCAGCGCGCAGCTTTGCTTCCGCACGACCCTGTACTTCTTGCTCATATGTTCAGCCTTTTCATCCTATCGGACCACCACGTCGCGTGCCGCTGCGCGCGGTTGAGGACAAGCGGTGCAGCCTCGGACATTCGCTGACGAGCGAGATAGACGGCGAGATGAAGGCTTATGTGCCGAGAGGCGGAACCGGTGTGTATACACTGCCGAAGAGGTAGAGGCGGCGCTGTCCCGTGCTACTTCTACCGCTCCTGTACAGGCAGACGATGCATATGTCCTGAACAGAATACGCGTACGTGCTGTCTTTGGGCGCAGGCGCACAGCGCTTGCGGTCATGTGTTATCGTCGTCCGTATCATGCTCGGTCCATGTATGCGGCTTCGGCCAGAGTTGCGCGGCGGTGGGCCTGAAAGGAACAGAATGGTGCGCGGTGCTAGCGGTGGTGTCCATAATACGGGGGTGCCGACGCCGCTCTTACGCGTACTTGTCCAGCTAGCTCGGTATGCACGGTTCATCTCCTCCTGCATGCATTCTTCGCCTCCATGTGCGGTCGGCATTGTGCACCGCCGGGTGGTGTACCCCGCATCTCGATCTTCATAGACTTGAGGGAGACCCACTCCGGTATGAACATTGTATGCGTCAGTACAAACCATCGCGAGATACCACCAGCTCCCTTGGAACATTCATGCCTTCTGGAGCAACAATGTGGTTTGTTAGAGCGCATTTATGCAAGTACGGAACAGCGACTGGAGCTCACCTCGGTCATCCGCCCTGCTCGGCGCGCAGCATAGCTCGGAATAGCGATCCAGTTGCACTTGGGCGCAGTATCCCGCTCAAAGTACTGTTCATCCCGGCGTAGATAACCGACTATGCATCTGCTTCAGCTTGTGATTAGTGAGCTCTTGGGCTGCACGGCCCAAACATGAAGCGGTGAAGTGTGATGCAGATGCGGGGCGGTTGATTGAGTGATAGAGATACGGCGCGTGGCTGTTTTGTTTGGAAAGCATCTGAAAGCAACGCGGACGTAGGATCTGTGATTTCTAGATGGAAGGGCCGATGGTGCCAAACGGTGTGTGGAGGATCCGAGCGACGTGCTACAGATCATGGCGACGATCTATAGCATCTGCTCAATCATGTTCGAGTTTCTGTGTGTCCGGAGAACATCCGAGGGGTTGATCTGCGAACAGAGCGTCGGTGGTCAGCTGCGCGAGCGGCGATCCGTACTGAGCGCGATGTCAGGCCCACGTACCAGCTCGCCAGTTCAGTACAGTCAAGGGCGAGATGAACCAACGATAGCTGATACAGGTCATCTCGCGCTGTATGAAGCCGTATCAGTTTGCACAAAGGCATTGGGACTGATGGATACACACGACGTACCCCTCGTGCTAGCACGTTATCGCACAGAGCCGACATGCAGAATTGTCGAGGAGACAAGGGGGACCGCTACCCTGAGCCCAGCGCCAGAAAGTACAAAGGGCCTCTGCGCCCATATGCGATCAACAAAGGGCGCGTAGTCAGTTAGCAACGCGATAGTCCCAAACTTTGCTCTTGTATTAAAACCAACCCGTACGGGTAGGACCTTTGTCTGCCCACGCAGGCAGCACACGAGGCGAGGCGGATCCGCTGGGACAGGCCCGACGTCCCGTCCAATCGATGCCAACTGGCTCGATCATCTGAAAGGAACAATGGGATTGCGGGCTCATCGGACGTCATACACGGGCGTAGATGAAAGCTTATGGTGGCAATGCAGGCGTCTACAACCACCACGATGACACGGAGGGTGAGATGAACCTGACGCGTCCAGACGTACAGTCCATCCACGCAGGTGGCACGAGAGAACCACGCAGTGGCAACGCGAGGAGGAAGAAGAGTAATCGGTGACATCTACCAAAACGTGGACCAGGCCATCTGTGCGGATCGGGAGTGTTGGGCTGGCACGCCGTGCGCGCGTTGTACGCCAGGTGGCACTGCGCCGCGCGTGGAGATTAAGCATGGACTGGACGCCTGCGTGGCGATTACATGGATTCAAGGTTTACTATGAAGGCGCGCGAGGCGGCTCGATATCTTGTACGTGCGCGCCGCATATGGGTGCAGTGGGCGCGCTATCGCAGGCCATCATAGACATTCGGCCGAGTCAGACGCGCGCGGATCTACCGACTTCCGCCGCCTTCAAGCCTGAGAGCAAGGTTGAGGCGGCGGCAGCGATCGAGTGAACAGCTCGTAATCAAGGTAATCAAGCTCGAAGATGTGTTTGGTCGTGGAAGATCGTCGGGTTACTGGTAAAGAAGTTGTGGCGGAGAAGTTGCCGAATGCAAACGTTCATGAACGTTGAGCGGAGAGGTTGCGCTTCCAGCGACGCGGGACGCCACACCGACCCGCCAGGCTTCTCACGAGGCAAAACGTGCAGTGGACGTACTCGCTGCTAAGAGTCACATCGTATCAGTACGTGCGCAGGCGTTGTGTACAACTTACAAACCTACCGATACCGAACCGCCCTGGCGAACCGTATCCAACGAGAGAGCCTCCGAGGAGAAGTAGGTAAGTACCATCAATCTCTGCATTCGCGAAGTTGTTCGGAGCGTTCGTCGCTATGTCCGGGCTATCCCTAGAACACGATATCAGTAGGTCCTTGGTACATGCTCATGCTAGTGCCACAGCGGCGCCCGAAGCAGAGCTGTACGGAGCGGGCCGCTCATAGCATGGACGAGGTCACGGGTGTGGACGCCGGTGTGCTCGAGCGGGATCCGACCGAGAGGCAGTTGCGCCCAAAGATGCTAGTAGCTAGTAGGCGTATGCACGTTTGCCTATATGCGCGCTCGGAGGTACGAACTTCACCGCGCGATAAGTGCGATAGGCGCGCCCAATGCAATGCAGTGAGATAGGTGTACTCGGGCCGCCGGTTATCTTGCTGACCTGTGTGTATGCGCATGTAAGTATAGCTCTACTCTCCGGCGCAAGAATCAAGGGCTAGGGCATACCTATCCGCAATCGCGACCTCGTACCGAGACGCTCAGAGTGTTCCGCGCCGCCGCAAGCTCGAGACGCTATAGCCGACTGAGACAGCCAGCACTGGGATACTGCGGCCGCGCGCACACAGAAGGCTTTCGACGGAAGACGCATCCCGACCATGAACGGAAGGTCGCGCGATGGTTTGCTTCGCGAAGGTGTTGGGTCCTTCGGGATATAGGCCCCATCGGAACCTTGCCTGTCAACCCTACGAAGCGAGGGATGCCGCAGCGGCATGCGGGATACACCTCGGACCACGCACTGCGCTAAACACTAGAACCCCGTCGCACCGCTCGGACAGGCCTATATTGACAGGGCGGGCGGGGCGGACCGCGGTCGGGCCCTACAGTACTAGTTGATGACAGTAGCTGGCCGGGTGGGTACCATATGAAGCAGCCGTATGCATATACACATGCTCTAGCGGCGCGGGTCGGATACCTCGGAAAGCGCGAGAAAGAACGACGGTCCACTGTGCATGTAGACGAATGGGAGTATCCGGCCATCGTGCGCAATCGGACGCTGGCACGATGCCGCGTACCGCGGACATCCGGAGTGGGTCTTGAGTGGGTGAGTATGCGATAATACGAGTACATCGCCGTGGAAGCACGTTTGTCGACTGGCTTGAATGTTCACAGTTCACCTATGCCGGTTGTAGACAGCGGGCGCAAGGCGGGATTCGTAGTTCAGAACTGCAAGGAAAGGGTGGAGGGCAAGGAATGGATGAACCTCGGTTGCTCGACGGTAGCGTACGGCCCGCCTGATTAACAAGTATCAACACCCCGGATTCGCTGTATAGAGAGCATCAATATAGTTGTGCCAGTAAGAACAGGACGAACAGCTCGGCCGATGCGTACCATATGCGCGGGAGAAACAACGTATGCCGGGCGGTCCGCGGACCCTCCGAAGAAGTTGCCGAGGGGTGAGAGGCGCCCGAGGCGAGCACGGACAAGTTGACTTGTTTGTACAGTGTACGAGAGAGGGCTTCGCGAAGCATATCATCGGCGTGCCAAGGGCGGGTGTTGGACGTGTATGGAGGGTGCGGGGCAGGTGCCACAGTTGCATCGTGTGGGGTGCTCGAAGTTCCCCGCGACGGGGCGGTGCTTGCGAGCAAGATCGTCGTAGACCTGAAGCCTGAAGTTGCAATGTAAGCACCTGCACGATTAGGTGATTGCGGAGGTAAGAAAGATGAAGGGTCGGTCTTCGGTGTATTGCGCTCGACAAGTCGCCGTTCTTCGCGCTTGGTGTCTTGGTGAGAAGGCTTGTTCTGACGCTTTTACGTCGTATGTCAGGGATGTGAGAATGCACTCGAGATCCATCATCGACAATGCGAGAAGTGGGTACAATGCACCAGTCCGAGGCTCCGAACCTGCAGAATATTCGAGAAATGTACGGTGAACGGTGTGGCTGTATGTGCCGACGACCGGCGTGGCTGTATACGATTCGCTCATCCCGACGGTGTAGCTGCGCCCGTATAATCGTACTGCTGTAGCCTGTCAGCGTCCTGATACCGACGGATGCCGACGATCGCTATGTCCGCATATCCGCAAGAAGAACCCAGCTGTGTTCGCCGTCGCCGTCGAGGCCGGGCGTTTGCTGCTGTGCCGCAAGATGCCGGCTTACGGCCATTGGCCGGACGCGGAAATATATGCTCCCGCCTGCTACATTGCCCGTGAAAGGGTATTAGGGACGCGTATGGACGCGCGAGACAGAAGGGCAAGACAGTGCGCATTTGTGCGGTGCGCCACGCACACGAGCAGGTCAATGCGGTTCGAGACAAGGTGGTGGACCCTGGACCACTCTGTAAAGCCTCTTGGACAACGCATACGGCCAAGGCAGATCGACAATCGTTCTGGCCACAGGCACGGATAAAACGTCAATGTCCTATGTTGTCAGTGCGCGTTGCTGCTCGACGCAGCCGGATCCGCCGACACAGGGACCGGAGGAAATAGGGCGCGCGGGCGAGTGATGCGCTGAGCGCTGTTAAACAATCCGTACATGTACAAGCCCACAGTGATGTACGGGATATCGAGCGCAGCCGATGAGTTGCCGAGTATCGAGAGAAAGATATGTCTCATGGCTGCGGGGCAAGCTCGGAGAATAAGTCCGTGCAGGCCAGGAAAGGTTGTTCAGAGTTCAGGACGTCTTTCATGTTTGCACGTATGGGCCCTGCAGGCCGAGCAGCGTACAGAGGCCGCGGGGAAACACAGGCGCGCGTGAGGATAGGCACGGTTGGGATGGGCTCGCATGTGGCGAACAGCGGGAGGAGGACGGCGGGTGGGAAGAATCATATGTGCGCTGAGCGGCGGGCCGGACGGGAGCGGGGAACGCCGAGGATGGGCCCCTCGAGCATCGATTGGGCGCAGGGGCCTTGGGGCTAGTTTTCGGGCATATGACGTTAATACTGTGCGGAAGAACATGTTATCTGCAGAGGGAGGCGATAGGCGTAGTGGTTGCCATTCGTGCTGCGAGAGAACAAAGGGCTTGTGAGTGGAGGATAGGATATGGTCTGCGGCTGGGGACGGGGAGGAAAGTGGGACACGGGTGGGCAGTCCACGAGGCGAGGCGAGATGAGCGAGGCGAAGATTGGGCGATGGGATCTGAGATCTGTGTGAGAAGGTGCGCCGGGCAGTCGGGAGCTGTACCTCGCGCGCGAAAGTCTGGAGCGCGGCATGATTCCAGTTATAAGCGACGGACGCGGAATGGGTGCACGCCTCGAATTACCCGCCCATCAGCATGGACGACTCGTACTGTGCCAGCTGCTCGCGCTACATCCTCCCAAAGCGCCATCAGGTCCCAGTATACGCTGCACCTACTACAATCACTGAACACCAGCCGCCTTCCGTTCCGCCGCCCTCGCCGACGTCTGCCTCTCGTGCGTCACTTTAATTAACCATCAATTTCTATTTTCTTTACTCATTTTCCACTTGCAGCTGAAAAGGCTCTCGTCAAAACACGCTCAAAGCAGGGCACCATCCGTGCTCGCGGCGGCCTCGCACGCGGCACTGGCCGGGTCAAGGCCAACGGCACGCTCGCCACCGCCACGAAGAAGCCGGCAGAGCCCGCACCGCAGCCGACACCGGTCAAGCACCGGACCGTCATCGACCAGGGCCCCACTCCTCTCTACTGCAGCGACGAGTGCCGCCTGGCTGACCTCGAGGAGCGTCATGCGGCCATCTCGGCCGACTTTAACCCTCTGCGAGACCTCCGCTCCTCGCCTCCTCTTCCCGCCGCACCACACAACTCGCTCGCGGGATCTTCCGACGAGTCGTCCTCCTCTTCCTCCGAGGCATCGTCCTCACCCGACGCTCGTGATGGGCTTCACGTGCCCGACTACATCAGCTGGGAGTCTGTCTCGCCTGCGATTGCTGGACTGGCAAAGATGTACGACTTTCCGCCTTTGCCTGCCAGGCCTGCCGCAGTGGTGCAGCAGGAGCAGGAGGACGTCGAGGAGGCTGCCGAGAAGACTGCATCCCTCGAGGACACCTTCACGAGCGGTGTGATGATGGCCGCTGAGCGCATCAAGGATGCCCTTGTCGCACCACCAACATCAAAGCCGCAACAACGTCGGTCCGCCCCCTCACGGGCACGTGAGCCCATACCTGGTTGGACCGACGGCACCGACGCCTGGCGCGCATCGGTCTACTCGATGTCGCCCAAGGACACGGAGATTCGCGGGATGAAGAAGCCGGAAGAGCGCCCGCGTGCCTACGGTTCATTTGCCGCCTCGCCCCACCGCTCCACAGGCGGCGTCTACAGCACCGTATCAGACCCGCTTCAGACTCCTACCGCCGGCAACCTCCCCACCCGCGCCAACACCACCAGCGATGTCGCACAGTACCCTCTCTCCTTCGCAAGGAGGTCAGATAGCCGCACTTCGCTCTCGAGTGGCTCTCAGTCGCTTCCTGTTGGCACCCGCGCCCGTTCTCTCGTCAAGAAAGGCGCAGAGGGCCAGCTTCTTGTGCCCGACGTCACGTTGACCGTACGCAGCCCTGCAAGTGTCACGAGTGCTGGCTCGAGCAGTTGGCGCTCGTCGTCGCAGCGCAGCCTTGTCCGTTCTCCTCTTAGCCGCTACGGCTCTGACCTCAGCGTCTCGGCCGAAAGTGAAGAAGAACACGAGACTCAATCAACGACGTCCAAGACTACGCCGACCAAGCGCCCGACGGTTGAGAGTGAGTTGAATTTACCCATGATCTCATTGTCCAGAACGAGTATTGACGCCCGATCCCCAGCGCGCTCATGGTCATACGACCACATGCTCACATACGAGGTCATGCCGATGAAGGCCGAGCCGTCGACCCTCAAGCGCCTCTTCCTCTTCCCGGGCAAGTCGGCCGCATCGCCGGCCTCGACTGCCACCCCATCTACGCTTTCGGCGCGTGTCTAAGCCGCGCATCGCTTTCGATCTCTTTCGCTCGCGTATATCCGGTCTCGACCGCATCGCATACCCTACCACTCGATACCTCGCCGCCGCACGATCCACAACAAGCTCGGTGTTTATTTCGTTCCTCTCATCTCTCTGGTCGCATCTATCCTCGCAACGCACGCCCCACGCTAGCCCGGCCCTAATGGATCGCGCGACGGCCACGCACTCGCACTCGCACTGCCCGCCACGCATGCTCAAAAGCGCGCTCTGCGCTGTACCATATGTATCACCACCCTCGCCACGACAATCGCCCCGGATCCCGCTCTACTTTTATTTCTCTTGTGCATAGCTTTCCATCTTCTCTATCTCGGTGTCGTATAGGACCTGTACTAATACCTCCTCGCGCGCAATACCTTATCCCACCCTACCTACTCGCCGCTGCACCTCCTACACTACCTTCCGCCTCGTCGCTCCGTCGCGCACTCGCTGTGATCTGCTCTCGTCGTTCTATATCCTCTATCCCCCCGGGCCTCCCTCACCGCATAGGACCCTTCACTCTCGCTCTCCTACCTCTTGTTTGTTATATCCTTGTGGATCCCGCGCGATACGCCTCTACCTCGCCCCGCCCTCGCTATGACCATTCTCCTGCACACGTCTTTGCCATACCATGTACGAGTACGATACGCATATCTGGACCTCTCTACGCACGCACGCATCTGACAACGAATCGAAACGCATTTTACAAACATCATCCTCTTGCTTGCGATCTCTGCGCTTTGCGCATTGTGTGTCTTGTCTGCGGCTATCGGCAGCGAATGGGACGTCTCGGTACCTTGGCCGAATGCAGCCTGCAGACGATCGCGGTAGTTCACCCTCTGGCGCGCCAAAACGTCACCGCGCAGACGCTATACCCGTATCGAACGTCGGCGGTGGGCTTCTGCCGACGACATTGCTGCTGTCACATCATCAAACAAGGTATAGATCAGCTCCCACTCATGGGAGCGCTGAATGGATCTGGTTGACGCGTTGACGTTTGGGCGGGAGACGCGCGCATCATGCATCAGAGCCTGGACCGCCGGCATGCATGTGCTCCCTCGGTTGTGTAGACGTAAAACGCGTATTGCGAGGGAACTGATCGGGGTTGAGGGTATTGGAATTGATCGCTGGGTGGGGATTGCCGAGCAGGGGCGGAGGATCGGTTTAAGCATTCGACGGAGGACCTATGGGGATATACAACTGGGTACGACAGGCCTTTGCTTCCGCTGTCTGTTGAGAAACTGATGGATCATAGTACGAGCCACAGCTACGTAGTTGTGGGTGGTGATATATCGTATTCCGTATCTCTTTACTCCTCTCGTTCTTGCCCCGGTACCTCATCCGTATCTTCAACCTGGCTCAGACTCAGACTTTGTGGCGCGCTGCTCATCCGCGTCGCAATATTGCCGCTGGGCCTGTTGCTACCCTCGACGATGCGCCTGGAGGTCGAGGGCCTTGAGCTTGCACCCTCAAACGTCCCCGACGCTCGCATCGTACTCCTGTACCTTGTCGAGGCCCTCTCGATCGCAATGGAGGCCGTGACGGAGACCGCATGCCCGCGATGCGAATATAATTGTGCCGCCTAACCGAACATGGCCGGCCTTTGTGCCCTTGGACTTGCAACTACAGGTACGCTTTTGCTGTACTACTACAGCATGCAGTACTGATACGAGAAGCACAGTATCGCATCTACCATGCCCGAAGCCTGCGTCTGAAAACACGAACTGTGCGCGCGGCGCTCCGACGCATCTCCCGCCGCGCAACCCGACGACGCGCCCAACCCTATCTCTCACCCTCATAAGCGATTCATCCGGCCTCGGAACAATGCCAAAGGCAATCTCAAGGGCCTCCAGCGGGATTTCAAAGCGGTATATATCCCTGTTGATCCCCTACTATCGACCGGACGACGTAATAAGCGACAGTTCGCAGCCTTTCGCCTCGACGACGGCGATCTTCTCCTGGTACTAGCTTCTTCTTGCTTGACGATCTTCCGTACTGGCTCGAAGATCTCTGAGTAATACATGTTTTGGACATTTGACAAGAGCCTGATTGGCAGACGAGGACTTTGAGATATGAAGGTCATTGTGCGTTCCTGTTGAGATGCGTGTTGAGAGTGCGGGCCCGAGACGGTTGCGAGCGACGACGGAGGAGAAGCATGTGCCAGAAGTGGAAGAGGTACCGCAGCCGCAGACGTCGATGGCGTTCGGCGTTGGCCTGCATCCTGTTAGCCATTCACCTGGCCGTTCGCTCTCCTTCTCCTTCGGCCGACCGGTCTCTTACGCTGGGCGCTACGCCTGTATAACGCTAAAGCCCGATGCGTACCATGCACGGTAGCAGCCGTCTTTCTTCGGGCGGCTGTGGCGTCGGCGGGGACCCGCAAACGTACACAGTCGGGCGCTCACAGGACAGGAGGTCGATGCAGCCACGCCCGCCGCCGATCATCGGGCTGCTCTTCTCTTCGGGTCTGCCGCTGGTTGTGCCGAGGGCTAGCGGCGCGATAGGCCAGCGCGTCGGCGCACGCTTTCCCCGCGGCGCTGACGTCGTACTTCGCCGTTGCCTGCTCAATATATCTCGACTTCCTTCGTTGGTGTTTATGCATTCTTCTAGCTCGCCTTGCCGACGCCTTGTCGAAACAAGACACCAGCGCGCGCCCTGCGCTCTACTGACTTCCATGTACGTACGTACGCGAGCGGCGAGCAGTTTTTGCGAGATTGGGTTTGGTTTTGCGCCCTTACTTTTTTGCTTAGGGCGGAGAGTTGGTGGCCCGTCTCGCCTCGAGGCTCGCGCTTTTTCGGATTGGTTGGTTGATAGAGCGAAAGCTTATTCTTGTCTAGTATTGTCAACTTGCCTTCTACTCTACATACGCTCTGATCAATGATGATTCTTTTGTTGAAGGCTTGTTGAGCCCAGACGTCGTGGCGCTGAGACCGCGTATTCTTCGCCTTGTTTCCACAGCCCGGTGGCTGAGGTTCTCGAAAGTCTAGAAGTATGAAGCTGTGGCCTGAGTTTTTGTCTGTTGGCCGAGCGTAATGCATCAACCATTCCTGTCCTTGTGCGTTTTGTGGCACTGAGACCCGTGATACGAGGTAATGCCTCGAGCTGCTACAGCCTGCAGTCATCTGCTTCGGCCATTTGTCTCTGTCTTCGTCATCCTCCTCCAGGCTGACAACGGAGAGTCCAGTGGCGCAAGTGATAGACGACGCCGCGACGCCCGTATTATCCCTCGCCAGGGCGATGTGCCTACTCCGCTGACCGCACCTCTATCCAATCTCACACATCATTCATACAGCTCTGCTCCATAGCAGTCCGTGAGTACGTCGCGATCTGGCCCTTAGCGCACCGTATGCATCATACTCATCTGCTCACACAGAAGCGCGTAATACAAGCATGAAGCGCGCACAGATGCGGTTAAGCGTCTCACAGTCGTGCCTTCTTGGGCGTCTATAGCTGTGGACCGACGCTACGCCATGGTCTGCTGCCCGCTCTCGACCGTAGCCTGCGCACGACGTAGAGGTCATGATCATAGACATATCTCCGCAGTGTTCTCGTTCTCCTAGCTGATACGTTCGAGGTCGTTCGACGGGCGTCATGTTCTCTCGGATGCATTGCGCGGTATCGTAGATTGAGCTTGAGGTTCGTACTTGAACACGACGTCATGTTGCCCATGTTGAGCTGGTTTGTTCCCGGTGTTCAAAAGGGTCATGATGCAAGGTGCGCTTCCAGATGCTTCCGTATACGGTGTTTGCTGCCCGTTGACCAGGGGATCTAGACCGCCGCTGGAGACCATAGCACGAGGATCACTACGGCGCGGAAGAATAAACCTCGGCGCGTCATGATCTACTTCAAGATCACTTGTCAGTTCTGGTTCTATGGCCGCTGTTGAACATAACGCCGCATACCAACGGACGTCCATTCCGCGACAGCATGTGCTTCTATGAAGTCTGTATCATGTTCCGAGTCGCTCATGTGCGCGTACAGCCAGGCCCTCAGGCCTTAGGCATCCTCATGACATTGATATTTCCATTCGGTTCCGTCACACGGAAGTGAAAGACATGTCGTCGTGTGCCTGTTCAATGGGATGTCTTTCACTGGCCGATCGCTTTTATCTTATCTAGGCAATCGGGTCTCGCGCGGGGCGACTGTGCACCTTGTGTCTCGAGGATACTCCTGGCCGTCGATAACAGCCTCGCCGCATGCTCATGCCCGCTGTCGTTCAGATCGTTGCGACATACGCTACGCCACGACGCCGCTGTGGGTCGTTCATCCGAGCGTTCATTCTAAACTACCGAGTCGGATGGGCGAGGCAAAGAGGCGTGTGGCACTTTACCTCGAGATAGAAGGGCGACCTCGCGTACGCAAGGGGCTTCTCGCTCGGAGAATAACGCCTGGCGTATTGGGCTCTCATAGATCTCACTGGCGGTGGCAGAACACGCCGGCAACCTGCGCTCGAATGAGAAACGACCGTGTACCGTGTACGTTTTTGCCACATCTCCGTCCTTCACATGCACATCGACAGAGCAGCTTGCTCGTCCAATGGATGGCCCGCCTCGCTTTCTGACTTCGGTGCCGCGGCCGTAGTTGGCAGATCGTAGGATTGGTCGCCAAGCGACTCCCATCCCATCGCTCCTTCCATCTATCGGCATCCTCGAGCCTTCTGTTCTCATGCGCCATCGGAAGAGTCCGATGGCGTGTGTGTATATTCCCGCCGCGGCTTTGCAGGCTGCAGATAGCGACCTATAGGAGCGTCTGGGCTCTGATGGTAATGACGGCGAGTTTTGAATTATAAGCATTTAGGCTATAGCGGACGTGGTCATGGCGCATACAAACGCATACATCGACCCATCACGCGAGTGGATTGGGGTTCTCTGACGTGAAGGAAGTACGCTTCTGCACTTGGCACGCTACTGAATACAGTAGAGCTCTCTAGACTCCTATGTATGGGACTGTAGATCAGCCTCGAACCGATTCGGCACGTCCGTCGGCCGTACGTCTTCAACTTCTCTCCGTTCTGGCCGTTCTGGCCGTGTAGCGATGACGCTCACACACGCGCCGATAGACGTACAAAGAGCGCTCGAGACGACGCGTGACCCGTACAATATATCCCCATGCTCAAGCTAGCTTGTGGGCGATGGGTGTGCCGTTCAACACAATGTAACTCGTGACGCTCCGTTGTTGTTTAGCCGGGCAGAGTTGGTTGGTGGACTCTGGTTGTGACGTTTATGCGATGGGCATTGGTCGGGATTGTATAGATGGTCCTGGTGTACACCCTAGCGCCCAATTTCATGCCGCAGGCTTGCATGACCTCTGGATTGGACACCGATGGGAGCTTCAAGAAGTGCGTAGGGTTCAACAGTTGTTGGAAGTGGCGGACATACGTGTGTACGGGATACGTCACCTCGCTCATCGCCGATTTGCACAGGTGCCGCCTTCGCGAAGCATATGGGTGTGTGTAGTACAGCGCTGCTGCCTGTGTGGTCCTGATGAGGCGAATCCGGTACGATCGGACCGAGCGCGTTCACGCGTCGTTCTCCAGAAGGTTCGCGACGCGTCAACGCGTCGGAGTTCAATAATCGCACGTGGGCGCGTCCAAGTTGCCATCTCAAGCTTCGGGCATCGTCCTTGCTTTCCTCCACCATCAGCTGTCCGTATCTATACCCTCTGAGCTTACTCCGACATGCCCCTGAACTACTCCAAATGGGATCAGCTTGAGGTATGCGCGATCGCGCCGGTTTCCGCGCGCCACAACGCTCACGCGTATCTGTGCAGCTCTCAGATGATTCAGACATCGAGGGACACCCGAATGTCGATAAGAAGTCACTCATTCGGTAGATACTCCTCATTATATTTCGTTGGAATGGGTCCTGATGCATAATGGTGCAGATGGAAGCAGCGGGACATCCACGAGAAGCGCGAGCAGCGCAATATGCGCATCGCGGCGCTCGCCGCCGAGATCGACTGTAACGAGATCCTACTCGCGCGCCTGAAGAAGCTCCAAGATGAGCTCACCAACTCGACCGATATGCCCGCAGCCAAACGCTTTTCCAATGAAGTAGATCGTCTGCGCACATCGCCCTCACCAGAAGCACCGCCTGTCGAATCCGCGCAACCAGTGCCGTACGACGAGATGATCAGACGATTGTTGGAGGTCGTAGCGAACGAGGCGCGGGAGGACGTTGATAAGAAGGGGAAGAAGGGGGATGAGGAGAAGTTGGGAGAGGTTATAGGCGAGAGGCTCGCGTATCATATTGAGAAGCTGGGTGGGGTGGTTGAGACGAGTAAGAAGGAGAAGACGCAGTTGGAGGAGGAAAAGAAGAAGACGATCACGACGGAGGATATGCATGAGGGATGGGACAGCAAGGTTCGTCTTTCATCTGCGTTCCGCGTTGAGAAATACTTATCTTTGCCTAGTATGTGCCTGCGAAACCTGAGCCTGCACCGGTTGTGAAGCCCAAAGCAAAGGCAAAGGAGACGACGCAGACGATTGAGACGTTGAATGCAACCTCTTCATCTTCATCTGCTCCGGCAGCGTCCTCCTCAAGCGCCGGTGCCGACGACGTAGATGACCTACCTACGATGACGCCCGAGCTGAAGGAGTTCGCGAAGCTGCCGCTTTGGGACTTCCAGCGGAGCTGGGACTTCATCAAAGAGCATCGTGCCGTAGTCGTCGAGGGCGCAAGCGATGCGCTGCTTGTCGAGGCATTTGAGGCTGAGACGCGCGGTGACAAGAAGCTTGCGAAGAAGGCTGTTCATCAGAGTCTATTGCTACAATACGGCGACAAGTTGGGTACGGATGGTCTGAAACTCTTCTTCCAGAGGTCGGCGTTTCGCTTGCTCTTCATACACGCAGACACTGATTGATGCCTTCATAAGGATGATCTCTGGCGGTCAGAAGGCCCACGCTGTATTCGCAAAAGACGTCGAAGAGACGTACGCGCACATCGCCATGCGCGTCGAGGCCACAAGGGAGGAGACGGCCAACATCGATCCCGGCGCCGAGCAAATCCAACTCGTCGCAGAGAACCCGGGCGTCGAGATCCATTTCAACGTGCCAGACGGTCCTCCGCCCGAGCATCTTGTGCTCGAAGGGCCCGGTACAGAAGGTCTTGACATCGAGGAAGTCCGCAAGGCGCTGCAGAGGCGCTGGGACATCTTCTCGAGCTTCAAACCCGAGATGCAGACGGCTTTGGCGGGAGGGAATCTCGACGATGTGAATAGGGAGCTGGGGAAGATGAGTGTTCCGGATGCGGAGGAGCTTGTGGCGCAGTTGGACGAGGGCGGGATCTTGAGCTTTGCTGAAGGTGGTATCCGCGATGAGACGCAGGGAGCGGGAGACGAGGAAGAGGCGGAAGAGGCGGAGGCTGCTGCGTAGGTCTGGTCGTGTGTGAGGAAGCAAAATACGTTTGTACAGTTGGCATCTTGCTGTGTATCACCTTTGCAATTGCTGTTGTGAATTAATTGCACTTGTACGGTCTCTGCCAGGTGCTGTCGCAGACTCAGCATGTGACTGCAGTGTGCAGTGCGCGATAATCTGGCACTTACTTTGTAACGTGTACAGCAAGCTACAAGGCCGTCTCCGACGGGTTCGATATTCATCGCACCATATGTTCCGCTGCCTGTGCTTCCAATAATTACCGCACGCCGTCTTCACACCTTGGGCAAACCCATGCGCATCGTACGTTTCGCTCTCACTGGGATAGATGTAAAACACTATGCAGTGCACTGCATGGATTTCAAATGGACGCCACGGTCCATGAGAATGCTATATGCGCGCTGTTGGGTCGCACGATGCGCTCGGTCGCTGAGAACATTGAAACGTCTGAATGATACGACACGCAAGGAAGGCATTCATCTGCCCTCGGCATTCCGGAGGTTGCTTGCACAACGCGTAGTGAGTAAAGATGTATCTAGGAGATGTGTTGCGCGCTGTTGTCTTGCAAACGGCGGAGCTGCGCCGTCCGAGATGAATGGATGGTGATGCAACGAGAAGTGTGAGCCGCGTGGACGAAGCAATTGACCCGAGACGAAAGAGGAAGGTACGGAGAACTTGCACTTCGCGCCGCATAGTTACAGCTTGAAGATCGCAGGATTCTGAACTTCGACATCCACATATAACGAAGAAATGCAATTCTGACAGAGCCTTATAGGCAGAAGGTGTATCACGAAGCTGGCTCTATATCTGCCGACTGTTCGGGGAGACCATGTAAGCCGACTGTATACGTGTCGCAAGATATACGATCAGATCCGGTGTAGGCACTGCGCGGCCGAGCTAAGCAGAAAGAAGATGGTGGCGGGGAGCAAGGGGCGCGGACACTTCCGAAGCGGATGACAAGGCCAGGCAGAGAGTCGCGTGCGCTGCTGGTCATTAACCACCACCAAGGGCGCAGCTGGTCTCTCCCTGCACCTTACTTCCTGTCCTTATTCGTTAACACCCACCACCGCCCTACGCCAACATGTCTTGGAGGCTCGGAAAGAAGAAGGCGTCCGGACTGGCCGCAGCCGACGACGGGGCGAGCATGCGGTCCATCACGCCGACGCCAGGCGACGACCGGCACGCGCTCCCCCGCACCGGCATCCTCTCCATCCGCGTCATCAACGCAGAGGGCCTCGCCGTCCCATCAGGCCAGACGCTCTCGGCTGCTGTCCAGGCCGCGCTCAAGTCACAGCAGGCGCAGGTCGCCGCTAGCATGTCCCCCTCCTCCGTCACCCAAGACAGGCTCTCCGCAGTAGGCCACACAAAGCGCAACTCCGTACAGCGTGCGCAGTGCTGGTGGCTTCCTTACCTCGTCATGGAGTTCGAGGTCAACCAGATCCTCATCACACCGCTCGGCGGAGAGCTCGCAACGCCGCTGTACATGTACCAAGCCCACTTTGACGTGTCGCGCAACTCGGAGATTTCCATCCAGGCGTACATTCGTAAGGATGAGCCTGGACGTGGCGCGGAGGGTGGACACGATGTCGGGAACGACCTTCATTTGGGCGGCATTTCGTTCATGCCTGACCTCGACAATATGCCGAGCCAAGACCAGTGGTACGAGTTGCAGGGCGGCGCAGGGAAGATCCTCATCGGGGTTGCCTTCCAGCCGAACACTGTACGTACCAAATCCTTCCTCTTGTCCTTAAGTTTGATTTTCTTACGTTTATTTTCTCCGAATAGGGGCATACGCTGACCATCGATGATTTCGAACTCATCACGGTCATCGGCAAGGGCAGCTTCGGCAAGGTCATGCAGGTCCGGAAACGCGATACGCAGCGGATCTATGCTTTGAAGACTATTCGCAAGGCGCATATTGTGAATAGGAACGAGATCACGCATACGCTTGCTGAACGTCTTGTTCTGGCACGTGTGCATTGTCCGTTCATCGTGCCGCTCAAGTTCAGCTTCCAATCCGAGCAGAAGCTGTACCTGGTCCTTGCGTATGTCCATATCAACGATCATATTGTACACGATACTAATGTAACCGCAGCTTCGTCAACGGTGGCGAGCTATTCCACCACCTCCAGCGTGAGCACCGGTTCAACGAGGATCGCGCTCGCTTCTACAGTGCGGAGCTGTTATTGGCGCTGGAGACATTGCATGAACTCGACGTTGTCTACCGCGACTTGAAGCCGGAGAACATCTTGCTAGACTACAATGGCCACATCGCGCTGTGCGACTTCGGTCTGTGCAAGCTGAACATGAAGAATGAGGACACCACCAACACATTCTGCGGTACTCCTGAGTACCTTGCGCCGGAGATTCTCACCGGCTCAGGTTACAGTAAGTCCAACAACCACTCGATCATTGAACGTCTGCTGATCTTCTTTCGTAGACCGCACGATCGACTGGTGGACGCTCGGTGTTCTGCTCTACGAGATGCTCTCCGGTCTCCCGCCCTTTTACGACGAGCAGACGGACAAGATGTACGAGAAGATCTTGAAGAACCCGCTCACGTTCGGCGACGAGATCGGCCCCGAAGCGCGCTCGGTCCTCACTGGCCTTCTCAACCGCGACCCCACCCAACGCCTGGGTGTGAGCGGTGCCGATGCGATCAAGAAGCACCCGTTCTTCGCAAAGATTGACTGGAATCTGCTTTGGGCGAAGAAGATCCAGCCGCCATTCAAGCCGTCCGTGTCTTCCCCGGTCGACGTGTCCAACTTCGACACGGTGTTCACTGCCGAGGCGCCGATGGACTCGGTCGTCGAGGGCTCACAGCTGTCGAAGACCGTGCAGCAGCAGTTCGCCGGGTTCAGCTGGGACGGATCGAACATGCCCGTCGACGCTTAAGCGCTAGATCACCTTGCAATGTCCCCTACTCTATAACTCCGTTTTGATTGCTTGCTTTTATCATCGCTGTCTAGTCCCATCTCTGCGCATCTACCATCATACATATCTGACTCCCTCGCATCTCATTTTCGTCTCGTACATACTCTACGCTCCTTATCCTGTCCCACTAGTACCCGCCCTCAACGGCTGCCCGTAGCCTTGCCACTCCCTTGTTATTCAAACATATATAATCCCGAGTTTCTCTGCCTCTGAACGGCTCCACACCTCCATCATCATCATCTCATCGCATCTCGGCTCAGACACGTTCGCGTTCAGTCGTACCTAGCCTCAGACTCCATTGTACTTATTTACAGACAGCTCTAATCCAGGTCGATCGGTTTCCTTTTGGACATACGTGGCATTGCGGCCGCGCAGAAGAAGCGAGGCGGCGCTTTGGGCCAAAGACCTCTTAGTGGCGCTTATTCAGCCACGAACGTCACGAATCAACCCAGTTGTCGCGCGGCCAGCTCTGCGTCCTCCACGTTCCTGGAACTCACTCTCATCCTCCTCCCTCCCAAGCTTCGGCCATGTCCGTCCTGCTCAACCCGTCGAGCACGCTCGGCTTTAATCGTCAGTATCTCTCGCGAGTATTTTGCTGGTTGATGGGTTGCAAACGTGCGGTGGATCGGGCGCAGGTCCTCTTACGCAGAATGTTAAGCGCACGCTGCAAATCACGAACCCGAGCCCTCAGCCGGTCGCTTTCAAGGTCAAGACTACCGCTCCTAAGGTGTGTACTCTTGACAATACTGCCATGCACTATATCTGAGCATGTCGTATAGTTGTACTGCGTACGACCGAACTCTGGCAAAGTCGAACCGAACGAGACGGTCGAGGTGCAGGGTGTGTGGCCACGCCCCTCTCCCCTATCACCCATTAATAACTATAATGTCCCCTCCCGTGATACAGTGATGCTGCAGGCGATGAAAGAAGAGCCGCCTCTGAACGCCAAGTGCAAGGACAAGTTCCTGATCCAGAGCACGCTCTTGACGCCCGAAAAGGAGGGCCAGGATATCGTGCGTGCGCGCGTGGCTTGGATTGCTGTGCTTCCTTCCCCCTTGCTGACTGAGCATTCGCGTTTGGTAGTGGTCGCTCCCGGAGACGGACGAGGCTTCGAAGATCCATTCGCAGAAGATCAAGGTTGCGTATCTCGCGCCTGAGGGCGCTATCGAGGAAGAGGACGAACCTCGCCCGTCGTCGATCACTCAGGATGACTTCAGCGTACGTTATATGTGTTTATGTAGTAAACGTATACGGTTAACTAAATGTGATGCACAGAAATATGGTACCGTCAAGACGCAGCCGCCCGCGGAACCGAGCCGCATCGTCGAGCGCGAGATCACGCCCCCAGCAGACTTCACCGCCGCACGCGAAGAGCCGCACATCGAAGAGATCCGCGCGATAGAGAACCAGTCTCCAGCCGTAGGCGTCGTAAACGTGAACGTGCACCACCCCCCTCCCGCCCCCTCCCCACCCGTCGCAATGCCCGTCCCAACACCCGCTCCGCCGCCCGTGACCGTGCCACCGCCCGTGGACCCCAACCCCGAACTCGAGGCCAAGCTCGCAGACGCACAAGCCGAGATCCAGCGCTTGCGCCAGTTGCTGGCGGCTGTGCCCGACCCGTCGTCCGTCGCTAGCTCCGGCACTACGCCCACTGAACTGCGGAGGCGTTACCGCGGTCCGCGCAGCGACGACGGGACGACGGAGGTCGCGAGCGACGCGGGCGAGACGTATGTGTCGGAGTATTCGGCGCCGGAGGGCGTGCCGCTGCAGGTCGTGGTGATCATTGCGCTCATTGTGTTCATCATGACATATCTGTTCTTTTGAGTCCCCCCGCTTGCCCAGCGTCGGGCTCGACTGGGGCTGGGAAAATGCAGACGCAGTGTTGCTGGCCCCGGATGGAAGGGGACGTGGTCGGGGCTGGAGGCGGAGGTGGTGATGGACTTCGACGACTGGACCTGCTCACCCGTCTACTTCGACGACTGCCCTTCTCCTACCGTCCTCATGTTCATTAACTGATACTCAATTCTCTCTCCCAACGATATATCTTCCTTGTCTATTAACACATCTCCCTCTCCTTGTTCCTTCTCATATCTTCTCGCTTCAACTATACATATCGGGACTCGCTGCCGTCCGTGTGTACATACGCTCCCTCTTCTCCCCCTCATCTGTGACTGTCTCCTGTTCTTACCTACCCTAGGTCGTCTACTTCTGACTTGTGTCCTGTTTCCGTAGGAATGATACCTGGTCTGCTCTCTCATTCTTCGGCGACGCAACCTACAGCGAATGTTGTGTCTGCATGCTACCGAAGCTTGTAGCTTGACCGGATGGCAGGTATGCTCGACAGTCGAGATCATGATGACTTGCACCGAGGTCGGACCCCGTTCTCAATGCAGGCTGTCTCAAGATACGCGTCCTGATCGCACAATGGTTCCAAGCGATCAAAAGGATAGACTGCAAGATATGAAAGAACGAATTACACGACTACATATGTACCGTGTGTAAAGTACAGATAAACAAGCGAGCTGGGACTTGCCCGAGCGTGTATATAACGACAAGCCAAAGCGCTGCACTGAATACGAACTTAGCAACCCAGTTCAACTCGATGAGGACCAGGCAGAAACTCACTTGAAGGCGGACCTCATACCGCATCGCCCTTTCCTCCGTTGTAGTAGGACTGCGGAGAGGTGTCGTAGACTGTGACGTCGCCCTTCGAGTCGACGCGGTCTGAGAGCTCGTGCGACTCTACGTCGATGTAGACCTCGGGACGGACGGAGTTGGTGAAGGAGACCATCTGTTCCGGGCCCTGCGAGAGTGTTCAGCAGACAGTACATCAGCCAACGCGGGATAGACCTACCATGCGACCGGCGTGAGGAGACTTTTGCTGGGCGACTCGGTTCTCTGATGTAGAGGTCGTTCCGCCGTTGAGGCTTGAGCGGGCGTTCAATGAGGAGAGAAGACTGTTCGAGTACAGCTTCGCTAGTGGGAAGTTGAAGATGAGGTGCCTGGAATGAATGTCAGCTGGTAGATCGTGGTATAGTGTCGTGAAGTGCGTACAGTCCTGTAGGCTTCAGGGGGGTGTCAGCGTTGTGCGAGGTTCTGGTTTGAACAGCGACTTACAATGGCGAGGAAGACGGCGAGATCGACAATGGCCCAGACAGAGGTGATGAGACCGGTCTGAACGGTCACTATCTTGGCTCAGCCGATGTCGGGGTCTATCAAAGGCAAAGGCACTCACAGCGGATGATCTTCGACAGCACATCGTCTGTCCGTTGGAAGCCTGTACGATGCTTGCGCTACGATTGAGCAGAATTAGTTGACATGGATCTGGGCATGCGAGTCGACGCTCACCAAGTGGTATGTCAAGAACCCGGTGATAGTGGTATCAACTAGCGCGCTCGTCACGAGCCAGACGATGACGGGAGCCTGAGGACGGTCAGTCGGGTTGGATTAGAGATAGGGAATAGAGCCTCGCACCTCGAACCTCTGGAACTCGAGCCAGTTGGGCACGATGCCGATGGCTATTGAAACAGCAACGCCTCCAACTATGAGAAACGTCAGTGATAGAACAGGCGCGTAGAGAATGTCACGTACGCCCAGAGATGACGGCGCCCAGATACAAGAGGATGGCTACCCAAACATTGCCAGTGAGGACCTTGACCCGCCTATCGAACTCGAGTCAGGATCGACGCTGGTGACCCTTGAGTCAAGAGGCAGTTACTCACCATGCGAAGAAGACTTGGACCATGCTCGCAATCAGAGACTGGATAGAGATCGTCGTTCAGTAGACTGAGTTCACGACGAAGCGTAGGCACTCACCCCCATAGCTGGGTCTGTTGCGAACACCCAGTTTGCCGTCGCGATGGCGGCGGGGTCATCTGGAAGACGTTTAGAGTTCGGCCTGGATAGCTTGGGACAGGAAGACGTACCGTAGTGAAGCACGAGTGCGTCGTATATGTACACGACGTCGAAGACGGAGTCTGTCAATAGAGCTTAGTGGTAAACTCTTCAAAGCAACGTACACTACTCACTCATCGTGTCTGCCACGAAAATAACGAAGACCTATACTCTGGTCAGCGAGAGTATGAGGTGCACAGAGAGCGATGCACGCACCAACGCCTTCAGGATCCATCGATCTTGCTTGAACGTCGAGACGTAGAAGAACGTCTGTGTCAACGAGATGCCTGGTGGTGACGGCGGCCTCAGCTAGCTGGGCGCTACACAATCTGACCGTCTTTGCGCACCGTAGAGCAGAACGTTCAAAATCGTTCCGATCAGAATTGGTCCGTGACTGTATAGGACGGTCAGCGTGAGCAATGGAAGAACAGACTGGAACACGTACACGATGGGGACGACGTTCGGGGCTGGTGCTGACATAGTCGAATATACACACACACACTCGGTTCAGCTCTCAGAGCGGGCGAGTAGGAGCGGAGGATGGAGCAGAGGTATTCCTATATAACGTCAAAGGTCGTCCCGGAGACTCGGAAGCGCCCGAGAAGTACGGCCATCGAAATGCAGGATCATCAGAAAGAAGTGTACATTTGTTATAATAGAAGTCCTTCCCTTGATCGTACTTGAAACGGTTCAAAGTTACAACTAGGTGCGTGCGCTGCAAGTGGCCAACTGTCTCGGGGTGCTATGTCCGGAGTAGGGCTTACCAGGGATATATGACTGGCGGCAGGGACAAGTTTGGGGCTGCCCGGGGTGAACCGTACGTCGACATAGAACTGGTTATGTCAAAGTTCGCATACGGCCTAGTGAGGCCAGTACGCTCCCAGGATCGATCAACCTCCAAGCGAACATCTGTGCTTACGACTCGGTGGCGAAGCGAGCATCGCGGTGAACTTGCTCGTCGCGATGGACACCTAAACTCAAAGCCGCATGTGAACCTCCTCCACCTTCCCATATGGGATTGCATGCATGTGGTGCAATGAGCGTGCTCTGCAACAGGACCTCTCACACAAACTTCACGCCGCAGACAAGTTTCTCGGACGGACCAACTCGAAGCCTTGGGCGGCGCAAAATGTTGGTGGCTGTGGAACAAGCCGATAGATTTGTCCCACGTATGCCCAACGGAGGACTGTATCATGAGAGGTGGCGTAGACCTGCGGGTCACACAGCCATATATCACGCCAACCGTGCTGAATGGCTAAAGGTTGAACATATTTGCCACTGAGTTGGTGTTCGGCCGGTATGCCCGTCGCTTGTCCGTCGCGAACGAGATGATGTAGGCCAACAAGAACTCCCCTGTAGTCGAAGTAGCAATACGAGCTGCTCCTTCGGGAAGCCTCTAGCGTTTCTAAGAACTAAGCGACACAGATTTGCGCCCGCCAAATCTTCTGCATAGCCATGCGAGGAATGCAAAGCATCATGGAGGGCATCCGACGACGGAACTCCACGTAGAGGCACTCTGTCTCCGCGGGAGACCTGGCTCAGTAAGCGTACGAGCTAGCGCAGTAGGCTTGAGAAGTGATGGCTCATACTGAACCCCCGAATAGCATAGGCGCCCAGGGTAAATTGTAGCGCATAGTCTGTTGCCAAAAAGACAATAGCGCGCCGGTACGAAGCTAGAGAATTTGAGGAAAGATATCCAGGCGCAGGAGCCCGGTCGCGGGGTGAGTTTGCACGAGAAGAACTAGGTCAAGTACTCCGGTTATGACATAGGACGTGGTTGTAGCGAGTTGAATAGTCGCTCGGAGTCGGGAGCCCGGAGCAGCTCGGATGTTGACACGTGGAGACGCGTGGGTTCCATTGTACCTTGTGAGCCTCGCGGCGTTTTGCCAGGTCATTGTTCTCTCCTCCCAGCATGGCGTACGATGGCTGTAAGATGTCCGCCACTCCATTGGGACCTCTTGTGCTCTCTCAGAGTAGAGACTGATGCACCTATTTCGCCCACAGAGCTAGATCGGTCTTCTCGACGCTGCCTTGGCATTCGCGAGATTTCCGCGTACACTGTCACTGTCTCAGGCCTACCGCTGGGGACATGAAGTGCATGGACGGTTGAACATCCAGACGGATAGGCCTCATTCGTCTAGAATAAGGCTCCTACTCATGCTGAGCGTGAATTCGGAGAGAGGGTATGCTGACCAATCACAATGCATTCTTGAATGTTTGTCAGTAACGGTCCCTAGCGGGCCGCGCATGATTGGGCTCTCCTGCTCTCTGTCGCGTCTCAAGCTGAGGGTTTATCTAGCGTGCATGAGCGCTTCTTGCACAGACCCGAGCGTCAAATCCGGCATAGAACTCAGGTCTCAGCTACGGATATGCATGGAATATGGTACGGGATAATGGTGGTGGTTACTCCAAAGAAAACCACACTTGGTCCTCGATAAACCGACCATGGCAGCCCCTTCACGTGATGCCTTCATTCGTTCTCCGAACGTCGACCTTGGTTATAACCACACTCACCTTTTCTCTCTCTTGCCCCCACCATTTGCTTGACTCAATCGCCACCGTCGAAGACAGACAAGCATGCACCCAGACTTCGCCGCCCATGTGGTGGCCTCGTGTCTATACCAACACGCACTCTCAACCAATATTTACCCAGCCATCATCTTCAATCTCATCGTCATACTTTCTATCGTCGCTGCCAACAATGTCGGCTACATCACCTTTCGCCCTCGTGCCGCCTACGTCGCTCCTACCGAGCAGCCAAACCCTCCCGTCGTCCCCTCGACTGTCTGCCACTGCAACCACAAGAAAAATGTCGCCGACCTCCGCGCAAAACTGGCACTCGCCAAGGCTGAGCTGAAGGATTCCTCCACCGAGATCGACCTCTACAACATCGACCTCGACGCAATGCGTACGCAGCTTGCGGCAGAGACCGCCCGAGCGGATATGGCGTCTTGCAAGGCGGATGTGGTTTGCGACAAACTACTCGGATTTCAGCGCGCGCTCATCGCAGCGAACGCTGCTGTCGCCGCCGCCAAATGTGAGGCCACCACGGCCAGCAAGAAGCTCGATGACTCTCGCGCCAGCTTTGGCAAGGCGAACCTCGACGTCGCCCATTATCGGCAAGAACTCGCGGTGGCGCGCGGTGAATTAGAGGTCTCCTCAACCACCACCCTCGCCCTGCAGAAAGAGCTCGATCGTGCTCGTGCAGACGCCGCCGCCGCTCGTCAGGAAGTAGCCACCGTCCAGCAGACTGCCACCACCGCCGAGGACGCCATTGCTGCTACACGCATGGACCTCGCTTCCGCGCGAGCTGACGCCGACGAACTCGCATTCCAGTTGAAGGATGCGCAAACTACGATTATCAGGCTCGAAGCTCGCAACGAAACCGCCAATGCACGCTTGAAGCAAACCCGCCAGGAGCTCGCGAACATGAAGGCGGACAGCAGTGTCCTTCTCCGGTCATACGATGCTGCCGACGCAGCGGCCTTTGTCATGGCACATGCTGTCCGCGTTGCGGAGCTAGCTCAACTTCGCGAGAAGGAAGCGACGTTCGATAACTTCAAGAGCATATACGCGCAGAAGTCGATGTCCGAGGCGCAGGCCCGGAGCCAGGCTACCGGGCTCCAGGAGAAGTTAACTAAGCTCGAGGATAAAGTGCGTCCCTTCCAGCGCTTCATCGTGTGACTACATACTGACGTCTTCCTGCAGTACTCGCAGCTATCGCAACACCATATGAAAGTCTTTTTGGAGCAGGCATCTACGCAGATGGAGGTACGCTATTGCATTTCAAGATGAATACTGTATACTCATTCCCACTCGTAGATCGATAAGCTCCGCGCCAGAGAGCTCGAGTTCGAGCTCGACAACGCTAAACTCACTCGTACCATCGAAGAACGCGACGCGCTTCAAAAGACAGTCAACCAACTGACTGCCGAGGCTGCCGTCAGCAAAGACAGACATGAGCAGGCCCTCGCCATGCAGAAGTGTATGTCAAACCAGTCTATGTCCGAGCACATGCATCTGACTCCTTCAAAGCGCGCATCAGCGAGGCGGAGAAGGAGACGTCAAGGCAAATCAATCTTGTCATTGCCGAGCGCGACCGTGCTCAGAACGAGGCCTACGACCTGTCTCTCCGGAACAAGAACCTCCAAAGCGAGACAGCCGATCTTCGCAACGAGGTGTCTACGCTCAAGGACAAACTACGCGTGAGCGAGGCCGCGCGCGCTACTGCAACACAACAGGCCGAGTGCGCCGCGCTCGAACGCAGTCTCTCCCGCCCTCTTGCGCGTATCGAGGCAATCGCTCTCCAGGATAAGCTTGCCGAGCGTGACGCCGAGATCCAAGATCTGCTTGATCAGATGAACGCTGCATGCCCGCCGCGCGCGCCCACGCCGGAGATCTCATTCGCTCCTGCAGCCAGCCAATCTGGATATCAGCTGCCATTGACGCCCGCAGGCTCACTCGAGCTCGTTGACGACCGTCCGCTTCCTACGCCACCCATCACCCCTGCCGGAGGCGTTGTCTTGCGTTCTCCCGAACGAGATGCCTGGGAGACCCCTCTGGAGGATGATGATGCGCCCGTATCGCCCCCTCGCCCGGTCACACCCGCCGCCACAACTCCCATGCGTATCCCAATGCGCATCGGCGTCCCGCCCTCTCACCGATCTCCCTTGGCGGAGCTCTTCGCCTCTATCCCTCAAGCACCTGTGGGACCGCCCTCACCTGTTCCACGGCCATCGACCGTCAAGCCTTCGCACCTCGGACAATCGCGCCTACCGCGCCTGATGGGGACGCCGCGCCACAATGCCACCATCGCCCAATTCCACCCGAACGTCGTCCCCTCACCCGGCCCCGCTCTGCGCTCACCTGCATCCGTCCCGCTTCCCGCTTCCCCCCCTACCGGCAGCGTGAACGGGACACCGGTGAACCGTCCTAGCTCGCGCAACGTACCAAGGCGCTCAAACGAGAACGAGGCTCTCAATGCTACGCCGCGATACACCGGTCTACCTAAGCCCCGTCCAGCGTTCAGTGCTACCTCTTCGCCCGCCGTCAAGCCTCCGCCGCCATCCACTGGTCCTAGGAAGAGCCTCAAGCAGAGCCCTAGACCGCCGCAGTCCACTGGCCCCAAGAAGGGGCTCAAGGAGCGGTGAACGCGCAACGACGGCGATCGACCTCCTGAGATCGAACATACCGCACCTTGCGGCGCATACACTGCGCGCGCTACACAGGTAGCCCGGCTCACACCCGGCTTCGGCTGGCGAACAGCGTTCGCGCTGACGGCCACCCCATCGCCTTGGGTCTCCGGGCCAGGGATACATCGGGCCTCTGCCTGCCCTGCTCTTTTTCTCTTTCTTTTTCTCTCCATCATTGTCTCCTTGTAGTCTCATCTCTTGTATCTCGTGAGCGCTCCTCCAGGCAGGGACCTATTCCCACCGATGAAGAGTTGTAGCACCCACTACTGTAGAATGTCCCCCCGCCTCGCATGACGAGCCGAGGAGGGACAGCATTCTTTCTTTACGTCTCGGTTCTGCTTAGTTTGCTCGTGGCCTGCGCACGCATCTTGAATGACAGTTTCAGCTCTCATCTCTCCTTACACCCCGTGCGCCTCAAGACCAAGATAGCGTCAAGTATCTCTCAAGTCACAAGTCCCCACGAGAGCTCAAGCCACGCTCGAAACGACGCTGCGCGCGCATACGACTCGCGAAGCCTACCACAGGGTAGACGCCACGACCAAGGTAGTACCACGACCATGACGTGGGGCCTCCGTCACAGCCACATTTGCGCCGGCGCCATCTCCCCTTCAACATCGTTTGAACGCCATGGCCTGTGGTCGCTGCCACACAGCTCTTTCAAGGGCAATGCGTGTGGGTGCATGGTCTCGGCCACAGCCTACTCACGTCCTCCAGCCGCAAGTCACTGAGCAAGGCTCAGCTTCACGACTGGTCACTACGTTTATCTTCGTAGGGGTTGCGCGTGAAGCTTGCCGAAGCTCTGAGACCCAGTATACGCGGGTGCCAGAAGTCACCAGGGGGTATTGAGATTGCGAAGTACTCTAGTACGCCCATATACTTCGTATAGAGTTATAATACACTAGTCGTAGAGTTTGATCGGGTCTTATCAAGTCTCGTTACCCATCCTTCCAAAGACAAATTCGCTAGCGAATCTCGCAGCAGCATCCCTCCGCGCATTCTCGTCGTCGAGACCTTGTACGCCTTCTCTGACGCTCGCAAGCGCACCCAGCACATCCACAAGATCGAACGCCGCTCGAGGGTCGCGCACGTCCGCTTCGCCTTCTCTGATGCCTGCGGCTGAAGCGGCATCAGAATGCACGGGGAGGAAGCCGAACTCCTGCGGGTCGTCCTCAAGAGGATCGGAGAGTGAGCGAGTAGGCCGGAACGGCGAAAAGCCGGGCTCGAAGGCGTGTCCTGGCGCGAGATGCGAGGAGCTGCCGCCTAGGTCGAGCTCTGCATAGTCATGCCTCGCGGAGGCGTCTCCGAACTGGGAGCCCGTCTCAGAGAGCGCCATCCAACCCGCCGCGTCGTCGAATCCCTCGTCCGGTCCAAAGCTACTCATCGAGTGCAGGCTGCCACCCGTGCGCATCGGCGCGAGTAGACCCGCCGAACTGGACTCTGGTAGCGGAGAAGAAGATGTACCAGCGATGGTTGCAGATGCAATCGGAGATAGAGCCGGGACTTGTGGGTCTGCAGATGACTCTGACAGGACGGAGATTGCGGGCGCGGATACGAAGGCGGAGAAGTCGTCGTCGAAGCCGCGCGAGGGTGGCGTCTCGGCAACAGGCGTCGCGTCAGCGGAAAAGCGGGGTGCCCAGGGATCCTTGATTGAGCCCATAGCTGAAGGAGAAAGTGTTCGTAGACTGGCTTCAAGTTCGCTTGTAAACGCGTTGTGCTCGCGCTGCTGGGTATCATCGCCTGCCGTAGTAGAGGTCTCATCGTCATGTTCACCGCTGGCCTCATGCTCGTGAAGATCTTCATTCTCGAGTAGCCACCGCTCGAGCGCCGCCATCTGTGCCGCGCGAGCATGGGCACGAGGAAGCGGTACAGGTTGGTCAGCCATAAGCGCCGCTAGTGTCTGTTCCTCGTCTAACTCGGCGCCGACGTCTTCGACGTCAAGCCCGTCCAGATCTCCATCATCGAGCATCGCGATCTGCTGGCCTAGCGTCGGCGGCTTGTTGGTGCCCGCCGCGCGTTGCATGCTGGGCCACATGATCGTGCTCAGCGCATCGACGACTCGCGAGATGCTGCCAACACCTAGCTCGCCATCTTCATCGACAGAAGAAGGGATTGTCGAAGCTGGAGCAGCGGGCGTAGCCTCAGCGTATTCGAAGCCCGCGTCGGCGAAGAAGGCGTCCGGCCCCTCGGGTGGGTCGTCCGGGTGGGGCGGCTCAGAGCCGAGACCGACAGCGAGGACTACGTCGGGCGCAGCGGCCTCGACGTGTGGCGCGATGTTATTGACATGTTGAGCGTATGGCTGCCAAGGGCATTAGTATGGAAAGAGAAACATGTGCTTCCATGCCCGATGCGGAAAAGAAAGAGTCTGGGTGAAGAGAGAGGGGCGGGAGAAGAGTACACGTACCTCACCACGCTGGAAGGCGAAGATCGTAGCGGGTACGCCCGCAAGTACCCCGGGCGTCCACTGGGCAAGAGAAACGACGCGGAAGCGAACGTCGGCGGTGTAGTACTTGTTCGCGATCGTCCATGGCACATATTCTTCGTTAGACGCCGCATCGGTTTGCTTTATTCCTACTTTCGCGTCAGATGCGCCTGTGGACGTCGGGCGCGCGCATACGAGCGATCAGCGCGTGTGCGTCGGCATCGCGCGGGGCGAGGACGACGATTGTGTGCGACGCGTCCATCGCGGTGAGGACGAGGACGAGGGCAGCTTCGCGCGTCTCCTGCTTTGGAAGCGAACTACGATCTCGGACTCTGCCATCGGACCTCGTGATAGTCGCATTCTCCCTGTCCGAGCTTCAGACTTGCCCACTTCTGTCTACTTCTGAGTTCTGAATGCAAACCTACACATTTGCATGGAGCACACGAGAACATCCGACCGCGTATGTTTGACGTGCGACAGCCTGAGCTTTTGGAAGCTGTTCTTCGCTGTGAACCACGGTCCTCGTCACCGACCCACTGACGCATGGACCCTTCTACGGTGGTTGCGGCCATTGTGAGCTTCGTGCCCTCAACTGGAACTTGTAGAAGCTTCTGTTCGGTCTGAACGTCTTCTTCCATTGCCCGGGCACTCGGAAATAGTCGCATGAGCTGGAACAGCCGCCTGTCTGCCGGAATGGGTGTATGTCTGCTGTCTGGGGAGCGCGTATCAATGCATAGCCGGCTCTACTTAAACTTTGCGAGCGAATTGCTCATCGACTCTAGTGGCCCGCCCTACATCCCCCTCCTACCGCCATGTCCGCCCCAGGTAACTTCGCCCTCGTCGCGTGAGTCCCGCCAGCTGCGCCACAACCCCTCTTCCTGACCATACCGCCTCACCAGCCACGGGCCGATCTTCATCGGTACCATCCTCAATGTCTGCCTCTACGGCATTTCCATCGCTCAAACCTGTATGTTCACTTGCTCTGCCGCCGGTGATGACCGCCCACTGACCGCCCTACCCTGACAGACATGTACATGCAAACGTACAAGAAGTACGCTACCTATCACCATCTTCTCATCATCATCGCGCTAACGCTGTACGTCCTCAGGGATCGGGTATGGATGAAGATCCTCGTCGGCTTCATCTTCCTCGCCGACACGCTCAATGCCGTCTTCGATGTCGAGTATACGTATAGTTCACTGGTATTGCATTATAGTCAGTACTCCGTCCAGATTCATCATATCCGTTGCTGATTGCCTTTATTGCAGACGACCCAGAGGCTATCCAAAAGGCTACTTGGGGTAAGTCCAACCGCGCGCATCGACTTGACCGGCGCTGAACGAGATACGTTCCTTTAGTATTCGCCACCGGTATGTCTTCCACCGACAACTTCCATTCCATCTAGTACTGATGCTTGTTTGCTATCCGTACCAGATCCAGCTCTGACTGTCAGTACCTGAGGCTCTACCAATCTGGGCTGTGTAGCTTATGCCATATCCAGAGCATCGTCGGCACCACGGTCCAGCTTTTTTTCGCCTGGCGTGTTATGGTTCTCACCCGCAGCTATGTTGCCACTGGTCTACTCGTCGTCGGCTCTATCATCTCGTGTCGTACGTCGTTTCATCATCTGTTCATAAGACACGGCTCATTCCGTCGACTACCTTAGTTGGCGGTATCGCGACGTCCATTGCCATTGGTATCATTCCGGAATGGGAAATGTTCCAGAAGTTCGAGGTTCCGGTCATCATCTGGCTCACCGTATCTGCGCTCGTTGATACCTCCATCACCGGAATCATGGTGTGGCATCTGGTGAGTAGCGGGCGCTCTCCCACGCTTGACGATCTTGCTGACGGATATCCGTAGAGGAAGTCCAAGCGCGGTTTCAAGCACTCAAACGATATGCTCGACCGCATTATCCGCTGTACGTATACTTACTGTCTCGCGTCTCACGGGGTTTTTACTCCCTCTATAGTGACCGTCCAGACCGGCCTCATCACCTCCCTCTGGGCTGTCGTCGATCTCATCGTCTTTTTAAGCATCGTACGTATATCCACTTCTTCTGAGAGTCTTCCATTCACGGCATCTTGATAGCCTACCGGTCTCCACCTCATCTTCAACTTCCCTCTTTCCAAGTTGTACAGTGCGTACCTTCACCCTGAGTCGAGCATTGGCCGTTCGCTGATACTATACGTGCGTGCAGGCAACTCCCTTCTCAGCAGCTTGAACAGCCGTCAGGGATGGAAGTTGAACACGGATTCGGAGGAAGCCACCTCGGCTGCCGCTATGAACGGAAACACTAGCCGCCGCGTACGTCTTCCCTTTCGCTATCTGACCGCATCTCTCCTCATACCTGACACACAGCCCGCCGATATGGTGACGTTTGGCTCGGTTCCAATGCGCCCCGAGGTCTTTATTGACGTCGAGTCGCACGAGATGGTCCATGTCGATGACAAGATGATCATGGACAGCGATAAGACCCTCGTCTCAGGCGCGTCAACGCCTTCCACGGCGTACGGCCCTAACGGCCCTCCGTCGCGCCCGACGCGAGGCCGTCCTGTCTCAAGCTTGATCAGCAACCCTGCAGCTGCTGCCATCACGAAGGGTTGAACCTGCCCTAGGCCGCCATACTTACCTCGCATTCCGCATATTGATCTGACCCCCACGCCACAATTAGCACTGACAACTCACTGTACATTTCCTCACGGCCTTCACGCGATATTCCCATCCGCCTTTGTTGTATACACATTGAACTCTTAGCCCTTAAGCGGCTATTGTACTACCTTCTAGAAACCGCCCTCGCTGTTCTGGGTCTTGACGAGGCCGGCCCGTGTGTATATGCGTCTTGTGTACACCTACTCTTAACGTTCTCTTGTGAAATACTTATACCCTTCGTTCGTTCCAAATGTGATGTTGACGCAGGCATTGCCAGGAATCTACGATTTGAAAAGGTACATGGTTGATACATCGTTGCATAAAATAGAACCGATCGCTCGAGCATGGATAGGCGCTTGAGCCGCGAGCACATACGTAGTTGCCGCTTACTAGACCCTGGGTGGTATCACTTGATCCTCTTACAACGGGCTTTGTGGCCCCCGTATTTCCAATCCCTGTTATCACAGCGCATGAGCGGGGAATACGATCGTCAGGGAACCTAGACTTACTCCGCTTGGCAGGGCTTTGAATGGTATTGCTGTCAACTGTTGAATGTGCGTCCTGATCGTAGGAAGACATAGAGCTCACTACTTCTCCGCATCCGGCGCAGGTTCTTGGAGCGCTCGGAGGTTCGGCCGTGTAGAACCGGCAGACGAGGAGGGAACAACACCTTCCTGTTCGTTTCTCGAATCTTTTGCGCTCGGCATTTTCAGCTAAGCCCATCGCGATACCGAGCTTCTCCCAAGAGACGAGCACATGAAATCCACAGATGACGGGATCCTTTGACTTGCGAAGGAGCATCAATACCGGATACCATTCACGAGCGAGTGATCGTTGAAAGACCGAGTGTATCGTACTCTTCTTATCGATCGTCGCAGAGCTGCTCAGGAGGGTAATTGTGTCGCTTATCGCTAGGGCTTGGCCTGTGTGAGGTATCAATGAGCGTCCTATCGCGCGATCCTCGTGAACTCTCATACGCAAGGTTTCCTGTTCATGTCCTGGACTACTAGAGTAGAAGATCGAGAATCGAATGATCTGGGAGAGGATCGAAGGTAAATCGCACTCTTCCATCGCGACTTTGGCACCGTGGTTGAAGGGCAGCTCGTCGAAGGTCACGAGTCTGCGAGGTGTAATCGGTGAGTCCGGTGTTCATGCACCTTGCATAGCGGGTCACGCACGCATTTGTCACGGTTGCTATGCCTTTCAGACATACACGAGATAAGAGGCTATAACCAAGATGGGTTGGAGACATGTCCGGCAGAATCTTCTTTTCGTCAAACGGCAAATCAAGGCAGTTGAACATAGCTTGTAGAAGCCCTGTTTCAATGATAAGAGAGAAACTCCCAGTCGTCATCGGAAGTAGGTGAGTTATCAGGTCAGGGAGTCTGCATGAGTGGCGATTCAGGGTTTTCGAATGGATCATGGTTGCGTGCAGACGTCTGCAGATCTGCGTATGATTATAATCGACCTGAACATGGGTTTGAGTAAACGTCGTAATGTTTTCTTTGCGTCCGTCCGCAGAAGGTGCAGCCGCCAATATGTCCACGGCAGTATTGAACATATGATCAACACCCCGAGAGTACTCTGGGTCAACGCCATCCACGTCATAGTACCAGGATAGGAAGCAGAGTCGTGCGTATTCAGGACTGTTTCCGGATTGGATCTGCGTGAGTCTAGATCTGAGCTTAGCCGCGTCCTACTCATTACGAGGAAGGAGGTACGAACTCAGTCACGCTCTCGAGAAGATCGAGCAGGGAGCTCCGTAGCATATGCGGGGCTTGACAAACACGCTCAGACTGCCAAGTGTCAGAATCGTACTCAAGGAACACTTCATGGTGTATCCAAGCTTGTCGTAGCAGTCGGAGAGCAACATCAGCTCCTGTAAGGCCGTCGTCCGTGACCGCTACACTGCTCAGAAAATCCTTTCGCCGTCGCTCACAGTTGCACCCAGGTATATCGCATGGACCATCTCGCACGAGTCGCATCTGCGTTGCAATGTCGACGAGGACTGCTGATAGTCTCAATACACACCTTATCCAGCCCTAGCGTTGACTTCAGTACTTGATATCGGGTTTAATCTACTTGGCTGAAGCACATACCGGCCATTCCTCAAACAGTTCACCAGATACAACGATATCCGAAAGCAATTCAAACACGGGCTTGCCAGTCAGATGGAGGATTGCCTCCTTACGACAATCATCACGTGGAGCATCAGAGTCGGCGGTTATCGTGGTGCACACGGCGTTCATGAGATTCCATAGTTCTATATTAGTCCCTAGAGGTTCACGAGAGTCGTATAGTGCTCTGAGCTGGTCTGGTATAGATTCACTGTCTTTGTATATCGTAGTCTTGAGCTATGACAATCATGAGCACTGGTACGACAGATAGTCTTTTCCATGTCACCACTCACCGCCGCGCTCGCTTCGTTGGTACCCTGCATCATGGCAAGCAACTCCTCGTCATCAAACTGAGCAAGACCCTCGGACCATTGTGGCGTAGAGACAGAGGTTACAAACACCATGACCACAGCCGACCTTTCAGGTATCTCAAGTTCTGAGCGTGATGGTAGACCGGTGGCACGGTGGTCGCTCTTGCCAATGGTCATACTAGATGCATCAACCACGGCCACGTGCTCTTTGACGCGATATCAGTGTCCCACGCGGACTATACCAAGAATCCGATATATCATACACTCAGTGTTGAATGAAACGGAAAGAGACTATACTATGCTGGACCAGGATAACAAAATAAAAAAGTCTTGCTTTATACCGCATTCAATTCGGATACGGGGAATCGAACCCCGAGCTGCCGCGATCTGGGATTTCCGGGGTTTGATTCCGGGGTCCTGAGAGGCGGCAATGTTAGCCGTTACACCATATCCGACGTAACATGATCCCAGCTATAATACTAGATGTCTTGATTATTTTAAGAACCTGATGGTACCGTAGAATCTATCAAAGAACTCAGCGCTAGAATCTCGATACATGGATGCAGTCAAATGCCTTTGAGCTCAGTCTCTGACCTTGCACTCTGTAGCCTCAACTGGTGGGTAAGTACATACTGAGTTGCAGGGTTTACTCTCTGGGGGCCTCGTACATAGCTCGCGAGGTACGAACGCATGTGTGATCTGTCAAGTATGCAGCAAGTCCTGATAGTACATCTCCGAGTCCGTAATAACATACGCCCCCCTACATCCCCAGAGTATATGCCCTTTACATGAGCTTGCCGTTCGAGTGGCCGTTCCCGCTCGCGACACCGCTCTTCTTCTTCAGTGTGCGTTGTGTGGCGAAGAGTACGCTGTCGACGATGCTCGCTACTGTGAGCACACCACCGACGATGGCGCATGTTCTGCATCGCGCCCGTCAGTCAATGCTCAGTAAGAGGGTGAGAGGAAAGAAGACGTACGAAGTGAGGAAATGCGCAAACGACTGGCGCTCCTCGACATGGCGAACCTGTATAGGCGAGATCTCATAGTTGAAGAACGCGCCCGGGATTCCAGCACCCTGATGCTGAACCTGTACACCCTCCGTCGTAGCATCTCCGTGGCCCTTACTCAAATCACGCTCGAAGTGCGTAACGCTGTACTGGTGACTGTTGACCTTCTGTCCGTTCAGCGCCTTGAACTGCGTGCTGACGACCTTGAGGAAGTATTGGAACATGTACTGGGCCTTCGACGTGCGAGCGAGGTATCCGTCGAGAGGGTTGCTCTCAATACCGAGTGACTCGCGCAAACGCGCGGCGACCTTTGCGCGGTTCGGGTTGTACTCATCATCGGCAGAGAACTGGAAGCGGTGAATGGTATGGCTGAAGTCGTGGCGGTTGCCATCCTCCTTTAAGTACGGTACCAAGTCGTAGATGTTGGACGCGGCGCTCTGGAACGAACGACCGGGCGAGAGCTGGATGTTGCCAGCAACCTTGTTCACGCGTACGCGTCCGGCAATGTTACATCCTTCCGCGCTTTGCTCCGCGAGCCTCTCGCTCCAGTGTTCCTCCACACACTGCGTGATCTGCCCGGGGTTGCCGAAAGACCAGCCGCGGGCAACGTAGGCCGCTCGGACTTGGTCGCAAGTGTTACAGCAGCCGGATTCAGGTGGTGTGCCGCCGTAGCAAGATCCACAGTAGCCGTCGGAGCGCTGCTCGTTCAGCTTGTCGATTTCGTTGCGCATTTCGGCGATGGCGGAGTTCGGAACAGGTGTACCGGCGTTCGTGAGGCGGGTTTTGAGGATGTGGTGAGAAATATCGCGTTGCACTTCACCGGAAACGTCCATCACGTCCAGCGAGAGAACTATTCGTGCTATATTAGCGGAGATAGACAAATGCCATGGATCCGGGTACGCACGGTAACAGGGTACGCGGGGAAAGGTGACGTTCATGTGTACTGTCAGCTTCTCACCGCGCGAGCGGTCGACGACGACAGAGGTGTCGATGTACACTCTGCGGTAGTCGATGAATTCCATAGTCGTAAATGCCAGGATAAGTGCGGCGGATAGCAAAGTCACTGGACCACAATTCAGTACTTCGCTTCTCGAGTTACCGGCCTGTATAATACGCACAGAACGCGCCCGTTCGCGTCTTGATCTTCACATCCTCCATCGTCTGTGTCTTGCTTAGCCTCCGCTTCTAACAACGAGCCATATACGCGTACCTTGCCAAAGGCATCGACGCCCTTCAAGCTAGAGAAGATACCCTTCGCCATCGCGCCAGAGCCAAGAACCGAGTATGACCGATAGAATTATAAAATGGGGTACCCGGAAGCTGCTGCAGAGCCTGGGGCTGGCACGTAGTGCGCGTAGCGAAGAGAAAGAAATGGGTGGTTGATGTCAAGGCCGGTGTCCGGCGCTCGACTGCTTAAACTCGAGACGTGGAAGTGTCCACGCGACGTGGCTCCCGCGCGCGACCCGTCCAAAAGTGCGAAGTTCGCCGCCGACGAGCGCATGATACTCGTCCGCATGTCTTCCCTCCGCAGCGAGGTTCTTCCGTTCCGAGCATCATATCCGTATATCGACCGTACATATACGCATAAATAATCCGAGTCCACAAGTGCCAAACGCGGGGTCCTCCACCAGCATAACAATATTAGAGCGAGTATATCAAGCGTTGTCTCCGAGCTTCAGTTGATCCACGCCTTGCCTGACCCTCCCAATCAAACTCCTCACACCGTCCCTGATTCCATCCGCCTGGATACTGTTCTCCGCGGTCGTCCTATACACTCCAGGCCCAGCCGGCCCACCGAGGCTCACATTCACACCTCCAAGATTGAGATTGAGCGCCGGCGCATTACTCGCGCTCTCCGGCGGGGGCTCGTACACCGACGGTGGGAACCCGGCAGCCGCACCGCGTATCATCTCCTGGAAGCTGCTCGAGTTGTGCACGCATGTTCCTCCTAACAATAGCCGCGCGCCACCCGTGGCCGCACCCTCTTGGTTGAGCAGAGCGATGTGCCGGGCTTCTTCGTACGTCGTGCCGCCGATGATGAAGATGATCACGTCTTGCGGGCGCTGGAGACTCGCGTTGGGCCCGGGCGATTCGAGGAATGGGTATGAAGCCTCCCGGAGACGGCCTTTGAAAAGATGTTCGAGTGTTTGAGAGAGATGCGGGGTGTGCTGCATGTAGACGTTCTCGACGCCCTTCAGACCCTTGAGCGCCGAACGACCAAGGGCAAGCAGCGACTCGGTGGAGTACAAGTCATCTTGTCGTTGGTCCGCGCCTGCGATATTCAACAGTGCGTAGACGAGCTACAGACATGTCATTAGACTGCGCGGCTTATTGGACAAAAGGTATGAGATGCTTACCCTTGCATCTTCTCGCGTAACGCCATTTTGCAGCGCCAGATTGATGAGGTTCGCAATGTCGCTCGCCCGCTGTTTCTGGTACCTCAACGCATACAGGATGACAAGCCTAAGCTTATTCCTTGGCGACACCGTGCTGTCCGCGATGAACGTTTGCACACTCCTGAGATCTGCGCCGGCACTGGTAGCTAGACCCTGTTCCACCTCCCCAAGATCAAGCAACTTATCACGCCCGACAAGCCGCGAGAGCTCGCCAACGAGTGCGACGTGCTTCGAGACGTTTCCGCCAAGCTTGCGGAACTCGGGGTACTCCTCAACAAAGCGCTTCATGTCAGAGATGCTGTTGATCGCGTCGGGTGTTTGCGCTAGCGATTTGGATTGGTATGTTTGCACGTAGTCTTTGAGGGCTTGACCGAGGTCACCGAATGTGGACAGATGGTTCGCGGCGAAGAAGGGGTCCGTGGCCGTGGTCAGCGTGATTTCCTCCAAGGCATCGTGAGTGTCAAGTGAGAGGCATCAGAGGATATGCACGTACTGTGAGCTCGGGACGGATGTCTGGAACCCGACTGAGATCGACACGGCCGTTGATGATACCGAAGAGTTCGTGCACCATCGCCTGATATGTCCATTGCGAGAGCATAGGTGTGACGGGGTCGTTTCTTCTGTCGAGGATGAGCAGTAATGGTGGTACCTGCGTCAACCTGAAGTCGAACAGCTGCTGTTCTGACTGCATCTTGTGCTACGCCGTTCAGAGCATCAGGAATGCATGTATCCAAAGAGAAAGCGGAACGACAAACCTGGATCTCGCCTGCAAGCTTCTTGGCCATCCCGCTCATACGCTCGTACCGTATCACGGGCTTCTTCTTCAAGCTGAGTAGTAGCGCCGCGAGCCCTTGTACGTGCCGATCGAGCGCGGTCGGATTCCATGTGTTCGGTGTACTCCCATATAAGGGATCTTCTGGTGACGGAAAGTGGTTGAATGAGAACAGTGCGGGTAGCATCGGCGCATAATCCGCAAAATACTCCTGTGGCCAGTATCAGAAACGTTGCATAGCACGCGCAACATCCTGACGCACCTGAACCTCGCGTACGACCTCATACTCATCTGCGTCCGCCAACCTCTCAATAGCCGTCTTGCTCAACACATTGCTGAAGTCTACCCACGCCCAGAAGTGAGCTTTGTTCGCGCAGAACCAAGTGGTGCACGCACTGACACAGATAATATTCGCCGTATTTTGGCTCCTTCAGCTCGACCTCCAAAGCGCCAAGACTGTCCTCCGCTGCACGCAGGAAGCACACGCATTTCATGTGCGGCATCCGGTCGCGCTTGGTGTTGTCGATCCTGTCCGTGAGGTAGACTTGATGTGCTAGTAGAGAGCTCTGCGTTGAAGCGAGAGACACAATTGGCGTCTAGAAGTTGGGTCATGTCAGAGGATCAGTAGCTATGGGGATCAAAAGCATAGTACGGACTGTGTGCGAATCGAGGAGGAAGACCTTCATGGCGTTCGGGACGGACACCATCTTGGTGATGTACGTCTCCACCGCCTTGACCACATCCATATCGGCCTCAAGAGTACACTGAGTTGATACTGGGGCCTAGATGATGAGAGTCGAACGCACGACGCGCGGGGTTGCGCCACGAGCTATAATGAGACTGCTTAGTGCGCGGTCATGTGAGTTGCGGACGAAGCTGTCGGTATCTGTACGCATACCACACGCGTCGTAAGGGCGTCAGTCGACCCCTTGGTCATCTTTAGAGCCGGTTCTATCAGTATTGCAATTGGTTCGCGCACGCTTCCTCGCAAGCTTGACAATGCTGTGCACTATGTATAGATCTACGCGGCCCGCGCTTGGCCCGAGCTCTGGTGGTAAGCGAGCCCCATCGCCGGGCGTAGTGCATGTGTTGATAGATGGGGGCAGCTTTCAAATAGCGAAATTGGCTTTTACGCGTGCTGCTCGCTCGGTTGCTTTCTTGTCTCAGGATCTTGCAGCAAATACCACCATCACGCAGTTAGGTAGGTGTGATTCGAGTCTGCGCCACTCTCGACACGTCGGGCGCGTGGGGAGTAATGGGATGGAGAGCAATAAGATAGTATTCGCAAGTCATTGTCCACTAGCAAATGTCTGTGGTCGAATACGCCTACTCATCCTTCTCCTCCTCCTTCTCATCCCCATCCTTCGGCTTGTCCTCCTCTTTTGCCTTCTTCGGGGCCTGGGTCTACATTCTCGTCAGCCTGGACTTTCAGCACAACAAAGTATCAAGACCAACCTCCTTGGGGTTACCCTTCTCCTGACCCTGAGCGGTCTGACGAGCAGCGGCACGGGCGTCGCCCATGTCAGTAGGACGCGCCTTCTCGTCATCGCTGCTCTGGAAGGTGCCCTTCTTGGGCTCGCGCTTCTCAACCTTCGCCTCAGGCGCACCCTCTGATGTAGGGTCCACGTCGGGCGTAAGAGGCGAGGAAGTGTCAGCAGCTTCGCCCTTGCCGGAAGCCTCGGCCTTGAGGGCGTCACGGGGTGAGTCCTCGTTCTATCGTTTGTATGAGCGTCCCATTCCGATGGCGGGGCAGTTTTGGATATACATACAGTGGCCTTGGAGATGGACGATGCAATCTCCTTAGGCGTCGCAGTCGTACCCTCGCTGTCGGTCATGCCCTGGTTCTTCTGCACGAAGATAGAACATGTTAGCCTCCAGCCTGTTCGATGTGAAGACATGAACTTGCAGGCTCAGGAATTTCAGGAGCGGGAACGTCGCCCTTTTTGGGTACCCGATGAGGGTCGTCGGCTGCGTTGTGAGGCTTCGCATGAGCAACGTCCTTCGAGGAGCCCATGACGAGGTAGGCGATCTGTGCGGGCGCATATGAGCATTTCGTCTCGTGAATCCAAGATTCATTCTCGTACCAAAGGACCAAAGATAGCAGCAGAGCCAATCTAAAGCCACACATGAATGTGAGTATCCAATATCAATATTCACTCCCTTGCTTTCGCGTGACGTACCATCCAAACGGTGTCACTGCTGCCGCTCTCACCGTGCGAGGTGGCCATGCGGCGGCGCGCCACACGAGGCGCAGACGGAGCGACACGGCGAGCAGCAGGAAGTGCGGCACGAGCGAAGAGTCGGGAGGCCATGGCAGTTCGAGTTGGAAGTACGGGCTGAGCTGGGCGCCTGTGAGCGAACCGGGGTGGTCCGGGGACAGGAGCGTGAGACGACGTCATCGAGTGCGCAGGTTGATGCGACTTTCCAAATGAAACTTCGTTCCGGCGGCCACGTCCTCGAGTACAGTCTGTACGGCGCTTATATACCTACTCATACTACCGGGTTATGCAACCTATCCTTCGCTACTCCGACGCACTGGAATGACCAGTGGGCGCGCACAGAGGATGAACCTGCGTGCGAACGCTTCCCGTGCCTTCATCAGTTGTCGCTAGCACTGCTCGTGCCTCGGTCGCGGTCATGCTGTTGAGTGGCTACACGCATAACAGAGTTACCTCTTTTGGTAACTTCCTGAACGTGGTCCTCGTGGCCGGCAAGGACGCTAGATAGCTCCTCAGCTCATACTTCCGTCCAGCCACTTGTGATCATTTCGTAAGATGGCCATAGAGGATTTTGCCAGGTTCTACTATTCCTAGACCTCATCGTACAGTGATGGGTCAGATCTGCCCACTCAATGCGTTGCGTACTATCATGCGCGCAGTACACATCAGCGGGCTGCGTTATGCCTCGAGGCATAGAGTTCTTTTAGAGCTAATCCGGATGGAAAGCCGTGTTCACATGGCTAACCTTGCTTTGTGCCCTTTGTTCGACAGTTATCGATATAACACCGGCGATGCGCTACTCGACTAGTAGGCAATCTTGCCTTCCCCTCTTTCCTCTCGTACCTACCAGCCATGAAAGACATCCGCGAGAGGATCCGCTCACAGACTCCGGCTCCGTACGAGCGCCGCGGACCTCCCAAGCCCCGGATGGTTAGAAAAACCGGTACGCCTTCGTGTGCTCGCGGTCCTGAGCTGGTCCCTAACGAGCTGCTCAATTCGCAGGCAATCTTACGCTTCATCCTATCACTCAACTTCCACCCGCCATGAAAGATGTTCACGAGCTGGTGCCTGCATCGACTGCGACTACGAACGAGCGCCGCGAGCCTCCCAAGCCTCAGATGGTCGGGAAAAGCGGTGCGCCTTCAAATGCTCGCGGTCATGAGCTTCCTCTGAATACTGGACTGAACCGGCAGGCCATCTCGCGCTCCATCCTCTTTTTCAACCTTTACCCGCCATGAACGACATTCGCGAGAGGACTCCCACACCACCTGCACCAATTCCGACTTCTAAGACCAAGCCCAAGCCCAGGTTTATTAGAAAAAGCAGTACGCATTCCTATGTTCGCGGTCATGAGCTCTTCCAGAACCCGTTTTTCTGACATGGCTGCAGACTTTCCCCACTTAATGGGAGAGCGAGCGTCCTGGACCCCAATTCCAGCTCATTACTTGAGCTCGAACATTGATTTGAAGATCAAGGTGGCTCAAGACTCCTCTGAACTCACCCTCCGGTGAGAGATTTCATGCAGCGCTATCAACAATGCACTCATTAGTCATCCGATAGGCGCGTGACTGAAGAGGACGCGGCTGAGGAGGAAGAGGTAAAGGACATGTTGTTCAGGTTCTCGTCGGAAGAGTCAGACGGAGGCTCGATGGCGATGACGAGGTGCGCGACACTTTCGTTTGTTATACCGCCCGATGCTGATGAAGCCATGCCTAGCCCTCGAGATGCACCTGGCGTCTCCCTTGCGCATGATCTCTCAGACAGTCGACCGGGAACCATCGACATAGTCGTCGAATCGTGTCCCCACAAGCTCAAGGCGTACGACACCTCCATGACGTCTTTCAGGTCTAGAGGACCGCGCGCTATAGCCCGTCCACCTCTCTCCATGCCCGGCGTGAAAGCGCACGACATCTTTATGCACTGCACACCCGGTGGGCGTCAAATATGGCGGGCGACGGCCGAGCTGAAGTGGGTGCGGGCGGAGTTAGACATGGTCCACCCCGTCTATCGCAAACCCCAATACGATCTGCATCTTTCGAACGATAACTGGGCGCGATGGATTCTGCACAAGACTCTCGTTACGTACTACGGCAGGCAGAAGCTCCATTTCACCTAGTTTCCATAAATGCAACCGCGCCTCACTTCGCCTTCAACCTCACAAAACGACACAGCAGCACACAGCCATGCTCACGTCTTCCTTTCGACTTCTCTAAGACCCGTTTCTCGATGGCTGTTATACTACACATGTTGTTTATGTACCATGTATGACTGCCCGTACACTTTTGTATGATATATGAGGACCGGAGCGGTTGCAGATTTAATCCGTCAGGCACCCTATGACAAAGGCAATATGACCCAATTGATCAAGACGGCAAGTGCCACAACTTGAAACAGGACGAAGCTCGATCCGGTTGGCAAGCTGCATGCATCCAGGTGCATCTGGGATTCAATACCTATAGACCTGTAGTAGGAGACGTGCATAGCCTTCGTACAGCAAGTCGGCGGTCGCAGATGTGGGAGTCATCAAGCTTCCAGGCCATTCCGCCGAGATTCAATCAAGGTGCTGAGAATGACGACGACCACGCTCTTTAGCACCACGGACGGCTTGTTCCCGAAGTCCATGCTAGCGCGGGATGTACTATAGACGTAAAAATACGAGCAGAGCCAGAGATTAAATGGCACGCTGCGATAAGAGAACCACACGACGATGACCGTCAGAGGCAAGGTGGCTGGATAAGGCAAGCCTGGAGAACGTGTTAGCTAAATGCCCGAAACTATAAGTGTGACCCATCCGGCCCTTGCCACCGACCACGACCGAACTTGCGACCAACCTCCATCTTCAAGCCATCGACGACCTCTACACACCCATGGCCGACACTGACCCGCCCGCGTTCGTCGCGTACAGCGACTTTCCGCCGCCTGTCCTCCCTGCCGCCGAACCCGCGCCCTCGCTTAAGCGTCGTGCCTCGGACTCGTTCGGGGATCGTGACGACGGCGCCACTGCGAAGAGAGCTAGGGAAGACTCGCCAGGCTCCGGATCTGAAGATGCTCCAAGTGGACCCGAGGAGAAGACTGTAACCATCTCGGGCGCCGCACTCGCAGACGACCTCGAGCAGGACCTCATGTGTGGTTGCTGCTCTGCTCTGCTCTACCGACCCGTTGTGGTCAACCCCTGTCAGCACTACTTCTGTGGGAGGTGGGTACCTTGCAGGTTGCTCTAATCGATATAGAGTGCTCATCTGCTATCCGATCTCTAGTTGTTTGCTTCAATGGGTCCGGGTAAGTCCGCAGTCTTACTCCAGGCACCCCAAGACGAGCATACATCTGGCGTCGTCTCAGTTCAATGAGCTACATATAGCCACGCGATATGTATAGACGAACCTTTACTGATTATACGCAATAGAACGGGGGAACAAGCTGCCCCGCTTGCAGGGCTGTTTCCACGAGCGTAACAAACTCTCGCGTCCTTCAGTTAATGATCGACATCCTTCTGCGCCACGACCCTACACGCGCTCGCACTCAGCGCGAACGCGATCAGGCTGACGCCATATACCGCTCTGGCCAGTCTTTACGGGTGAGGATGCCTCCTTTCATGGCTACGTCGAGAAGTTCTGACGTCTTTGATGGTGCAGATCCCACCGCCGCGCGAACTTTCGCCTGAACCGGCGCTTCCGCCGCCTGGGGACTGGGTTCACCCATGTCCGACTTGTACTCCCGGAAATCGCTGGGGCTACCATTGTCCCCAGCCAATTCCAGAGCCAGACGGCGAAGCTGGCTGGCAGCAAGATGATGGCGCCCCTCCTGGGCACGCTCTCTGCTTCGAGTGGTACGTACGACCTTGATGATGACTGAAATAGCGTTGTAATAAGCTTCGTGACGTTTGCAGCCGCGCCGCCACAGCTCTCAATGGACCGACGATACAGAAATGCGACTTCTGCCAGACTATCTACTGCGGGATGAACCGCATCCAAGGTCGTTGCTCTGCCGCGCCTCTCTTCGCGCAACATCCCCAAGGCTTCGGCGATATCGGAGAGTTCATTCAGAACGAAGGCGTGTACGACGCCTTCAGCGGCAACACTGTTGAAGTAGACTACTTGATCGAGTACATGAACGCGCGCCATATCAGCCCGCGCTCTATCTACCGCGATGTTCGTCTGTTTCACTGGTTAGAACTCGTGGTCGCCTGGCTGACGATGTTTGCCAACTAGATCATCGAGCACATACGGGTTTCTCCGCGGGGGTTTGCGCCTCTGATAGAGCAGGAGGTCTTCTTAGATACGCATGGTACACCCGTCGGTGGCGAGCTGCCCGCTGATGCACCTCGTAACCGCATCTGTCGCCCGTGTGCGGGTGAGGTACTTCTCTGGGGTATCCGCGAATGGTGGGCTCGCGAGCGCCGCAAGGGTCATCTTCCGCAAGCCGTTTCGATCCGCCCGGATTGCGAGAATGGTGCGACTTGTCACCGTCAGGACGACCATGCTCATTGCAGAGACTGTGGGTAGCTTCATGTTTAGACCCGCGAATCATCATGATACTGATTCTCCGAGCAGTCAACCATATCATCGCGGCCCCGGCGCCGCCTCAAGAGCCCGTGCCAGCGCCTGCTCTCCCACCTCTTCTTGCAGACCTCGACTTCCCACCGCTGTCGCTTCAACCTCACGCATACGAGGACGATGATGAAGATGACGATTATCCGCCGCCGCCAATGATGCATTACCCGCCTCCACCCATGGCCAGTCTTCCGGTTCCTCCTGCGACAGCTGCCGCGCCGATGACTGCGGCCTCGGTACCTGCTCCCGCGGGTGCCCCTTCCAACGCACCTATGTCGCAGTATCCATTGTCGCATGTTACCTTCGTGGTCGACGAACAGCCCACGAATCCCACTGCCGCCCGTGATCTCGAGAACATGATGCAGCACATCGGCACTCTCAACAGCGCGGCGGAGCGGGATCTCGACATGATGCTCATGAGTCGGTGAGGCTCGCAGCGTCTCTTTCTCCGTCTCACCCCCACTCCCTCTAGCCTATGTTTCCTTCACTCATCATCTGTCTCCTGAATGTTACTGGACCCGAATTCCTACATGAACGATCTATCTGTCTCCATTCTCTCGTCTCCGTGCATCTCATTCTCGCTGAGTTATTGCCTTCGTATTGTACTTGTCTTGCAACTGCCTGCGTCCTGCCTCGACTGGATCACCATCTTGTGCCTTCTCCGTCGCATGATATTCTCTTCTTACCCACAAATCTCGATCAGCATCCGTCCATCTCTCCCTTCAACTACTACGTCTCCATCTGTCCCTCTATCGCATCATGGAGATCGTCTTTCGTATCCCGTAGCTTCGTGATTGACTCCGCACCCGTACCCGTTCTTGTCACCTCGAGATCCAACCATGTCCTCTTGACTCTACATCTTCCCCGCCTCGCATCGTAATGACAATCATGATATCCCGTAGCTACCTGCTTCTGAAGCTGTCTCCTTCCGTTCCCAGTCCATACTATACTGTTGGAATCCATGTCCGTTCCTTTGAAGTCCGAAGCTCCATCTCCGCTGAGTCCTGCCGTGAAGCCGTAGAGTTGGATACAGTATGTAATGTCGTGTCCCGACAAAACGGCTCTTTACCAGGCTTTTCGAGGAGACGTCACACAGTCTGGCATTGAATGTGATGGATAAACCGCATAGGATATGTAGCCACTTGTACAACCAAAGATCATAGAGTATATATCACGAGAAGCAGTTGCGCGAGGGGAAGATGAACGAGAGTGTAGAGTCTGCGCACGCGGGCAAAAAAGGGAGTTTGGTAGTACAGATGATGATAAAGGTAACGCAACGCAAGAAAGGGGGGTAACTCCTAGAGATGGAGACGCTGAGAGAGATGAGAGGATGAAATTACATATATACCAAAGCTGGAGGCCGATGCGGGGGAAGGTAGAGTTCTAGAAAACGAACGGCTCAGGAAATTGGTAAAGGGGAGTGAGTGTACACGATGGGATGGGAGACCGAGGGACAGACAGATAGACAGACAGGTTAGGACGTGAAGGGGCGTGAGGATGGGGGTATGTACGAGTAGATCAAACAATATGAAAACAAGCACGAGCGATCCGGCGGAGGCGAGCAAAGGGCTTAGAGGAAAGTGTTGATGCCGCTATACATCGCGCCCTTCTCCTCCCAAGCAGCCTTCTCCTTCTTCTTCTCGTCGCTCTTGCCGCTATACGTGCTCGCGGCATCGCGCTTCCGCTTCTCCGCATCAGCCTTGGCGCGGAACTCGAGCATGAGCCGCTCCTTGCGCAGACGGTCTTCTTCCTTCTTCTGCCTGGCAACCTCGAGTTTGAGTGCCTTGGCATGCTCCTTCGCCGCCTTCGCGTCCGCCTTGAGCGCAGCCTTGTACGAGGACGAGGACTTGTCGGTCGGAGTTGCCAACGCAGTGCGGCTCGGCGACATGACCCGCGCGAGTGGGTTGAGGCTCTTGCCGCTGCCGCTCGCACTCCTAGTTCCGCTGTCGCTCGACGAGGAGAAGCTCGGCATATGTCGGAGCTGCCTATGCGACGAGACGGGCGACTCCACCTCCGGCGGTGCAATGATCGTATTCGTCGGGCTCGTCGAGTTCAGCCTCAACGCATCGACATTATACTTCGGCCGAATAGTCGACGACGACGGGTCCGCAACATGGAACGCCAGCGGCTCCTCCGCCCTCTCCCACTTCTCATTACCAGGGAAGCCCTGCCCGCGCGCGCTATACGGATGTATCGGCTCACCCGGGCGCGGCGAGCGAGAATTAGGCCGACGAATAAAGTGCGCGTCCGCCGCGTCCTCGTCCGGCTCCGAGATTGTCGCGAGGTAATTCAAGCCGTCCGCCGCGTCGCCGTATACCGAGAAGTGCGCGCCCGGTCCTGGGGAGACGGGGGGCGACATGAGCGAGCTTGTCCGGTGGCTATCGCCCAAGGAGGATCGGCTCGCACTGGATGTGAGCGATGGGGTATCGCTGTCGCGCTCTGGGATGCGACCACGGGAGTACAACGAAGACGAGGAGAGGCTGCTTGACGCTAGTGTGGGCGAGAGGTGCGACTCGTCGGGTGTGCGAGGTGAGGGCGACGAATTGCTGGAGGATGACGACGCCGAGAATGCCATGGTAGGCGCCGCGAGCCGTTGCGGCGGCATCTCGATATTGAGCGAGGGCAGAATGGGGCTTCGCTCATCCGGACCATCAGAGTACTCCGACGGCGACGAGTACAGCGACGAGCGCGACGAGGCGCTGACGGGGAAGCTTGCGCGAGCCGGCGGCGGGACCTCGAGGGGGGACTGTGCCTCGACGGCCGGATGCCACACATGCTCATCGGAAAGCCCACGCGGAACCTCGACGATCGGGGCCAACATATCGCCCAGATCCGTCAGGTCGTCATGAGTGGCCATGCTCACGACGCTGTTGCGCCGCATCATCTCCATCGAGGGACGGGTCGACAGGCTGCTGTTCGAGTTCGAGCGTGAGGGTGCGGGTGGACGCTCGGCTGACGGGGGCGGCATGAACGGCATATCCTGGCGAGGCGCTAATCCAGAGACATTGCGCTTCCTGTGCAAGAATAAGGGTTGCTTCGTGGGCGGCGGTGACGTTGACGCTGGTAAGGTCTGCGCTGTCCTCGGTACCGGGTGTTCAGGCGGATGCATTGGGCTGCCCTGCAATTGGTACCCCGCCAGCGCTTCTGGCAGGCCGGGAACAGGAGGGAAGTCTGTTGAAGAAGGCGTCGATCAGCGGGGGCATAGCGGCGGGCCAAGAGCAAAAGCATACCGATGGCTGTTGCGACGGCGCGCCCTCCTGGTGCCATGCCTACGTTCGTACCGCGACTCATCCACTGCGCGTCGGACATCCCGCGAGGTCGAGCGCTGGAGGATTCGGGGCCGGGTGCCGAGCCGCCACTGCCACCCTGACCGTTGGTCGGTTCAGGTGGACGAGAAGAGCCATTATTATCCCTGTCCTGCTGCCGTGAGCGTCCTGCGGGCCGCTTCTGGTTATAGAGCTAAACGGCATCAAATCAGTACAAGCTGATGCAAACCCAAAAGAAGCCATCAGCGTACCATAACGGTCTTGAGGGCCCTGTACGAGAAGAACGCGGAAGCAATGACGAGGGTCAGCAAACGTGTTCGGACTAGACGCAAAAACGCAAAGGGAAATCTGCGTACCGGATCTGCAAGCTTCGGCAGCTGCACAACGTTGCAACCTCGTATACGCCCACGCTTGTCGAGTTTGACAGCGCACGGTGCATGGCATGCTTGACGAGTGCCTGGAGATGGGAGATGTTGTAGTTTGTTGCGATGACCAGGAGGGCCGAGAGCACTGGCGGTGCATGTTGCAGCGGAGTAAGAAGCGCCATGCTATAAAAGTACTGCAGGAGCGCGAGGGTGACCGGGTACGGCTCGCTGAGCGCCAATGAACGGGGTGACAGGCGCGGATCCGGACGGGGTCCTCCAGGAAGTTCTGGTGCGGGGCCGTCCTGCGCTGACATGGGGATCGCCTCCAAAGCACGCTGTGCGGCGGCAAGGAAGATCTTGCGCTGCTCACGGAACCACGGCCAGCGCTCGTCCAACAACTTCCTGCTGCAGCGGATGCGGCGATCATCGTCGCAGATGATTTCGAAGTCGGCGAGAACGCCTTCCTCGAGCGCGGCAAGACCGATTTCTTGCATGCGTAGATCAAGTTCGAGTTTCGGGGGCTGGTAGATCCCGAACGCCTCCAGGTCTATAAGCGCGACGTCGTCCCAGGAAAGCAGTCGGCGGTTGTAATCGTCGACCAAGTTCCCAGCGCGGTTGCCGAAGATGACAAACTTGTTGGCATCGGCCCAGAGCGCAGTGCGGAACCAAGAGCCGGTGCTGAGCGTGCTACCGGGGTCGATGCGCGACCATGTCATATCATGCAAGTTCAGTGCCCAGACAGAAGATGACTGGAAACTGTGTGCGAGGTAGGTGCCGGCGATGATCAGGTGGTGGCCGAGGATTGCGCCCGAGGGGAAGCGCAGGCCGGGCGGGAAGGACGTGCCCACCATTGAAGACGAGTGATCCGTAATTTCGAAGCCGCTGCCGGGCCGTGGGCTAAAGACCTCGAGTTCGCGCTTGACGTCTGTGAACTGCGAGCGAACGTCAGAATCCCATGCTACTCAAGTGTGGAATAAGCGCCAAGCACTCACGTTGTAGTTGCTGTACAGATAAATGTCCGTGGGAAAATCATCGGTGGGCGCAGCGGAGTAAGGCAAGTGAATGAGCGAGTCGGAGGATGTCTGCGGCGCGGACGAGGAGGATGCTTGGCCGTCTGGGCGGAAGACGGGCTTTGGGGTGGGCTTTGCATTGCGCTGTTCGTGCAATGGAAGGCGGACACGAAGGTTTCCGGCGACTGCGACGGAGCGGTATGTACCGCAATGGCGCGGATAGTCATGCGCCGAGACCCAGCCACGGCGGTGCAGATCATACACGTAGACATCGTCGAGCCATACGTTATTCAAGTCCTGGCCGCCGATCACGAATAGCCGGCTGCCAGAGATGGAAGACAGGTGCGCGTAGCGAGGCTTTGGTGCGATCGGCTGCTCCTGCAGCTGGTTGGTCGACCATTGGGCGGACATCCAGCGGTTCTGGCGCAGGTCAAAGAAACGGACGTCGCTGAGTACCAAGAGTTCGTCGGATGTGTCTTCAGCCTCCGGGTTGATGCCCATACCGCCAAAGATGACGAGGTAGTTGTCCCCTGCGCGCCAGAGATTAATTCAAGGCGCGGGCTGCGGACGTAAAGATACGCACATGCGTCTGCGCTGTGGAAGTAGCGCGAGGCCGGGAGGTCTTCGTCTGCGGACTGCTCCAGCCTTCTCCACACTAGCGTGTTCAGATCAAACAGCCACATGTCGGTCACCATCCGACGCTCGGTGACCAGCCGTCCGCCCTACAGTGCACCCAGTCGGTCCCCCGCGCCAGCAGTGTACAGAATATCACTCACATAGAGATAGACCTTGCTCCCGACCACTGTCGTCGATGCGCCCTGCGCGACATTTAATGATTTACGACATCACACGAAGGAATGTACGCACGACGAGCTTCGGAGGCACATCTCCACTGGTGGGCCTCGAGAAAGTGGTCAAGTCCGAAACGGAGTGCATGGTGACCGTCGGTCGGGGCAGGTGCGTCGCTGCAGCGCGCTTGTGCGATTTGTCGCGAGTGGAGGCGGGGGATGAGAAGTGTCGGGCGAAGGGAAAGGGTTGTAAAGTGATTGAGCGTTGATGTTAAAGAACACTTTCCGACGCCCGAGTCCGAAGACCGGGCCAGTCGCGCGGCGCGCGCCCCGATCGGATCTCCTGCTGATTTCCAAATATCTCGAGTCTTGCTTCCGCCTGCCACTTAACCTCGTCTTTACCGTCTGGTCCGTCGTGGCGCGGCTACCGTGCCTCGCCGACCTAGTTGGCTTGCCACCTTCAAGCTCTTGAACCTGCCTGTCAGTATTGCTGCTTATGACCTCAGTATATCAATGTGCGAAGCCTGCTCTCATGCCGAGCACCCTGCTTCCTGTGATATAAGCGAACGCTCTCATCCAGAGCATGGGGACGAGAACCCGTCTGCGCTTCCCTTTCTCGAATTCTGTACCATCCGACGGTACCAGACGGTACCGCGCGCCCATGAACAGGGTTCCCACATATTTTTGGTGTAACCAAGCAATACAGGGCAATACGCCTTCCCTCTGAGTCCCAAATCGCCCTGCCGCCCAGGTCGGTGCATGCCTCTGGGTGATCATGCTACTCTTTCCGGACTCCGTCTAACGTAACGCTGTCTTTATCTGCAATCTTTGACAATTCCCAGTGGCGCATGCCGACCCTCAGAAAGCCTCGCCTTGCCCAGATGGACTTTCCCATGTCCACGTCCAATGTAATACTCTCCATCTCTACATGTTCACCACGCATGCACCCTATCCATGTACGCGTCATGGCCTTCCAGTTCGAGCCTACTCGCTCACAGCAAAATAGTTTTCGGACGGCTGGCGCTGCCCGCCGGGCTGGCTTGACATGATGCGCCGCGGGTGCCGCGCGCAGCGCTCAGAGTGCGGCACACGAGCGGGACAGGGCCGGCGTTCCCCGTGCACCTCCTGGTACCTCTCCACTGTAAACAGCTTATTCACTCTATTCACCCGCTCGTATTTCGGTCTCTTTTCTGACGCCCACTCTATTCCCAGAGCGATCCGCCCAGCTCACCGTCCCTGTTGATAACACATTTGCGGGTTCCTCTCGACCTTGCAGATCTCGAGGGACGCGCTCGAGTATTTCCGTTTTCGACACGGAAGATCGTTTGCGCGGGCCTGGGCTTGTGGTTGCTCGCCCTGTGTAGCTGTCCCGAGGGCCGAATTGGGCAAGGCACTGCTACATGTCAACGCCGACAGTGCCGTCTGCCTATTCTCCGGAATATTCCTCCAATGGCGCATACCGACGAAACCGACCAGTTCTTCCTGTGACTAAAGCAATATATCCCGTACGCTCGTTCACTGGACTAGAAGCTGACTAGAAGCTCGACCTTCAACTGGTAGCACGACTCTGCGAATACAACTCTAAAGAGAGTCAGGTCCCGACGATTCTCCCTGCAGCAACGCCTCGTTGCTGTGGCAGCAAAGCGCCAGGCCGCTCCAGCTCTCCCTCCTTCATCTCCCGGTCCATCTCCATCGCTTCCAAAGCTTAAGCAATCGTTATAATCGAAAGTACTATCAAGCATCATACTTCTACCAGCGCACACCGCCCGACGCGCCACTGGCATCGGGCGCCGCTATCCTTGGCTTTCCAGCTCAACTCCGAGTCTGAGCGAAAGGAACGATAAGATCGAACCCCGCACGCGCGCGCGGGAGAAGGGACCCACCCGGGCGCGACGGTCAAACGTCCAGCGCGCACGACGATGGGAAACAGGGTACGGCTACTCTGCGCATGAGACGTGTACCCTTGCATACAGTGTATACTGCCGGTATCTATGAGATGAGACAGGCCTGTGCGAGGCTTGGTACCCGAGCGGGACGAGCATGAGGCGTCTATGAAGACTTTCCGGTTGTGGCGCAAGCGTTGCATGTGGCGCGCCGGGTCGAGCATGCGTTCGACTGGGATACGTCCCCTCTCATATGCGTGCTGCTCCCCGATACCCTCAGAAATGCAACGACGCTCTTCTAGCGCGACAATACACGCAGACGTGGGCGCGGAACAGAACACAGAATCACACTCCAGATGTTGGTCACGGAGCGCGTCAGAACGGAGCTATCGGAGGAAGCACAAGCGGAGGGTCAAAAACAGGCTCGCGCAAAAGCTTCACGCCCATCGTAGATCAAACCTGCGAACACGTCTTAGCGCCTTTCGGGACTGTTCGCAGCCACGGTAGAGCGTACAACGTCATGTGCGCCTTGATTTTTCCGATGGCTTTGTTCGGGGGTCAATGGGGTTCGAGGGAAAATCCGTTCACTCGATGGCCGGGCAACACAATCATTGGATGAACAGCCAAAACGTAGGATTGGGATCATCGTAGTGTCCATGGCATGTGAAGAGCCAAGATGTAAACACCGTACGGCAGAACTGCCCCGCGCCGCTGTGGTCAACGCCGGGAGGACGATACATGTTACAGTGCAGTGATGTTGAGAAACGAACAAACTAGCGTTGTATCCGGTGATATGATGATAGATGTCGCGATTCGAGTCAATTGAGGTGGTGCTGTAAAGATCCAGTGTCTCTTCTCTTCGAGAAGACGGAATGAGGGCGGCACCGGCTGCTGTGGTTGCGGTGAGTAGTGAGTACAGAGTTTGAGATTTAGCCCCTTAGGCGAAGAGAAGCATGCAGAGGCAGAGGACGAATGCAGGTCTCCAGGAAACCATCGTGCGCCCTGTACTTAGACCAGAGGTTATCAAAGCGTGCATGCCATTCGTAGCTTGAGGTCTTCATCGATCAGGCTCGTCAGAACGGCATGCGGCAAAGAGAGCAGTCGACTTTTCGCGCTCACATGCCGGGCGATCGTCATGCGGAGAGTCAATAAAGGAAAATGATCGTCAAGCGCTCTTCCCGCACCAGTAAGTACAGCGCGTTCTGATACTATCGGGCATACGGCCGACCGATGGATTCAATAGGGATGCATTGTCCGATCAAGAAAGCGAGGTCGAATGGCAATGAAAGGTATCTCCGGATGCTCTCCGCAGGTGTACAGTCCGGGTGTACAGGAGCAAATGGTGGGCCTACAATGTACCTCAGGCCTCAGGCCTCGAGGGTGAAATACTGAGCCTGCTCGACGCCGTTGAAACCTCGAAGACCCTTCTGACCGACGTGACCGCGCTGCGCAAGGCCCTGCTTCGCTTTGAGCAGAAATCTGCGCGAGTGCGAGTCGTTCAGCACGAGAGTTTCCCGTTCTAACGACGACAGGTTCACCTTTACCGATGACCGATGTGCTTGACAGGGCCGTTCGGAGCTGGCTCCGCGTACGAGCCCGGAGTGTGACCTGTGAGGTGTGAGATCAATGCGTTACGGATACTGCTTGTATGCGCCCAAAGACGAAAGTTCGATGCAGAGCGATGGCAACTGCAGGCTCACGAATGAACATATTCTCTCAGAGGCTCATGTTCGGACAGAGAGATTCCGCATTGATATATGCGGCGCCCTGCGATAGTCTGCAGTGGTGAGAAGGTGCTCGGGTATACCGGTGGTCGAGTAGACCTGCGTGTGCAATCTATGTCAGCTCATGCGCGAAGTACGGTTCGAGCACGGTTGACCAACCCATTGAAGGCACTTCAGCAGCCGAAAGCGTCGTTGCAAATCGAGTATACAGGGTTGACAGGGGTGAAGGTTTGTTGATATGGATGGCGGCGGCCTCACACCTCGGATGTCGGCAAGTGGCGCCCTCTGAGCAGATTGTGTTGCCCAAACCGTCAAGATCGCATGTCGGCATCTGTCCTTGCCAAACCTGGAGACGGCGTTGCTGTATACAGTCCGCGAGGGAAGAACGCGCCGCAGACATCTCCGATGTGTCGTGCACCGCAGTCTGTCGAGAGACTTGAACAGCTTCTTCATCCGATATGCAGGTACCAACAAGGTCTTCGATGTACACGAGGACAGACAGGGTCGTTGTCTACTGCTTTTGGTGAGGTGTCTGCCGCGAAGATCGTGTCAACGTCCGGAGTGAAATGCTGCGGAGCGTAAGGAAGAAGACAATGCAACGCCACCGGATGCACAGGCAGTATTCAACGGTAGCATCGTATACAGACTTCGGCGCAGACTTCTCGTGGGTGCTTGTTACTCGTCGAGATGTCGCCATCAGTCTCATCCAGCAAGATAATTGACACGGCCGTCGTATGCACATATATTGTTCGCGTCTTCGTTCGTGACAGGGCATGAGCAAAAGTGCCACCCAGTGCGCTAAACATCGGGACGCGGGACGGCCACCGGATGATGGTCGAGAGCAAGCTTGGATCTGACCTCGACGCGGCACCTCGACGACGATGTCATGGCTCGCGGCTTCCAGATCGTGCGATCTGCCGCCGTCTATCTTCGACGACCCAGCTCAAGTCTTGCCTTCAACACCCACGTAGCATCAGCTAGCATGTCGGACGTCGTCATCCCCAAGCCTCCTGGAAAGACCGAAGTTCTGGCTTCCTCGGACAAGATCCAAGTTCTCGACCACAAGCAGTACAGCGCTCCTGAGAATCTCACTACCAGTGGTGTCCTACCGGATCCTCTGGACCAATTCCGCGCTTGGTTCACTGCTGCCCAGCCGGTCGTTGCCGAGCCTGAGGCCATGTCTGTCAGCACCGTATCGGCCGACGGTACACCCTCTGCGCGCGTCGTACTGCTCAAACAGGCCGACGAGACCGGCTTCGTATTCTACACCAACTACGAGTCACGGAAGAGTCAGGAGCTGAGCGCGACTGGAAAGGCCGCACTTGCATTCTACTGGCGTGAAGTGCACAAGCAAGTGCGCGTCGTCGGTCGCGTGGAGAAGGTCAAAGCGGAGGAGAGCGACGCTTACTACCGCTCAAGACCCGTCGGTAGCCGGCTCGGTGCTTGGGCTAGCGCTCAAAGCACTGTGATTGGCGAAGGCGATCTGGACAAGCGGCTGGAGGAGGTGAAAGAGAAGTTCGGCGTCAAGGGCGATGAGAAGGACGCAGACATCCCTCGACCCGAGTTCTGGGGAGGTTGGAGGATAGTTCCCGAGTAAGCCATTCTCATAGACCGGTTGTGAGAGCACGATGTTGACTGGGATCACAGTGAGGTTGAGTTCTGGTTGGGAAAGCCTTCAAGGCTGCACGACCGCGTCCGCTACCTTCGCAAGGATGGGGCGAAGGAGTGGACGATTGAGAAGCTCTCGCCTTGATCTATCAGCGCGACCCGCATCCGAAAAGCATTGAATCTGTATCATCTACATTGTTGTATTCTTACAATCACAGCTCTACGTTATACGCAAGCGGTGCCTTGACATATTAGGCGTCTACCCTCAAGCCGCGTTCAGTTCGCCACGAGCAGCCTTGTAGCAGATCTCCGCCCGCTTCGCGAACGCCTCCTTGGCGCCATTTTCATCACCCTCAGCCCACTTGGTCATCGCGTTGCCTTGCAAGCCACGTCCGAACGAGAAGGTAAGGCGCGGCAGCCGAGCTAGCGACGCGTACTGTCCCGTCTCCCCTGTGTGCAGCGCCCGCATCTCCCTATCCTTCAAGCTGTTGATCGCGTTGAGGTACCCGGCAGCATCGTCGTCGGAGAGCCCTCCGGAGAGGAAGACGACGCCAGCCACTCCTACGGGTATGGTGCGCGCCAACACCGTAGCTGTTGCCAGTGCGATATCGTCCGCGGTTGTGTTCGCGCGAGAGTTGTGCCTGAGACCAGGCTGCACGAAAGAGGGCTTGATGAGCGACCCTATGCGAGCGGAGCAGTCATCAGCGTGTATACTAGCGAACTTGAGCTGACACCCTACCTTCTAACAGAACACCGTACGCGTTGCAGCGCGAGTAGATCATCCCGATAAACCTCTGATGAACCTCAACACTTCGTTCAAGACTCGCATCCTCCGCGAAGTCTACGTCAGGCTCGACGATGGGCACCAGCCCAGCCTGCTGGCTTATAGCAGCGAAACGCGCAAGTGCCTCAGCCTGTGCCTCCAGAGCTGCCGTGGTGGGCAGAGTGCTCGCGTTGCACAAGATCGGCGCGCGCCACTTCGAGAACCTCGCGCCAGCGGCCCGCGCTCGTTGCATACGTGGCAGCAGATCATCCAGACCTTGCGTAGCAGGTTCACCCGCCGGCGATCCAGGTAGCGGATGCGAATCGTTATCAGCGCGCACTCCAGGTATGATCCCGCTCTTCTCAAGCACCGGCGCGAGCTCAAAGTCGTGCAACGTCTCCGTGTACAGGATAACGCCCGAGATGTGATCCTTGGGCATCGAAGAGTACAGACATGCACGCCAGGCACGACGGCGTTCCTTCGCTTCCGCGTCAGAGCCAGACCAAGGTTTGCAGGCGCTCAGACGCGCGGCGATGCCTTCGGGCGTCTCGTCTGTGGCGTAGATGCCGCGGCCGCGCGGGTTCACAAGGGCATTTGCTGTGGCAATAAGCTCGGCGGCGACGCCGGGTTTGTGGAAGGGGTAAAGCGGAGAGGACGCGGGATCTTGGGTGCCAGAGCCGGTCTTGGTAGAGTCCCCCTTGAGACCGAATGTGTAGCCCGGGGTAGATACGTTCTGAGCGGACATGATGATGACGAGTTTTGAGTGACGGAGATAGAATTGAGTTTAGTGCGCTCACGTCCTTGCTTGACCGCTGGCCGTTATGGCTATATAGCTCATATCAAAGTCAGCTGGACGACCATAGGACTTCGTATGACGTGTATAGTAGGCTCTCCTCAGTCACCAGACAGACTTCTTGCCACAACCATATTCCAATCTCCGACCTAGAAGAAGTTCGTACATCGATATGCGAGAGCGGGAGGCCGACGGGTAGGACGAAGTGGATGGAGTCAAGAGTAATAGGGTGTCATCGTGGTCGAGTACAGCAAGATCGCTTCACTTATGGGGTACTGGGCTAGTTCTTATGACGGCCCTTATGATCATGGCTCGCCCAAAGCCGCCCCTATCGGCGCGTCGTTGCTCTGCTGCGCTCAAAGTTGCTGGAAGCTGTCGCGTCTATGGAAGCGGACAGAATTGGATTATGAAGGACAGTGGAGATAGATAACAACATGCCGAGAAACAAAACTGTGGGTCGCTTGCAAGGGCTTCATTCAATGATCTGAAGGCATATCATTAGTTTCGCGCTCGCAAATAAGCAGATCATAAACTTACTGTGCTAACCCTCTCAGGCGCCACCCAGGTGTGGGCTTCTCGGGAACTGCCAGTATGCTCTCTACCACCTCCATATGCCTTTTCGCGTCGCTTGCTAGGATAGTCATAGGCAAGAAGTTGATCTCCGACAGAGAGTTGGCGTAGTCCATGCCGACGCTGATGACGGGGATAACGCATCCTGTCTCGCCCTTGCCGCGCCGATCAACGCGTTCGATCTTGGCGATATCTTCACGCAACGTTGCAATCTCATCGGACATGATCTTCCGAGCAGAAGCGTTCGCTCGGACCACGGGATGGCCTCTCCCATGCAGCAGGCAGTATTCAAGTTGCAGTACAAAGGATTCGCCCTTCGGAAGGAGACGCCAGTCCAGCTCAATCTCCGGCGTGACCGTTGCCTTACCGTCATCCAGATCATCAAGTTTGAGCAGCGTGGATATCATTCTCTCGATCCATACACGATAGACATGAGGATCTTTTCGCCGTCCGTCGTAGAATGCGAGCGCCACAAGTTGCATTAGACGTTGCGATGCAGCAAAAGTCTCCGACTGCGTAGGAGTAAGATGTTTAGCGATCTTCAGCACTGCACATATCTTCTTATGCGAAGGCCTATGTCTCCATACTCAGTTGGGGACATAGCGATGTGCGGCGTTCGAGGACATACCAATGTGCTTTTTGACACTGCGTGTACTCAACTCAGTTCTTGACGTACATGCAGTGAGCAAGGCAGCTAAAATACCTCGGCGTTGCAGTATGTAGCCATATGGCACTAAAGTACGCGTATCAGCCGGGGAGATCGCCCAGTTGCATCAACTTCAACGCTACCCTCTTGCATAGTCGTTTCTCGCACAGGTTCCCACAGTTCGTGCACGTATCGAGGGCGTTCTTCATAGCAAATGACAGATGATATATGAGGCCTAGAACTGCAGTGCAGGGCACAAGTACACGACAGCGCGGCGCGTCGTGGTCGAAGGCAAGGTAGCGCAATTCGCGCCATGCACGGCGCGGCTGATGTGACTGTCCGTGACCGGACGCGTCGATACGTGCGCAGGGCGAGGCTTTCGTTCTCCCTCTCTGGCACGCACACGCCGCGATCTGTATCTCACGTGAATTATTCGATGATAACTGCTATATTAAATTGTTTGGTTCTTCCAAACGAAGCATCCGGGAGCTGCATTCCTAATTTTCTGTCGGTGTTGCGGACGACGTTGGTGTCCTGGTAGAGTTGTGTACATCGTGACCCTCGATGTTCAAGCCCACGCCATACTCTCGGTCAGAACCGCTTTAAGAGTCAAGACACGATGTACCCCACTAGCGGCCTGAGGTCCAATTTTGCTACTCGCTTGTTCAGCGGCGCTAACAGCCGGGAGCCTTGGCGTCTGCTGATGTGAGTTTCTGCAAGCTGGGATGAACGACCAAAGTGCACGTACCCGGAAGCGATAGTCCTTATCATGAGCGAGTAACACGTTAAGTACACTAAGAATTTTCAATGAGCGCACAATTCACCTGAGTTCAGAACCTACATACCCGACCAGAGTGTTGACAAACGTCGGTGCTTGCGTTACTTCGGGCGTCCAACACTCTTCCAAATCTTGCACCGCCTCCTGGACATGGCTATTGATGAAGGGCATCTCCATCATTGTCATCTCGGACATATGTCCGGTGAAATCTCTTGCAAGATTGAGAACCAGAACTTTGCATCCGGATTCCGCATCTTGGCCGTCAGGCTTTGCTTCGTTCAGATTGGCGATACCGTTGTGTAGTCTTTCGAGTGCGAGGTCCATGAGGAGTTTGACGTGAGGTTTTTTCCGGAGCGGATGCTCTTCGGCAGTTGGATGCCGAACGTTGACATCCAGTATCTGCAGGACATGGCGAGTATTGTGGGGTACGAGGCCCCAGTTGATCTCGAATACTGGTGCGAGCTGCATGTTGTACGGCTGCTCTCGCAAGTTCAGATACGTGGACACGATACGATAGATATGATCTCTGTAGTAGAAGGGATCGTGGCGGCGCCCATCGTAAAAGACAGTGTCGATTAGCATCATGAGTCGTTTAGACTGTGTCGTGATGCGAGTTTCCTCAGGAGTGATGGTGGCTGCTAGAGTCGCGCAATTCTTCTTGTGCTCTGGCCTAGATGAACCGAAATAGACAAATTAATGACCGCCTACAATGATGCAATTACCACGAACCAATCTGCTTTTTGACACTATTTCATAGCACGGCGAGTTAGTGACATACATTCAAGCCACACTAAGTACTCAGGACATACCTCCGCGCCGCAGTAAGCGACTTGACGGCACTGACCACTGGTTGTCAGAGTCAAAGAGATGAGCGGGATGCATGCTCGAGACAGAAGCGACCTTTTTGCAAGCGCGTGGCCCGCACTCCTTCTTGCAATGAGAGCAGGCGCAGACCTTCTGCATGGGCAACCCAAGCGGTCCTATGGTGCCGGACGGCATGACCGTGACAAGCAAGCCAGAACCTCACCGAAAACGGTTGGCAAGGTTCGGTACAAGACGCAAGACGAGTGTAGCTGGATAGTATTGAGACCTGCTAGCGTTCAGCGGAACCGGGAAGGGTGAGCGTCGGGTTCAAGTTGCGCACTCGGATCGAATGAGCTGTCCGGAACGGGTGGCGCGATCAGTGATGGGGTAGCGTGGCACGCCCTCTTTCGGCATTGGGTCGCGATCGTCACAATGATACCGCGCATCTAATCTGCGCCTGTCGAGCGCAAAGCGATAAAGATATGAGACTTCAGATACCTCGCGTAACCCTCCGCGTGATGGGCTCAGTAGCCAGTCAACAGCAGTCAACTTCCCCAACAAGCACGAACAGGCGGATTCATCAGTAGAGAGTTTATTATTAGTGTATGACTAAGGGTACATAAGCACGGAGCAGATACCAGCTATTTCCCAACAGGAGCCCTCGTCCACGGTGAGTGTAGAGGGCTCAGTATCGCTCTCGAGGTGAGTGTACGGGCGGGCGTAGTGTTTTCGGTTGGACCGATGGGCCCGGTCCGCATGCGTCTCTGCTCGGAAGGGCTGCATTCGGGTAATTCGGATGTCTGTCAAGTAAGCGTATGAGCTCGCGCGCTGGCCACTGAAATTATGGTTGTAGTACCGGAAAGCGATAGCGTTCGTCATTTGCAAGTTGGTCGTTGAGGACCCTAATGCGTCGAGTGTTCAGCACACGAGCGACATGAACTGGCACGAACCCAGGCTTACGCGCTGAGATGGCTAGCGAGATGACAGCGATCCACACCGGGGAACCGACGATGTATCATCTCCTTCAGCTCCCTCACGTCTCCGGTCTTGAAGGTCATGGCCGAGAGCGTGAGCTCAGAAAGGTATCCGGCGAACTTCCTCGAGAGGTTCACGATGGGAACAACACAGCCCGACTCGCGCTCGCTCTCATCACGTCCGCGATTGATCTTTGCGACGTCCTCTCGCAGCTTGTCCAGCTCCTTCTCAGCCATTGTCTTCAAGGGCGGGGAGTCTGTCAGAGGATGCTCTCTAAACTCCGCATACCGGACGCGGATGTCGGTGATCTGAAGCGCATGAGCATCACCCTTAAGCAACACATCCCAGTTGATCTCCACAATCGGCGTAATCTCCATATCGAATGGCTGGTCTTCGAGACCAAGCATGGCGGAGATGATCGGGTCGAAGTAGAGGAAGTATAGCCAAAGGTTGGCACGACGGCCATCGTACCAGACGGAATCGACGTATAACATCATCCGTTTAGACTGTGTCAAGATAGCGGTTTCCTCTGGCGACCTGGCCTCTTGTAATGTGGCGCAAACCTTCTTATGCTCCGGCCTGCGGTAGTTGATGACCCATTCAGTCAGCACGACATTGACATGACAGCAGTGATGGGGAAGGGAGCCACCAATGCGCCTTCTGACACTGTAAAACGTATGCTTAGCCGGTTACCTAGTAAAAGGGCAAGTGTGTGGGAAAGGCGCACCTCTGAACTGCAGTAGACCGCCTGGTGACACTGGTATGTAGCAACAAGGTCAGAATGGGCCCCATTGCTGACGCAGGCGAGTCTGAACGAAAAGTACCTTCTTGCACGACCGTCGCTCACATCTCTCTCCGCAGAGAGAGCACGTATAGGTCAGTTGCCATTTGACCATGCTCAGTCGTAGAGTGGTGGTGCAGAGGCAAGCAACGAGCGCCGAGCGGTCGTCAAGCGCCGTACTACGTAGAGAAGTGATCTTGGGGCGATGCGGGGCAAGCCGAGTGCCACAAAACGGTCATGTGAGTTCTCAGCAAGCGAGCAGTACCCGACTGATCTGCATGCGGAAACGCGATTCACTGTCATTCTGTCGGCGAGAGATATCGTACATGACTTTTCAATCTGTCTTCATACGCCTCGTACACACGTAGAGCATATCCCATTCAGTCGTACACCTTCGCAACCTCAACGTCCGACGCGTCGTCATCTGTGCCGACATACGTGTCGAACCAGCGGAAGACCTCGTAGTGCCACTTCAGGCTGTTCCCGTGGTTAAGCACCCAATGGTTCTCATCCGGGAAGATGACCAGGCGCGCCGGAATCCCTTGCCTACACAATCCATCAGTACTCGTTCCATCACATCAAACGTTGAATACACGTACTGCTTGAGCGCATGATACGCCGCAATCCCCTCCGTCTCCGCCAGCCTAAAGTCCTTACTCCCATGCACAATCAACATCGGCGTCCTCCACTCCCCCACAAACTCCCGCGCATTAAACTCCTTCAAAATCGCCTTCGCCTTCTCGTCCCACGGCCGCCCGCCCCACTCCTGCTGGAAAAAGTAGAGCTCGTCGGTGGAGAAGCCGTTGTACGTCGCGTCGAACACGCCGTCGTGGCAGAAGAGGGCTTTGAAGTTGAAGTCGTATTGCGACTGGTGGCCCTGGATCCAGTTGATGGCGTAGCCGCCCCAGGAGGCGCCCGCTGCGACTGCGCGGGTGGGGTCGATTGAGGGGTAGAGGGAGAGGGCGTGGGTCCAGCCGGCTTGCATGTCGGTGAAGGGGCGCGAGCCCCAGTGTTCTTGGATCGCATCCGTGAGCTCTGAAACTGGGTCAGACGATATACTCGAGTGGTCGTGATGCAAAGGCCGTACCTTGACCGAACGTCGTACTCCCCGCCGGATTGAACACCACAACAAAGTACCCCTGCTGAGCAAACACATTCGGGTTCCACCGCGTACTCCACCTCTCATCCCAAACGCCTTCCGGCCCACCATGTATAAGCATAACAACAGGCCACGTCTTGCCCTCCTTCGCACTCGCCTCGCGCCACCCGCGCGGTTTCAACGCATATCCGTGAATACGCTTGCCCTCGTGGCCAGTGAAGTAGAAGTGCTCGGGTTTGGAGAGGTTCTTGGATGACAGCGCGTCGGCGGTGAAAGATGTGAGTTGGGTCGGTTTGACGAGGGTGGCGAGGTTGGGGGAGACGAGGTGTGCGCCTTCTTCGTCGACCGATTTCCTTGGGTCCTCTTTCTCATCCACCAGCGCGTCGTGCAATCCTTCTAATCCTTCGAGCACAAAGATGTCGTCCGGGCCAGTCAGACTGCTCCGGCTGTATAAGACCCGTCCACCGGGTAACGCGAATGCGGCATGTGCCGCACCACCGGACGTAAGTGCGCGCGGGTGGGTGTATCGAGGCGGGAGAGGCGGCGAAGTGCTGCTTTGTTCTGGGGTAGGAGGGAGCGGCAAGGCGAAGATCTTCGCTTGAGCGTGGTCGCCAGCCGTGAGGTACAGAATGGGCGCGTCGGGCGCGAACTGCGGCGTGAGAGTCAGTTGAATGCAAAGGTGGAGCGGGAGGAAGAGAAGACGTACGGAGAGCCCGTCGGGCGAGCGGTCCCAGGGCTGCGTGAGCGTGTATCGCACGTCCTTCTCGAGATCGTAGATGACCACGCGCGAGCTACACACAGCTATCAGCTCTTTCCCATCTCTTGCACCAGCTGAGGAGCAGAAGCTTACCGGTCGCTCTCGTGCCCGTCCTTCTCGAGCTCGAGCCAGGCAACTTTGGTCCCAGACGCGTCAAACACGGGGTTATGTGTCGCGCCTTGCTTGCCGGACGTGAGCTCGCGCGGCTCGCCACCTTCGAGCGGGACGATGTAAACCTGACGAGTGAGCACGTCAGTCACCCAATCCCGTTGCGCCATCACGAACGCGAAAGAGGACGTACGTTCTGTCGCGTATGCCAAGCCTCAGGCAACACCGGGTCCTTCGCCGTATACACAACATGCGTCTTCGACACCGTAAAGTCCTCCGATCCTCCAAAGGGCTCCACCGGCGTACTGTGCCCAGTGCCCTTCAACAAGTTCTTGAACTCCTCGCCGAAAGCCCACTTCTCTCCCTTCTTCTCCAGAGAGACGGCGAAGAGACTGTTCTTCTTCGGCCCGACATAATGATCCCAATGTCTCTCGAACCCCTCGTCGTACACGAACGCGCTGTTACCGCGTTCATCCCACGCTTTGTCTCCCTCCGCAATGGCCGTAAGATTGCCGTCGGCGTAGACTTTGTCGCTGAACACGAGCGTGCGGGACGAGGGGTTGTAGATGAAGTTGCCCGAAGTCGAAGAGGGGAAGGTGCCGATCAGCGTGGGCGGGTCGGGCGTAGCGTCGAACGAGAGTGCGGACTCGGTTTCGACTTTGAGGGAGAGGGCGTAGAGAGAGGATTCGTGGTCGGCAGTGGAGTAGACGTGCCCGAGCGTCTGCCCGTCGAGCCAGAACAGTTCGCCGCCTTTCTCGAGCGGGTACTTGGCTTGCGCTTTGGACGCGAGACTTGTGACTACGAGCGTCTTCTCGTTCCTAATGCCCACCGTCAGCTCCCCAACATCGTATAAAGCATGGGTGCAAGACGCACTTCTTAGTCTCGAAAGAGTACTGGCTAACAGTATTAAACACCAGCGTACCCTCCGCATTCGGCGTCCCCGCACTCGGCCGCGCAAGCTCGATCAGACCCTTAGGCGCAAACACGTCCGCGCCAGAGCGCAACGCGAACTCGCGCGCGCGCGTCGGCACAGTACTTGTGGTCATGTCGGGCGCGCGGAGGGGAAGTTGCTGGGCGAAGAGGCCTGCCACGAGCGGCTTCCACATCCTTTCCTGACTTGCGCCTTTTGAAGGCCAGAGATTCTTTTATGGAAGGATGGACGCGTGTGGAGAGGGGCGTGCGCGAGGGAGAAATATATATGGATTCTGCATGCGCGCTCGGCGAACTGATCAGGCGCCGGAAGTGGGCACCCGCGCGGACAGGGGCAGCAGGCTTCGGGCCGGATTGGCCGACCGTGGATCAAGGAAAGGCAAAGAGCGGGTAAGAGAGGTAAGGATACAACAGGAGCAACGACGACACTGATACTGAACATAAGAACTAATCGCTCATAGCCTCGTCCGCCTCCTCCTCGCCATCACCAGCCGCAACAGCGCCCTCATCAAGCCTAAACTCGGGCTCATCAACCTCGACAATCTCCCCCTTACTCTTCTCCCACCTCGCCCTCAGCGCGACCCTAAACTCGACCGTCTTCCGCCCAGTCAACTTGAGCAACTGCGCCTGCTCGGGCGTGATGGCCTTGCCCTTCTCCACGACCGTATGCGGTACGTCTAATGTGGGTACACCGCGATTCATGCGCGTTGTGAGGCCGAGGCGCCGGAGTTGGGGCTCTTCGTTGTGCGGGAGGGGTTCGGGCGGTGTGGAGTGGTGTTGCAGGACGGGGCCGGCGGGGAGGGTGATGGTTGTGGGGGCGATGTTGCCGGCGCGCGCGAAGTCGGGGGCGTGGAAGTCTTTGAACCATTCGATTACTTCTTCGGGAGGGGAGTCGGTGAAGAGGAGGCCCATCTGGCCTTTTATGCGCTGTGGATATAGGTTAGGAAGGCGTAAGGGGATGAGGGGATAGAGAGAGCGTACAGATGCGAGTGCAGAGAGACCGGGCGCGTGCTCCTCCTCGGGCGTCGTACCCAGCGCTTTCGCCATAACAGCGCCGCGTCCAAAGAACAATCGTGCAGAGCTACATAGAAAAGACGAGATACCATGAGTATATCATTTAGAAAAAGGTCAAGCTGAGGATACACGCACTCTTTCCAGTACCTCCTCACGGTCTTAAGATGCGCATTGCGCATGTTGCCAACCTCAAACAGCCAGACATATTCCCACTTGTCCACATTTTCTTGCAGCTACTTTGTAGAGTCACACTGTCAGAAGTGATGACACAGTTCCAGGACGGAAAGTCGCGCACCTCGGTGATCTGCGCGCTCTTGTGCTCCTTGGTCTTTTTCGCGACCTTCGTGAGGGACACTGATCAACGTCACCAGATTTCAGTGAACCGTACACGGATACGCGCTGAGTAGTCGCGTACCGAGCTTTTGGCGTTTTGACTTCGGCATTTTGGGTGAAGGGGAAGGTGTGGCGAAAGAGAAAGACGCGCTTCGACTCTGACTTGGGCAAATTTGAAGCAGGCGTGCGATTGAACAGCTAAAGCCCCTATCCTCGGACCGATGTCCCCGCACGCGCGCACCTTGCCAGCGACCTCGGACCACACACGACTTCGAATCAATCATGGCGAGCAGCATGTCTTTACTACGACGGAGTGCGCGGGTACGACTGGGACCGGCTAGGAGAGCGCTGCATAGAAGTGCAGCTGTGAGGGCCTCGGCGCCGCAGCATGGGGAGGAGGGGATGGGGCCTGAAGGACCGGGGTGGTCGGATCCGAGGCCGCCTTGGATGTATACCAGGTGCGTGTTTGGCTATATACCGGCTCTGGGCATCTATCTGACTTGGTTGTTGTAGTGTGTCTTGGGCTCAGTGGATAATTTGCCCTGGTACGTCTATACTTCATCCGCCGTGAAGTACGGGTGCTGACGCTTTCAAACAGCTGTGGCTATCTACGGCGTATTCTTCATGGACTTTGGCGACCGGGAACATGCCTTCATGCCGGTTCGTGTCATATATTAGCGCTGTATACACAAGCAGTGGGCTGACGCCGGCGAGTAGGCACGACGTTGGTTACAACGGCAGAAAGCGGCCTTCTTCACGCTCTCGCCCGAAGAGCAGAAGTACGTCGAAGAGTTCCAGCAGCCAAAGTCGTCCAAGGTGTACCGTCCTTAGCATCCACACGTCCTCCATTCCTCATAGTCTACTATCGCGTTATCCTATTGACTGCTCTACATGACGGTTCGCTGTAAAGGTGTGGGTCCATGTGTGTCCGAACCCAATCGACGCGTGATCGGGAACGGCCCGCGGCGTCTGAAAATGTACAGTACCAGTTGGACGGTCACTCCAGCTCGACTCGATGGCTGCCTCGACCACACCACCCAGCCACACCTTCCCCGCGCCCACACCCTCAGGTAGTTCGCGCATCACCTTACATAATTGCATTCTGAATTATAATATAACATTGGACATTATCGTGAACTAGATGTCGAGAGCCTCAAACGCGCGTACCTCACTCTCCTGCCACATCCCAGGCTCGTCGACCTCGTGCTCGCCTTCGACACACATCTGCCCGACACCGCACGGCGATTTCTATGGCCGTCCGACCTTCGCGCTGCCGCCGACGCGCTCGCGCCACGACCTCCTCCGCCTGAGCCTACGCCCCCACCGGTAGAGCCCGCGCCGGCGCCCTCTCCGCCCCCACCTCCTCTGGAAGTGGAAGACGAAGAGCCAGAACCAGAACCCGCGTCCATAGGGACAAACGACGAATGGGCACACGTAGCCGCCGTACTCCAACAAGCAGCCGCCTCCGCCTCGACGCGCGCAACGCCCGACCCTAAACCCGCCTCGCCCGCCCCTCCACAGCCAATCCAGACCCACAACGCCACAACATACCCTCCACAGCCCTACGGCGGCTCGGCACTCCGGCCCGGCCAATACACCTACCAGTCCTTCTCCCAGCCCTCAGCGACACCCTTCGCCGCGCCCGCCTCAACGCCCTCCTCATCCCAACAAGGCTCAAGCAGAAACGCCACGCGACGCGACGAGAACAATCTGCCGTCGTACGAAGATATGATATGTATGGCGCTGGGCGAGCTGCGCGATCCGGAGGGATGCGCGCCGAAGACGCTGTTCAGCTGGATGGCGCAGCGCTATCCGCTGCAGGCGAATTTCAGGCCGAGCGCGAGTCAGGCGCTGCAGAAGGCGTATAAGAGGGGCAGGCTGGAGAAGAGCCAGGGTGGGAAGTATAGGTTGAATCCCAGTTTCGATCCGGGGATATTGGTTAGTGAACTTCCCATTTATTTCCAGTATTGGAGTTGTACGACGCGTCGGCGGTTGGTTTATGAATTCGAGAAGTTTGATTTCTCGATCGGGAATGTGGCGACGCGTGCCATCACGCCTACATCTCTTCTTGGTTCTTCAACTACCGCATCTGTCTATGCATATACTGATACACTCTACTTCTTGACAGCTCGGCCAACGCCGACCAACGCGCCGTCCGCTCTCAATGGCCGGAGCCCAAGCCGCCCTCGCAAACCGCAAAGCCCGCCTCGCCGCCTCCTCGCCATCGCCCGCACGCCCCCCACCAATCGACATCACAACATTACCGCCCGACTACGATCCAAGACGCCGCCAAGCGATCGACATTACGACCCTACCGCCCGACTTCGACCCAAGACGGCCCTCATCATCGCTACAAATCGCACCCTCACCCTCACCATCCGCCTCCGCATCCACTTCAACATCCACCCTCCACCCGAGCACCAGTACAAATACCGCACAAGGAACCTTCACGCAAGCGTACGGCCAAACAAGCCATCCACCACAACACGTCCCCTACGGCGCGGCGTGGAACGCGTCGGCGCCGAGCGGGCGCGTCGTCGCGCCCGTGCCGGTGCTGGAGAACACGAACGTGCAGACGCAGGTGCAGGACGATGCGCTGGCTAGTATTTTGAGGGTTATTGCGACGGCCAATGCGCATCGGCAGCCTGCGCAGGCGCAGGCGCAGGCTCAGGCGCAGGCTCAGCAAGCGCAGACTCAGGCGGTTGTGCATCCGCAAACGCAGGCGCAGGCGCAGGCACAAGCGCAAGTGCAGGCGAGGCCTGTACAAGCCCCTGCACCAACACCGGCACCCAGGACGGGCGGTGGAGGCGGAAGCGGGCTAAGCGATGCCGATCGCGGCGAGCTCCAAAGAGGCCTATTCCAGCTCGCGAAAGAGCTCGCAGAGATCGTCGCCGAGGAAGAGGAGGAGGAGGAAGAAGAAGAGGAAGAAGAGGAGACGAGCGGTGGATGGACGACCGCTCCAGGGTGGACTACGGGCAGCGCGAGTGCTGCTGCTGGGTGGTCGGGCGGTTGGCAGAGCTCTGGGGCGCCGATGTGGCAGGGACATGGACATAGACAGCCGGTCGCGTCGGGGAGTGGATGGCAGAATGGACATGTGCAGCCGAATGCGCATGCGGGTCCTTCCTCGGCGCAGAGGCAGGAGCCTGTGCGCTCGCCGTCGCCGGATTTCCCGGATGCGATATCGTTCGCGAGGCCCTCCGCATCCGCATCTGCACCATCACAACAACAACACCGGCCTCAACAGCAGCCGCAAGCTCAGGCAGCAGCGTCTATGGCACCACCGCCCTCGCTCGTACCGCCCATGCCCGTAGTAGCCGACCACAGCGACTTCTTCAGCGCCCTACTAAGCGGCTTGCAAAGCTCGTCGACAAATACTCCTGGGCCCGCTCCCGATCCTCAATCCGGATCTACACTATCGTACCCGAATCTCGCACCATCAGCCTCCCATCCTGAACAACCTCAACCCGAACAACCTGTACAGGACCACCGAGAAACAAGACAACCCGTGCATATCGACGAGGGAACGGCCGAAGCCAATCAGTTGTTGGACTCGCTCTTTCATGCGGAGGATGATGCGAGCGAGGCGTTGTTTGGGCTTGACTTTCTTGGTGGTGGGGTACACACGCATGGGGGAGGGGGTGAGGCGGGTGGTGGAACGGGTGGGACACGTGCGGATGTTGAGATGGGTGGAATGCAAGCGGACGTGTCGATGGATGATCTGGCGGCGTTGCATGGGATGTTCGGCGGTCCGGCGGCGACGGAAGCGGCGGGAGGCTCAACGGCGGCGCAGGGAGCGGGAGGTTCGGCGACAGCGAACGGCGACGTGGGAGGTCTCGCGGAAGCGGCGTCGATAATCGAAGCTGGCACGGCGGGAAGTGGCGCGGTCCAGGGAGCTGTGGCGCCGCCGGACAACGATGTGATGCCTGGGGGCATACTCGTCAATTCTTGGCCTGAGTCGATACCGGGGCCACCGGGTCCGCCAGTCACGGCCACCGAGGGGGGCGGCGACGAGGGCGGTGAAGATGGGGGAGAAGAGGAAGACGACGACGACGATGACGAGGATATGGAGATGGTTATTATCCCATAGCATCTGCTCGCCGCCCTCCTGCCTCATCCCGCCCTTCCCCGTGAGCGGATACCAAGCCACCGCCACCCACGCCTGCCGAAGCCCAGTGCGATAGTGCAGACGACGCCGGGGACGACGACGAAGTCGACGTTCGTTGTTGACATCCCGAGGTCTCCAATCACCGTCCTATTCTCCATCGCGCGCATCTAATTCTCTCGCCTTACCTCCCACATTTTCTTGGGTCCATCAGTGCTGATCTCTTGGTTCTTTCGCTCTGCATGCTACCGTCGCTGTCGCTGCTGCTGCTATTTTTGTTGTTGTTGTACATCTTTCCGCCAACGTTGTTATGTTATGCTGCTGTGCTGTGCTGATGATGCCGCTTCGTCCAGCGCAGCTGGACTCTGAAGATGTATTTTCTGCTCAAGCGCAGAAAGGAGAAGATATCGATGGGACGAGGCGCGACGCGACGCGATCTAGAGACGCGCGAATCGTGATGTGTCTATAGGTGGCGCGACGGCGCGCGCCCCTCCTTGGTTGACGCAGACCAAGAGTCTGTATCGCGCCTCTGCTTATCCAAGGGCAGGCCGCTTGTTGAGCAGTGGCCGTGTGTGAGTGGTGCGCCAGGTCAACGCCGCCGCGACGGATGAACGGATGTCGGACGATGCTACGCCATCACCGGGGACGGGGAAGCCGAGAACAACGGAGATGACGGCGACGAGGGAAGTCGGCGTCCCGTAAGCTCTGGTCAAGGTCCTGCACCTCTGAGTTGGACTATCTTTGGGTGGTATCTTGAACCTTTTATGCCTCATGCTTTCCCCGTCGCTGTACAGTATCCTGACTGTTTTGTTCCCGAATATTTGAACAGTGCCACATTGATGTCGTCCAAATCCACCTACAGCATCGAAATATGTTGCACGCCAGGGCCAGCATCAAAGAGTACTGTCTTCCGAGTCACGCCGAACGTCTTTGCGAACATCGTAAATACCGCTGTGAGTACTGCTGTGAGTACACGGTTGCGCTTCTACTCGGTACCACATCAGCGCCATGTCCGATCAAGCTCACGAGGCGCGGCGGCCCGTAAATGTGAGTGCCGTCGTCAATGTACGACCTGTTCCTGATGTCGCAGTCTTCCTACAGATTCCCTCGATTTGGAGTACGGATCTCGAACCGGATGGATATACAGCATGCCTTGACGGAAGGCTTGTATTCTCTGGGCAAGCTGTGCCCCGGGGCAGAAACTTCACTCGGCTCGGCCCGAACTGCCACCTGCCCTTGACAATCGGTCAGCGTTGCTCGGCTTCCAGTTGACACATTAACCGTCTATGAGACCTGTGAGTAGTACGAGTCACAGACACCGTCCCCCACATTATTCGGCTCGGACTCACGCCCCGCGGTAAATGCATGCACTCGGAAAACACACGGCGCAGAGATCTGCGATACAAGAAGTATTCATCACCGCGGCCTCCGGCACCTTGACGTCGTCAAGAACGGTGACGTCCCAAGCTTCTTCTGCTTCTACCATATCCCACCAAAAAGCTTATTCTTTTCTGGTATCGGGGACTTGTTCGGCGCCGCGCGCGCTATTCTGTGAGGCGCTGTCATCATCACAAGGGCTCGTACCCACACTCTTGCTCAGATGTTCGGCTCCGCCTTGTCGGTATTTGCAGGACTTGAACTTTTTCTCAAGGCGCTCGGTAATCGATCATCCACAGACGCTAGAATTTTGGAACACCAGGTTGCAGACCGCAGGGTCCGACTCGCGATGCTGTACGCGCCCCAAGAAAAAGCATTCGAACCCAGCCGCGCAGTCATGCGGCACCCTGCCAGGCCGCAAGCACGAGCACCGTTCTATCTCCTTTTGTTAGTACCCTCGAGATGGACCAGCAAGAAGTGCTCAGCTTGGTGGCAGATATATTGAACCACCCTCACGGGTCCAGCACGCGACGAGTCCCCCTCGCGATACCGTACGTATCTCGCGGCCTATACCCACGTCGCCGTCTCTGATCGGCATGCCACCTCCGTTGAACACTGCTGTCAACGACTCAAGCGAGAAGACAGACCAACACGGGGTATGCGTCGGTTTCGCGCTAACGGGTAACAGCGAAGTACAGGGTAGCAAGTCAGGCCATTCAACCCCTATTGAGTTGTGTATTCGGGCGACAGAGACGATCAGAAGAAGACGACAGGCGTGCACGTCGTGCGGAAGCAAACGTCCATTTGCGGCGCGTGCGCATAATTGGGGGCGTTTGGTGTTGGGCTCCGCGGAGCGCTCTACAGCGTTCAGATCAAGACACCGGGCTACTGTGCTTGCGAGTGGCTGATCTTGAAGGGGATACACGACGACGAGCTGACGAACCACTGTATGGCAGCGGCTGTGGTCGCAATATGCTTAGACATCGGATCCTCGCATTCTATGGAGTCGCGGGACAGGTAGTACTCATAGTACTCGGAACTCACGGCCTAGCATGGAGCGAAGCAGCACGTCCTCAGGGCACATAAAATACAAGGTCGCGAACACCTGTACTATATACCCTCCCATATCTGATAGGAGTGCAGTCATGTTGAAGCGGGCTAGGTATTGGTCGAGAGCAAACGCACACGAGTGGGCGCGAGCTCACCATCATCCCGACGGGTGGTTGCCTATTGCGGAAATATCGGTTCCATCATTTTGATCCCAAAGTCCGGGCGCGCGCCCAACGTCGTGCCTCTCTCGACATGACCCCAATCGCGATCTGCAGGTCCAATTTCAACGTCAGCGCATTTATCACCTTGCGCCGCCGCCTGCATATGGTTCTCCTTGCCCTCAACATCCATCCGCCTGTCCTTATCCGCGACTCTGAACGTCCTCCTCACAGCGCGTTCCGCTGAGCGTGGCATGCCGTCCTTGGCGTCCGTCTGGCGCAGAGCATGAGCGAAGTCCTGGTCGATTCTGGACAAGGCGAAGTGATACCTTCCGACCTGACGCCGCAGGAAATCCTCCAGGCTGTCATTGCGGGGATCGAGAGCATCGCCATGTATGTGCTCATAGCTGCTCGTGCTGAAGAACAGTGTTGACTTGAAACCTGGATAGCTCGCGGTATATGCTCGTTGCGGCTGGTACGGGTTTCAACCATCCAGTGAGATTACTCGACTCGCTGATATTCGAAATGGCAGTGGTGCTCGCCTTCTACGATTGGTTGCTCAAGTAAGCGTCCGGCCACGGTTTAATCCGTGCGCTCAATACTGACTGTACGCTTCCAGTCTGGGTTTTGAAGTCCAGTTGGTACGCCGGCATTATTCTCCGTTCTCCTATGGAGCTCAGTGTACGCCCAGATCCACCGCTCGCGCTGGACGCTCGTCAAGGTTGCCTATCTGTACGTGATTCCCATCATATTCCGTCCTTGTACATGTCGCGTTGATCCTCACACTTGTCAGATTCAGTCGGTATTACACGCTCTTCGTTCTTTCGCCATACCTACTGTGGGCCATTGTGCGCGACCATCATCTGGCGACCTGCCAGAAGAACGTCCGTGCAACCTATATAATCATACTGCCTTCGGTAAGCCTCCGTACCCTGCAACATAATGCATAAGACTGAGCGCGCCCAGATCGTCTCGGCGCAGTTGTACGTGCCACCTTGTCCTAAACAGGCGCGACGACTGATGATCCGTGCTTCCTGTGTGTCTTGACTTCGACTGCGCATACAAACTCGTCGTAGAATTCTCATGCTGAGGACGTACGCATTTGCGGGCCAGCGTCGTGGCGTACTCTGGACTCTTGCCGTCTCTCTTTCGGGAGTGATCGTTGGCTATCTGGTAATCGTATTGAAGTACATAGAACGTGCGTTCCTTGTCACTTGACTAAGCGAGGCGAACCTAAAAGCGGACATCTGCAGTGGTCACAGTCATATTTGACCTTTTGGGAGGGAAGTCCGGCTGCTTCGCCTCGACAAACCTTGAACAACACTTCTCCTTCGATATGGCAGTGAGTTATAGCCGTCTCCATTCAGGTCCGAGCACTGACGGCGGCCGTTTGAAGCTTATCTTCGTCCTGATATTCTGCTTCGATGCACTCAATATTGCCATCATCGTCGGAGTGAGTGTCTGATAGGGTTCTGCTTCCCGTGAGTCGCCGCCGGAAAGGCTAACTGCGGATACAGCACGTCGTCAAAGACCGCAACATGCGTGGCGACCTGTATCAAACGGTCCTGAAGCACGGCTTCTTCTACTATCTTGCAACCTGTACTGTAAACATCTTGAACACAGGCATGTACTTTGCGTATGTCCTCACTCCCTTTTGTGTTTCACGTTCACCGAGGGCTGATGATTGGACAGACCTGAGCGTACCACAAACGGGATCGCAGCTTGGTTCGCTTGGATACTTCCTAGCATACTCTCCTGCAGCCTCGTTCTCGCCCTGCGGCATGTCTCATCCCCGACGCAGACTGAGTTCATGCGCCGAGTTGACGCCGCCGTCGACGATGCACTCGAGATGGTCGGCCACGCGCCAACCGTACCTCAGCGGAGTTTGGACGTACATGGAGGAGAGTTTGAGAGTGAGGTTGAGGGTGTGTCGCTCCAGAGTATTGTGCATAAGCTGTCTGATCTTCCATCCGGAGAGGGTGGCGAGCCTAGTAGTCCAGATCCGCGTACTCCGCTCAAACGTGGAAGTATGGATGGACGAATACAAGACGTTTAATCAGATCACTTGGCTGACTTGGGTTGAGCGTTGCCCCAGATAGCCCTCTGCCACCTTCGGCTCTAAACCTCACTTGAATTTGACCCAATCGAAGACTGCCGTATTCGATATGAACATCGCAGATAACCGTCGCCTGAGGCTCCGTTATTAGATAGCTAATAGGCATGATCTCGATGCACGCTTGATGAGCACGTTTACGGGGCGTATGTGCTCGGACAGTCATACCTTGAGTATCGCTTTACTATCAGATACCACTGTGTCACTGAGTGATAGATGTAAAGCAAATCCTTGGTGGATTCGTAGTAGGAACGCGACGCGACGCGCCCAGCCTACTCACGTGTGCGCGCATCTACCGCCGCGGTTTCGGAGCGATAACTTTTGATCTCGACCTCCATCTTTCCTGTGTCCGCGAGCCATGGTCGCCGTGTCGAACAACGACCTTTCCTCTCTAGAGGCCACCCTTCTGAATGTTCCGGGGAATGTGCCCCTGCATAGGCGCTTTCGTGCATTATTCACTCTAAAGGCGCTGAAGAACGCAGATGCCATCTGCATCATCTCAAAAGGTATGCCGCGCGAGAAAACGCGGAGAACCTGCGGCGGAGCGCGCGCTAAATAGAAGGCCAGGCTTTGCCGATCCGTCTGCCCTATTGAAGCACGAGCTTGCATACTGCCTAGGACAGATCAAGGATGTGGCCGCCTTGCCCACTCTCGAGGCTGTTCTGGCGAACGAGCACGAGGATCCTATGGTCCGACATGAGGTGAGCTCCAGGCTTACGTTCTCGTCGATTCTGTCTAAAACTTGCGATCGCAGGCCGCCGAAGCTATGGGTGCCATCTCTAACGAGGCATCTCTCCCGATTCTGCAAAAATACACGACCGACCCGGAGCGGGCTGTGCGCGAGACATGCGAGATTGCGTTGGACAGGATTCGGTGGGCAAATTCTGACGAAGGCCGTGCCGCGGCATCTTTGTCTACTGAAGAACCGCAGTGCGTATTCACAACCCACGAACGTTAGGGATGAGCACTGACTTCATTCAGAATGTATACCTCGATTGACCCCGCACCCCCGACCTCAGGTCTGCTGGCAGGAACCCGGAAACCTTCTAGCACGAGCCTGGACGAGGTATCGCGCTTACGCGATGAACTATTGGATACCAAACGCCCATTATTCGAACGCTATCGTGCAATGTTTGCCCTGCGGAATATCGGCAACTCTGCGGCGGTCGACGCGCTTGCGGACGGCTTCGCAGACGAGAGTGCCCTATTCAAGTGAGTCCTCGTTGTATGATCATATGAGTGAAATGTATCAGCGCCTTCTGAGAATATCCGTTCGGACCGGGTATTGCGACGGCAATACTTCCTCATGCTGTAGCTGTGCCGCGCACTCAATGTTGTCCTTGTCTAACTCTATAGAAGTGCTTGCTGCTTCCGTTTTTCTATCACTCCCTGCCTTCTGTTTGTCATAATTGACGCAACCCGACTGACTCTTTCTCTCCAACAGGCATGAAATAGCCTTTGTCTTTGGCCAATTGCTTTCGCCCCACTCCGTACCCGCACTTCTGCGAGTTCTTCAGGATGGGCAGGAAAGCGAGATGGTTCGTCACGAGGCGGCCGAGGCTCTTGGGGGGATTGCAACACCGGAGGTACTCCCTCACCTCAAGGAGTGGATGATCAGGGAGGATTCACCAGTGGTTGTGCGAGAGAGTTGTCAGGTCGCTCTCGACATGTACGAGGTATGTGGGCACAACGGCTATCTGTATTCGATGCTATTTGGGTCTGACAACGAGCAGTACGAAAATTCGGACCAGTTCCAATATGCGGATGGTCTCGGCGCAGGCGCCCAACTTGTAGCTGCCGCTTGAGCCTCGGACTCGTACGTCACGACTTCTGCGCTTCAAAGGCAGGGTTCATCTATCAATCATATGTAGCCATATTCCGTGTGCGATGGTTCTGCTGTAACGTGTATTCTGGATTCGTGCTCTTCTGTAGCCCTTCTTCTCCTTCCATTCATCCTTACAATCTGTGCCACTACGCTTCGGGTCCTTCAGGATTATCCTCCCCCGGCTTCCGATTGGAACCTCAGAACATTGTGTACGCGGCACTATATCCTGGATTCAACACGCTGGGTAGGGACCCGTGTTGCCGCAAAAGCATCTAGAGCATTTCGAACCTTATTTCTCGGTATGAGCCATGTGTGGCCCGAAGCTTGCTCGATCGTGCTTCGTCTATTGAAGCTATCCTATCATAGTCGAGGGGTCTCGCGCTCTTTAGATCTACTGCACCTTCACAAATCTCCGACGATTGCCTCGACCCTTCCTTTCTCATTCGTGTCTAGACCGCGTCTACCCGGTACGATTGTAGCCGTCCGAGGCGCGAGAAGTGCGTCGTAAGATGCCACGGGTGCTGCATGGCTCTTGCTCACGCCGCCTGCTTCTTCGCTTGAAATCCGAGCGCCACTAGGCTACTGGGTCACTCCATTATCCGTCGTGCAGGCGTGTATCTTTCTCAGAAAAGTATTCATCATGGACCGTGATGCACACTCGCTGAGAACATCGGTGCTTCTCATTCGCACGCTTTCAGCACGCCGATGTGCATTGACTACTGATGCAGATGTTCCAATCGGCCATCGACAGCTCTATCAATCGAGCCTGATTCTCTCCTCTGGCCAGCATGAAACTCCGCAGTGCCGCGGGGGTCTCTTCATACCCTTGTCTGGTCCTGCTGACAATCCGCTGTATGTTCAGTTTGCTGGTCCTGACCCTGAGGCTAGCTTATTGCATGTTGATCCTTTGCGCTCGCCGGTGCTTCTGCGACAGGATCTCTAGAGGTTCTCGTTCTGGATCTTTCATCAAGAGAAGCAGTGACTTAGGCAGCACAGCGGCTATGGGGCTGGGCCCTGTGTCGTAGCACTCGCTGTCGTGTTTTCTGTCGTCATGAAGCCATAATCATGGTTTGTACTTACTCGAGTAGCGAGTCTGGAAGACGGAAAGGAATATGGATTGGCATTGAGCATCCCTGCCATCTTGCATCACCGCTTCTTTGAATCTGAATGAGTACTCACAACCGAATCGAACAGCGCGACGGAACAGATTGTGCAAGCCGATGAATCTACACGCCGGGATAAGGCGCCCATATGCTCGTCATGCACGTATCCTTGACAGCCGCATACGTCGATAGAAGCCTCAGCCACTGACGCCCAGCGGCGGCGAAGTCATATGCACCCGGGACGGCGCCTCTCGGGGGTGAGCATGAAAAGGCTGCGGAACCAAGGGTCCTCGAGTACGCAGCAGGACCCATGCGCGCCTCGGCCTTACAAGTGGACATTCACGAAAGAGATGCCCTTGAGCCGATGCCTAGACCGCCTTCTGGGGTTGGGAAAGTGTTCAGGTCTCGGGTGTGCCTGTACATGGAAGGACGAGCCGGAAACGCACAGGTGCCTGCTTCATACGCTTGAAGACGGCATACACAGATCTAGCATATTTTCGACAAACAACCAGTTACGGGTAGAGTAATAGAAGGAGATACGATGGTATTCAGCAAGTAGCTCATGTACGGATGTATCGCGTGTACATTGTCGCGGTCATGGAACGGCAACGCCTGGGGTCACGAATCACGAGTCCGTTTTTATCGGTAAGTAGACTGTGCGGACTTGGCACGTTTATCAGCGTCCGCATCTTTGGGAAGATCGGGCTTAGTTTATCTGAAGTAGCTCGATCTCGAATATCAACGTGGCATTTGGCGGTATGAGCGGCGGGAATCCCCGCGAACCGTATCCCTTAGTGGTGTCAGAAATTGAACGGATATGGAGGATAAGAAGAGCATACGAGTTCTGGTGGAACCGTCAATATAGCTTTCGTGCCCAGGGACAGTTGTACGACGCCTTGGTTGCAAAGTCAGTATGAGAAAACAAGAAAGGGACCTAGTACAAGCCTTCGTCCCAGCCGCGAATGACTTTTCCGACACCGATCTGAGTGATGAAGGGCTCATTTCTAGACCAATCTCAGTGACTGTACCTATTTCAAGCTATGCCACGAACCTATCTTTGCTGGAGTCAAACTTGCGGCCATCCTGAAGCGTGCCAGTGTAGTGTATCTTGACGCGATCTATTGTCGTACATGAGTGGGAGCCACAGACTCAAACTAGAAATGTGGCGTACCTCCAGCTGCCGGGAAGTTCGCTCCATTACCCGGCCTCAGAGTCTGGATGCTGACCGACTGCAGGAGTAGTTTGAGAGTCATTCAGCTGCAGCGTCTATACGAAGCGCAAGTGGCGAGCTCATACCATGGCGAGGATGGATTGCTGGGGGGAAGATGAGTACCAGGACGTTCGAAGACCGAGGCATTTATATCCTTGTGCGGCAGACAGCAGGTAGGAAGCAGTCTAATAGCGTTCGTCGATGACATTCCAACCGCCTGAGACTTGCGTGTATAATGCCCCCAAATGCGATTCCATGGAGAACACGGAACCGACATGCTCTTCAGGCCCTCCGACCCCTCAGGTCCCAGGACGGGGAGAGTGCTAGGCCTAATCGGATCAAGATCTGCTTTCCTCGACGGCAAGACGAGAATCTGAGTCCCCGAGCGTCGTGGGCCGGGATTTGCCATCGGCGGGAATCCAGAGCTTTGGTGCTGAAGATGCCGGGGAAGGTGCCGATTCATAGGCCAGATTATTGTCTCCTTACATTGGCGCTATCTCGCTGAGCGCACTTGGCGCACTTACTGTCGTGCACACTAGAGGCAGCCAGCTATCGAATCAGTGCTTGAGCGGTCTCAACCATGCCTGGAGGTCTGCGACGAAATTCGTGTCGGATACCTTGGATTCTCAAGGAGGGTACGCGATGCCAGCTAGAAGTCTTTACACATAACGCGTCATCTGCGACTTCGCATGTTGAATCATGTTTGCTGCGCCACGAGTCCACGCTGGACGTTCCAATGCCGCTCTACGATGCTCGGCGTCTATAAACACGACGCGTCTCCGCTTGCCCGTCAATGCACCGCGACGCCGGCGCGGACGGGGAATGTCGATCTGCAGGGAGCCACAACAAGTAATAGGGGAGAAGCTTGGGGCACGAGAATCGTATAGATTGAACAGATAAGGCATGTTCTCGAGTTGTCGCGGCGCGTAGACAGCAAGGCAGCGACTTCGAGTTCCGGTTCGTGGAGCCGAGGTATTATATGAGGATGTTCGACACCGAGAGTGAGGCGTCTCGTAAGACCATGGCCTGTCGGGGATCTATATCCAAGCAAAGAAAGCGGTCAGCTGAGCTGGTGCTGGATACTCAGGCGCTGTTGGTACGTACTGAGGGCCCCGCTCAACGAAGACATCGGGCCGGGGAATGCACCAGTAAAATATATGCAGACTTTGTCCTCCATTGACAAGCCTTCAGACCCAAGAGACGCCGCTCGCAAGCGCGCAAGCTGAGCTGCAGCAGTTTGCGATGGACGATGATGACAACGAAATAAACACTGTTCTACGCTAATTGTTGCGGTCCATTCTGATGGGATCACAAGGTTGGTTAATGCCGGAATTAACCGGGAAGCGAGACTCCCTTCCCTCCCTCTCCTGCCTCCATCGTCTTGTCTCAGTCCCGACTAGTCAATGAGATGTAAGACCACATATCTATGCTACAAGGTAGATCGACTCCTCCAGCCCGTCGCGTGGGCGGGCCTTGCAAGCAGCTTATCATCACGAGGGTCCGCGGCGTCATGGTCGTGGACGGCGACGCCCATCTCCGTGGACCGACCTCACACGCGGTAGCACGGCCTGAGCCAGGCGCCGGACTACTAATGGAGCAGAACTCCTGGTTTAGTCTTTCCAACAGTATCCTTGCTTCAGATCTTTTCGGGTTACCTGCTCGTTTGGCCGAATGACCTCAAGGAGCACGTTTGTAGCAGTCCTCCGGTTCCTCGACGTACTCTCTTCCGTTAGCTGACGTGCTTAGGTAGGACCGTTCCGACGCCCGCATTTATCAAAACGCAATCACCGCCTACTTCCCCGCGATATCGCAAACGCATCGAGGACGCGTATGCAGAGTCCCATCCCCGCGTGATACGTCGTAGCGGTTTCTAGGTTTACCTATCTATGCGCGTGCGAGAAGGGGGTACACCCACCCGGCGCACAAGGCGCCGCTGGTCAATCGATCGGCTCGTTCTCTTGACCAACGTATAGGATCACTCTACTGTCTGTGAGCGTATCAGCTGCATTGCTCTCTATCAAGTGGTGAAGCATTTGCAGAGCCAGCTCAGTGGCAATCTTACTGTGCTCGGCGATATCGCGCCGGCTGTATTCGACGAGGCATCAACGTTGGGAGGAACATCATCATCGGGACTTCGATAAGACGTCCTTCTGCTTCTTTGGACATGGGTAAATTGTCCTAACAAAGGCTTGCTGCCCGCTGTTTTACGTCGCAACTGTGCCTTGCCTCGTCGGGCCGCCATCAAGAACCGAAGCCATTGCCAGCTCCGCGGAACTTGACCACAGCGGCTTCTTGCCGCCATAGAGGCCGGCGATATGGGTTGGGCTGGCGCAGTTCCATGTTCTTTGTGTACAGATAAGGTTTCACGCTCTAGCATGCTTCTTTCCATGTGCACTCTGCCAGTGGTCCCATTACTCACTTGTATTGCCTGACCTCTTGTGATGGCCCAATACGCTCTTGAAGGACGGGATCAGTCGAGTCGCAGGCGACAGACACATATTATGACCGCCTGTTTTCTATCTCCCGATCGATACCAATCTGTATGGGTCCTAGTGCGTTCAACTCGCCATATCTTGATCATTTGCCTCTAAAAGCACACTGCTCGTCCTAAGAAGCTACTTCTACTTCTTCTATCGATGCTCTTCCGCATCACGCGAGCGTTCACTCAACACCACCTTTTGTGTTGTGGGCAAGGACAGGGACATGTTGTGCGCCTTTCCCACTATTTACTGAGCGGTCCATAACTACATCACCCTCGTCTTCGGCCTAGTTGGAGCTCATGGCGAACTGGTTCCTCTCCCTAGAGTGCATACAAAGTGTCCTTCGCTGGTGTGTAAACTCTGGCGACCATCTCCTTCTCGACTCTACGGGCAGTGACGCCAAAACATATTGACCACAGCCCATCGGATGCCTTCACAGCACTGCGTACCCTGGCGTAGCAATCTTTCTACTGTTCCGTTCATCGTTCACACGTCATTGACAAAGCGCCAGCGCTCATTGTGGGTGGGAGGCCGAACACCAGGCTATAGACGTCGAGTTGCTCGAGGAATCGAGATACTTACCACTGTACTTTAGATTCATAATGATGAAACATACATTAGGATGATCCGGAGGCGATGTGCTAAGGGTTTGCTCGTCCTATCAGAGGATCCAGCCGCGGGTGTCTCGGTATGATGGCAGGAGCCGCGGGCGCCAAGCGCTGCGGCTAAGCGCTCATTATCGAGACCTAAGATATTGTCTGTGAAAGCACTGTCCAAAGGACAACGAAGTGACGCACCGCACTGTAATCACATCTTGGAAGTTCCAACGATATACCCGAAGCGCGCCACGGGATTTCAACAGTCAGGTTAGGGTTAGGACACGTGCAGTTCGCGTCGCATCCCGAGACGAGTCGGACTTGGTTTCAACCTCCACTCGCCAGCCGGACAGTCTGGAACCCGATACTACTCAGGCACTTCGCGCCGCCTCGTATAGCTTCACACGAACCAAGTAGCCGGAATGCATGATCTGCGCATAGAGAGCAATATTGACCACATATCGGCGAGGCGCTAACGCACTGATGGCGGCTGTTGCTGTCAACAATGATCTTCTTCGCAATGCGGGGGGATATCCTGCTACCCTTATGGTGACACCGGGAGTACTTAAGGTACTCGGCTTGCACCCCGGGTGATTCTGCACATCCTCCCCGTGCCCATTGCTTTGCAACGATCATGCGGCCTTCCGCTTTTTTCACGCTCCTTTGCGCCACTGTCCTTTCTTTCCATTCATCACCCGTGTTCGCACGCGGTGCTCACCGACGCGCTGTCTCCCACCGTCGAGATGTCCTTTTGAGTGCCAACTCGTCCGCTATCGCCTCTGCTACCTCGACTGGTGTTGTAGAACCATCGTCTACAGGAAATACCACAGCCACATCCCTCCCCACGCCTACCAGCGCCGGCACTCCATCTGCCAAGCCGACATCCATCGGCTTCAATGGAACGAAGCACGCTCTAGTGCACTTCATGGTTGGGAACTCGTGCGTATTATGCGTCCTATCTCTTTCTTAAAACTCATCCGCTGTCCCCGCAGATACACTTATCGCCTCGCGGATTGGATGACCGAGCTTACTCTGATTGAGGAAGCCGGCTTTGATGCTGTGGCATTGAACCTGGGCCCGTACGATCACCTCTTCTCGTTGCAACTATCCAAGAATTCTCATCATGTGCATATGCAGCGACTGTTGGCAAAAGGCCTCTGCAGACTTGGCCTATAAGGCCGCCGCGGCGCTGGGATCGAAGGTGAAGCTTTTCTGGTCATTCGACATGTCGACATTCCCCCAGGTATGTCCACTGCGTCAAGGACTCGCGTAGTCGTTCATGATCGTTGTTTGCTCAACATCGTCTAGGGTGGAGACGCCGACGCAGCGAAAATCGCATCGTATATCAACGAGGTGCGTTGACTCTCCGATGAACACACTGGCGATAGTCATCGACGTGCGCTTCAGTACGCGACCAATGAGCACACCTTCACTGTCGATGGACGTCCGTTCGTAAGCACTTTCTCGGGGGACCAGTGGTCGTCTAGTTTTGGTCGATCCATGTGCGGAGGGTGTGTATCTCTGCCACCTTATCTGCCACCTTCTCTCACGCGCTTTCGGTTAGGTGGGACTATGTTCGCTCTCTCGTCCCTACGGACATGTACTTCGTGCCTGCCTTCTTCTTCCCTGATAACCAGACCATCGCCGGTGTCGTTGACTGCGTCGAGGGCCTATTCCAATGGAACTCGGCTTGGTCTCTCGACGGCTCCCCGGTCAGCGCCAACACAGATATTTCATGGGCGGAACAGCTCGGTCCCAATAAAACCTACATCGCAGGCGTGTCGCCGACGTTCTTCACGCACTACCCCGTCTACGGACTGAACAAGAACTTCGTATACCGCTCGGAGAACAACTACGCGACCCGGTGGCAGCAGGTCACCGACATTGACTCCCCGATGGTCGAGGTCATCAGTGCGTTGAATTTGCCCTTATTCGTGCCTGAGAGGTCTTGCTAACTCTTTCATCAGCTTGGAATGACTACGGCGAATCTCACTACATTGGTTCGCGCCCGTCGTCTGTCCAGCTGCAACCTACGAACACGACTTGGGTTAACGGAAACAACCATCTTCCGTGGGCACGCATCACTAAGCCCTTCATCCAACAGTACAAGACTGGCTCACCTGACGTACTTGAATCCGACCTGATCATCTGGGAATACCGCACCCATCCTGCCAACGCCACGGCCACCAAGGACGTGGTCGATCGTCCTACCGGCGTTGAGACGCTCAAAGATGAGATCTACATCACCGCATACCTCTCAGATTCGGCAGAAGTACGCGTTGAGGTCGGTTCGCTCACCGCCATCTTCCAGGCCTCCCCCGGTCTCAATACCTTCGTACAACCGTTTGAGCCCGGATCAGTGACCGTCGGCATGTGGCGTGACGGCGAGAATGTCGGCGGCACGCTCACAGGCGAGCGGGTCATCTTGGCGGAGCCCGAACTGTACGACTACAATCCCGTGGTCGAACAGTTCTTCCATGACCCTGTCTGGGAGTCTTGCTCTGCGTAAACCTCGTTTCCTTATTATCTTGTGGTAGTCCGAACAGGGCACACGTTCTCTCCGGATTTTAATTGGCATCTATATCTTATAATCATTCCATCATATCATATTCATGTTGCGCGCATCGTTGCGGCGGCGTCGCCGAGAGTGGTTGGGATGTCAGCTGAAACGAGGCGTGCAGACGTAGGTTGGTGAAGTGACCGTGTATTCATGTCCGATCCTGGATACGTGGCTCACGGGCGTCCTAGGCGCATGCATCGAGTGCAGAAACGTGTATCGGAGCTCTGCTAGCTCCTATTCGCATCCTTGCGGGACTAGTCACCAGCCGCGACAGTGGTACAAGATATACACGAGTCTGATCTCATGCCGACGCTGCATGCTATCCATCGATAGGAGAAGCCCCGTTCTGATTTGATGTCATCGGGTAGTTCATTACAGATAGCGGATCGGGCAATAGACTTCTATTGAGCGCTTTGGCACGGCCGGTGTGCTCTACCTGACCGCAACTGACATGGGGATACAGTCGGCGAGCGGCGTGTTGTTCAACCCTCTACCAAGGGCGTAAGTCCGCCCCACGTGAGGTATCACGCTCCCTCTACAGCACATATCCGTATACGTCAGGGTGAGGTCATCCGTGTTACCCTTGGATATATCGAAACGTATGACCTCCTGCAAAGCGAGTAAAAACTCCAGCCGACGGGAGGGGCTGAAGTTATCATGCGTGCTCGCTGATAGTCCTAGACAATCGTGTCATAGATAGACATGGCGCCAGTAGGTTGAGTGATCCAGAAGATCGATCTGTCAGAGGGCCAGCCTCGGCTGAAACCGTAAGTCCTGTAGCGCACCTTGATGGTTAGTTTCTGGGCGTCCGCAGTGATGGGAGAGTTGGACAATCCAAAGACTGCTCAGACCGATGTAGTAAAAGAAATCAGATGACTTTGTACACTGTCGAGACGAGGTGCGGCGAGTATCGGGGTCTCTACTCGACAAATCACCTGACCACCCAACCCGACCACCCACTCAATCCTGCGCCATGTCCTGCTCAGGCTCGAAGATGGCTTGCCTCCGAAGGTCACTCATTCGTCATTGCGCATGATCTTTCGCAATAACAAGAGCATGCACCAGCTGTTACATTGGAGAATATGTCGTGTATCCAGTTATACACGCTGGGCGAAGTTGGGGCGGATGTACAGATGGCGCCGAGGCCTTTGCAACTCATGTGACCGCGAGACCGGCAGAAGGCAAGGGCATCTTAGGACTGCGAGTATAGTCAAGTTCGCGCGTCGGGTTACTGTTCTTTCCGGGGTCACGGCCGAGGTGTACGTTCCACAGGAGGGGGACTGGTAAGTAAGTGCAATCGTGGCAGAGTCGTGCAGTGATGGAGGTTTGAGCAAACTTGTGCCGCATTCTGGCGACGCGTCGAGTCGGCCAAGCGCCGACGCGGATCACCGTACAGTTCCGCCCCATTGCACAACTCGTCTCGGACGCTCATGTCCTTCTCTTACCAGATATAACTCCACTTTCACTTCCTGACTGCGACGATACCGCGGGTTGCGAACCATGTCCAAGTTCGCCATCATCGGTGGGGGTCCTTCGGCTTTCTATACTGCGTCGAGGCTTCTCTCCAGTCGTGAGCTTGGTAAACACTCGTCAAGCGGGAAGTCCCCTATCATCCACATCTACGATAGGTTGTGGGCACCTCACGGGCTAGTACGCTATGGCGTCGCCCCAGATCATCCTGAAGTCAAGGTGTGGTGTACAACCAATCTACCTGAGATACTGCTGACGCAGACACATATAGAACTGTACGCACAAGTTCGATGAAGTCATGCAGAACCCTCTCGTTCGCTTCTTTGGGAATGTGCAGGTTGGTCGAATATCTGCCTCGCCTGTTCCGCACGCAATACCTCTCAGTCTATCGCACATACAACGACATTACTCGGATATGATCATTGCCACAGGCAGCCCGATGGTCAACACTCATCCTGCCCTACCTCCCTCCGATAACGTCATCCCTTCCCTCTCTATGGTGCACTGGTATACTCAGCATCCTGCCGCGCCAGAAGCCCCTCCCTTGGAAAACGTCGAGCATGTATCGATAATTGGGCAAGGAAATGTTGCGCTCGACATCGCACGGATGTTACTCTCCGACCCTGAAGTCCTGGCGAAATACGACGTCCCAGAGTCCGTACTTGCTTTACTTCGTCGCTCAACTGTGAAGCACGTCTCGATCATCGGTCGCCGCGGACCATTGCAAGCAGCCTTCACGACCAAGGAAGTGCGCGAGCTCATGAATCTTTCCGACGCGTCTATGGTGCCACTCGATACGGCGGCACTACAGCCTCCGGCGGGCGTCACTCTAAGTCGACAGCAGTCTCGGGTTTTGGATTTACTCAAGAAGGGATCCAAGAACAAGCCAGGGACTGCGAAGAAAACATGGTCGCTCGACTTCTTCCGCTCTCCATCCAGTCTGGCGCCGCCCGCTGAAGGCGAAGACTTGCACACTCTTACCCTAGCGCACAACGAGCTTGACGGTGCTGGAAGAGCCGTGCCCACGGGTGCAACATCAGCGCTGAAGACGGATCTCGTCATCACCGCACTGGGACAAGCGTCGGATCCTACAACGCCGTTTTATGATGGCGCGGTGCGACACGTCAACGCTGACCCTGTTGGGCGCGTACTTGGCGCCGACGGTAAACCTCTGCGAGACGTCTACTCGACCGGTTGGGCGGCCATGGGGGCGCGTGGCGTACTAGCCACGACGATGATGCACGCATACGGAGTGGCGGATCTCATTGCTACCCAACCCGAGGCCCACGATGGCGAGAGGTTTATGGCGAGTGATGTGGCCCTTGATCATTCGGTCCCTGAGCCTGTCAAGGAGGGTTTGTCAAACGGCGTCGTGACGACCTACGAGGACTGGAAGCTGGTAGACGCTGAAGAGGTCAGGAGAGGCGAGGCGGAGGGTAAGGAGCGCGAGAGGATGGATTGGGATCAAGCACGGACGTTCTTGGCACAAGCTCGACCTCGCACATCCTAGACCACAGGGCTGTCGTGTTAATCGCCTGGGTTGCTCTGCTGTACTTCATTGCTTTGTCGTCTTATTCAACCACCGCTTCATCATTGCAAACCTCGCCGGAATGTCGTTCATTCAACTCGGCTTTCAGCGAGGTTGGCTCTTCATGGAATCGGAGTACGCATGCTCCGGTTTGTACACGTACTCGGCGAACCGGCCAAGCTTCGTGTCCTGTCATAGAATTCCCTTTGTTACATATTGATACATTGCCCTGCGGGAAGATCGACTGTGCACATGCTAGCGTACGACACCCGCCAGTTGCCGGACGGGTCAAGATTCAAGAAACAGAAGATTTCGCAAGTGAACGTCCACGTCAATAAGGTCGTGTGCACGTCGATAACGATCGCGACCGATAATTTGTAGTCAATGTCTCTGTCAGGGCGTGAAAGGGACAGGATCGCACGCTTGCCAATGCGTAGAAGAGTTCGGGTTCGATGTCGCTCGTTCTTCGGCGAGGAGTGCAAGGTCCGAGAAAGCATCACATATTACTGAGTGCGAGTACTGGCACCTTGTCGTCAACGAGAGCAGTGCTGGGCATCTGCGGCCCGGGCGGTACGTTGTGCAGTTGAAATACATTTCTCGGTGCTGGGTAAGCCGGCGGAAGCAAGAAGCAGGGCAGAGTCTTGCGCGGTCCAGGCGCTCAGTGATGTCATCATACTAGTCGTAGATTCCAACTGCCGTTGTGCAGCGAAAGAGGCATGGTGGCAGGCAACGCTATTCGTGTATCAGTAGGCGAAGAAGGCAAAAAGCTAGGAACGTAATGGCTAATGGGTGCGGCCAGGTAGAGTTGGTTGTCGACTTCGCGGTATAAGGAGCGTGGGACGATCCGCGGTGCATGGATGCCAGCCTGAGAGTTCGTTGTCGGCCGTTGTCCTCCACTTGCTTCCGCTGCGCGGGCTGTTGCTCGGTACCGCGGATCCAGACCTCTCGAATTGCGGATGCTGCAACGACGCTGTGCTCACAGATCTCTGTAAAACTTCGACTTTGTCGCCCATGGACGTCACAGCGCCCGTTCTCGTCGCCACAGGCGATTACCTTCCTGATGACCCGACGTGTCCGACCCACAGTCTACGCATAATCGCCATCTCGGCGGAGCACCACGCGCAATATCCTGTGAGTGTGAACGCGATGACATTCTGGTATTTGATGAGCGCCCTGTGGGCGCTGTATTCGGAAAGAGCCAATCCGTTGTCCAGACCAACGGGCCTCATGCACCTGCTTCTCTCCGGAAATCGTCACTCGATTGTCAGATCTCGAAACTGAACATCGCTTTCTTGCAGACGACCATGAAGGACGTCCAACGCGAGGGCGGCGGTCGCAAACGTACTCTGAGCCTGCAGGGTGCTCTCCTACGCCTCTCGCACATCTCCCCTTCGCCTTCACGCACGGACTTCCCGCGCTCGCCATTACAGGCCGAAACACCCCGTTCGCCTTTGCAAGAACGCGCGCCTTCACCGCTCTCGGCCGACCTTCTCGATGAAGACCCGTTCGCTGCCTCTCCTGCCAGCACCGCCACATCTCCGACATCTTTATACCACGATTACGATGATACCTCCGCTAACGTGCCCTTTCCTGTTGCGGGCCCGTCCAACCCGCCCACTGTACCTCGACCGTCTTTGAACTCGAGCTTGTCTGTCCCAAACCTTGGTGATGGGCCCGGTCCTTTGTCGCGCGGTCGCCAGCTACGCCCTGCGGCCAGCAGACCGGCGATCAAGCCCCGCCCGTCCTTGCCGTCCCTCAACATCCTTGCGCATACCGACTACGTCTATCCAGCGATCCGCGTAAGTGATGCTTCTCTGTACCTTACCCTCCTCGCCACAAGTGTGGCCAAACAACTTCCATTCCTCATGTCACAATGTCATGTTGGCTGATCACGTTGTCGCGTTTTAGGCAAGAGCAGGCACGCTAGGCGCCCGACTACCCGTTGACCCTTGGGTGAACGCGAGCAACGATCCCTCCAACGAGGCGCTCGTCGAGTCCCCCACTTCCCCGACCCAGGCGCATGACGCAGATGCTGCGGCCGACCCTACAAATGAACTTCTGGCCGACGTGCCGCCTGTCTGGGACGTCACGGTGCCAGCATTGATCGAAGACAGCCAGGAGTTGGAGATCACTACTCTTTCCCTACCTGGAAGCTCGCTCGTCTCGCCGGTATTCTCAGATGTATCGGACACTTCGGACAGCGAGTTCCTGCCTGCGCTGGCGATGAATGGCGGCGTGAACGAGCGCACTAGCCAGATGTTTAGCGCCGTATACGACGTCTTCACGCGCTTCACCTCCCAATCGCCGCCGCCTTCGACTTCCCGTCCAACTTCTCGACACTCGACTTCGCCTTCGCGTACGTCTTCCGAGTCTGATCGCGAACACGGGCATGGTGCCCCTCTGCTGTCTCCGTCTTCCAGCACGGAAAGCGGGAGCAGTGCATACAGTATCTCTACACCCCCGTCTCCGTCCTCCAGTGTGTACCCGCTGAGCGCCCGAGTGCGTTCGCCGGACTCCGGTGCTAGTGTGACGCCCACCAATACCATGTATATCTCGGACTCCCTCTCCCTCTATCAGGACGAGGACGACGAGTCGGCGCCCAGCTCCGCCAGTACGGCTCGCACCAGCCAGTTCTGGGATAAGAGGTCAAGCATACTCAGCTTCGTGAGCTCGGACGGGCATGACGTCTATGAAGACGCTGCCGACTTGGTTGAAGCCATGGACGCGGATGGCTACGGCTCTTCGCGGAGCCGTGGGTACTCGGGCGGCAATTCAACCTCCAACGGCCATGGGTATGGCAACGGCGCTTCCTCGTTTTCGAGGAGTTTTGGCGTGTCTTCATCTCGGCCCAATGGTGCCGGCGGCGGTGGTGGTGGGGGTGAAGACCCGCGACGACCATATCAGTCCCATAATGGGCCTCCTGCGGCAGTCGATGTGGATTCAGACTCAGATGACGATGATAAGCCACTTGCACAGAGCATCCCTGGTGCTCTCAGGGCCCAGCGTACTATTCGCCGACAAGCACGCGAGGAGACTGCAGAACGACGTAGGCAGCGATCAGTCAGAAGCACGGAGCGTACCAGCCGCAATGTTGCTGCCTCTCAGTCTCTGCACCCGCCTGCGCCTTTGGACACGCAAGCACGGGCCGAACCTCGTACAGCTCCTCATACGGCAACGGTTCGTGTCGGTGCACAGGACATAGTCGCGCCCGCGCCTGTTCGGCGAACACGCGGTCGAGCTGCGACAATCTCCGGGCAGAGCGGTCCCCCGCAACTACCAAAACCACAGGCGCAAGATGTTATGCCGGACGATCTCGTTCGTCGATTACAGGGTGTACAGATGGGCCATCTGTCTGCTCAGCCTGCCCCGTCCGCTCAACATCTACAAAACGGATACGGCAACACTCCCGGTCAGACGCAGCACGCGTCGTACCGGCGCCCGAGCACCGACCAAGAGCGGAAAGCACACTCGCGTCGCGGGAGCTGGGATGACTTCGGGTCGCAGCCTGCCCCTCCAATGCCGCCACCGCCTACGGAGCACACGTTGCGTCCTCAACGCTCTCTGCACAATCTTACCACGCCGCCATCCACTTCGCTCTCAGCATCGGCCCCCGTCGGACACCTTGGGCGGAGTAATAGTCTTGCGCGTCCGTCGCGAGGACGCGAAGCATCGCCCGTGCCTCCACCGATGCCATCAGTACCAGCTGTGGGCGCGCCCCTAACCCGCAGCAAGTCGCGTCGCGAACCAGACGAAACCCAACTCGGGGCATCCCTTGCACGCGGCCGCTCACGCCGCGATGTGGACGAGCCTCAGGCCGGAGCCTCGCTTTCGCGCAACAAATCACGTCGCGAGCAACCAGATCTCCCACCGGCATATTCTGCGGCTAATCAAGCATCGCCTCCTATGCGCTCGCGTAGTGTGCGAAGACCCGGGACGGCGGGCGGGGATGCTGCACCGCCTGTACCCGCGCCTGTACCACAGTCGCAGACCCGCGAGCCCGCTTTCCAGGTCACTTCGCGGCAAGGCCATCAAGGACATACCCCGCACCTGTCGCAGTCCGAGAACCGTTTGCAGGCATTCCAGCAGCGCGTCTACGTTTTCGACATGCAGCGCTTCCATATGGTGGAGCTGGGTGCGAACACGCGTGCACAGGACGTTCTTGCCGCGCTGGAGACGCAGGGTGTACTCGATGGATGGGCGGGGGCGGGAGGCTGGGCTCTATGTGAGATCGCGCAAGATCTTGGCATGGAACGTCCCTTGCGACCGTTTGAGGTCGTCCACGACGTACTCAAGAGTTGGGATAAGGGACGGATGAACAACGTCTTCCTCGCGAAGAAGTGCGCGCTTGCAGACACGCTTGGCGCGCGTAACCTTCCGAGCGCTCTACCGCGGCGTGGCGCATACGTTGAGTACGAGGTCAAGCGCGGGTCATGGAAGAAGCGGTGGTTGGAGCTCAGGGAGCAGGGCTTGTGGTTGGCGAAGAAGGACACGGGCAAGGACGAGATGTTCTTGTGCTCGGTGTCGAGCTTCGATGCATATGCGCTCACTCGGCCCATGAAGTCGCCGAAGCCGTTTGTCTTCGCGGTGAAGAGCACAGACAATCTCACCTTCTTCGAGAACGTGGCCGACTACGTTCACGTCTTCTCCTGCGGCGAAGGAGATGGTAGGCAGTGGATCGAGAAGATCATGCTCGCTCGGGTGCGTTCTACACTTTCTGTTGTTCGAACGTCTATATCTGACATCTATACGCAGTCTTACATCATGAACCAAGAGCGCAATGTGATCGCCTCTGCTGCAGGCCAACCGCCCACACCCGGCTTGCTCGCTGGTGGCTCAGGCGCCTTGAAGCGCTCGGGCACGCGCAAACGCGAGGTGCCCGCACAACCACTCATTGACGTGTCCCCACCCGCGGCAGCCGTCGCGGCCGCGCAAGCGCCAGTATTCGAACCGGGTTCGTTACTAGCGCGCCGTTAGCTAAAATATACACGCTACCACACTCTTTCATCTCTATCGTTGTTGTAGTCGCCTGTGGTCATCGCATTCGCTCTTTTCTTGCTTCGCCCATGTATATCCTGAAAGTCTTATCTCTGTTCCTACATTTCGATGGCGCACACATTCATTCTCACTCCTGTCGACTGGTGCAGGCACTCTTGAGCATATCTCTTTCGCGTACTCTATATTCTCGAGCTACTTTCAGCCCGCGCATGTCATACCTTTTTGTGAATGCATACCGGCGTTTTGTGTGTCATAGAAACTCATGTGATCGTGTCTCCGAAGGTTCTTGTTACTTGCCACAGATAGGTGTCGGCTTGGCTCTCAACCATCACGACCCTTATATGGGCCTCATCGTCCGCTAGATATAGCAGTCGTTACATTTGCCATGGAAGCCGCTTCTCCTGCGTCGCCACCAAGTTGGGCCCAAGGTCTCGACTTGAGTAACTCGGAACTGCATCATCTTCTGGTCGGCACGAATTCGACAACGCAAGTGGTACGGGCCTACAAGACCGTATGGTGGCGTATATGGGCAAGACTCACTCAACGTTCAGCTCATACCTACCATTCTCCGAGAGCCAGACGAGGCACTGGGCAAGCTCAGGACGCTATACGAACTCCGCACACCTCTAGGTACCAATACAGGGCTATGGGACCTGATGAATGCCCTTGTCGCGGCCATATCCGATCGCGACATCATAGGGCAGGAGGGTGAGAAGGAGGGCGCGGCAGCTATGATGTCGATAATGTATAACCGATCCACCTTTGACCTTCTCGCTCAAGTCGTATTGTCCGATGAACTCTTCAAGGACTGGCCGGTTCGCCAAGCTTGACGCCGGTTCACCTCCGCTCTTCATGCTCATCGTCTCGATAGGGTTGGACACGATGCGTACTCAAACTGTTGACGCGTTTCATACGACTTCCGGAGATCATGGGGCGCCTGAAGCTCGACCAGCACGTGGAGAGTTTCTTGCAGAACACCGCCACCAGCAGTGCCGGAGTCTCGCTCTCACAGCTCGTATCAAGTTTATTGGATCAAGCATGGACACATCGTCAGATCCTGGTGCACGATGATGTTGTCACTTGGCAATCTCAACATGTTCCGGCTGCTCCAGACGAGATACGCAGCGAGTTACTACTGTTACTCGGCTCCGCAATTGAGTTCGTACCTCCAATACGTCGAGAATTGTTGCTGCAGTTGATAACTTTTTCAGTCTTGATCAGCTCAAGAGTATCCGCAACCGCAATTTCACGCAACTCGCCTTTCTGTGTTGGTTCCACGAACACGATAGATACGCCGAACACGCCGACCAGCTGTTATTTGCGCTGAATAGGTTTGCTGTCACTGCTTATACTGACAATGACGGGCAGAACAACCCCACACTGGAGACATTCTTCAGACATCACGTTCACACCTACTATCCACCTTTAAGTGTGTGCAAGCGCATCCGGGAGACGTTTCTTCGGGCAAAAGTCTTGAACGAGGACACAGGCGCCCTCTGCGTTATCTTGACCTACTTCATCTCAGATCGGCAAGAGAACGTCGGTTACATCTTGGAGTCGTCCTTGCTTCAAGCCATGAGTGCCTGCGCTCAGCTGCCACTTCAGGAGGGGAAGAGTGGTCCGGATAGTTCATCAGTTCATGTGGGTTACTTCTTTGCCCTCCGAGGGTGTCTTCGGGGGATAATGGGTGTGATGATGTACGTATCACAACCAGAACGCATCATCAGTCTATCTGACTTCGAACCCCATAGCTGCGCGCTCAAAGATTTCTCTTTCTCTCGCGGTGCTGAAGTCATCATCAAAGAATGCAATGTTCCTCTCCTTTTGTCGTGGATCTACAGACTGGCTGCGTTTTACCACGACACGCCTGGCCCCGACATCGAGACGCATCGTACGTATCTTCGATTCCATACACGTAGGTAGCGTAATGACCATTTGCCTAGACTATGCTCTCTATGTCACCAACGCATTCGCCGAAATGGCTCACTCTTCGGAGATGGAAGGGAAGGATAACCCCTTACGCAGACGCTTTGTTCAGGCTCTAAAACCAGAATGGTATCCCGTCTTGAAGCTCCTCAGGAGGAACACAACCACGCTCGTCCGCGAACTGTACATTCACAAGGCGTGGGAAAGACTCGGTAAGGCCATGGGTTTGGTCGAGGATGTCGAACGAAAGCAGTACGAGCCACGCGCAAGCAAGTTGTGCTCACTCGTCATTTGTCGGCACTTCACCATCCTACCTCCGAATGGGTTACGAACCTGTGCCGGTTGCGGAGAGGTGGTGAGTGTCCTGTCTTCTCCAGTGCAGGAGACTCGCTTACTAGATCTTTCTTCTGGCAGAGATACCATTCCAAGCAGTGTCAAACAGAGTGATGGTGCCATCATTTATCGTAGCGTCGCGGTGATCTGACGCGCCACGCATATAGGGATTGGAAGTTCGGGGGCCACAAGGCTCAGTGCAAGAGAATGAAGTGATCCCCATCGATGCTTCTGCGTCTTTCGCTTCTTCGTGTTGTTCCAGCTGCCGACTGGAGGATATCAGCTGTGTCACTCGCCAAGGGTGTGATTGCTGTGCCACAACGATCACTTGGCAACCCCGCCCTTGTCCATGTTCTCCAAAATTTCGCTATCAGAACCTCCCTACCTCGTATGTACATCTTCCTCTCGTTTAAACTTGTCTTCGTTCAGGCTGGTACATACTCTTCCATGATATATACAACAGCACCATGGCCACTGGGTTGCATGGGTTGCATCCGAGGTGTACCCGCTTCCGAGACAGATATAGAGAGCCACAAAGGTCGCAAGGGGTGCAATATTGTTAGCCCACCGAGTGCAAAGGATGTATAGCAGCGTACACAAGAAAATCCGTTCGGATAAATGAGTTCTGCGTGAGTGCAAGGTACACGGAAAGGCTTGCGAACTTCAAGTTTTCTGGAGAAGCCGCGGGGTCAGCAAGTCAGTAGTCACTCTGACCACGGCCCGTACCAACCCGTTCTGCACGCGATGTCGTGTCAGCCCCTACACCATAAGTCTGGCCGTATTCCGCGACATCTCGCGAGTATAACGCATGGTGTATCTTTGGAAACGGACCGCATGCAAAGGCTTGGCGTGGACTTCTTTCACATATTCCCATCCCATGAATGATAGACGCGCCCTGACGCGATCCTATGACTACAGCCGCCCGAACATCGCTGTTGCAACGTCGGCAACTTCGTCGGCGACAACGTGTAGCGCGGCCCGGCGTGCTCCAGCTACTGTGCTGGACGCACTTCCATCGTGACAAGGCACGCGACTCCGCCGGCAGAATTCGTTTGGTACTACCGAGAGCGAAGCGCATATAAGAGCACGTATTCGAAGAATCAGACCTACTACCCCGATCTATTCGCTGGGTTGCTCATCATGCGTCCGATTGCAGCTGCATATGTCATCTTCGCCGCCGCGCTCGCGCAGGCCGCTCCGACCGTTTACCTCGCGGGTGACTCTACAATGACTGCGAAGGGTGAGTCACACAAAGGTGTATCCTTGATCGGTGACTTACATCGTTTCCACAGGCAACAACGATGGCACTGCTGGTGGAGAACATGCTAAATCGAACATCTCCTTCATTCACTGACGGTTAAACTGGTAGGATGGGGCGCGTACCTCACGGACTACATCAGTCTAGCCGTAGACAATGAAGCGATCGCCGGCCGCTCAGCACGCTCATTCACCAGAGAAGGCCGCTTCGATACTATCATCGGTCAAGTCCAATCTGGAGACTTCGTGGGTGAGTATGGGTTAGGGCTGAAAGATGAACTGAACGGGACCCTGATCTGGCCATAGTCATCGAGTTTGGACACAACGACGGCGGCAGCCTGACGCCGACTGACAACGGGCGTACTGACTGCAATCCCGTGAACAACAACTACGCGACGACTTGCACCACTGTTTACGAGTCAGTGTGCTCGCATGCAACTCTGGATGTACTCATCTGAACTGCTTATCATAGTGGCGTGACGGAGACTGTACTCACCTACGAGGCGTACCTCGCGAACGCGGCCAAATCACTGAAGGCCAAGGGCGCGAACGTGATCATCTCAAGTGGTCAGCACCATCTTCGAGTGTACGCATGACATGAGGCTAATCCTGCGTCGAATAGCCACACCTGACAACCCGTGGGAGACTGGAACCTTCACCTACTCGGCCAATCGCTTCGTTGGCTATGCCGAAGATGCTGCGACCGCCAGCGGCGCAACCTTCGTAGACCACGGTCTCTACACGGCGGCACTCTTCGACAAGGAGGGTGAGGCCACGGTCGACAGCTACTACCCGAACGACCATACGCACACCAGCCCGGCTGGCGCGAACGTCGTTGCAAGGGCATTCATCCTCGCGCTGGAGGCCACCAGTTCGTCGTTGAACAACTACGTCACGCATGACTAGATGTAACGTGTCTGGATGTGTATATGCCCTACCCAATACCTGTATTCAATCGTTAGGTATACCACGGGATCACCTGCCTGATTGAGGCGGGGTCCATCCCTGCGTGAGCACAAACGAAAGTGCAAGAGCATGGAGGCACGCAAGAGCAAGGTGAACAACAATAAAACGTACAGTACTCTATATCTTGACATCGATGAACCTGCGAGAGTCTATTCGAACACACTATCAAGCCATCCAGCAAAGTCGTACTGCGGCTCGCCCACTTCATTGGGGATCGAGGGCATCGCTTCGCGCAGGAATTCAATCCCGCTAGCGGGTATGTGTGCGAGACGGAGGTCCAGCTCCGTAACGTAGGGCTGCAATGGCATCAGTCAGCAACAACTGGGGCAAGCGAGTCGTTCGGGCGTACCTTATCGCCAGCGACGCCCTGGAACGCCTCCCGAAGCTGGTCCAGAGACATTTGGTCCTCAGTGATACCGACGAGAAGGTTGATGAATGCCTCGAATGTGATGGCGCCGTACTCGCGCATGAGATCTTCGTAGATGATGTACAAGTCCTCCTCCTGCTTGTTTGTCAGCGAGTTATCCTCAAACGTAGGGAACACACATACAGCGTAGACGATGCCCAGGCTGGCGAGGGCAGCCTCCATCTCCGGAAGATCGAGTGTATTCGTTTCATCTCGATCAAAGTACCGGAACGTTCCCTCGAACTGTTCCAACTGCGCAGGCGTGAGGTTCGTCATGTTCCTCGATACGATCTGCAGTCCGCGATGTCAACGTATACTCTCAGCGCACACCGGACTGAGTAAGAGCGCGCCTGATTGTCGATGAACCCGATCTTCTTCGTTAGACTCTGATTGACGAGTTCAAGCTCGAACTCCAGGTCCTGCAACGAGTACACAGTATAGTCGTTCTCCTCGACCTTTGCCGCGTCGCACTCGGCTTCCGCTTCTTCGACCGTCTTGAGGATCTCGGTAAGCGCGGGTATCCGTGCCTGTAAGCTCTCAACCTGCTTCTGCTGCTCCTCAAGCGGCCCTTCAATGCCAGAGAGCTCAACCGAGATCTCATGCAACCGTCTTTGGAAGTCGTTTGCGAGGTTAGCAAACTTTTGACGGGCTGCTTCTTGGATTCTGTACGAGTATCAGCAGCGCGTATGGAGACGCGAGCAAGGGCAGACACACTCTCGGATCTTCGCGTTGATTGCTCGTGATCGTCGGGCTTCAGCGTGCAGGAGTTCGTTCCATGAGTCGTCGAGATCCTATGAAACGGGACTCATTCAGCGCTCGGCACAGATATGAGAGCCGGTAAACCCACGATCAACCTCAGCCCAGGAGGCGGCATATACTCTCGCATCCTGTACGTCTTGAGCTTCGTCTGCACGTTTCCGAACAGTGTTGCGACGTCCTGTTTTTCCGTGACCCATTGCCGCTTCGTCGTCTGCTTATAGAGGGCATGGTCCGCCGCGCGCTCCTTCACATCCGCATACGTGCCTGAGAATGTGGCAGTGGACCATTCATCTTGGATGCCGTTGAATGCGGACATGAGCTATGATGCGCGTAAGAACGAGATCGTAGGAAAGAGCTTATGGGCCGTACAGCGCGGACTCGACGCTCGTAGTCATTCCTGCTGACCCATATAGACTGCATGAGCTCCGCCATCTTCTCGAGGCGGCGCGAAACGGTCTCTCGTTGATCTGGGGTCAGGCCATGAGTATACAGTTGATACTGATGGCCTCGTATCTCACCTTGCGAAGAGAAAGCGTGAAAGTAACTCGCAACGTATGTCATGACACTACGCTCGTCCGGTTTTCTTGAGTCGCAGAGATCAGCCACTTCAAGTAGTTGCTGGCGCAAACGTCAAAGGATGATCATAGTCGGTGGGTGTAGCCGACTTACCGGGATGCCAAGGTGCTCTCGGGCGACATCAAATGCAAGCTGGGTGTTACCATGACGGTCACTCTATCGTCTGGCAGTCAGCATACCAGAGTAGCCCTGAGCAGCATTCATTGCCTACCTTATCGAGCTTGTCATAGTCTAGGAGTTCTGGTCGATGACAGTGAATGAGAGCGCATCTGGGTGGCATGTCATCAGTATCTATGAAAGAATACAGTATGATCGCCACTAACAGAGCAAGACCGTCGGCCCAACTGAATGAGAAGTCTTGTACATTGACTTCGTTGTACGGCTCCGTCTTGCGTTGACACCATAGGAGAAGACCCTCCTTAGCGGAAAGCCCCTCCTCACTTTGAACAAAGGCGCGTTACTTTAGCACGTCAATGCGCAAGCTGAAAGAGGGTAAGGGTGCGACATACTTGATGTCTGCGATCGTGAATCGTAGTACCAGGGTCCAGATCATGCCCAGAATGAGCTTCAAGTTGCCGTCAATGATGTCTATTCAAGTTGTCGGTCAGTAAGCGGAATGCCGACAGCAGCCGAGGACAGACCTTCAGACCCGATGTTCGTGAGCTTGACGCCACGCGAGTTGATGAATTCCAGAGCCTTATTCACGTTCTCCGCCTTCTGTACGCGCATCCTGGGTGCCTTATTGTACCTTCCAAGAGAGACGTCGCCTGTAGTCAAGTTGAGTACGCGATCTCCAAAGCAAGGTCCTGGGCGCACCCATAATTTCCTATTCCGTATTTGATCTCGTTCAAAGCGACTCGTAGGCTGAACGGCGCACCATGAGTTGTATCAGCCGCACGCCATCAGATAGGTCTGTGCGTAAAGACTTCATAGGCGGATAGCCATTGGACTCCAGTTTCGTGTTTAACCTGTCAATATAGCAAGTGAGCATCCGCTCTGCGTATTAGACGCCTGACATACCATTTGCAGAAGGTACGCTCCTGCGTGTCCGACAGAGCCTCCCGGTCCATCCAAGCCTTTCCAGTCACACAAGTACGACCAGTATGTTGTGTCCAGGAAGGGAGATGCGCGATCTAATCGGGAAGTAGATGGAGGTTGCAGACAAGAACGCGTGGGAGAGTTACGCGCGCCTGAAGATCAACTTGACGCGTTTCGCGAGCGCGCCGCCACCAGACGCGTCGCGACTTGTCTGCCTACCACCATGTCCACCCAATTCGACCGTATATTCCATGGGACCAGCACTGTACCGGGCCGTGAGTCATCTTTCCTCGAAAATGTCTCTGCCCTGTGCCTCCAAACACGTGCTCACTGCTTGTATCGCGCTTTAGGCTTCCGTATCGCGGCACCTGGTATGGCCTGGCGCCCCGAGAGTGGCGAGAAGGACAAGGAGCAAAATTTGGTAGCTGATATTCTTCGATGGGCTCAATGGATGCGCGTCGCACGTGGATATCAGCTTCGTATTGGGTTGAAGGACCGTAGTAGGGAGACTTTCGACGGCTTTGAGCGCGAGGTGTGTAGAATACTCTACGACTTTTCTCGAGTCCCCCGCTCACAGACTCGTTCAGGATCAAGACAGGATCACTAGCTTACTAAAACAGCACTTTGGTATCGTACTTGAGGTCCAGGAGATCTCCATCAAGGGCTGGAACTGGGGCGTAACCGATTTCCGAGGTAAGCACGCGGACCCTAGTCTCTGGCGTGTACTGACTCAGTGCTACAGGCGAAGAGCTTGCCTTTTTAGTATCGAACAAACTCGCGTTTGAGCTCCCGCTCACAGACGTCGCCAACTCAAACATCGCCGGCCGCACAGAAGTCTCGCTTGAGTACCAGCCTCCGCAGCGTAAGGGCAAGAATGCACCAGACGAGATGGTCGAGATCCGGTTCTTTGTACCCGGTACTGCAAGCAAGAACAAGGGTTCAGACGCCGGCTCGGATGCGGATATCGAGAATGACGACGAGGAAGAGATCAGTGCGGCACAGGCATTCCACGACGCAATCAAGGAGAAGGCCGAGCTTGGACAGGTTACGGGAGATATGATCCTGCGCTTTGAGGAAGTGCTCATTGTGACCCCGCGTGGCCGCTACGACGTCGACATGTTCCCCGAATTCTTGCGGTTGCGGGGTAAGACGTACGACTACAAGATCGCATACCCGAGCATTCAAACGCTCTTCCTACTACCCAAGGACGAGATGCATATTTTGTTTGTCGTACGTTGTTCTCATGATGGTCATACCGCTATGTACTGAGAAGTGCCACAGCTCGGTCTTAGCACGCCTATCCGCCAAGGTCAGACGCGCTACCAATACCTCGTCATGCAGTTCAACCGGGAGGAAGAGACAACCGCCGAACTAAACATGAGCGAGTATGTGCATTCGTGCTTACTATAGACACCGTCGCTGACTCTCACATAGCGAGGATATCGCAAAACATGAGCGCTTGAAGAAGAACTACGAGGACCCAACTTTTGAGGTCGTCTCCAGCATCTTCCGCGCCCTCTCCGGTCGCAAGATCATCAGCGGTGGCAGCTACATCTCCCGCAACCAAACACCCGGCCTCAAAGCCAACCTCAAAGCCGTCCAGGGCGATCTTTTCCTCCTCGACAAGTACATCTTCTTCGTCTCGAAGCAACCCGTACTTGTCGAACTCGCCGATGTACATCAAGTCGTGTTCTCCCGTGTCGGCAGCAGCTCCAGCGCCACAGCCGGCCGCACATTCGACGTCCGCGTTGTATCACGTTCCGGCCCGGAGCATACATTCTCCAGCATCAACAAGGAGGAACAGGACGCCATCATGGCTTACTTCAAGGAGAAGAAGGTCAGGTTGAAGAACGAGACGGCACCGGAGGAGGCGATTGCTGCTGCCATCGACGACTCAGACGAGGAGATGCAGAGTGTCGCGAGCGATGATGGCGAGAAGCCACGTGTGCGCTTGGCCGGTGATGAGGATGAGGACAGTGAAGAGGGTGAGCGCTGCGTTGCCGTTCATGTCGCATCGCGCGCTGACCATGAGATGCAGATGAGGACTTCCAGGCCTCGTCATCTGACGGCGGCTCCCCGACTTCATCCTCCGGCTCAGACGACGACGACGACGCCGAAGGTGGCAAATCCGACGCAGGCGGTGACTCGCCCAAGGCGAAGGGCAAGGCAAAGGCACCACCCACGAAGAAGACTGCGCCGAAGAAGTCGAAGGGCTCAGAGGAGAGTGACGCGGACGACAGCGACGACGACAAGCCTGCCAAGAAAGCTGCACCTAAGCCTAAGCCGAAACCAAAGCCCAAGGCGAAGAAGGACGACGACGCTATGGATGTGGACGACGATGCGCCTGCAAAGCCCAAGCCCAAACCCAAACCGAAGGTGGCGAAGAAGGATGGCGAGGAGGGACCGGCGAAGAAGAAGCTTAAGACAGCTTGAACGATAGCTCTTTTTCTTATGTTTCGCTTTGCTTTGCCACGTCGGTTTTGGTTCTTCGCTGCTCTTTCTCGCTGTCCTGTAGCTTAGTGTCTTCATATTCCACCGCAATTTCTGTCGTGAGGAGATTGATGAATACGCTGACATCGTACCTTGGCATGCGCATTCCAGTCAGTGTTCGAAGGCAGGTGGGAGACATTAGGTGCAACGTTGCGGAAGGTATCCTACTCGCGGATCCAGTGCACTGCGCAGGGAGGGGACTGATTGTTAACCCTCGCTGATTGTCAAACAAGCGACAGCACCTATGATCTTGTTGTTCTACTGGTGCGTTTTGAATATCTGACTCAACATATCATACTCGATTGCCCGAGCTCATGTGCGCATTGCAGCTGAAGAAAACAAGAGAACGTATTATGTACTATATCCCGGACCACGGGAAGCTCTAACACGACAATCGACCCAGACCCTCTTCTGTGTGCTTTTCATGTCGGACCTATGTAAGTCATATGAGTACCTCGAGCTTTGTGTTCATGGCAGTAATAGCATCGCGGGGACTCACGTTGCGGTGAGGCGACGGCCGGGGCCGCGTAACTAGAATCCAGACGTAATTCGTCCGCGAACAGGGTGTGAATGCTGGACTTGAAGTCAAATTTGGCCCTGCTGTTGCATGCGCAGTCCTCAATGCCAACTTCTATCGGACGGCGCGCGGGTGATAGAGGCTGGTATGGCCTGACCATAATCATCGAAGGAGGTCTCTGCTTACGCGCCCAAGCCCAGCTCATCTCGCGCAGCTCCGAGATACGGAGCGAAGTCTCTGCGCCCAACGTCTGGCGCTCATGAGAGGACAGGTATGTGTCGCGCGTTCCGAGAGCCTCGTATCCTTTTAATAACCAGCGGGACACGTGGTACTTTTTACCGAACGATATGTAGCATACGGCGCGCGTATGCGTGGGGTATGCAGATAGTAGTTTGTCGGCAGCCGCGATAGCTTGAGCGCGAGGCTCTTCCAAGCACCACATGTTGGCCAGCTTAATCACACTCATCCATTCGGTAATGGTGAGCTTAGTAGGGCGTGTGATGTCGGGCCTAATGGCGACTGTTAGTTCATGTGCAATCACCGACTTTCCGTCTGGATACCCACATGATGACGCGTGCCTTGAGGAAGCAGCGAAAGTCTTCCGCTGTCACCTCTGCGGGAAGACATACTGGGTTGTCCTCATTCAGTCCCTCGCCATTTCCATTGGGAAGATCGAACATAGCAGAAAAGATGCCTTCCTCTTTAGGCAGAACATAGAGCGGCACTTTGAACACTGTGCATCCGGCCTCATTGGATTGTGTTGAGTATTCAAGTGCAAATGCTGATGAGTCGGATAGCACACCTTGAATATCAGGCTCTCAAGGTAGAAGTCAGGATCGCGGACTACAGCAGCACCTTCAGTACGGGCACGATTAACGGCAGGGTCTGACATCGGAGCGAAGGCTTCGATATGCGAGCCTGAGGGGTTTGGTGCTGCAGAGCCCGGGGTTATCGACAGCGTCGCGTTTATATAACACGAGTAGAAGGAGGCCCAACTGGATCCGCGACAGCTGTCTTCTCCGTGCCATGTGTTGTAGGACAACTCGTGGTGGAGAGGAAGATCACAATACAATGAGGCACCAACGTCTTCCTTCGCGATGAGATCCGCATATGCAAACGACTGCTTTCACTGCAGCACCGATACCTATCCTACCCTGTCTTCTAGCTGAGAAGAAGCTGGCCGTCGTCAGACACAAATGGTTGAGCGATGGGCGAAAGGACCTGATATGTGCTCTTGACCGGCGCCCGGCGCCGAACTCCGCTTGCCAGGCGGTGATGGGCGTAGTGAAGGCGAGAAAGCAAGATTCCATTGCCCCGACACGTCGCGATCAACCGTATCTCACACGGTCAGGTATGTCATGACTTCATTCGAGGAAGCCCGGTCCTCAAGTTGCACTCACGGTTTTGCTAGTGCTACGCATGCATCGGAGTAGACAGCAGCCTACCATATTCTCGCGTGTCCTGGACCTAGCGATACATCAAAATGTGGATGTGGATGTCTCCCAAACCTTCTTGGCCCCGTGAAGACTATTCTCTCAAGCGATCTATGCTGGTATATGTTCTGATTCCCAACTGGTAGGTAATTCAGGACGCCCGTAGCCACATCAAGATCACAGCGGATACGCACGCACGTGTGTCCACGTTAGCCTCGCACTTCACGCCGGACAACAACCCGGTATCGATTTCCAACAACATCTCACATTAGCGGGGTAAAGAGCAAGTTTTTAAACTCGAAAGAGGGAGCAGTAAAGTAACCCGAAAGCCGACTCGTGAAGAACCGAAAGGCCATCATCCCCTCTCCCAGTCTTACGCCTCAAAGGTGAAGCTGGCGCCGACCTTGTGCGGGACCTGGTCGGAGACAACGTTCAAGCGCTGGGTGTCGAGCGCAAGACCGAACGAGGCCTTGACGCCGGGGCGGAGCGCCTGGGTGTAGCCTGTTTACGTTGCGACGTGTCAGCTCTCACTGCGCCTCACAGCCAAGGGAAAGTGAGAAAGATACGCACCAAGAGCAAGAACGCCGTTGTTGTTGATCTTGGCCTTGACGAACGAGGCGTTGTCGAGGTAGGCCTTGGTGCCGACCTCGAGTGCGACGCCGGAGGTGGTGGCACGGGTGTCGTAGATGGCACGGGCGCCGGCCTCGACGTCCTTCGAGACCTTGTGGTAGTAGCTCGCGGAGAAGGTCGAGAGGTTGGAGAGACCGTGGATCGTGACGGCGTACTCCGGGGCGGAGAAGCCAGCGGCGGCAGCGTACTTGGTGAGCTTGCCCTCGGTGACGTTGTACGACGCCTCGGCACCGACGAGGAAGCCATCGCGACCGAAGACGGTGTCGGCGGTGATGGTGGGGCCCTGAACAATGAACAAACGGATGTAAGCGGATGCAAAAATGGGAATGCGGGGTAAAGCGGAAACGGACCTTGAAGACGTCAAGGACGGCGCGGGTGTGGACACCGGGCTGCTTGTAGGCGAGGTTGAGGAGGGTGCCCTTGGTGCCCTTGTCGGGGGTGATCGAGGCAGCGACGTCGATCTTGAGGCCCTTTGCGAGCTGGTTGTCGATCTCGACGAGCGAGCGCAGGGTGTTGGACGTCGTCCAGGCGTTGGTGAGCGTCAGGCCGTGGGGCTTGGACGAGTACTTGGCCTCAATGTCCCCAGCGATCAAGTTCGACTTATTGTCGCGCGCGCCGGCGACCTTGAAGGCCACGCCGGACGGAGTCGTCGTCTTGACCTCGAGGGTCGTCGCCGTGAAGGGGTAGTCCTTCGCGAGAAGGTCGTTCGACGACTTGCCGAGGTCCTGAATTCAGATTCCGCGTCAGTGCCACCAACAACCTATATTCTGCATTTATTCGCACCTTCCAGGACGGGGGAACGGGCTGAGGGAAAGACATGGCTAAGGAGATGGGATGGTGGTGGTTGGAGTGCAAGGGACTGCTGTTGCCAGTGTGCGGGAATTCACGGCGCCCAAACGTCTTGCCAGCGCGTTCGTTGGTCCGGCTCTTCCGGTCCGTCGCGCTCGAAAGACGTCAACGTGCGCGACGGATGATGCGTGTTTGCTCAAACTCCGTCCGCCCATCACGTTCTCCCCAACAGTTTCGCGATCTATCCGCGCCGCCACCTCTACTGCCGCGCATATGCCGAACAGAAGAATGGCCCCAAGGTACATCACCAACGATGTACGGCTGCGCCTTGCCTCTTGCAATCGTCGGCCTTCTCATAAACTGTGACCTGTACAGGAGCTTGCAAAGATCATCAAGAGCGACAAGGAGCCCCACAAAGACTATCTTGTGATCGACGTCCGGGACGATGACCATGTTGGGGGCCACATATCCGGGAGCCACCATTTGCCGTCGCAAAAGTTCCTGGATAGCGTACACGATCTGGTGAACAGGACGAAGGACATTCCAATCGTTATCTTCCATTGCGCTCTATCGCAAGCACGGTAGGACCGTCCATGTATCAGTCGCACCTCTATACTAATGTACATATAGTGGCCCAAAAGCTGCTCGGGTAAGAACATGCTTTCCCCGCACGCGAGCGGTATTTTGACCAGTCTGCAGATATATTCGGAGACTCGCGATAACCTGCAGATAGCAGGCAAAGATCAACCTCACGACGTCTGCATCCTCCGAGGTGGCTTTACTGAGTTCCAGGCCAAGTTCAGGGTTAGTGCCACCCAAAAGTACATCTCACCCAGCAGACTGATGGCTTGTGTAACCTACAGAATGACCCCAAGCTCGTCGAGAACTTCGACGCGAGCGTGTGGGACTACTGAACGTGGATACCCATAGAACGTCGTACACGGAAGCGATATACACGCAATGCTTCCTGCCCGACGTTTTGACTTCAATCTCTTGACAACATCACGACTACGAGGCAATATACACGCAATGCTTCCGACACGAATCTACTTAATCTGCTGCATCTGTACTGGTAAGCCTATTCTTGGCTTGTCGGTTGCTTTCTTGCGCTAACGCTTCTGTAGGTAGCGTCGAAAACGCGAACAAACCCGTCTGAACTCCGATTTTGGCCGCTGATGAAGAATGTGTATGATTATAGCATTTCCATGTGTATTGTATAGGTGTGGCGCGCGGGACGCCTCATGCAGGTTTCCCGTCGTCTTCGTGCTTGACAGCCCTTCTTGCGGGCATACTCTCAATGATCGTCTGCATCTTGCGCTTCTCGTTCTCGATCTTCCGTTGGCAAATGTGCCTACAATTCTCTTTAGCGACTATCGAACCAAGGGAGGGAGGAGTAAATCACATACCATGATCCGAGAGAGACGAGCATGAAACAGCCTACGGCCCAGTTGCTGGCCACAAACACTCCTAAACATAGTGAGACCGCAATACACAACTTCATAGGTTGCACCGTACCTGCGGTCATCCCTCGAATAACGCCCATACCCGCGCCACTCGCGATTCCAGCAAGCAGACTATTCCTCGCGCACGGAATCTCCCCAATATGTTGAAAGTCGTTAACCGAAAGCCTCTATCTTCCCTCAACATCACTTTTCACACACTCATCATATGTCAAGTATAACGCACCTTAGTAGCCTCTTGCAAGTCACCTATCGTACTCCCGGTAGTCTCAACGGCATAAGACGGCCTCGGCCGTTGCACTGGTACAATAGACCCGTCAAGCGGATTAATAGTCGAGCCCTCCGGCACCGTAAGCGCGGGTTTCGGTGCTGGAGGCGGTGCTGGCTGTTCTTTGGGCGTAGAGGAGAAGGGCCACATATCGGAGGTGAAAGTCGGAGGACAAGCACGATGACGCGACGCGTCGGATCGAAAGTCGCGTCGGACGCGGTCACGCCCCTGAACTTGAACCCAACCACGATCATCGCACCTGGCCGCGCGCCTTCATACAACCTCCATGGCCGAACCATCCGCCATACTCGCTGAAGCGCTTAACGGAGTGACGCAGGCGACGTTCAAAGCTGTACGTATCGTAGTATCATTGGCAGTGTTGATACTGAAACTAAGGCTGTGGCGCGGATAGCTTCGTGCGTATGAACAACGGAGCCGCAAGGGTGTTGGGGAGAAGGAGCGCGAGCTTGAGGATCTTACGGCTGAGAGGGACGATGCTGTTGAAGATGCTGCTAGGTTGCGGAAGCAGCAGAGTACTTTGATGAAGGAGAATGAGCAGTTAAAGGCAGAGGTGCGTGTCTTGCGTTGTGTGGTTCGGCCAAGTGCTCACGCCCGCTTCGTAGCTTGAGCGCATGGACCTCGCGGTAAGTCTTGACTGGCAGATATCTTGACATCGGGCTCAATGTACACCTCATAGCACTCGCATCAGACTCAACTAGTCGACGATCTCCGCGAAGAAGCCCGCCAGTGGAAACAAGAAGCCGAACAATGGAAACAACAATGTCTACGGATCGAAGAGAGCTCCCGTCAGCAGATCACAGACTGGAAAGACCAGTATCTGCGTGCTGAGGCCGAGCGTACGCGTGTGCTTGTACGTTACGAGAACGTGCTGAAGCAGTCTTCTGTACGTCTATTCATTCGCTTCGTTATTATGTCATTGGCCTCACCTTTGTCTGTCTACTTCCAGGCGGACCCCTTCGCGTCTTCTCATAGGACACCTGGCGGTACTCATGCTGATCCTACTGCGTCTGGCAGTCGTACTGGCGCTGTCTCGGCCCGTGGTAGTACGGAGAAACCTGTGGTCTCGCCCATAGCCCCGCTTCTCCCTACCCCGTCTACGCACAACCCGACCCCCGGGCCATCACAAACAGTCATCCGCCGCGTCTCCACCACATTCACGTTAGAACCCGAGGTCAAAACCGAGGAAGAGTCCGACAACGAGCGGTTGACGCCACCGACGCCAACCGCTAGTAGACCGCGGAAGAACGCCGTCGGCTCAAGCTCAAAGACGAAGGCCAGGAACGACGATAGCGGTGACAGCGAAGATGAACCGGTCAGAGTGAAAGCTCGTCCGCCTCGGCCACATACGAAACCTAGCGCAAAGAAAGCGCCGCATGTCCCGTCCGCCTCGCGCGCAAACCGCCGACCTGAGCCATATCTCGAAAGCGAACCGTTAGACGATGTAGACGGGCTTTCACCTCTCAAAGTCAGAGTCAAGCGTGCACCGCGACGGAGTAACGTCCCTCGAGAACTGGATTCCGACGAAGAGATGAATGAAGACGACGATGAACTTGACATGGTCAGCGACGAGGTAGCGTCTATCCATATGCATATGCTGGCCACGAGGGCTCAACTGCTGCAGGGTGCTGCGAGCGCATCGCGCAATCGACGCCCAACACCCAAGGCGCCGAAGAACGGCGCTGCACGCCGCGCTGCAGAACCTGCTTCCAGCCGAAAACGCAAGCTCCCACCCGATGCGGCTGCTACGCCAGCAGCCACGCCGGGGAGGGCGAAGAAGCAACGCTGAAGTGCGATTGTCTCCTGACGACTTGATCCGTTTCTTGATTTCACGTCTGTTGCATCTAGTACACTGGATTGGAGTCTACGTCACTCGTGTTCTTGCATTTTTGTGTGTTACTTACATTGCTCTCGCAACCTCATGGGATATCGCATTGCGTCGTTCTATCGGCGGCTAGCCGGATTCAATGAAATTGTTCCGCTCCGTAGCCTGTAGCTGCTTTTTTGTCATCTCTGCGGCTGTATCCTGTTAATCCAGTTCCCCTATTTTTCACCTACTTCGTTTGACATGCTCTGATTCACTAAGACATGTCGTTCCACGCAGCCGACTCGAGCCAGAAATGATGAGGCTCCTGAAAACGGCAGTCATTCCAGGCTCAAATCATGGATATCACGTTCAAGTTTCATCATTTGAACGTGCTCGTGGTCTGCCTTTACGCTGCTCGTCGATAGCTGATGGCGTTGGCTAGGGATAGCTGGTGTTATGAATTAGTGCTTGTACACACTGCGGAAACTGCTTAAAAATCGTCTCCTCCATCGCCAATTCTGCAAAAATCATTTTTTTTAAATTTGGAGTTCGGATACGGGGAATCGAACCCCGAGCTGCCGCGATCTTTGGTTTCCAAGGTTTGATTCCTGGTGTCCTGAGAGGCGGCAATGTTAGCCGTTACACCATATCTGATACTTTATTACTTCGTATCAAAAATATCTTCGTCAAGTGTTGTCACAGAGAATGAAGCGCTGACCCTTTGTGGCGCCGCCACTTGATCTACAACTATCAACATCTCCTGACGTCCTTATCGTGCTCGGTACCCCTCAACTCACGAGAGCCTCTTCATCGCATACCTCAATTCGGTCTCTCAGATATCCACTCTGGGTGGAGTCTCCGTCTCTTTAAAGATGCCTCCGCGAGAGCTACCCGGCTTCTACTTCGATCAAGCGAAGAATCGCTACTTCCCGCTATCTATGAGGCCAAAGCCTGCTGAGGTTTACCCGGGAGCATCTTCTGTACCAGCGAATGCACCATCTACTGCTTCCAGTCTTCGCTCTGTCGTACCGGCGAAACGCTCTCGCCCTGGTTCTAGCTCGAGAGCTGACCCTGCGGCGCGCCAGCGTTCCGACGAAGATGCGAAGGACAACGCTAGCACACGACCTATTGCTGCTACGACCTCTGATAGACATCATGCCCTGAGACGCACATGCTCGGGACCGACGATGCGTCGCGAATTTCAGTACGAGTCTCTGAGCCTGCTGCCAAGGGCACCCTTCTCATGCGAAGATGATCAGCTCGATGGACATGGTTCATCTCGCGAAGACCTCAGCTTGCCTCACACTCTGCCCTGCTGGATCTGCTCTTGGTGCACCTATCACGGCACTCCACGTGAGTCTGTCGCCGTCGGACATACGAAGACAGGCTCACGATGCTCTTGCCTGCTCATAGGCGGGGTTGAACACAGATACGGATAGGATCACACTCGTGACGGGCGACGCGGGTGGATTCGTCAATAGCACGACAGTACCTGCGCAGCAGTTCATACGGCCGGATACGGATGCACAGAACATTCAAGATGCATGGACGTTCGAGTGTGCGATGAACTTAACCGCTGTAAGTAGATGCCTGTCCTCTCGCAGTATACGTAACGCTGATGCAGATCAACTTCGTAGCCCATCCTGAGAGTACAAGGAACAGGAGACCGATGGATGTGAGGGACTTCGCCTTGTTACTTTGGATTGAGCTCAGGGCTTACGGTGTGAAGGGCGAGCTCATACCATGGAGAGGCATTCACCATGTTTATCAAGACCATCCAAAGCGATCAGTGAGTTGCAGACTCTCAATGTCATTCTGACTATCTGATTAGTACTATAGAGGCGTCATGGTTGCGTACAACCGTCTACCAGACGTCTGGACCTCGGACTTGGTCGACAAGCGGGTATGCCTAGGTTAGCAACGGTGCATCCTTGTATCCCGCACCTCTATTGAACGTCTCTAGGCTTGCACAAGCGCGCATCAATCATATCCGACATCGAACGGACGGACTTGGCGCTGAGCCACTATACCACAGGATCCGACGTGCTCTCAGTATACCAGGAGAACGTACGTGCACATCTTGTATCCTATCCGCTTGGTCTGACCAGCTCCACTATCAGCATCTTCTATACACCGGCCTCCGCTCTTCATCACTCCTCCGCTTTGACCTCCGCGAACCGCGCCTGTCAAAGCCCCCACCACCTATCCTCACCACCTCATCCTCAATCACCACTATCAAGCGCGTACGACAACACGAGCTTCTGGTCGCAAGCATGGACGGCGCGCTCACTCTATACGATACGCGCTTCACCTCGCCTCATCGGCAAACCGAGCCGGTGACATCTTTCCGCGGGCATGTCAACGCGTACAAGCACAATCTGCCCGTGGCGCTCACTCCCTCGCACGATGCTTTATTCGCTGCGGGTCTGGACGGCCGCTTAAGAGGGTGGTCAACGCGCACAGGACAAGCTTTCTCGGCTGGTATCAACACAGAGGACACGCCACTGTTCTACACTGCACCGCCCAAAGGTTCAGTATCGCTATACACCCGCGCACACGCTATAGACGTCAACCCGTTCGAGACGCGGTTCAGCGAGCCTCTGAACGCACTAGACGTTCTCGAGATCGAAGGGCGGACGTACTTGCTCGGTGCAGCAGGCAACAGAGTGCTCAGATGGAACTTAGGTCACAGACCTGGCTTCGAATACTGATGAAGGGATCAAATTTTATTCAATTTGTTTGGGCTTTAGAAGAAGCAAAATATCCGTATCCGTATGTAGTGTGAAGCATGAGATCCCGGTGAGAGCAACAGAGCATACGCAGAACAGAACAGAGTCTAGGGCTACAAAGGGGGGAGTCCGTGAGGGCGATAGTGACACCGGGATACAGAGCCCCGCCGCCTGCGACCGGGCTCGGGATGTACAGCATTCCATTCCTCGAGATATATCTCCATGAGTATCGCAGACCAACATCGAGCCACACACAACACTCAGCCCCCACTTCAAACCTGACAGTTCCGCCTTGATCCCATACAGGCTACAACAAGCCGATAAGGCGCGCGACGATAGCGGCGATGCCGCCGGCACCGAATACAAGGACAAGCGCCCAGGCGATGATATCCCACACTAAGCGCCGACCGAGCCGTCGGCGCTGGAGCATGCGCTCTTTGCGGCGGAGGAGCTCGTCTGCGTCGGGTCCGGCTGCGCGGGGCAGGACGATGGCGAGCGGCGATTTGAAGTTGTGTACCACGATATGCAGGGCAGCTATCAAGCTCAATCAGTCACTTGGAGGTTCACAGAGTAGAGGGGGGGCGTACCAGGAAGAACATATGTACTCGCTACAGCGAGAACCAGCACGATATTGGAGATCATCCATGTCGCGGACACGGGTAGCAAAGCAAGAATGACGATGATGATGAGCAGGAATAGTTTGGACGTTTTGCCGCCGCGGAGGTGGTGCGGGAGAGGGATGGGTGACGCGGTGATGATGAGAGGAGGGGTCGCGAGTGTGAGCGCCAGAGCGTTCGCTACGGCGATGAGAGCATGAGGTGGATGGTTGGGCGAGTCCTAAGGTTATAACGCGTGAGAAAGTGTAGGGAGGAGGGTGGGATGTGAGCACGTACCGGTGCGTTGGGGTGTGCGCCGAAGAAACAGAGTGGGAGGACGAGGGCCGCGGCGAGTGCGATTGCGCCGGCCGAGTGTGTGCGGAATGAGTATCGCTTGGCTGGTTTCTGGCCCAAGAGACGCGGTGAGGATGCCTTGAGCGCGGCATAGAGCGGCATCGTCCATGAAGAGGTGAACGTAAACAGGATCGGTGCTGCGGAAGTGTGAGATTCAGTTAGTATAGGGGGTTGTAAGAGGGTACGTACCCGTCCCGTGCCAGAGCGCACCCATCTGCGACCATTGCGGATTGGCGTACAGCGTCCCGCGGGAATACGCAAAGATAACGCTCCCGAACCAGATGATATACGCCCCGACGGATATCCAAGTGCCATACAGCACCGCCTTCGATCCCAGCGATGAAGATAATGCGAAGGGCAGGATGATCACGGCCAGTATGACGGTGACGATGACTCTGGACGAGACGATAAGACCGTCGTCTGACAGGAGTTGCGCCAGGACAGTCGCAGCGGCTAAAGTCAGGTTAGCACTTCCGCTTGGGCCTGTGACGCAAGGAAAGCGAAACATACCTCGCACGTAGACGGATGCCAGGAGTACACGGAAGAGCGTGGTGCCCAGGCGCGTGAGCAGGCGCAGGGCGATGCGAGTGCGTTCGCGATTATGACCGCGCGCTAGGGCATCGCACACGACGTCTTCGAGGTCCGGCTTGCGCACATATTTGGTGATCATGTACGCGAGCTGTCTGGCTGCCAATGCACCCAGAGCAAAGACAAAGAAAGCCGGTAGGGACCATTTGAGGGCCAGTGGTGATGTGGAGAGGAGGAAAGGCCCGAAGAGGAGATAGGGCGCGAGGAGGTAGAGGAAGACCCGAGGCGGTTCGAGGGGCGGTATCGCGGATGCCCTTAGGCGCTCGAGTCGGGCAGAGATCTCGTCGACAATCTCGTCGTCGGATGAGAGCTCAAAGTCGTCGCGCGTCGTCTGCTGCGCTTCGAGGTCGTCGTGCACGAGAATAAGCTCAGAATTCGAGTGCGCGAGGTCGGGCCTGAGGAGGGGAGTGCCGACGCCGGCGTGGGAGGACTGGGAGCTGGAGGACGACCGTCTGCTGGAGGTCATGGCGGAGGAGGAAAGAGCGGATGGAGTGAGTACTATTTTGTTGTTTATCTGGTGGTGGGTACAGTTCAAGTAGCCTCGTCCGCCGCAGCAAGAGCGGAGCGCTCGAGGTCTCGCGGATGACCGTGTTCACTTTACGCGAGACATCTTCTCTCCTGATCCCAACGCTGATCGCACCGACTTCTCCGTCTCTTCCATCCCCTCGGATCTGAACGTCAGAATGGCGGAGTCTGCCGCCCCTCAGGAGGAGGACTCTCCAACGTCCTTGCCCAGACTGCACGTCAAGGCGACGGCGGAGCAGAACTGCCATCTTCAGGCCGCCTTTCTCGCCGATGCTCACCCTACGGCGGAGACCAAGCAGAGCCTGGCCGACCTCACGGGCCTGTGAGTCGTACCTCTGCTGACAAAGTCCCCTGTTGAAAATATATGTAGCTCGTACCGCTGGATCACAGCCTGGTTCTCGCGCAAGAGGAGGGTCAGCGGGCTAGGAGTGACCCCTCCCGCCGCCCATCGAACTGGGTCTTCTCGTTCAGGAGGCGGCCGATCCTTCCACGAGCGTCTCGCCACTCAAGATCACCCATCGCCCGCTGGACTCGCTTTGTCTACCGCGTCTCCAGGCTTCAGCTTCACGCCTTCTGGCTGGCCCGGCCCTCGGCTCACAGGCCCTGGCACTCCTGGCATCCCGCTCGGCTCTCCGCTTTCTCGTTCGTATCCGCCGGCTTTGGACATGGATTATTCGATCTTTGACTATGAAGAGGACGTGTCTACGCCTTCGCTCGCTTCGGGTTTCTCTACAACATCGTCTCCCTTCCCTCTGACTCCGTTCTCTCTCGATGTCTATGATTCGCCTATCGATATCCTGCCTTCGAAAAGAGCGCTTGGGCGAAAGGATAAGAAACCGACGGGTCTTCTTGGTGTTGCTGTATCGGATGTCCCTCGCACTGGACTCTCGAGTTCTACTTTCATCGACTGGCAACATGTACTATCGAGCGACAACGATACCATTCCCGCTCCGCACTTTGGATCGGGCAGAGGCCTCGCTACTGGTTCAGCCCATGTTCCCTCGTACATGCTGCCTGGTCTCACTATCCCAAATACATGGCCGCCGAACGCGAGTAGCCCTACACCGGCGTCTTCCTCCCACCCAGCGACAATGACAAGCTCGCCTGTACAGCCCAAGGTCACCCCGGTCTCATATCCTGTGCGACTATCCGAAATCAGGGCCGCGCACCGTCTGGCCTATGTCAACTACCTCAACGCTAAAGGCACCGGCAGCGAAAAGAAACCAGTATCAGCATCATCCCATCCTTCACCAGTACTCGACCCTATCTTATCTCAGATGCTTTCGTCCTCGTCTCCAGCTCCAGTCCGCATCTCTACACCGATCAAAAGGCCCGCCAGTGGATCTTCTCTCTGTCTCTCGGGGCGGAAAAAGCCCCGTTTCAGCTCCGGTATGTCATTATGCAATACACCCCTGCTACAGCACCAGTCTAACGTATCTCGTAGACGACAAAGAGAACTGGCCGCCATCTTCGCCTTCGCCCGCCATTGTGTAACTCGCATCTTGATACCTGCAGCAAATCTCCATACCCCACTTTTGTATCATCTTGTCCAGCATCAGTCGGACTCTTTGTATCGACTAGCACCCGCATCGTCTTCCCCCGCATATCTGTATACACATGTACTACCACACACTCCTTGTCTTCAGTATATCTTCTTGTGTAAGACCACCTTTGATGAATATCAGCTATCATTGTCATGCATGCAGTGTGCGAAGGATAAGCGGACATCACGCCTCCACAGAAAATATGATTAAAGACTGGTATATGGTAATAGTCCCTTGATAGTCCCAATGAATGTCAACATGAAGCACCCTCAGCACTCGCCCTCAGTCCCATTGTACGCAATGAAGAAGAACGTGTCCTTCGTATCGGGCTCCGCGTACGGCGTAAGCGTCAAGTATACACCGTCGAGACCGTCGTACTCCTGCCGGTAGAAGTGAGAACCCCACTGAGAACAAGATTCAGCGACCATTACTTGCGCATCAGGATGTAAGTGAGGGATGGACGTACAGTGTGCTCGAGCTTATGCTGGTTCTTCGTGGATAGACCGTACATGTCATCGTTCGTCGACCAGCCCCAAGTACCGCTACCCTCAGGGAGCGCAACGCTATCGTTCACGAACGTGACCCAGTACAGCAGCTATACATCCTCATCAGCACACTCCTCACAAATGCGAAACAAACTCGCACATACCGAGCTCGGCGCAATAGGGATCAACGCAGCCTGCAGCCCATCGACCGGGCAAGTAATATTGAGCGTATCCTTATCCGCGAACGTGACGTCCGGGTTGAGAGACGCGGAGGATGCATCGCCCTGCACCTGAACGCGTACGATGTAGCCGTACTCGTTCTTGACTAGGGAGATGTCACCGTTGGCTTGGCCGTAGGGCGAGGTTGTGGCCCATTGGAGGGAGAAGGCTGACGCCGAAGCGATGAGGGTGGCGAGAGCTGCGAGGGAGGCGAACATGATGATGATTAGGGACTGATAGAAGTGGGCGGCGAATGGAAAGGAGCGCACGGAGGCGATGGGGAAGCGTCGCCGTGCCACTTCATCGTCCTCGTCGATGACTTTATATATGGCCTCGAAGCCTCGGCCACATATATTGGACGTGATGCTCATATTGATCCGCCCGAAACAAGCTGGGATACCTAGAGCCCGCGTGGCTCGCAGATTCGATGTCATGGAGCACTTGGCGGCTTGCGCTGTTCTGTAGGTCGAAGAAGAGACGGGGAGGTGTAGTACGGCCAGCGGACACCGTTCCCGGCGTACGCGAAGTGCTTATTGACGAATGTTCCCAATGTATTGGGCGTCTGTGAGCGTACACATCGAGCTGAGACCATGATGGCGAGCTATAGAATTCGTATTGGGAGGGTCACGCTGGTTGCTCGATAAATCGAGCAGTCTAGATGTTGGCCTGTCGAAGTTAATTGCATTGCTGCATTTCAAATCAAATTACTACATAGCGTCCATGGTTAAACAGAATTGTACGACAGCGGAACGAGCCACGCAGCACGTAGACGCGCTCGCAGAGAGCAAGCAGAGGTGCGCGGGTCATGAGTGCTTCGACTCGTTTTCCCGAAGTGAGCGAGGGTGCGACCGTGATGGATAGACAGCGAGCGTCTGCGGTCGCACCCTACAGGGTGCAAGCACCGCCGAAATAGCATCTTCGGAGTAGAAACCAGGGTTGGGAGAGTTGAACGTGGGCTAGGAAGGGTATCGTATTTCCTGATTGAGCGAGAAGCATAGGATGCGTGGTGACATCGACGCGCGCGCTTCGCTGCTCTTGCCAGCGAAAGGCAGTCGACCCAGGAAGAGATTTTGGGCACACATAGTACATGCTTAGAGGAGCACAGCGTAGGTCAGGAGAGAACATTCGATTGGAATCACAGTGGTTGACCGTGGTGGTTGCGGTTCAAGCCAGCAAATCGTATAATATAAACGCCCGCGTGATCGCGTCGAGGCGCGCTCCGAGTCCGCGCTAGTCAAGCGCCCGCGCCGTATCTTACCTTGTTTCCGCCACCAGCTGCTTGCCATGCCCCCGAAACCGCGTCCTAAGGCTCGTCCTGTGGCCCGTAATGTCTCTTCAAACACCTCTGCGACAAGTAACGGCGAATCATCTACGTCTCGTCGAACCCCCGCGGAGAAGAGCGCGCGCGAGAAAGAGCTGGATCAGGACGATGCGTTTTTCTTGAGGAACAGGAATATAGACTGGAAGAAGATTGATCGGCACGAACGAGGTACATATTTGAGATACTAATGAGTGAAGACGTTCTTACTATGGCTATAGAGGTTTCGGCGCAACCGCCCGCGAGCTCTGATCCTGAAGACAGCGATGCCTCACCTCCCGCTCGCAAACGGCACAAGACGGGGAAGAACAAGGGGAAGGACGTTCTACCAGAGTGGACGAAGAATGGGGTCATCGAGTACGTTACCGTCATATCGCGATATTGCCGCATACATGCCCATTCGGAAGTCTGACTGCCGTATCTTGTTTAGGCTCGACTCTTCTTCGGACGAAGAACGCGGCGCCAAGGCGAAGGGGACCAAGGCTACCAAGAACGGACGCGACGACATCAGTCCTGCAGGATCACAAAACAACAAGCGTCCCCGAAGCCGCTCACGGTCTCTGACGCCTCCGCCACAGCTCAGCCAAGCGCAAATTCAGAATGCGCGATTAGCTGTAAGGTAAGATTCTGTTCCCCGACGCTCACAACTACTTGTGTAACTCACTTCCGGTACAGACGAGCACTGGCTGATACTGTTCGCGCTCCATCACCCACCGCCGACGACTGGGAAGGAGAACAGTCGCAGGATACTATCGTGCTCGACCCAGAACTCGCCGCAATACAAGAACGTGTACGCTCGAGCCAGTTCTTACAAGGAGAGCGATCCAACGGCCGGGGCGGTGGTCCCGAGATCGTTATGCTCAAGGTCAAGTGGAAGCCGCATCCACAAGATCCAGACGGAGAGGAGGATACGGTTCAGTACAAGTACAGACGGGTATGTTATGTATATGCTTGTGCGGGGGCGATGCTGATGGAATATGCTAGCGCGATAACTTCAGCGTACTCTTCAACGAGATTGCGGACAGTCACGAAGTCCCCATAGCCAGCCTCGTCGTGACCTTCGAGGGACTACGCGTATTCTCCTCTTCGACTCCGGACAGCTTGAAAGTCTGGGCGGAAGCTGAGATGGGTGGGTGCACTTCCCAATTGCGTTCACTCTCGTATCTTAACATCCTTCTCAGAGGCTTGCGACAAGGTCACCTTTGACTTCCTCCGCGCTCAGCGCCTCCAGCGTTCTCAAGCGCCCACATCCTCTGGTCAACCTTCAGGTTCTCAACCGAAGTCCGGAGCCAAGTCCGGCGGCGGAGACTCCGACAGCGAGACCGAAGTCGAATCCAGCGCCGAAGACGACGACACATTCAAACTGACCATCCGAAGCGGCACGGGCGTCAAAGACGTGACCTTGACTGTACGCCCGAGTACGACATGCGGTGCCATCGTCAAGGCCTTCTTGAAGCGCGCGGGTCTGGCGGATAAGTACGAGGAGGGGAAGAGTAGGAGGAAGAGTACGGCTGGTGGGCCTAGGCTGATTGTTGATGGGGACAAGATGGACCCCGCGGCGCCGATTAGTGAGGCGGATTTGGAGGACGGGGATCTGGTTGAGATTGCTGGGCTTTCGTGAACAACGTATTGCGTATTGAAGTTGTGCTTTCAGTTCTCGGGTTTCATGTTGCTATCGTTATGCTTTCTTTGGGCATGCATGTCCGTTTGCTTTGTGGGGTAATACCATATTGTTGCAATATATAACGAGTATCACTTCAACGGCAGGAAAGCAAGGGACAGAGCGACAGCATAAGAGGTATCGACAACGGCTGCTAAGGGGTGGTTACCCAACATTCAGCCATCTGCATTGCGTACAAGGATCCGGGCATTGTTTACGAAGGCCCGGATGAGTTCGTTGAACGCGTCGCGCTCCTGATCTGGCAAGCTCCCGTCTCCGCGTTTAGACGCCAACTCCATCAGAAGCGCCGGGCGGGCGACTTCAATCTCGAGTTCGTGTGTTATCTCAGTCTGCAGGGAGCTCACTTAGTAACGTAGGAAAGAAGAGGATGATAGGGTCATGCTTACGGGTCCGCTTGGTCCACCTTGTTGCGATGTGACCTGTGTCAGGTCTATCCGGAGCTCTTCATGCGTATAGCTAATCCTGTCTTTCTTCCGCGTATGTGTGGGCGTACCAACAGGGTGCTCGACTACAAGCAGATACAGTCAGTTACCTGTTGACAGATACAGCGGCATCAGGGATAGATACGGCGTACCCGGTATTTCGACGTTGACGCTAATCCTCCAGTCGCACGCTCTCTTTGGACAATATACATTCATATCACCCAGCCTAACCTTCCTCAGCGTCTCGAGAACCTCATTCGTCCGCTCGTCGCGTGTCACGCGGATCTTCTCGCTGCGGTGTTCGCCCTCGTAGAATGAGTCCTTCAGGTGCAGATGTGCGTAGGATATGTCCGATGAGCCGGGCGGCCGTTGGTGCACACCAGTCTTGAGGTCGTTCAGGAGCATGTTGAAGTGTTTATGTTGTTGCTATATGCCGACGTGAGTTTAGACGCGCGTAGGTTTGACAGAGGGCAGACGGTATACCATGCTCATATTGGCGTCGAACCGCAGTTCTTGGTTATATCCCGCATTGATAACTGCGACATCTCATCAGAACGTGCATGATTCAAACGTTACTATACGCGTACCAGTCTCCGTAGATACAGGTAAAGCAAGCCTCTGGTCCGTCCCCTTGCCCTTCAACACACCCAACTTCGCCTCCACCTCGATATGCCCCGTCAACCCCGGCGGCCTATTGACAATATGATGGTGTATGAAGTCGGCAATCTCTACCGTAAACTCGTCCAGAGGTTCGACTCCCAGTATGGAGAGAGATAGAGGGGACATGGCGTCTGCGGAGTGACCGTTGCCGTTGCCGTTCATGGTGCCAGGTGGCGGGGAATGCCGAGCGCGCTTCGCTGGTCGGGTGTCGTCGTCGCCGGTGGGTGAGCGGCTGTGGGGGGTCGCCATTGATTTATATATTCAGGTAGGTCAAAGGGCTCGAGGACAAAGAAGTAAGAAAGGGTGTGGCGGTACGGCAAATGGGGGTCGTGACTGAGCCGGTACCGCTTGCCGAGGACGGGAGGAAACGCGGTCACGCGCTTTCTCGCACGCCTCTAGTACCAGGTACGGGCGATGTCGCGTCGGCGAGCGCGACTCTTCCTCCTGACCATGATGTCGATGGCATTCTTCCTCAAGCGGCAATCTCTCTAGCTTATTCAGACTACCTGTACATCATTAGACTCGTCCCGTCTGCGTTGCTGTCGATATGCCGGATACGCTCGATATAGGATCCCTCCAGATAACCTCTGCCTCTCTTAACGGCAATGGCAATAGTGGCAGGGACGCATTTGAGGGCTCTGTCCATGCGAATGACTCTCAAGGAATTAGCCATAGACAGGACGATGTCAGTTCCCCTCAACCGTCCCCATGCCTACCACTCATATGTCCCGTGAGCAGATGACTGCAGCGATAATGAGCAATCCGGCAGAGGCTATGGCAAGACTTAAGCATCTACATGATACGCGTGTGCCACTGGCCGAGGCCAACTCCGAGCTGCACGCCTCGATGCGAGCGCTTGCTGACTTTGTATGGCCGCCGGCAGAGTCCGAAGGTTCTGGCTCGATGCTTCGCTTTGAACATCCTATTGTGAAAGAGCTCATTAAACATGGACTGTTCGAGCTTGTCCTAGACATTACCGAAAGCGATTACTACGAAGAGGGTCTTGTAGGCAACCCGTACATGTTTCCTCGTTAGTGATGGATGATTAACAATCCACACCATTTACAGGACTTCGTCATTGGGGTCACCATCGTTTCAACGTTTCTCCTCATCTTGCTACGAGGTTTGCAGTTTGGCCATGTGCCGATCGATCAAATCGACAACTCCAAACCTCTATCATATCTCCAAGTGAAGGTGGACGGCATCACCTGCTCATACTTGCGAAAGACTTGGCAAGCCCGGTATCTTTGGGGAAGCGACGGTGTCAGTGCATCAGAAAATTCCGTGAGGGATGCGCGATGGATTATATCGTATGCGATTCCCCAAATCCAGTCAGTCCTCCCGTTTGTTCAGCGATTCGACACTGAGCGTCTCCAGTGTTACCCGGCTAAAACTGGCGGATCGAGATCTACTCCGACGCATTGCCGGCACACTTTGGATGACCGCCACTCCCGATGATCACGATGACATCAACATCGCAAACAGAGCGTTTGCCGCGGCGCTCAGCGCGTTCCACGCACGCGAGTATGGTGGAGTGAAGGGCGTGAGACCATTCGTCGAGAGCCAACTGTGCGACGCATACGGAGATCTGCCCGTTCTCAAGCGCTTCACGGGCACCTATCTTGCGTACAGAGCTCTTGGCATGAACGAGCGCCGATGGCTGATACACTACACGCCATGGATCCTGAATTCGGCGCGTTTCTACTCGCATTTCAAGTCTACGGGCGTCCTGGCTGCAGTCAGATCCGCTTATGACTACCGTATGGAAGAGGCCGAGAGCAAGAATGATCGGTATATGGCCTTGGAGACCATGAACGCGCTGGCATGGACGGCTTAGTGCGTTATTCGTCTCTTAGATCTCCTATGTGGTCCAATCATACTCGCTGACTCTTCTTCACTCTGCAGTCAGGTCATTCAGGTGGCGCCGTTCAACGACGGAATTATTCAGCTAGTCAAGCAGTGCGAAATTCTAGAGGTATTAGCATGCTTCACCGTGGCGAGTGCTGAGCACAAGCGCCCGTTGCGCCCGAACGAGTGTAAGTTGATTCACAGCTTGCGACGCGTTCGCATCTTGATTGCTTGTCGATGACTTGTAGGTCTGCCGCGGGACGTTGTCGATGTCTTCACAGCAATGGCCGGCGCGCTCCATCTACGCAGCGGGAAGAACGAATTTCGCAAGAGGTTCAAGCTCTCACTAAGACGCGAGTGGTACGGCACCTTGAGGGCTCTGCGGGACATGCACGACCCAGGACTGCAACGCGACGATCTTCTAGAGGGATGGCAGGCGTTAGGCGATGCTATGGATCTTGACGAGACGCGCGAAAGGCTGGAGTATGAGCATGAGCTCAAGCATGCGGCGGACCGACGTTGCTCGCGGACCGCTTGCGAGTACCATACAAAGAAGCCACCCAAGACGCGAGTTTGTGTTGGCTGTAACGAGGCCGTACGCGCGTCTGTTCTTCTGTTCGTTTCGTCGCTAACAATCACGCAAACGATAGAGATACTGCTCCAGAGTATGCCAGCGATCGTGAGCCCGCTATGATCTTGTTTCCCCTCGGATCTGACGTGTACTCGTAGGGATTGGAAAGAAGGCGGGCACCGCACTCGATGTAAGAGGTTGAAAGACGTGCCAGTCGTCTTTGTTGAACTTCAGGATAAAGCGGAGGAACGGTGCGTCCCCGTCAAAGACTTGGTGATTCGGCTTCTCATCTGGACCAGTGACGAAACTACCGACTCCATAGAGTTGAGGCGCCCACGCCGTGAGTGACAGTCACGCGTCGCTATGGTTTTCAAGACACTGACAGCCGCTACGCAGGTCGTCAGGCCCGCTGAGCGCACTTGAGCACAGAATTCTCACCGGCCTTTCGGAGCGCGTAATTCGAGACCTTATGCTTCATCCCGTCCAATGGGCGTAGGCGGCCAGAGAACACGTGCTTCAACGCGTGGTAGGCCAAACGCGGTCACGCGCTAAGTCCCACGATCAGATAAAGGGCTGGTGGCCAAATGCGACCTGCCTTGATTCTGACCACGACCCCGGGCTGGAGTCGCTGGAAAATATCAACACTGTACCCCTCCCTTCACGTTGTCTACTCTATCGTCGAACTTATTGTGTCTACCCCATCTTGTCTCCGCCATGAATACGCTCAAACTGCCTGTCACTACTACGCTCACCGAACACGATCTCACTTCATCAGAGGAAGACGGATATGATTCCTGGCCAGAAACCGACAGTTCATACGAATATGAACATAGGCTAGATGAAGTTCGGCCCATCTCTCAATGTTTTGCAAAGCAATGGACTGATCACAGACATATCAGTACACCATGGCCATACTTGACAATCCCGCAGCTGCGCTAGTAGAGATGAGAAGATTGTACAAGACGCGCGTACATGGGGGGAAGAATAACGAGATGCATCTATTGATGGAAGCGATGGCCGAGTTTGTATGGCCGCTTGACACCTCGGACGATCATATGCCGCGTACAGATCATCCTGCGACCAGAGAGTTAGTGGAGAATGGCCTCCTGGAGCTTATCCGAGATGTGGCTGCCGAAGAACTGTTCATCCCGCGGGATCTTGTACGTCTTCATCGTATTCACCTCACGTGAGATCTTCTGACAGAAGTTAGGATCTCATGTGCTCCGTGTTTACGATCGTTATTGTACTCTTGCGCGACAAGCGCGGCGAGTCCTCAAGTTCGCAAGTCAGATCGCTCGTTGGTAGCGTCGCTGGCCAAGCTACGATGGATCAGATCATATCGCACATTCTGCGTGCTACGTGGGCCGCGCGAAGTTTCTGGGAGGTTAACGATCACAACCGAGTAGAATTGGACGGCGCATTGGCGTGGCCCCGACGTCTGATCATGATGTTTCTTCCTCTGATTGAGTCAGTATCATGCCATACGATTCCCCAATCGCTCACGCCTGACGTCGTTTCTAGCCTTCTTCGTCTTAGCGAGTCTGATTGCGCCAACTATCGAGATATCGCTGGGCTCTTATGGTCGACTATAGACGAGGTGCAAGACCGCGAAGAAGTTCGCGACTCGAACGTGTGCTTCGTAATGGCCCTCTGCAGCTTTGCTTCTCGCGGAAAGAAGGGCTGGAAAGGCGTGAGGCCGTTTATGGACAGCCTCTGCCAGACGTACGGGGATGTGCGCGTTCTGAAACGCTTGTCAAGCACATATCGCCATTACAAGTCCTTACCTGAAGATACTATCCACGGCTTTCTTTACTGGACGCCCAGACTCTTGAACACGCCGTCATTTTACCCACTCTATCAGTCGAGTGACATCTTAAGGACTGTGCGAGAGGTGTACGAGGAGCGGATTGAAGACGTCGAGCGCATGGGGGACCTCAAGTTGGAGACTGAGACCATCAACTCCATAGTGTGGGCGGCATAGTGCGTATCCTGGTGACTTCTTTGTCGTATGCTCGATCTTGACGTGCACATGTCGTTCAGCCATCTCGCTCAGAATGCACCGTTTCAAGAAGGACCTGCACAGCTCATGAAGCAATGGGACCTTCCGGAGCTGATAGCCCACTTCGTCGTTCTCCATTCGAAGGAACAGCGTGAACTTGAGCCGGCAGAAAGTGAGCTAACCGTGCAGAACCGTACTCGATATCGACCGCTGATCCGGCGCGTATCTCCCAGATCCTCCGCGCAGAGTCCTCGAAGTCTTTATTGAAATATCTGGAGCTCTGAACTTGCGTAGCGGTAAGAATGAGATCCGGAAGAAGTTCAAGCAGTCTCTGAGACGCGGGTGGTATTCCACTTTGAAGCACGTGCGGGAATTAGAAGACGCGGGCCCGCAGCGTGATGATCTTCTGGAGGCTTGGCAATCGTTGGGCCATGCGATGCATCTCAATGAAGCACAAGAGAAGCGCGATTACGAGGCTGAATGTAGGAGAGCGGCAGAAAGGCGTTGTTCGTGGCCACAATGTGTGTACCACAGCAACAAACCCCCGGCGAAGACGCGAGTGTGCAAGGGCTGCGATGAAGTGGTGCGTAACCTGGCAAACGACCTCATTGGATGGTGGCTTACGAGTATGTGCAATCTATAGAGGTACTGCTCCAGAGCATGTCAGAAGAAGTGCGTCATCCTATCCGCAGACTCTATGACTCTGTTCCGCTCTGTTCTGACTGGGATGTGTAGGGATTGGAAAGAAGGGGATCACCGCACACGCTGCAGGAGACTGAGTAATGTGACCCACGATTTGATAGAACTACCGGAAGTCGATGACCTGTACGTCATCACGTCTTGACTGCCTTCGTCCGTTAGCTGATTCATCCGGTTTCCCAACAAGAAACGCACAATTTACCTCGTTGAATTTGAACCGTCGTCGCCGCGAGTAGCCTTTTACTTACAGCGCACCCTATATCTTATGGAGGCTCCCATTCTCTCTCCCATGTGTATATAGTGTAGAATGTGATTGTGGGCGTAGCCCGAAGGGGCGCGCGCGCGTCGGTTCTGCGGGGGCAACTCACGTGGCCGCGAACGGACCATACCCACGTTTTCCAGCGAGCAGTCGGGAGCAACTAACCTTGCGCCACGACGGTCATGGCCTTGTAATGCATTGCTTGCACCGCATACCCCGTCCTACTACATCTGTTGTTAAGAACACTACACTTGCCATCTGAACTTGTCATTCGGTACCAGGGCTCCCACTATCTCGGGTCTTCGACGTCCTTCCAAACTTGGACATCTACTTCGATCGCCAAGCCTTGTCATGCCAGAGTCCTCTACGCCGACTTTGGAGGGTGTAGATGTAGAGCCCAGCATGTTGGATAAAATCGAGCAAGATAATGCGGGAGGACGAATTGCGCACTCTCTGTCGACTCTGAAAGTCGCTGAAGATGATGTTCCATTGTGGGTGAAGGACATCGTCGATGCCCAGAATGACACAGACTCGGATACCGGAGAATCCGAAGACGAGGACCCCGGAGACGGGACGTCCTCCTCCGCAGGATCTTTGTCCTCGGAATCCTCTTCGAAGAATCCAAAGCTCGTAAGACAATCTTGTCGTGGGCGGTGGAAACATTCAGTCACAAGTCTATCCGCAGGTACAAGCCCTCATTGATTACCCTTTCGCCTCGATAGCCGACTTGCGAAGGCTATACACCGATCGCGTACGCCTAGGCACCAATGAGGAACTTTGGGATGCCATGGAGGCCGTGACTCTTTTGTTCGGGTGTCCGAACGAATTTGTGAGCGAAGCCGAGGCAGCTCTTGTCTTCCCCGAGATATTTGACTCGGGTTTCATCGATTTCCTTGAGCTCATCATATTGGATGGCGATCTCTTCGAAGACTGTACGGTTCGTATCTAAACAACGATCGATGAGGAAACCTTAACGCTGAGTGTTCTAGGAATGGACGGTGTCTGTGCTCGCTTGCCTGGAGCAACTGAGCGATCTGGGTTGCGGTAAGCAGCACTGGACTGGCACAGAGTGGAGAGATAACGATCCCGGCGATCCCGATGACGAGGACTTTCCCTGGGTTCCCCTACATCGAGATGCCTTCAGGCAACGCCTAGCCGAACTCTTCGCCCACTTTGCTGAAGATGCATGGGCCCACAGACACCTATTTGACGTTGGATGTCCAAACGACCTGTATAACATAGAGGACTGGGCACCTCCGAGTTCAGATGTACGCGAAAAGCTGCGCGGTATTCTGTTGATGAGGTAAGCCCTTTTGACGAAAGGATGGTCGTGTCGGGGCTGACCGTAATGCTTAGCCCATACCTGAGGATGTCGCCCTTCAAGCAGAACGAGGGTGTACTCCGAGTATTCCGACAACTTTGTCTTCTGTTGTGGATGGCTCCTGATGATGATTTCGACAAAGCAAATACACTATTTGCTGTCATGATCGGTACTTTCGACAGCGGGACGTTCCTCGGTATGGCCAACTCACCTTTTACCGAATTTGTGGCACATGATGTGTTGGCCGTACACGGAGCGGAGCCGGTCCTTGAGCAGATCTGTCAATCTCTCAATAGACAGGAAGCTCTCGGTCTAGGCTTGAATCATACAGTATTTGCCGGTGCCACCAGTATCTTGTTGTGCCCCGGCTTTTGGCCTCATTTCTCGCGGATGAAGGTCCTTCCAGCAGTGGAATGCGCGATGGATTATATCTTGCAGGAGTACCCGCGTTCGGGAGCGGAGTTTGACCTACTCATTCATTGGGCGAAGCTCGCACAGTAAGCTCACATTTGATATCGACTTGGCGTTCGTTTATCGATCATTTGGTACAGTCTCCTCGCACAAGATGCCACGTTCGCGAATGGCGCGGCAGTCCTGATACGTGACACGCGTTTGGCCGCTCGTCTCGGACATTTCGCTATTGTATCACTCGACGCCCGGGTCGACGCAGATATCGGTCAGTAACCGAGTATTCATCCTCAGATCGAGTCCACTGATTGCCCTTGATCTAGTGCCGTACGAGGATACTGTGGGAGGCTGGATCAAGATCGCTACGGCTTTGAACCTTCGCAGAGGCAAGAATGAGATGCGCAAGAAGTTCAAACAGTCTTTGCGACGCGAGTGGTACCCGACATTGAATCGACTGCGTTTCGCGCCCTGTGCCGACGAGGTTCGCCGAAAGAAGATCATCCTCATATGGGAGACCCTCGGGTTGACGATGCAGTTGGAGGAGAGTAAGGAGAAGGCGGATTATGAGCGCGAGATCAAGCGGACCGCACAGTTCTGCGCCTGGAAGGATTGTAGGTTCCATACGGTCAAACCTGATATGCCTACACGGGCGTGTGCCGGGTGTGATGAGGTCCGCTACTGCGGCAAACCATGTCAACAGAAGTGAGTTTGTTTTGCGCAACGCTCTTTCCGCCGTACTCATGCTGTTCGCGACAGGGACTGGAAGGAAGGGGGTCACAAGCTGCAATGCAGAAGGATAAAAGCCAAGTGATGGCAAGAGGCCGCCACGAGGGCTAGACATCATCAGACAGGCCGCATTGCTCGGCTTGACATACAGTTGGGTCGTCAAACGCGTTTATTCTTTGAATGCAGACGGGTGCAGGTAATGCAATGCGATAGCTAGAATATGATACAGAAGCTGCGCGAATCTTGTGAGCGCATTGTGGCAAACATGACAGAAGCACAAACATACTGTACAAGGTCGTGCGATAGAACTGGGTGGAAAGGACTAAGCATTGATAATGATGATGTCCTCGTCGAAAGGATCCTTGATCACTGTATGATCGTCAGCATGCGCACACATTCTCAAGACGAAACTCACGCTTCCTGATATAATCCGCCAGTGCGACATCAAGGTACTCCTCGCGTGGCCTGCCCTCCTTCGGTCCCTCGGCTCCCTTACCCGAGTCCTCACGGCGACGCGCCTTCGTGTCACGATCGCGTCCACCGGCACCTCCAGCAAGTCGGCGCTTAGCTGCGAGTGATGAGCGCTCTGGGCGGGAGTCACGTTCAGGCTGCGAGAGCATCGGGATGTCATCGTCTATGATGGAGTCGGACGATGCCGAAGAGGCGGGAGAGCCTGGTTCAATCGGAGTATCCATCGTGTGCGGCGGTGGTGGGAGTTGCGGATAGAGACGCGGGCCCGGAGCCGTGTGGCCCGTTGACGCGCGATCGCGACGCGTTCATTCGCGCCCACGCGTCGCGGGCCGGCCCCGCGAGTGCCGCTCCGCGCGTCACTATGGCTCGTTGACGCTGCCCATGATGCTCCGCTCTGCACTTTGTTAACGAACCACATCCTGCTCTTGCCCTTACTACTCTACACATCGCATTCCAAGCGCTTTCTACTCGCTCCAAGGACTCTACTAGGACTCTGTATACACTCCATAATCTGACTTGCACATCATGGCCGCTGCTCTGAAGAGGTTGACCTTGAAATCATCCCGCGCTCCGTTGCGCATCATTGCATTACCGCTCACAAGCGCCGTACACCGACCTGGACACCCGTCTGGAGTGCCCAGCTCTCTGGTCTACTACCACTTTCAAGTCCCACCGAAGGATCCAGACGCAAAGCCTACTTGGCTGGAATGGGGCCAAACGAAGGCAGTGAACATATGGGCAGGATTTGGCAAGGCCAAAGAGGGCTCGTGGAAGGTAAGCATCCTCGCCTTACAGTGCGAGGGATGTTCATTAAACTCGTGTGCGCCCTATAGGTTCGGTTACATAGTTATGGCGAGCGCCTGGTGGACAGGATTGACTTCGAGGAATTGGCACTGTCGGGTTTGGATCCGTCCATGGGACCAAAGCTCACAGGTTCCAATCCTACTGCTCAGGCGGAGGAAGAGAAGAAGATGAAGGTACGTACATTTCTCCCATCTATACCACCGTGCCATGTTCAGGTCTGTTTGTACGCGGCTCTGTATAGCCTGGACGCGCATGCACAGTCTTGTTATGATGTCATAGGCATACGTGCTGATTGAACGTCTGCGCTTTTGATAGATCCCTTTGGTACACCCGACTTTCCTAGGCTTTTCAACATATGAGCATCTCCAGAACCTGCTCTCGAAACGTACACCCAGACACAGAAAAGGGTTCTGGACATGGTTTTTCATCATGCCGCTGACTGCGCCGTTTGCCATCATCCGTACGTCTCTGAACACGCGTCAAAGGAGATCTCGAATCTCATGAGATATCGTACAGCCATTATACCCAACTTGCCGTTCTTTTACGCGGCGTGGAGGACATGGTCACACTATAAGGGTAAGTGAAATCTTTTCTCATTTTCGTTGCTTGGCTGTGTCGCTAAGCGACGATCCGCATGTAGCCTGGAAAGCCTCGGAATATCTCGAGTCGCTCTTCGAGCAGGACCTCATACAAGACGAAGGGAACGAATGGCTCGACGAGGTGTATGTCGCTCATGCGCCGCCACTGTCAGACAAGATATCGCCTCTCGAGAGCTTGAGGCTGGAGACGGACCCAATGCACGGCGGGAAGAAAGATAGTAGCGCGAAGAAGTTGATATTGACGGAGGGCGGCGTACCTCCCATCATATCGTTATTTGCGCTCCCGGATTCGGCAGCCGCCCATCTCACCCGGGCAATACAACAAGCTCGTACAAGACTGGAGAAGGGGATGTACAAATAGGGTACTAGACAGTGTTGACAGAGGGGCAAGGACGCGTACACGTATTGAGCAGGCGCTCATAACCCCTTCCTGGTCGTCGTCTATCAGGCCCGCAGCTGTTTAGTGTACGATGCGGCCCCCGCGCTTAACCGTGCGAGTAAATAGTGTACGGCTGTACGGTATAGCAATATTCCAACGGCGTTCTCGAGTGGACGAACAGAGCAATAATCAGAGTTGAGCGCCATCACATGTGCTCGTGGACCAAGTCCGGTCTTCATGACGAGAAGCGCGAGCAGTCGCGGCATCTTGTTCTGCGACCGCCAACGAACGGCGCCGCCGCCGGGGTCTCGCCCGCCTCGTCGTCGTGCGGCCTTGGGCGCTCTTTTATTACCTACCCTAACTTGCTGTCTACCCATCGTCTTCACATCCTCATAGGCTGCCCCAAGCCTCTCCCCCTTCGACGTTCGCCGTCATCCATCGCAACTCTCATTCGACATGAATAGAGAAGAGCTTCCTCAGTCGCCACAGGTGGGTGCGAGTGATGGCTCGCTGTCAGTCCTGTTCGGCTAACGTCTTGCTCAGTTGGTGGACGACGCGCACGGGAAGCAGTTAACCGGCGCTAATGTAAGCAATGACCTTGCTTACTCCGTCATCTGCTAAACGTCGCCATCAGGTGCGGGGCCCTGCTCAACCTTTGGGCTCGCGAGCATACGCGCTACCCGTCGAACTTTTGGCCTATGTCTTCCTGCTCGGATACGACCACGGGTTCGATCCGCACCGGCCATTCAAGCGTCGCGAGCTAGAGCCCGATAGCAATTGGGAGGTCGTCGTATCGCATGTTTGCAGCCATTGGCGCAGTGTTGCGCTCGACACCCCTCAGCTGTGGACCGATATCCGCCTGCGCAAACTCAATCATCTCGAGCGCGGTGCCGAATTCGTCAAACGTTCCCGCAAAGCGCCACTTGATATCCTTGTTGATACCGTCTCCCCCGAAGAGTACGATGAAGCCGAACCCGGCTCTCTGCTCGGCATCAAGGAGTTCGATACGGCTTTCAAGGTCGCGATAGATCACACCGAGCGCTGGCGCTCACTCATCGTCAAGGTCTGCGACCTACCCTGCAAGGGTCGCGCACGAGCCAATCTGCGCGATTGTCCCCCGATACCCAAACTGGAGACGCTGCAGCTCTGGCATGTGCAGCAGTGGGAGGACACCAACAATATGCTCAACGCTACGGTCATACCGCCCATACCTATCTTGAACGACTATGTGCCTAGCCTCCTCAACGCATCTCTCGTCGGCGTCAACCTCGCGTACGACAAGACATCCTATCTGAAGGGCCTTCGCCAGCTCGAGCTGGCGCTTCACAGTCACAACTGCCGACCCACGAGCGCCGAATTCGAGGGGATCCTTCGCGACTGCCCTGAGCTTGAGCGCCTCAGCTTGCATTACTCAGGCCCTCAAGTCGATCAGACGCACGAAGGCGGGCAAGTCCGGCTTGAGCGTCTACGGGAGCTTTCTCTCGTGAACATGGATTTGGAAGTGCTGCAGCATGTCGTACGACGCGTGGCCATGCCGAACTTGCTATCGCTCGAGCTTGACCTCCCGGAGATGCCAGACGCCGGGGGGCTTGACTTTACGCCCGTTGTCGACTACCTCGCGATGGCAACCGCACCCGCGTTCCCTTCGCTCGAGCACCTCTCCGTGAACGCCCTCGCGTGCTCCAAGGAGAGTTGGACAAGCTGGTTGCCCACTCTTCCTCACCTCAAGACGCTCGAACTCGACTTTTCCGAGGGCCGTCTGCCGCACGGTTTCTTCGACCCTCTATGCGCGCCTGCCGAGAGCGTTCCCATGCCCTCGGCCCCGGCCCCTGCTCCGGCCGGCTCTCCCCCACCCCTTTCGCCCGGGTCCGGCTCGCCACCGCGTTCGGTCTCCCCATCGAGCCCCGCAGGCATGTCCTCGATGAACCCATCTCCGGTTCTCCCGAACGTACCCACGCCGCAGGCGCTTTTGCCAAATCTAGAAGAACTCAAGACCAAGGGCCTCGAGTCGTCTCATTTGATTCGCTTTGCTGCGTTCAGACGATCGGCGGACGTGTGTGTTCCGAAGTTCTTGGTGCATATCAAGAGTGTAGATCCGGATACGGACGCGCTTGAGGCCAGTCATGAGGTCAAATACTTCGGGCTGGAAGATGTTGTCGACGAAGAGGAAGAGGAGGAATATTCGGAGGAAGAGGGCGAGGACGAAGGTGGACAAGCGGGTGGAGAGGATGAAGATGCGGAGTACAGCGACGATGATGCGGGCCATGCGCCCGCGGACTCGCAGAGTGGCTCACCGGTGGTAGTCATGGACAGCGCAATCTACAAACTCGGTCCCCCGCTGCGTTTGTGAGGCTTCTTGAGGAAAGGATGGATATATATGTAGCACGCTATCAGATCCAATGTGTACAAAGATATGTTATGTGGTTCAACGCGGGCGAGAAGCGTGTGCAGTCTGCTTCAACCGCTTACATCGCGCTTTGTGCCCGCCATCCTTCCAGTCCTTCAATTGGCAAGCCCTGCTGCAATATCTCTGCGTTGTACAGGTCAGTTGTGTGAAGACACGAATAGGCAGGCCACATACCGTCTCGGCACATCCAGCGCACGCGCGAGTAGGGTGTGGTGGTAACTTTGCATGATACTCGCAACCCGCGAACGCACAGAAGCGCGCCGTGCGCCTCAACTCAAATAGGTATTGCATCTCTTCATGATCGTAATCAAGCCCGTACTCTTCGGCGAACGCGGTCCACCCTGCTATGATCTCAACCTGCTTGTCGATGTCCGTCTCGTCATGAGAGTTTCTCGCTTTGACCGCCCCGCGGAGATCGACTATCGTCTTATACCAATGGCGTTTGACCGATTTCCTGACGTACTTTCGCAACCCCTTGCTCGCGTGGGCCATGCCGTTCATGGCTGTGATCATGCAACCGAACGAGAGCAGACATTTCGTGCAGATCACTATTGGTTGGCGCGTCAACGAGTCGTTCATGCTCGCGACGTGACGCATAGTACTTACTGGCCGTGTCCCCTTCGCAGTTCACTGAGTTCACGATAGCTTGGCAGATGATTTCAAATGCGTCTAGGTGTCTTACGAGCAGCTCGGCCCTTTCGGGAAGATGTTCCGCGTCGTTTGGTGTGCCAGCATAGTCGCTGTACGGTTATTTCATCAACGTGACGCTGGCATGCGAAACAGGTCACAACGCACTCAATGAATAAGCAGACTTGGTTCAGTAAATCCATGACATCGACGTAGTCCTTGCGAGACATTTGTCGATCTACGGCACACCGGATTGCAGAAAGTACTTTCGTCTGCGGAAAGAGAGGCCTGAACACAGGCTGGCGGAGACCAATCCCGATCACGGGTCCAATCATATTGAGCCTGTGGTCGACCACTTCGGGATTGCGAAGAGTGCCACAGAGACGCTCGAGAAACGTCTTAGCGCCGTACTGGGAGCATTGGTCCCGGACCCAGTTCTCCAGCTGTTCCATCAGATCTGGCCCAGAGGGGTCATCCTCTTCATCGTCGCGTGGGGTAAAGGACCAGAGGCTACACGCCAGCATATCCTCGTCAGAGAGGTCCACCGCCTTCATGTCCGTGAGGAAGTAGAAGTGCATGCAGAGACTGCGAAAATGAACGTCTGAGGCCTTGCTGAAGCGCAGTTCTTGATGCTCTAATACACTGCATATGCATCATGGCTTTGAGCCCAAACTATCGATCGGTTGCTGACAAAGGACTTACCCGATTGCGATGAGCAGGGTATGCATTTCTTCCTTGAGCTTCATTGAGCTACCAGGTAAATATTCCTCCATCCAGCTAGTCGGTTTGAAGGCATCGCAGTGTGCATCAGCTTCAACGAGCAGTGGTGGTATAAAATCCAACCGTTGAAGAACCACTTCAGGAGGTAAAGCTGTCTGGGGAGGCAGTAGCTGGTATTCGCGCCAGGCAATCTCGCATAGATATCGACAAAGACCAAGGAACTCCGTCACGAATTTCTGTGGGCTCTCGTCAATACCTCGGACGGAGGGGTCTTTCAGCTGTACATACCGGGTGTTCATCAAACAGCCGGGAGCGGTGAATGATATGCCCGCACAGTGCACAAAGTTGTACATAGAATGGTTCGTTCAGGACTCCGGGCTCTGTAAGTCCCTCACCACTCCCTCGAAGGTCTTTCACGAGGCGGATAGCGGGGTAAGTCGCGCGCTTAACTGCCACCAGGAGGTTTCGAAGGTTTCGACTCCTGGCACCAGGCGTTCTTTCATCGAACAGAGTGCGGAACAATGTCAAGGCTTCTAGTGGCTGCTCCTCTACGAGACAGTGGTAGTCTGGCTCGGAAGGGGTGGTGCTTTCAACGTCTGAACATCGTTCCTCGCCCTCGGAAGTGTCGCCATATTCCGCATCCGTATCATCCGGGGTTTCTTCATCTTCGCTTGTACCTCCTTCGTCCTCGTCCGCGAATTCAGGATCACTGTCGTCTTCCAATATATCTGAGCTTTCGTATTCAGATTCGGAACTCGGTGTGTCGAGAGCATCCAAAGCCCAAGGAGGTAGACTATTTCGTAAATCCGCTGAAGACGAGGACGCGACTGTGAGAGGGCCGGACATATATTGACGGACTGGCTAAGTCAGGGGTATAGTGCATGAACGGGTGTAGCTTTGGACTAGGACTTGTGATGCCGCAGTATCGTGGTCATAGTCAAGGTACGGCTGCGACTTGCGATCGTTGGTAACCGCCAGAACACGGATCCACGTGCATGCCACGCATCTTCCCACCATCCCGACATGACGGCGCCTATCCCACTTTCCTGCTTGACCAGAACCACCACAGGCAAATTCTTCATGAACGCGCTATCATTATAGCAGTCAATTACTATTCTGAGCCTCTTTGCATGGTCTGACCGGCGCATTCGTATCGACCCTCCCTGAAGCGACACTTTGTTCTGAGTCTCCATGTCTGCTCTCATCTCTGTCACAGTACTCGCTGTGGCTTTGGGCTTGTTTTCCTTTGGTGTCGGCATGCTTCCTTTGACTTTTGCTATTGCCAGTAGGTCTTGCGTCACCTCTAAAGAACATTTACCGAGGCTGACGTCCGAAGAGAACCACTTGTCTTTGGTCTCGAGATTAGGTACAGGACTACTAATCGGAACTGCATTCGGTGTGATCATACCCGAGTAAGCAGCTATGATATTTCTCTGAGAAGTCCCGCTTATGATTGTTTAGAGGAGTGGAAGCGTTGGTACACAGCTCGCCGGATTCGTCGGTTCCAACTACCACACTAGCACTGTCGCTGCTAGTCGGTTTTTGCATCATGCTCGCCGTCGAACATCTTGGGCCCTCGGCTCATAGTCATGGTCATGAGCTCCCTCCGTCGGCTTGGTCTACGCAAACACCGGGGGCCGATGTAGAACTGTCTCAATTAGAGAGTGAGCAGGGCATTCCTCACATCGGCGAAGAAGCTACCATACCCGCTCTCCCGTTGACATTGGGCATGGTCCTTCACGGGCTTGCTGATGGGTTAGCGCTGGGAGTGTCTGCCCTATCAACCAGCGATACTCAGAGCTCCACCAACCTATCTCTGGTTGTATTCATGGCGCTTGCGGTACACAAAGGTCAGTACTACGGGCTTACTCTTGGACGCCGTATGCATGGAGTTGACCATCCCTCAAGCTCCTACGGCGTTGGCATTCACCATCTCGCTGCTTTCCACCTCGTTACCGCGCAGTGAATGTCGCAAACACCTTCTGTTGTTCAGCTCGTCTACACCAGTCGGCGCTGTTGTGGCTTACCTGCTGTTCTACCTTACGGGTTTCGGTGATGCCAGCAGGGTCGGTATTGCACTTCTCGTCTCAGTAAGTGTCCCTCGATCCTCTATAGCAATCATCTGACGCTTGAACAGGGTGGAAGTTTTTTGTACGTAGCGACCGTCTTACAGCCCGTCTCACACGAACACCGAGAAGCCGAAGGGGCCGCAGATCGCAGGGAGGCGAAAGTGAAGCTAGCGTTACTTCTCGTCGGTGCTCTCATCCCGCTCATGCTTTCTACACTTCTCGAGCATGACCATTGACTGTTCCCAGCCCTATGACGGTCATACACTAGCTACCTATGTATACCATATAATGCACCTGAGGATCTCAATATTATATTCAATGGAAACATGCTGCCATGCGGTCCTCATCAATCTGTTCCCGCCACGAGGAAGACAGTAGTACTGGTTATAGCTTGGCAAAGATAGACGCCAGCCAACGGTCAAAGATTTCCCGGGTATCAGGCAGTGCCTACATCCTCGCGTGCTCCGTGAACGTCGGCATGCAAGAGCACCAGAGCCACTGTTCGCGTCTTTGATCTCAACCTCCACGAACCCCATGGTCTTGGGCCTGTCATGGTCGCCCTCGACGACCAATGCGACGCGTATTCTGCGGTCGCGGCCCGTGCGACTACTGGTATGTGGCGTACGCGGGCGTCTCTGACAGCGCGCTAAAGTCAGATTGTCCCCAATACAGCTTCTGTACCCATGTCTGCGAGGGCTCGAGGCCGCGGCTGAGCGCCACAGCAGCGTGTTCTCATTCACTCCGCTTTCCTACGCTCTCGTGGAGGTATTGAAGAGCGTCTACGCGTTCTTCACGCTCAGGTACAGGCGGCCAAGTACACCATATCGCCGGCCACACCATGGACAAGAAGAGGAAGAGTACTTCCTTGGGGAACATGATGGAACGCGGGGCTCGGGCGCAAGCGCGCGGACCTACTGGCCAATCGCAGTATGCGCAGGACTGCTCTGGGCGGCACACTCACATCTGGTGCGTGATGCGTCTTCTGTACCGTTCTGTATTGCTGACTCTCCCGTAGTACGCCACAGCTGTCAATGAAGGCGTGTCTGCCATCACCCTCCAAGTGGCCCTCGCGTCTGCCACGCTATTCGTACTTCTGGGACAGTATCTGCTCTTCAGCAAATCTGGACTCAACGCTTCTGGTCAGACGGTCGCGTTACAGGTACGTGAATACCTACGAGGAAAACTTGTCGATACTGAAGCCCGTTGCTCTAGCTCGCCGGAGTGCTCATTGCTGGCGTGTGTCCTACTCCAATTGCTCTGGCATCACGACTGCTAATCCATTCATCGACTAGTCAACTTTGGCCCCAACTCCGTCAACCACTCTTCTCGTTATTCCCGTCTCTATTGCTATGACAATGCTTTCGTACGAACTCGTATGCAATCCTCCGAGCTTCTGTCCGTTATGCAAGCTGAAGTTTCGCCCAGTGCTATCAATCATATTCGGACATCTCTCCCACTCATATCAACATCGTATCGTTTGTATCCGCAACTGTCGCCCATATAGCATTCGCTGTGTATACCCGCGTCGCTCCCCGCGACCTGGCCGACCATCTAATTGGCGTATCAGCCTGGGATCTTCTTCTTATACCCTTGCGCACTGCATCTGGCCTATGGGCTCTATCTATCGTCCATGGTAAGCTCAACCACCTCTGTCAAGGGCTCCACTCAAGTCTCCTCTCTAGACTTCGGCTCGCTTGCCGAAGGGATGTGCCGCTCGCTAGCTTTCGTATTCACTCTATTCGGCCGCCATACTCTTTCTATCGAGTCATGGTTGGGGCTCATTGGCGGGACTCTCGTCAATACCTGGTCCGGCTTCACGTACCTTGCCAACGAGATCGGACTGCAAATAGATCAAGCCGAGTCTCCTGGGTACAAGCGAAAACTGGTAATGGCTCTCCTCCCTCTGGCAACTCCGCCGTGCTAACAAGTCCTCGAAGGAGTCAGTCGCACCGAGCAACCTGCGGCGAGTCTTGTCGGCTGTTCTCGCACTGGCTTTAGGAGCTCTCTGCTTCGTGTTCCCACTGTCCGATACCGCGAGCCTATCAAGCGTAGACACGCAGTGTGCGAATGGCCGCAGATCTCCATCTGTACCGGCGCTGCCCGATCGCAAATACCATCACTTTGACGACACACTCCTAATTGTATTCTTCAGCCACGCGCGGTACGATGTCAATCTGGACCACTACCGCGAGGTGTATGCAGAATACTTCCCCAACGTGAGCTCATCAGTCCCAAGGTTCTCGCTGAGTGATGATTGAAGCGGCACTCAGATGGTCTTCGTTGGTCCTAAGACGCGAGAGGATGCCGGCTTCAGACACTCGTACGATGTGCTTGTAGACTCGTATCAGTCAGATGAAGACCTGCGAGACGACAAGAACTTCAAGATGGCCGGCCGAGTATGTTTGGTGGACATATTCCCTACGTGCGACCCGCTGACTGCGATTGCAGATGGCGCACCACATGCTCTATACGGCTATGCAGGAGTACCCATGCTACGACGGCTATCTGTGGGCTCCATTCGATACATTTCTGAACATCCCGCGTCTGGAGCAGTTCGATCTGAACACCTTCTGGTACCACTCGCCATTTGCGAAGTACGTTCCGAACAAGGCACTCGGCACTGAAGAGGAGAATCAAGACCCAAAGCGCCACCCGCCACCCGCCAACATCTCACCCGATCCTAAATTGAACCTCACTGACGGCTGGCGTGGATGGGGAGACTGGTGGTGGGGGTAAGTTGTCGTAGCATCGCCTGTTGTGCATCAGGCTGATCTTGAATCAGCGATCCTCATGTCGGAATTGCGGAGTGTATGCCGGCTTTCCTCCGGACACCAGAGATACAGCGCTTACGGCTTGCGGCGTACCTTGATGGAGAGACACGTTTCATTGGCGGCTCAGTCGACACGCTCTACATTCCCGGGCGACATTACGAGCGCTTGATGCATACACTCGGCCTATTCCTCGAGACTAACTGCTTCCTCGAGATTGCCCTCCCGACTGTCTTGCACCTTGTGGTCCCTTTTGATGAGGAGATCCTTTATGTTGATCACGTATGCCCTATCCCCTGTTCAGTCCACTTAGAGCATGTGACTGACGTCGTTCTAGCATTGGATCTGGTACCCGCCCTTCAATGGCGACTTCGTACGCCAGCAGTGGCGAGAAGGGTTCGAAGTCGACACATTCCATACCTTCCACTGGGGTGATACTCAGGAAGATGGCGTGTGGCGCGGCGACCCGAACCTTGTTGGAGACACCCGCGATCTTCTGCGACAGTCTGCCGCACGTCAAGGCACTGTATTACCCTGATTATAATCGCGCGACCGCTCTCGTCATGCCGCTGGGGAAGCTCTGCGCGCTATACACAACACTCGGGCAAATATGATGTGATGACGTAAAGTGTGATGATCCATGTATACAGTGTACAAGCTTGCAAGAGCATAGGCATTCTATTGGGCTTTGCCGTTATACATTCAGCCAAGTGAGGTGTTTCGCGCGGTCATGATGAGTTGCCTATCGCGTGCGTTAACTTACGGATCAAGAATGCGCAAGATACACGGCGTACGTGTGTACAGGGTGTGGTGTGGGGGTAGCGCATGCAGATCGTGTTCGTCACCGTGCGGCAATGCGCTGCCCACTACCTGAAGCGCCCGACGCAGGAGGTCCCCTCGCGGTGGCGGACTGGGTGGTGGTAGAAGTGGGGGATTGCGGCTCGTTGAGGGGATCGGAGAGGCCGAAGTACCCGGCAACGACGCCGTGGATGTCCATGGCGAACTGCAAGAAGGGCGACGACTCTGCTGGCGGTGCAGACGGCATGCTCGATGAATGCGAAGTACGAAGTGCGGATAGAGGTAGCGCAGATGGTCAAAGGAGGAGGCAGGCGCCTGTTATTATATGGTCTCGGGTGGCAGACAATTATGAGTGGCACTAAGGCGTTTTACGAGACAATTGCCGAGGGAAAACCACAAAGACAAGTCTAGCCTCCCGGATCAGCTGGAAACAATGAAGGGCATACGAAAGCGGTATCATGCTGCTTCGTAGTAGAACGTGCATATAAACCGCTGCTTTCAGCAACCGCGTGGATGGGTAAACTCAGAGCCGATGTGATGATTCCGCACCAGCTGCTGGCCAGTGGCGACTCGGACGGAGGATGAGCTCCCGATCTTGCGTTCAGCGTGTCTGCACATACAAAATGGCGTGTATAGGTAGTGGGATTTGTCATACAGCTACAGTATGGGCCACAAGATCTATCAAGATGAGGTCCCAAGATAAGCAATACACCTATCAGCCCTTTACTCCTTCCTCCGCCTCTTCGCTGGACGCTCATCGCGAGCGTGATCTTTCGGTACGATATCACCATACAGATCGATGTACGCCGTCGGGTTCTCCTTCAGCAGTTGCTGTCGTTTGCGAGCTTTCTTATCCCTCTCTGATTGTCGGTAGTCGGACAAGCAATTCTCCAGCGTCACAAGAAATTTCGACTTGGCGGCGCGTTTGAGCCCAAGCTGCTTCCTCCGTTCGCTGTGCTACAGATGATATGCGTAAGCTGGCGTCGTATCAATCAGTCGTGGAAAGACATACCGCACGAAGCTCCTCTCTGCAAAGTGCTCCCAGCGCCTTGACCCATAGACCGTGGTTCCGGATTCTCTCTGCGACCCTGAGCGCTTGTTCCTGCGCCTTGCGATCTTCATCCTCCGCAAGCGTCTCGCATACACCTGCCGCAGGAGCAGTGGAGGAGTCGAGCGTCGGCGAGTTCGTTGTCTGACCGACGTAGTCTTCTGCGTCTTCGTAGAAAGGGACGCCGTGGGAGATCCGGGAAAAGAAATCGTAATCCTAGTGTACAAAGGTGAGCATCACGCGGCGCAAGGATTTTGGGAGGGGGATGCCACCAACGCACCGGTTCCTTTCCCAGCCGGGCCAAGATCCTCCAGTGCTTCATCGTCATAGGCACGTCTTTCCCAAGTGCTTGGCGCGTCCTCTCCTCAACACGCTCGCGCTTCTCCTGATCCCACCAATAGCACTTTTCTTCCTTCGCATCCTGTCGCTCGACGTACGGGTCGACCCAGTTCGCGACCGCATGCTCCGCAATCACTGCCGCCTCCATGCTGCGTGGCCCATACGCCTCCGCTACCCATTCGTCTAGGCGAAGAGGAACGTTCTGCGGCTGCGTACTCTGCGAGTCTCGGTACTCGTTCGAGCAGGGAAGCCGCTTGAACGTAGCGCCCTTCCTGGGGATACCAAACCGGTACCGCATATCAGGTGGGATCACAAGATCGAGCGCGGCTGAAGCCGATAGCGTCATCTGTGTGATTGTGCCCTACGAGGTTTCAGTATCCGGCATCGGCATAGCCACGAAGCACGCATATCTTACCAGCTCAGAACGATCGTCCTTATCCGTTGACGGCGATCCGTAATCAGATCGAGCCAAAGGAGCGACGAATTTGGCTGCAGCTTCACCCGAAGGTATGGCGTCGAGATCGACCCTTGGTTGTTTGAGAAGCTCATCTGCGATGAACTTCCTCCAGCTAGGAGCGCTCCTAGCCAGCATTTCGAGCATCTCGCCCTTACATGATAGTCCAAGGCACTTCACGGCCGCTTGCTGAAGCATCGCAGAGATCGTTTGCGGTTCAAACCGGGCGTATAAGTACGCGTACGCGCCGATGCTGCATAGGCGCGAAGATATGAACGGGCTGGCGAGGACTTCGACTAGCTCCTCTGGCCTGATGGGTTCCATACGCGCGGCGCCGGTAGAGACAGGTGTATTGGTTTCCAAGCCGGTGCATCCGAGTTCAATGAAACGTGCGCGAGCGGCTGTAGCGGACGCCGTGGACGAGAAAACGACGACGAAGAGTACATGGCGAACTTCCGGGTCGTTGACAAGAGTGTCAGGAAGATCGGAGAAGATGCGGAGGACAGAGGCGGCCAGGCCTGGGTCAGTCACCGAGCGAGTAGTAGCGAAGGTCTGTACGCCAATCAGTATACTCATCACAGAACTCAAAAGTAGACGTGCCTTGATCAAGTCCACCGCGAGTGTTCTGTGTGCGCCACTGTCAGCATACCACGCTAAGCCAAGATGATATTTGAGACGTACAGTAAGTCAAACTTCAGTCGCCCTTCACGGCCAAGCGCGCATAAGACAATATACGCTTCCGCATTACTCACGCAGTCCATGAGGACCTCCGCCGCGACTGTACGTGATAAGAAGAACCTGGACATACCGGTGAATGAGTATGTATAAGCACGATTGATATAGTGCAGATACTCACGATGCATTTTGGAATCGGCATAGCTCAAGAAGGATGCGTACGCTCATCTCCTTCACGGCTGGTTTCGAGCCCTTGAGCCCTAGAAACATCTGGCGAAAGATGAAGTCTCGATACTAGGGACGCATCAGTGGGCGCGCTCGCATCGACAGTACATGGCGACATACCGTAGAGTCAACTAGATACCCATTCTTCATCGCCAACAGGAGTAGAGCCGGCTCACACGCAAGAATGAGTGAGAAGTCTGACGCGATTGGGTCCTTCGCGCAGAGCGGTTGAAGCTTGAGATACGGCATCAGCATCGTTCGGAATTTGAGCTATGCGAGTACACACGAACCTTCCAATCACCGAGTATATGCACGACTTCTAGCCTCTTTTCCTTTTCCGCGTCTGTGCCAGCTTTATTCCAGCGCTGAGAAGCCCAACAATGGAACACTTCCCCATCGTCCAACTCTCGCCTTCTTGGTATTGTGAATTCCGTGCCAAGCTTCGAAGTTGCAAGGGAGAGGAACTGGACGAAGACGGCGAACGGTAGCGCGCGGACCCAAGGTTGGTGGACGAATGAGACCTGACTGTGATGGTAGTGCCGCACAGCAAGTTGTACAAGATAGCGAGAGACTAGGGCGCCGGACGACATCAAGATCTGTTTTAATCATGAGTACCTGAGGCGCATATAGTCAGGGTTAACTCACTTCGAGAACGCGCCCGGTGAGGATGTCTGCCCGCCCCAGGGCATGAAACAACACTTCTGCGAGCCCATGCCGCGCAAGTAGGTAGCTGGCGCGAGTATATGGAACGCGTGAAAGCGCATATAGGCGCTTGTTAACCTTGACAAACGCGCTTGGGTCTGATAAGTCGTTTAGGATGAGCTGAAGAACCTCGTCTGTGAATGCCACCATTTAGCCATCGGAATACCCCGAACATGTCAAAGACGTACCTGGACAACGATCCATGGCGAGCTAGTGGGTACTAGACAAAGGACCAGATGGGGGCAGGAAGCAATGTTGAATACACGGGCCGCATAGCGTGTTGGCCGGGCCTGTTGGCAGCCATCGACGCCTGCTGAGCGTGTCCCGATTTGGAGCTGTAAATGCCCATCTGGGCTTGACAAGCGCGCGCCTATTCACAGAGCGTCATTGATGTCTGCTTCAAGTCTGCTTGCACATTCTTCTCATCGGGCACGGCGGCACGTCAGGTAGCAGGCCTGAGGCATGTCCTAAGAAGGGAATGTCCGCGCTTGAGGAGGTAACTCCGGCCGTATACGCCGGCAGACTATTGACGACTGCTCCCCGCTACATATACATCGCTCTTTTCGTCAGAGTTCGACATGAAATGAGGTATGAGATAGCGCTGATCGTTCGGGACTTCTTGCCGTTGAGAACGTTGTTGAAGCGCATGCTTGTGATGACGAATGGCTAGATTCGCACCCGCCATCAAGCGGTCGCTGAAGGGTAATAGAGAGTGGAGGCGACGGTATAAGTACCCCACGGGTATTCCGGCAATGGAATTGGTGTATTGGTAGAGAGGATCGCGCGTCTGCCATATCGTCGTTCGGTCGACGTGCGACGTGAGCCGCGTGCCTGCGTCCGAAGCTCGACGGAACTTGCCGCGTCTAGGTCCCACGGCCTCCTCAATCACAATATTCCAGCTTCTGCCCATGCTCAGCCCCACCACTGCCTTCCGCGAGCTTTCCGCTGGCTATGAATCGCGCGCCGCACTATCGCGATGCCCCTCTACGGAGAGCATGTCAGGCACCGAATATATCGCGGACCAATGATTTGCTGTTCATTGGCTAGGCTAGTACACGTCTGGACTCTTCTACATCAGCTCGCATCTCCGTCGCCTGGTTGAACGCGCTATATAGCGTTGCTCCAATCAAACGCTGTCTAGCACCGTCTTTGTCTCATTTCGCCTCCTACCATGGCTCAAGCTGCTCCCACTAGCCCATTCGAGCTCCTCCAATGGAACATGATCCGAGGTGTGTGTTCTCCAATTGTGCAACATGTTCGATATTGAGAACGTGTATAGCGCACGATGGCTTCAAAGCAGGGCTCGAAGTGATCACTACACGCCTCGCCGACCCTCCGAAGGATGACATGTACAACTTCTTGGGATACTGCGAGGCATGGGCAGTAGCTCTCGAACACCACCACGACAGCGAAGTTCGTGCACCCCTCGTACCGTCATCCGTGGACCACAACTGACAGTACATCTTGCGCACAGGAACTCACGGTGTTCCCCGTTCTTAACGTCAGGATGAGCTTTTCGCAAGAACATGAAGAGCATAAGGTCGTTCACGCGTTCCTGGGCAAGTTCTTGGCCGTTGTGCGGAAAGGGCAGCAAGATCCTGCCGCGGCTGACATCGACGAGTTGCGTCGGCTGGTCGAGGAAGGGACGGAGCCTTTGGTGCGTGGTTCGAGTCTGATGCCGACGCCCAGCGATATCTTAATTCGTCGATTGACTGCAGGTATCGCATATGGACGCGGAAGTAGAACATCTTGAAGCGTCCAGGTTGAAGGTCGCAGGCTTTTCGGGAGCGGAGTTGAAGTCGATGTTTGCGGCGACGGAGCACTACGCGAAGGACAACGGAGACCCCTTCTTGGTTGTGCCCTTCATGCGCAGGTGCGTCCTATTAGTCGCTGATCTGATGTACGGAGACTGATGCGAGCTGTACAGCCACACGCCGCCGGAGTTCAAGGCATCATTCCCGCCCTTGTCTTGGGCGCTAAGCGCTGTCGCTATTCCCTATATGTTGGCTATGAGACATCGGGGGTACTGGAAATATAGTCCGTATGCGATGTCATGAGTGAACGGTGCTGTTCGTCCTGTAGACTCTCACGCTGTATCATCTAAACATTCCGCGGCCTCAATGCGAACTACGGTTTACGGGCATGAACCCTATGTCACAATATCCCATTGTGGATGTGGATCCGGCAGCAGCCGCCCATAAGGGCACGAGCGTATTGACCTCCCTTCTCGCTTCCAACCATCAGCGCCTCCGCATATACCCTGATCATTCACTGCACGATCGCGTACTAGCGTGGTACGTGCACGTCTCTTGAGAGAGAACACCGATGCTGAACCTCTTGGCCATTGGAAATACTCAGATCCACGCGCAAGCGATTGCCATCATGCCACCCGGAATGCCACGCTGGATCTTGGACCTCGCGGAAAAACCTGACGAGTATCTGAATGAATTCCGTGATGGATGCTCGGATGATCCTTACTATATGGATCAGTCTTTCAGAGAGAGGGCTACACACCCGCCCGTGGGAAAGGTGAGTGTACAATGCATATAACCGTGGCGCAAAGCTCAAGCTTCTGAGTAGTGCGGAGAACTCCTGCGTTCGTCGCCTTCAAGTTTCCTCTACGCCCTGGTAGATCTGCATACAACCCGCGTGAGAGGAGGGACGAACCGCGAGCTGTGGCAACACGTGGCGGCGCTGCAAATCTTCTTGGATTCTTTGGATCCAGCCAAGGGCATTGAGCATCCTTTCAACGCTCTGGTCAATACGCTCATAGATCTAGGATTGTATAGCGTGCTTCTCGTGTTACTCGATGACAACGACGTCTTCGATGAGCATCCGGTACGTGGTTTCGGCCCTCATATGGCTCAGAAGTCCGACCTGGATTCCTCCCAGCGATATATCGCCGTCGTACTCTTCATCATCAGAGAGATTACAGGCATAGCCGTTGCCAAGGCCAAGTGCCACGAACGGCCACGAGCGCCCGTGGAGGAGCCACCACCCGTCCCCATTGACTCTCGGATTGCCCGGTTGCAGTCGTGTCTCTTCAAAACCGCCTGGAGTAACCGAGACGTTTTCGACGAGACACATAGGAATGAAGCATACGTCCCAGGCGGCTCTAAGGCAACGCGACAATTGATGTGGAGACTCTGTCGTCACACCCAATGGTCGTGAGTGTGCTCTTTCGTACAGACGATGTGTACGTTCCGTAGGTTTACTCACCGTCTACGTGTAGGGGAATCTTGGGGACCGCAAGTTTTGATGAACCTGGCCTTTTGTCCTTGCGACGATTCATATTGTTCTTGTGGGCAACGAACCCTGACATAGACGAGTCACCGAACTCGGATGGCCTTTTCTGCATTCTTGCGCAAACATTCACCGTCAATAAACCGCCCGAGGGTGTGATTGGGACGGCGACAAGCTTCTTGAGAGACGAACTCTGTCCCCACTACAATCCCAAGTACGTCGTTGAACGTATATCCGACACGATATGCAGTGCATCTACGGATGATGTGATACCAGGCATGATGTGGCGCATTACCTGGCTTGTGCGCGAGATGCTCATTATGCCTTGTTTCCGCGTATACCTTGCATCGAGTCGAGTGTTCGAGACACTGTGTGAGTCGATCAACAAATATGCCGAGGATCACGTCGATCCATTGGCCTTATGGGCAGTCCGGCGCGATGGCCTGAAGATCATCAGGTACGCCCACAGTCGATAGTCTGTTGCTCTTCTTCATTAACTGCTACGGCGGCAGGAATATCACTCATGATGTATCGTTCTCTGAAGGCGCAGAAAGTTTCATCCGACAGGGAGTCGTACAGTTTCTTGCACGAAGTGTCGTTAATGCCACCATGTGCAACGTGCTACAGAATGACCCTGGTGAGTTCTCGTACTCACTTGGTGAATCACCTACACCGTCTGAGGACTGACCTGTGATGAATGATAGGCTGGGCGATCTTACACGATGTCCTTCATCAATACACTCTGATAGGCGGTGCGCTGCGACTTCGCAGGGAGAAGGCGACTGGCGAGAAGAAGCAATCGCTTGCCAAGTTCTTCGACAACGCTATCCATGACGAATGGTATCCGACTCTTCAAGCACTTCGTCCTTGTCCGCCGACGGCAGCGCGGTCTGGCCTCCTTGATGCGTGGAAGGCTTTTGGCGACGCGCTGGGTCTTGATGAGAGCGAAGAGAAAGCGGCTTTCGAACGCGCGAGGAGACAGTTCTGCTCCTGGGCCGAGTGCGAGTACCACAAGCAAGCAGCTCCTATGCCTACACGACAGTGTGCGGGTTGCGGTCAAGTGGTGTGTACATACGATCTTTCTTGCAAGGCTCTGGCTGACTCGTTACAGCGGTACTGTAGCAAAGTGTGTCAGCAGAGGTACGCTAGCCAGATTCGACTTCCCATGCAAATAATCATCAGCTCCTTGCGCAGGGACTGGAAAGAAGGGAAGCACAAAGTTGCATGCAAACGATTGAAGGGTGCTCCATCCGCGCTTTGATGTTGTACGTCCGCGACCTCCGTAGAACACTTTTTGAGATGAAATATCATGGACCCCTATACGATTGATGGCCTTCCAGGGCGTTTGATCAACGAGTGCGGTGATAGCCGTGGCCATTCTCCCACGCATGATGAGGCTCGTCTCGATTCATAACAGGTTTCGTCTCGACCATCTTGAGCCCGCACCCTCTCATCCTTCCTCTAACGCTTCTGCTGATTTGATTACCACACGGAGAACTCGATCGGTATCTCCTTATCTTGCTTCTCATGACTACGAAACCGCCATGGATGCTGGATCTTGAAGGCCAATACGACACATACGACGACATCTTCTCCTTTGACCATCCAGAAGACGCTGTCGTAGAAAGAGTGAGTATATGCGGCAGCTAGGGACATCTTCCACCTGCTAATCAACGTCTGGCCAGACTGAGGAGGCGCTTCGTACGTCTCCAGCCCGATTTCTCAGCGATATGAGGATCCTATTCCGTAATCGCGTTCGGTGTGGCACGAACCGAGAGCTATGGGCCCACGTGGCCGCATTGGACCTGTTCTTCAAGGATGTAAGGGAACGGGATGGTGAAAACAGATTCCGATGTCCCGAAGTACGGGCTCTGTTTCAGAATGGCCTGAACGATGCTCTGGTTGAATTGCTCAGCGATGGAGACATGTTCGACGAGCATCCGGTAAGCTCTACGATTGTCCGCTCGCAGCTGACTCTGACATCAAGCCTTACCGACTCAGCGATATATTCATATACTACTCTGCGTGATCAAGGAGGTGGTAGATCTCAACACGAACGAAGTATGCCAGCACAAGGACTACGACCCTTCGGCCGCCTTCCGCGGCTATCAAGTCGTCAGCGTTGACTCCAGGATCGCGCAGATGTTGGCAGACATGTGCTGCGCACTTTGGACGCATAAAGACCAGATGATAGACAGGCATACCAACGATCAGTTTTTCGAACGAAGTGCGAAGCGTCTATGCTACCACTTCTGGGACATGACAATCGGGTTTCGGTGGTCGTGAGCGTCAATCGGACCTTTACCATTGCCGTTCGAGACTGCTCACGATAAGCTCTTTCGGGCAATGCCTTCAGGATTGTTCTCAACAGCCCCGGCTTCCACCGAGAAGGCCTGCTAGCATTCCGTCGACTCCTGATCCTCCTATGGATGCGCGAGTCACAAGCGGATGAACCAACGTATGAACTCCTGCTCTTGATCCTCGGCGAAACGTTCTACATAGAGCATCCGCTGAATCTGGACGTCATGGGAGATGCCGCTGTCGCCTTTCTGAAGAAGGAACTCTGCGACTGTTATGAGCCGGCGGCTATCCTAGAGCGATTGGGCGGCACATTCCGATTCCGCGCGCCGGATGAGTTTGAGGGGCAGATGGCGCCGAAGATTCTGTGGCTGGCTCAGATCATCCTCATTCAACCTTGCGTCTTTCCGTACATAGGGTCTAGTCGTGTGTTCGAGCATATGATTGCTGCTATCGACGAACACGCCGCGAGTACTGCTGTGGCGAGGGTGGGCTGGAAGTCACGGCGGTATCTTCTGACCACTGTTGGGTGCGTTTTCGTTAGTGGCGTTCAGAAGGAGAGCAAGTCTGATGTGTTGTAGGTCTGTCACGGGAGAAGCACCGTTCTCTCAAGGCGCAGATCCGCTCATTCGGCAGGGTGTCGTACGTCTGCTGGCTCGATCTGCGATGGACGCCGCGTACTCCTCAAACATCTCGGCCACCGACAATCAGATGAGTGAGTTGAAGCCTACCATCGTAAGTGCCAGGATAACAACGTATGGACGCTGTTCTGCAGGTTGGGACGTATGGGTTGATGCCGTCAATCAATACATCGCAATGAGCGGGGTGTTGCACTTCCGTCAGCAGACTGCACCGAATAAGGACAACAAACCGAAGCGATCCACGCTGCTCAAGCTCTTTGAGAAGGAGATGCGCACGTTCTGGTACCCGACGCTTTTCGCTCTGCGCGCTGTACCGCATTCAGAGCAGAAAGCGGCTTTGGTAGACGGGTGGTTCGACTTTGGGCGGTTGATGGGGCTTGTAGAGAGCGATGAGAGGGCGGTGTTCGAGCGGGAGAGGAAAATGTATTGCTCGTGGCGTGCGTGCGAGTATCATGTGCGTAAGGCGCAGAGTGGGATGCGAGTGTGCGCGGGGTGCGGAGAGGTCGTACGTGCACCGCTGTCCGCTGAATGTTGTGCATGATGCTGACGGACGACTGTGAAGAGGTATTGCAGTAGACCATGTCAGCAGAAGTAAGTGCTTTGAGGCTTGTGTCATGTTCGTGCACTAAACTCGAGCAGAGATTGGAAGGAGGGCAAACACAAAGACGTTTGCAAGAGGTTGAAAGATGCGCCACACGTGCCACGCGCCACGACGTGAGTGATGGCTCGGAAATCTCGGTACTGTTGTCCGCCTGCACCCCGAGTCCCACTTTGCAGACGCTCTTGGCACCCAATCCCCGTCTATCGGACCATATTGCCTTTCTGTAATTGTGGCCATATACACTGTAATCCGAATCAATGGCTGGCGTCATGTATCTGCGGTCCTATAGTGCCCCTAGCCCTTCGGGTGGCACTTTGAACATGGATTGAGATGAAAATAAGGAAAAATAGCGATGGCTCGACATACGAACATTGACCATATGATGAAGCACAGGGTGCTCTAGGCTCCTGGATGACATTAGAACTCGCGCGTCTGGGAGTACCTCCATAGCCTATACGGTAATTTCCACCCAGGCTTCGCCTGCACACTCCCCGCAAACGCATCAAAGTCCGCCTTCTCCAGCCTCTGCAAGAAGTTCGCCACGGGCACCTACTCAACATCATCAACATCCGTCCCAATCACACACACATAGACTTCATGCGAAAGAACTTACCCCAGCAGCGAACACAGGCATAGCCTCCTTCGGCACCTTCCCGCCGGCATCCTTGAACATGCTCCTCGCCGTCAACAAATGGTCATTCGCCAACGTCGCCACCTCAAACACCGCGTCCCTCAGCCCCTTCGCCTCGCCTCCCTTCTCATACACCTCACCCTCTCGAACCCCATGTCTCGCACTGACGTCCGCGGGGAGCGCCATGCGTCCTTTCCCCGCATGAAACGGCAATGCGCGCAACCTCACGCTCAACGACTGGGCTACGCCGAGATGGCTCGCGGCGTGCGAGAGCGTTTCTGAGGCGCTGAGCGAGGGGTGGAGCGAGGACAGGAGGAGGTAGTTGAGCGTTGACGATGTTGATTCGGCGTGGGATGTTAGCTGGTCGAGCGTGATGAAGGAGGGCGTTTCAAGCTCAGAGGTGCGCGCGTCAATTATGCGTTTGAGGTGGTAGGAGTGCAGGTTTGATCTACGGGAGGCGGCGTGCAGGGCGAGGGCTATGGGGTGTTGGGGTGGTCTGCCCTACCGAGTTTGCTGCGTTAGCGTGTAGTTTAACTACAGAACCAGTGGAGACTCGCCTCTGAGATAGACTTGACGGCGTCGCGCCAGAACTGCATCCTCATACTCCCGAGCATAGCATTGCTCACGCTCTCCTGAACCGTCGCCAGCTCAACCTACACATTCATCAGCCCTCCGCACCAACATACTAGTCAATTCATGCGTACGTAGAAAGCCTTCAAAGCGAAATACGCCCCCTGCGCATGTCTCGGCCACAGATGCGACATCATGAACCCCTCCTGATCCTGCTTCTTGACAATTTCGCGGCAGTACGCGCCGGGGTCGCTGACGCCGCCCGCGGAGACGCTCGAGGATGTTTGCGCTTGGCGGACGTAGCCGGGGACGACTGTTGCGAGGCGCCGGCGCGCGAGGTGGGCTGACATGACTGATGGCACGAATGGGTATGGGTGCGATGATGGAGGCGGGAGAAGGAGGGCGGGGAAGTTGCTGTCAGGATTTACGCGCGGCGCGGATGACGCGACGCGTCGCGCCGGATCGACGCGGGGAAGGGAGGCGCGTTCTTGTTTTCCCGCCATAATGTCGGCCCCTAAGCGTCTGTCGGGTTTACAGCGCGAGGTGCTCGCGTTATATCGCAAGTATGCCTGTCCCCATTTGGCTGCATGCACAGTAAACTAAGACTGCAGCAGAGCACTACGCATGACACGAACCAAACCACCCACCACCCGACCCAAATTCGAACTCTTCGTGCGCCACGCATTCCGCACATCCGCCAGCTCCGTCTCGCCGCGCGAGCTCACCACTATCGAATACCTATTGCGGCGTGGTGGCAGGCAGCTGGAGATGTTTGAGAGTGCGGATGTTAGGGATGTTACGCTCAGTCAGGAAATGCAGGCTTGGGCTCGGAGTAATTCTGGTTATAGAAGGCCAATACCATCGGGCGATAGTGCATGAATGATATGATTAAGCAAGGCGTGGATGGAGCTATTATACTTGTAGGAAGGGCTAATGCGAACTGTAATGGATGTATGGCTCGGGGAAGACTGGTCTATGAAGAGCCGAGTAAACTCTCGACGCCCGCCCGATCCGCAACAGTTCCAGCATCCATAACCTGCACCTCGACCTTCCCTTCCTTCTTCTCCCTCTGCGCACGCTTCTTAGCCGCGCTCCACCTAGCCTTCTTCGCCTCGACACGCTTCTCAGCTTGCTCGACGCGCTTCGCTACTGCACGAGCTTCGTCGGGGCGAAGTGCCAAGGAAGATAATGTGATCTTCTCGAGCGTTGATGTTGGCGTTGTGAGTTCGGCTGATGACGGGGCGGGGATGGAAGGTTGTTCGGCGCGGAGGATTTCCGCGGCGCCTTCGTAGGCTAGACGGCGCTCGTTCAGGATCTGCTTGATGCGAGCGTGGCTCTTGCGGCACTGTACAAACTGTATCAGTCACACGTACACTAGAATGGGATGAATATGGAATACCTCGTCGATACGAGCGCGAACCATAGGCGGCATAGTCGTCCCGCCAGCGCGATGCAACTCAGCCGCCTGCGTCGCGAGCAAGTTCCTCTCCCTCGCAATCACATACCAGAGCGTATGCAGGTCCTTGAAACTCTTCCTCCTCAGCTCTTCCGCGCGCCATGCCCGTCCGACTACACAACCGTCATTAGCCTCTCACATTCTATAGTTCAGTATAATAAGAGACAATACGCACAGCTCTTCTCATGAAACGTGCTAGCAACATCCACCGCGCTCCGAACCTCATCGCCCGTATCATTCAGCCCCTTCCTAAAGAAATGCCAAAGCCCATGATCAGGCTTCACTTTCACGCCCAAATGCGGGCGCGTGGCGCCAGCGACGCGGTGGTCGATGCCGCCCGTGGGTAGCCGCGTCCGCCTATGGAGGGCCTCTTCGCGCTTGGACTCGAGCTCGAGGGAGGCTTTCTCTGCTGCTGTGGGTGCGGGTGGGGGAGAGGGCTTCTTGTAGGTGAAGGCGCGGTCGAGCTGGTTTAGGGAGGTCATGGCTGTGCGCGCGCCGCGCAGAAGAGGCCCGGGAGATGGGCGCGCGGTTAGGACCGGCGCGAGCATGGTGGGATTGTAGGGAGGGAGGTGGACAAGGAGGCGGAGAGCAAGTGTAGGTGCCAGCTGCAGCTGCTCAAAGTCGCGTCGGCATTTCGCGCAGCGGCCGGACGCGCACACGTGAGTTCACGCGCGCTCTCTCCTTGGTGTCTTACGCGCAAGTGACACCGTATCGGGAGGCAGTATGGCATATTAGAGCTACATAGCAGCGCGATACTTGCTCTTATGCCCTTTTTCTTGCATTTCCGCCTAGTTTTACCGCGACGTGATAACGATAACTCAGGTATGAGATGGGAGCCGCGCGGGGTGCGACCCTAACAATGTGAGATGACACCTGAGTGATATGACAATCAATAACAAACCTCTCTGACCATGCCTTCTCGACTAGATGAATGCTGCGTATTGCGGGTGCAGCAGACCGCGCATGTCGGGCGCCGGCGACGTGACATGGGATTGCCTTCGAGTGCGCTCGCGCGGTGTGTCGTCCCGCGTATTGTATGCCTGGAATCAGGGTACAGACCGTGTGGCAGCTACACTAGTAGTGCCAACGGGTCAGGCAAAAGTTGGCGTGAAGGCTACCTCAATCCGACGGCGGGATTGAGAAAGGCAATTTCCGGAGCACCCGCGTGGCATCTTTGACTTTCAGTCTTGAGATTCCGCACGTAGGTCGGCACGTGCCTTGATGACGGTTTGATGGGCCGAGGGCCTACAACGAAGAGTACTCGAGCTTGCCTCCGTCACTCTTCTTGTAGTCGGTCACCAGACTAGCTTGATCCGCGTTTGGGAGGGGCGGAAAGTCGCCAACTCCCGCGTGGCTCTACGATCAAAGACGCCGCGACTTGAAACGAACGACCATCATCCCAGACAAATTGCGGCCGGTTGACAGAGATACCCAGAGTCACATATGTCATGCTGGCGCTCACTGCTCGCGCTCTATGAGCAGTCGAGCGAAGGTTGAGACGCACAAGCGCAACGCGCCTCGATGAGGAAGTCGCGTCTCCGCATGAGGACGCCCGGCAGCGGCACCTCGTCTTCGATGGGTGCCAACACCCCGCTCTCCCTGCTCGCTCTCAACCTCGCTCTTCACATCTCTTCTCTAACCATCATCTGCTATCCCAGTGCTCTTGCTTCTCTGTCTACTAAATTGGAAGCCGAGCCGCCATGGATCGCCTACCCGGTACGTCGTCCGCGATCCTCGTGCTCGCGCATTTGTTGGGCTTCTGATCAATGACGTAGATGAGGTGCTCCAGCTCATCCTGAATGAGCAATCGAAGCCCTCCTCTTTTGTCAAAGTGAACAGAAGTCTCCGCGCGTTCGCGTCGGACGCGTATGTCCGAGCAAGGTACTTCCTCGCTCGACATGGGAAGTCGCAGGCGATGTTTTATGCGCTTGGGAGAGGCGACATCGTGACTGAACGTGTTATTAAGGTACGCTTGCTCTTTTTTTCGCACGCGTGTGCTAGTTGCGGGCTATGGCTGTTTTCGTGGATGATGATGTGCCCATTCGTTGCTCGTATCCGCAGCATACACGCGCAAGTTGGAATACCGACATGGCATTGTTAAATGCACCCGCTACAGCTGGATATGGCAAACATGATGAAATACATCGCTGACAGAGATAGCGCAGGTCCTTCTCTCCTGTGGCGCGCACGTCTCGCGTCACCTCATCCAGCTCGCAGTCCAACACTACCATCACGGCTACGTCTCGTTCATCAATCGCCCTTGGGTTCGCAGTCTACCCTTCGTCGTCTTTGCGCGCTTTCTCGTGCTCGCCTGCGCGCGATTCGAGGGCGACTTCAAGCTGCCGAGCAAGAATGACCCGGATGACGGGACGAAGTTTCGGCGGTGGATCAATGAGAGGGAGAGGGAGATTGGGAGCGACGCGGAGAAAGAGGCGAGGGCTGTTGTTGAGGAGTTGATCCGCACTTGGAAGGTGATGATGCTGTACAAAAGTTATGCAGGTCTATATGCGCTGACAAGCCTTCCTTGTTACACAGTTTCAACCCGTTTGTGACGAGGACCCTGCAATTGCACACTTCGCGCTCTCGCTTGCGGTTGAGCCTAAACTCCTGGTGCTCGCAGTAGCGAACGGCTATTGCGTTGATCCCGTGGTACGACTGTATCGTTCGTCATTCCCCGTCACGGACTCACAGAGTCCGGATACAGTACCGCGACTACATCTTCCGTCGTATGCTCACGCTACCCAGCAAGGAAGGCCTACTGCATACCTCGGTTGCAGAACGCAAGAACAAGTTGCTCTCCACCCTTAGAGACGTATGCAAATCGCAAGAATCTCCGTACGTGTACAGTGTGACATCGCGCACTACAGCCGGCTGATACCGTCCGTCAGCATCTTCCTTTCGCGCACGGTCGCAGCGGAGATCTGTCTAGAGGCCAAGATCGACAAGGTTGCTTACGACGTATTGAAGTCCATGGACCAAGAAGGTCTATTGCGCTTCGATCTGATGTACGTGCCATTCCGCATCTTTTTCCATTGTATGGCCGGTTTCATTGATTCGGCACTTCATCACAGAACCCTCGTCCAAGACTTGATCAAAGTGCGTTTCTACCGCCCGCTTCACGCGCCTATCCTAGCGGGCTTCGCTGAATAGAGGTCTACAGAGTTTGGTCCCTACGCGGTCTATCGTCGATCCGAACACCGTCGCGGCTATTCATTATCTGTTCAACGATCTCCCAGCGCATGCGGCTAATGACGCCGGTGTGCGACACGCCGTGCTGCTCACTGTATTCGCGACGTCTCTCACGGCGCACATCGCCAACGCGCGCTTGCTTGAGCTCGGTCTTAGACCCGATCCAGCAGACGCTGTACCCGGAGTACGACAAGTCTACAGGATCTACCACCATACCTCGGAGACGCTCTCGCCGATCTCGCGCGACGAGCTCGTACCAGTCCTGCTCAGCCCTTACGTCCACACCCACCACGCTATCGCCACTTATGCGCGCTTCTACGCGTTCTATCCGAACGAGTTGGTCGATGATATGCTGAAGGAGGTGGCGCTTGCTTGCTTGAAGCTACAATGCAAAGGACAGATGCTCGAGTCGCTCACCAGGAGGTATACAGGCCTGGTGGACATCCTCGGTCAAGCGATCAAAGAGCAGGCTTTCGACCTTGACGCGCTTCCTGCGCGCGATGCGTTGGACGAGACGAAGAAGCGGTTTCGCGTGGCACTGGCGTGTGAGGACGGCGCGTCAGTGAGCATTGCTAAGTCCATGATCGACTCTTACCTGGTCAGTACACCTCTTTGTACGTGGCTCACATGCGAGAAGATCTTCTTCTGACTGTACGATGCCCTGTAGGATGATCTCACGCATGAGACGCCGCCTCCACTGTTGACTGCTCGATGGGTCGTGGACACGTACAGCTCTATGAGCGTCCAAGCGGCCATCTTTGCGGATCATGTCGTCGCAAACTCAGCCGAGCGGAAGCCGGATTATTGGGATCGTACTTTGAGTTGGGCGAAGAAGGATGTGGGTACGCTCGAGGACGTTCCGATGACGATGAAGCATTGGGAGATCCTGGCGAGACTTGGGAGGATACCCGTGCGTCGTCTTCCCAAGATCGTGAGGTGCAGAGTTACTGTGAGCTGATGACGCATTGACAGAGCGTGAGGATGGTTGAGCGCGTTACGGCGGGAGAGACGTTTTACCAGTGCGCGGAGGATTACCTTACGCAGCGGGAACCCTCTGTTGAGCTCGAAGCTCCTGTCGAACCTGAGATGGATCTCGCAGCAATCACAGCCGTCGAAGTCTCCGCTCCGTCTGCTCGACCTTGTGAAGCCGTTGCTGAGAAACCCAACTCTTGCGCGGAGGTCGAGAGCGACGACGACAATGGGAGTAGCTCAGGTGTAGACGGCGGCTCCGAGCCTACTACTACCGCTAGCTCTTCCGTAGCGGGTGCACGCGCAAACGTCAAGCCTGGTGCTGATCAGGTCAAGGCAGAGCCAGGAAAGCTCGCCGCTATGGATGTCGAAGGCGCACAACTCTCGAGCGCGGAAAGCGAGGACGGCTTTGAGTGCAATTGCCACTCGCACTGCCATCCACGGTGCCAATGCGATTGCCACAGCGACCTCGACGCGGACGACGCATATGCCACCGGAGACGATGCTGACCCGCTCGAGTGCTGCGTACTGGGTCTTGACTGTCCCGAGCGGCGCGCGTTCTTTGCTACGCCAGCGGAGAGGAAAGTAGCGTTCGACAAGGCGGGGCAGATGCGCGTCGTGGCCGAGAACGCCGAGCGTATTGCGATGGAGGATAGACAAAAGAGAGAGGAACGAGACCAGCACGAGGGAGAGATGAAATACCTCAAGAAGCGTATAGAGGAGGCTCAGCGGGAGCTATCGCATGTTGGGGCGGGGCTGGAGTATTGGGAATTGCAGTTGGACCGGGGTATTTCAACGGCAGGCCTCTCCGATACGATTCCGACAGAGACGATTGCACAGCTGCAAGAGTACCCGCTTTCGAAGATCAATGAGTACGGGGTGGATGTGGAGAGCTACAGGGAGGACCTTTCGTGCTTAGAGGAGGAGCTGGAATACTTGGATAAGGGCGCGGCGGAGAGGGAGAGGCAGTCGTCCCTGTGGGTATCAGCCATGGGCGAATTGCACAGGACGGAGACGAAACGAGTACGTCTACCTTGCTCGGACGCGCCCTCGACGGAGTTGCCTTCATATCGTTGACCCTTCGCAGCTCGCGGAGACCAGGAAGCGACTTGGATTGCAGTGTACCGCCAAGTCGCCGTTTCTATCAACGCTCGACTACAAGGTCGGGTATTGGCGAGAAGCTCTGGATCGGCATAGGGAGAAGGGCCAGCGCCAGCGCGAACCATAGGAAGAATGGAAGTAATGGATTACCGCATCGCGACATGATGAAGACGAGGACGATGGAGGGGAGTATGACGGGAACAGGAAAGAGCGCCGTAAGTTGGCTTGAGACTAGGCAGCAGTGCATACATAAGTTACAGCTTGTAGTACTGGGAGACGCGTCTGTTTTACCAGCCTTGCTTGAGCGTTGCTGAGTCCTGCGAACGATCAGAACATTTGCCCAATTTGATCATAGACGAATAACGGGCAACATATCTCAGCGCGCCGACGCCTAGATTCTAGCTTATTGCCATACTACGCCGGCGTAGAACGTAGCACAGCGTTGATGCTACCTGGATAATATCATGGGGTCAAGTGCGGCGACGCGGGTAATGCTATTCGGAACGATAGAAAGGAAACCACCGACCGAAGATCCTCACCTGCAGTCTCGAGATCTGCGCATCCCAGAAGACGATACGGTTAGATATAGACGTGTACAACAGCACCCGTATCTGTCCCGCGCCTTCACGCCGAAGACAGTTGAGCGTCGTATCAGCAAACTCTCGCGCAGTGCTGTAGCGCCTCGTATCAATACCTTTCAAGCTCAAGATCCAAGATCCAAGATTCGGTTGCGTAATTGCCAACCCGCCAATTCGTGTATTTGGACACATACGACATGTATACAGATAGCCAGACAGGAATGCCCACGGTTGACAGGTCCGCATGGTGCACCGTAGTACATTGCGGCGAGGCGGTGTTTGAACCTCCTCCAAGTGCGCATCAGGGGCCAGGGCGCGGCCGCCGTGCCAGCGCCGCACCCTCTGATGGCTGAGCGTCTGGCAGACATCGATTTAGACAGCGCGTCGGGCGCCTAATGCGCCTCCACGACCGCGATGGGAATGCGCGCTCATACCCGCTGCGGTACCGACATTCCGGGCTCGACGGCTGGCCGCCCGAGGCACTTCTCTGGCCCAGACGCCCAGTTCCGCGCCCCATTGCGTGAGTGGCGCCTCCCGGATACGTGTCCAAGGATCCAGTGGAAAGTGCAGAATGAAGTCTAGAAAGTCGACATGTGAGTTGCTAGTCCAGAGATGAAGGTCAGGGCAGGGCGTACCTGCGACTCCGACAAGAGGTTCGGACCGGAATGTTGCACGGCCAGGGCGACAGGGCGACGCGCGTCGCCTCAAGGGGGTTTGCACGAATGTGTGCAAGGCCGGCATGCGGAAAGGGTGCGCTGAACAGTTGTACTGCGCGCGCTGGCTTGACAGATCCGAGTGAACCGTGGTCACCTCGTCGCGGACCAGCGGTCTCCGTCGGTACATGCGCGGGGACCCGCACAAGCCAAAGTATCGTCGGACGCGTGCATAGACTTCTCAGAGCGAGCGTCGCCCGTTGGAGGAAGAGATGAATCCAACGGAGAGTCCAAGATCGAGCGTTCAGCCCATTTCTGTCTCGACACCCAAACTGTGGCGAAGACCGTGCCCAGGATAGTGATGTAGTTGTTGATGTAGATTATGTAGATCCCTCGCATCCAATGCGGTTTTGCTGCCATGAGACCGATTTGTACAATGTTCATCGTGACACTGAGCGTCCCGCGAGTGGGTCGGGTGAGCACAAGAATGCTGCGCAAAAGCAACGAGATCACTCACGGGAACACACAGTTGCCCAGTGCGATGAGAAAGATGGCCGGAAGACGCGTCATGACTTCATCATGGAGAAACTGCAGGGCGTCAGCGTCTGATTCGGGGGTAAACTGCCGCATCAAGAACCTACATGTTCGCCGTCCTTCCGAAAGTCATACAGTTTGTAGAGGAATATCAAAGACGCGTAGCTGTAGCCCTTTTCAGTACGATTAGCCGAAGCAGATCAATGGTACCGACGCACGCGTTATCAACTGCCTGCAGGGCGAACAGCGACATGACAAGCGGGCCCTCTCCCCAAACCAGACCTTGCACGGCTTCGATGCCGGGTAGCGACAGGCGATCCATGGGGTAGGTGATCATGAACACCAAGACGACGACAATCCGTGCGATTTTGACGAGGATGGGAACAGCGAGGATGTATAAGAGTTGTTTGTCGGTCCTGAGTTGAACAGGGAAGAACACAAGAGCGCGGAATAGTAGGACGGTATCCGTAAACATAGGCGGTACAAGCAGGGTGATGATCTTGAACATCCACCACCAGCGGGAGATCACCAGAGTAGGATCGAAGAGGAACTGGACGATGTAACCGACTGTGGCGCCAGCTTGCAAGAGGCCGAGAGCGCAGGATAAGACGTTCAGCTGGAAGACCGGTTGCCTGCGTGTGCGCTGGGGAGTGAACGCGACAAGGGTCGCTATGACCGGTACGAGCATGGAACCGAGACAGGCGATGATGAGCAAGAGAGGGACGAGCTGTGCGATGTCGGCGTGGGCGACATCACCAGCATTGGCCGGTGCGCTGCCGCTCATTGTGCGCGCCGGGTGACCTGGAGGGACGAAGTAGGTGCCCGGCGAAAATTCGCGGATGGTCGCTTAAGTAGGAGATGCATTAAGCCTTTTGTCGTGATGTGCGGTCAACAGCATTTCGACGGACGATTGATTTGCTCCGGCACCCGATTGACAGCTACCTCAAGAGAGTTAGATTAAGAGTGCGCGCCTGTGCGAGGCGCGGGCGCATCTTGCATCAGCGGAGTGACTCATCAGTCACATCCCAGGAAACGTGGCCATTATTGCCCCAGGCGAAACCGCCGACTGGTCCGCCCCCGCGATCCACGACCACCGCATTGCCATTCTTCTCTCCTAACCCCCACCAGCATGGACTGGGATTCCCTCACACCGCAGCGTCTGCAAGTTCTTGAGCAGTTCAAGAAACAGGTGCAGGAAGAGCAGCTACTCAAAGACGAGCAGCACCTCGCATCATTCGACGACTATCACCTTGCGTAAGCGGACGATTCCATCGTGCCTGCATTACCTACCCCTAACCCGGCTCACGCACTCCGCCTTCGGGCGATCTAGTCGTTTCCTGCGTGCGCGCGCTTACAACCTCAAGGATGCACATACAATGCTTGTAGCCTGTCTCGAATGGAGACGCACCGTTGAAGGGAAGGGTCTTGCTACACTCTACAAGGAGATGGATCCCTTCGACGTATGTCATCGACTTGACGCATCATTTGCCTTCAGCATTCTAACTGCAGCTCTATCGGACAGTTTCCGGAGCGTAAACATGTCTCCCAGCACTGGCCGATGTACTTTCACAAGGTGTGCATAAATTCGTTCGGTTCGCAAGTAAGACCCAGGTATTTAGCTCATTCCGGCGCCTTCTCTTCTAGACCGACAAGGTGACGCTCATCTTCCATCTTCGCCGCTGTGTTCTGGCGCTTATAATGCTCGAAGTTCGGCCGCCCTGTTAATATCCAAGCCTTTGGGTCTATCAATGTGAACGAGTTGTTCAAGGGCATCTCACCTGAGCGCCACTGGCAGTCCATCGTAGTGAATGCCGAAGCGCTCATCGCGGAAGTCTTGCCCGCGGTCTCTACCGAAAGGGCTCAACATATAGAGCAAGTCATGGTCATCATTGACCTCAAGGGCTTCAGGTTCGTGGCTCCGCTACTCGACGTCTTCCCATCCCGATGAAAGGCTCCGTATAGCCTTAGCCAGTTCTGGCAAATGAAGTCGCTAGTTCAACGTGCACTATACGCTTCACAAAACTATTACCCGGAAACGTAGGGTAATCTCCGTCTACACGCCCCCACCAACGCTAACATGTGATGCCGTAGCATGGGCAAGCTAGTCATCATCAATGCTCCGGTGACATTCGCAGCTATCTGGAAAATCATCAAGCCCCTCATTCACGAGCGCACGGTCAGCAAAGTCGAGATCTATAGTTCGAGCTACAAGGACGCACTTCTCTCTCAGATCCCTGCGGAGAATCTCCCGGCGTCCCTCGGCGGCAAGTGCTCGTGCCCGGGTGGATGCAGTAACGCTGGCCCGTGGATGGATGGTCGCGCCGAGCGCCGTGCCCAATGGATCGCTGGTGAACAAGCTCGCCCCGGCCTGCCCTGGGTCGGCGAAGACGTGGACCTTGTAGCTCAGAGCAAGGCTTATCACGTCGGGACGATCCAACTCGACGAGGCCGAAATAGAGGCCGTCAAAGCTCAGCAGTCGCAAACGGCGTCTGCAGTTCCCGTCTCCGCATGAAGATCAAACGCCCTCACGACTTTCACGACTCTTTCCCTTGGTTTCACTATCTCGTTCGTTCATCTAGGACATCTCGCGAAGTTGTACGCCATCTGTACAGTACCTCCCCACTCTGCTTCATATTTATTTCTCTGTCACGAAGGATCTGTCAATAGACTATCATCATGTATCATGTATTACAGTACTCTATCCTGTTGTGCGCGTAATCCAGTGGTTCCTTGTCTTCTTACAGCGCTAAGCGTCCAACATTCATCTTTTGGCTGACATGGGAGACCGACGGCAGTCGTGAAGGAGATTAACGCCCAACGGTCGACGCTAACCCTTGCGAGTCCATCTGATACTGGATGCGTATACCCTATTATACCGGACTTTACGGGCACGCACCCGACTCACGCCGCACTGCTTTGCATGACACATTGCCAAGTTCGAGGGCGCCCACTAAACAACGCGACGCCACCACGCACGATGTTCGGACAACAATAGAGTCAGGTCGCCGAACATGTTGAGAAGCATATCCTCATTGTATCTTGGACAACCTAATCTCGCAGGCCAGGTCGCCAGGGACCGCACTGAAAGCACCGGATGGAGAACCTGAGCGGCGATCTCATGACACTCACCTCACTACGCGTAGAGAGCGCGCAGAAAGAAGATGCTTATAGTAGTATTCAGCTCAGAGCGGACGTCGCACTTCACACCGGTTCAAGCATCACACCGACGTAAAGAAGAAAGGCCAAAAGATCAAATTGCAAATCATCCCAAGAAACAAACAGACAAATCCGTGAACCCAATGCAACCCAAGTACAGGAGAAAGTACGTATACCGTGAGTCTGAGAAGCCCGCCGCTAGCGAGCGCACCACCAGTGGCGCGCCCGCTATGTTCGTAAGTGTGTTCGTCGTCGTCGTCATGATTTAGTCGAGCTCGTCAATGGCGCGCTTGTTGAGGATGTCGGAAATGATCGCGCCAGCCGCGCCGGAAGCGATGCCGCCGGCGATGGCAGTTCCAACGGCCTTGAGCGAGCGGCCCTCAACCGCGTCGGGAACATCCATATAGATCGTGCCAGTCTCGGTGTCGACGAGGAGGCCGGAGACGTCGCGGTTGAGAAGGTTGCTGATGACGGCACCAGCTGCGCCCGACGCAATACCGCCGGCGATGGCAGTGCCGACGGCCTTGAGCGAGCGCCCCTCGTTGGCGTCGGGAACGTTCATGTAGATCACGCCGGTCTCCGTGTCGACCATAAGGCCAGAAGCGTCGCGGCCGAGAAGGTTGCTGATCACAGCACCGGCAGCGCCGGAAGCGACGCCACCAGCAACCGCGGCGCCAACAGCCTTCAGCGAGCGCTCCTCAACCTCCAAGTCGCGCTTGTCGAAGATGTCCTTGACAATCGCACCAGCAGCGCCGGACGCGATGCCGCCAGCAACGGCGGTACCAATGGCCTTGAGCGAGCGGCCCTCGTTGGCATCGGGAACATCCATGTAGATGATACCGGTCTCGGTGTCGACCATGAGGCCGGAAGCATCACGACCGAGGAGGTTGCTGATCACCGCGCCGGCAGCACCTGACGCGATACCGCCAGCAACGGCGGCGCCGACAGCCTTGAGTGAGCGAGCCTCGGTGGCGTCAGGAACGTCCGCGTAGATGGTGCCGGTCTCCGTGTCCACGAGAAGACCAGACGCGTCGCGGTTGAGGAGGTTGCTGATGACCGCACCGGCAGCGCCAGAAGCAATGCCACCTGCGACGGCGGTCCCGATGGCCTTAAGCGAGCGCGCTTCGGGAGCGTCGGGGACGTCGGCGTAGATGGTGCCAGTCTCGGTGTCTACAAGGAGACCGGACGCGTCGCGGTTAAGCAAGTTGCTGATGACGGCACCGGCGGCTCCCGATGCGATACCACCGGCAATAGCAGTACCGACAGCCTTGAGCGAACGAGCCTCGGTCGCATCGGGGACGTCGAGGTAGAGGGTACCGGTCTCGGAGTCGACATAGAGGGCGGGCTCAGAGCGCTTGTTGATCAAATCGCTCACAACCGCGCCGGTGGCGAGAGAAGCAACGCCGCCAGCGATGGCTGTGCCGATGGCCTTGAGAGAGCGGCCCTCGTTCGCGTCGGGCACATCCATGTAGATGATACCAGTCTCGGTGTCTACCATAAGACCAGACTCAGAGCGCCTGCAAATACTAATTGGGATCCTGACAGACTGTTGAAGAAAAAAGACACGTACTTGTCGCCGATGAAGTGGTTGATAGCGGCACCAGTGGCAAGAGACGCAACGCCGCCAGCGATGGCAGTGCCAATAGCCTTGAGAGAGCGACCCTCGTTCGCATCGGGCACGTCCATGTAGATGACACCAGTCTCGATGTCCACCATAAGACCGGAAGGCTCAGAGCGCCTGGGTGCATGTCAGTATCTTGAGCTTCATCAGGAGCACGAGATGATACGTACTTGCCGAAGAGCGAGCTGAAGAAGTTGCCGATTGCCGTGAGGGAGCGGGCGTCAAGCTCATCGCGCTTGCCGAAGATGCTGTGGAAGAAGTTTCCAATAGCAGTCAACGAGCGGGAGTCGAGCTCGTCGCGCTTGTTGAAGAGGGACCCGAAGAAGTTCTCGATGGCCGTGAGCGAGCGCGCGTCGAGCTCGGCGCCCTCACTGCGGGCGATGTGGAAGTGCTCGTCCAAGAAGTTGGTGATAGCATCGACAGAACGCTCGTCGAGCTCTTCGCGCTTGTTGAACAGCGAACCGAAGAAGTTCTCAATGGCGGTCAGAGAACGTGCGTCCACCTCGTCGCGCTTGTTAAAGAGAGAACCAAAGAAGTTCTCGATGGCCGTGAGCGAGCGCGCGTCGAGTTCGTCACGCTTGTTGAACAAGGAGCCGAAGAAGTTCTCGATAGCAGTAAGCGAGCGCTCCTCGACTTCAGGCTCGCGCTTGTTGAGAAGATCGCTAACGATGGCACCAGCTGCGCCAGAGGCAATACCGCCTGCGATGGCGGTACCGACAGCCTTAAGAGAGCGCTTCTCTTCCTGGGAAGAGGTACTAAAGGGCGATTGATCAGCGACGGCTTCTTGTGTAAACTAGGTTATCAACTCACGCGACAGGAGCGGCAAGGGCAACGGGTGCGACGTGCGACGCAACGAGAGTGAGAGCGAGGAGGTTGGAGAAGACGGCCTTCATGATGATAGATTGAGGAGTTGAGGAGATCGAGTAGATAGAATGAGAGTGTGGGTCGTAACGAGACGGCGGTCGGACTGGTCGTGAAAGAAAGACGGTAGTAGGTTGCAGAGAGAAGACGAAGAAGCCGAGAGTCTTGGGTGACCAGCACCTGAGGAAGAAGAAGACGAGCGAAGTTGAGCGGCGAGCTGAGGTTTGTCCATCACGGAGCATGCAACCTTTATACTTGCGATGATTTCTCCGACCACACAGCCAGAAGGTAGAGGCAGCAGAGACGCATCAGGCGCATCAGAGGAAGGCTGAACGTAGGACCCGATGGGTCGGCTCAGTGCCTATTGTGTGATGAACTAGAAAGAAACAATCATATTCAAGGGGAAGCCGAAAAGATGGGCCGGTCGTTCCGGTTGCTGCGCAGTCGGCCTGCAAGTTGAACTTGGGGACTTGAGCGCGCTAAGTACCTGTTGAAAATGGGTACGTGGAGCTCCTCAACATCTCTTCAAGTGTGTTGTAGGGTGGAGCAACAATGCGCGTACAAGCCTCGAGACCTCTTCACGGGCAACAACCCTGTCCTCGCAAGCAGATGGCACTGTAGTCCACGTATTGAATTATCGTGATGGCAGAATGGCGAAGACCAATGGCGACGCCGACGGTTCGCTGCTCGCCCTGCATGGATGATTCCTTGGCGCAGCTAAAGTCGCGATCGACCGATATGTGCAAGCGTGCATCTCAAGGTGAATGCACTGCCTCATGGGCGGGTTCATTCGGTCGAACGAGGCGGATCTTCAAGAGCACGCTGGCGATGCGTTAGGTGGACGATTGGGTACGATTTGCTCGTCTCCTCAATGACAGCAGTTGGCAGCCGAAAGCAAGCGCATGCCACGGCCAAAAAACGCTTTGGCGGAATATTGCCCTCCTGGCTCTGGGAGAGACCCACTCTACGATCGGTATAGAGAAAACCCAGCGGGCAGGGTCGAGCAGCGCCCAGCCTCGCGGCGATGTAACCCACATACATCTCCCATCGCGTCACTACGAGTCCGAGTGGCAGAAGCTGATGAACGGAGCGACGAAGGCGTTGATTTCCATACACGAACCGCCGTGCTGACGAGGTGGACGAGCACGGGGCTGTGCCACGAGTTACCGATCTCGCGGGTATACGGCGGGAACAAGAAAAGCTGTCCAGATCGAGCAATTTAACGAACATGGCCACTATCGAACTCGTTTTGTTGCAGATGAGATGCAGATGGGTCCGCTCTCCCTGGGCATCATGGTGGTCGACGAGACGAGCAGAGCGGGGCCGGGACGGAACCTCCGGCGCGTTCCGCACGTTGAGCCAACAAAGACAAACAGACGCGTCGCGCTTGCGCTGGTTCGCGCCCTGATCACAACCAGTATATATCGCGATATGACAGACACTCTAGCCAGAGATCGTGTTGAAGATGCAGGAAGCGACGATGTCTTCGGTGAATATGATGATGATTACCGTGCGCCGTTTCCCTTCGGTTCAAAACCGCGTTTGATGTCCGCACGCCGCCGCGGTTATCGGCCCGACAAGGGCTTACCCTGCCCTCCCCGTTATCTCCCTTCGGGCCAGCTGCGCTCTCAGCTGGATCTGAGCCTTCATAGAGCTACAGTAAACCCAGTAGAATAGTATCTGAACTTCGTAGAGCGAGTTAGCACCGCGCAAGGCCGCGGGGGGCGATTTCCGCTAATTTCCGAAGTTTTCCCACGCACTGAGGCTCGACCGCGACTTCAACATTTACTCTGATAGGTTAGTAGCCACCCCAGCGGCGGAACCTATGGTGTCGGGGATGATACTTGAGAATATGTAGCGTCTGAAGTGGGAGAGCGTGTTATAAAGAATGACGAGTTCAAGTCCCTCAAATCCGGGGCGATATTTGTATATTCGTCGTATACGTGTACAATCAGATTTACGAGCCCTTGAACTAGCTAGCTCACAGGAGAAGTAGTCTTGTGCCTTATGGAGTGGCATTCACTCTTTAACTCATCCTGGTTAGCTCCCAGTACACCCTATGCGAGGAGTCAGACCGTACAACGCCTTAAGATCAAGACGTGGGAAAACTTCGGAAATTAGCGGAAATTACCTCCCGCGGCCTTACGCGGTGCTAACTCGCTCTACGAAGTTCAGATACTATTCTACTGGGTTTACTGTAGCTCTATGAAGGCTCAGATCCAGCTGAGAGCGCAGCTGGCCCGAAGGGAGAGAACGGGGGAGGGCAGGGTAAGCCCTTGTCGGGCCGATAACCGCGGCGGCGCGCGGACATCAAACGCGGTTTTGAACCGAAGGGAAACGGCGAACCGTATGATGATAGTTACTCGGCAAAGGGGTTAACTCACGAACGCGGTGTGTAGATAGTAGGTCGCACCGCGCGTCCGCCTTATCACAGGTATGCGAAGGGCGCGGCTTATGCCGAGCTCTCCAAATGGTAACGCAGTTGTAGATATACAGATTTGAATGATACAGCGGCTGAGTTTATACAAACAAAGAACGAGAATCGAATCCTCTCTCGATGATACATATCAAATGTCCATGCACGTCGCGTACTCTGCTCCCTCAACCTTCTCCCTCACAGTATCTCCGTGTCTACCTCCTCAAATTTAACAAGCTACTCAGCAACCCATGTCGCTTATGCGGTGGTGGCTGACCACCATACCCTTGCTGAGGCCCTCCCCACCCTCCGCCAAAACCGTTCCCACCCTGCGGTCCACCAAATCCTCCTCCATGTTGACCGCCCATCAGCCCTCCTAATAGTCCCCCGAACCCGCTTCCGCCGTGATGGCCTCCGTGATGGCCTCCTCCAAACCCACCGAAGCCTCCTGGTGGACCGCCAAATCCACCACCGCCATGATGAGGGCCCGAACCTGGACCGAAGCCTCCACCTGGTCCGCCTGGTCCGCCGAATCCTCCTGGGCCTCCAAAGCCGCCTCCTCCCGGCCCTCCAAAGCCTCCACCTCCTGGCGGACCACCAAATCCGCCCGGTCCGCCTCCAGGGCCACCAAACCCTCCCGGTCCCCCGGGTCCGCCAAAGTCACGCCCAGACATCGTGTTGAGGTAGTAAGTGATTGAGTTGAGTTGTGGGGTGTGGGATGTGTCGCGTCTGTGAATGCGGCGCAAAGAGTCAATTATATGCGAAGGGTGTGTGATGAGTTTCGTAGTCTTACAGAGAAGGCTCACCGTTATATACCTGGAATCATGCGGACTGCGCAATAGGCGGGAGCAAGTGCGCAGCCGAGGGCGATGACGCCGGGACGGAGGGAGCACGAATGGTCCCGCCGCACAGTGCCGAATATCGGACGGAGTTGTGCGAAGGCTGGATCCAGAGTGTACGTTGGTACGAAGGCTGCCATGCACGCAACAGGCAGCGTATGCCTAGTAGGCGCCAGTTCGGAGTGGCTGGTTAGGAAAAGTAGACGCATTTCTGGTGCATCGCGCTGCTCCGAGTCGTTGTAGACTCGTGAGCAGTCTCCTTGAGCACAGCGACGGAGGCAAGCTCGAGTTCTGTTCCCGGTACTATCCTTCATTGAAGACTGTAGCGACTGTGATTGGCCACAAGGCCGCGATGCGGTCTATCAAGGTACTACACCAGGTAAATGGAGTCGCGCGAATGAACAGTACTCGCGAGCGAGGAGACAGGCGCAGATCATGTCTCGCATAACGCATGGGTGGGACTGAAGGCAGAAATCGGCGAAGATAAGTTCGAGCGATGGGTGCGCGTACCATTCATACATTTCGGCGCGGAGTAGGTTGACTCGATAGGAATACCTTGTGGTATGCAGCGTTTGGCGTTAGTCGTAGCTAGAGATTCGTATATCCATTTCCTCGGTGAATAGAATCAATGGCTGATGGAAACACTTGAGATAGAATAGGTGGTGATGATGGTCGCGAGCAAGTTGTGAATGCAGAGCGCGCAGGTGCGGGCGCGGGAATCGAACCCGCCCTTCCTCGAGACGCGTTGGCTGCTGGTACACCCCCGCGCGCCTGCGGCGCCAGCCTGGGATCTGCGATGAGCTGCAGCGTCGACCATCGCGTAAAGGCCGGGCGGGACGAAAAGTGGTACTTTAAGCGGTTCAAAAGCGGTTCAACGAAACCGCTGCACGTACCGTAGATCATTGTTGTCGCTATATAGGGATCTGAGAGAGAACTGCTGTGCATGGTACGTGTGATGGGGGCGAGAGCTGGAACTTCAGTTTCCCAGGCGTCAGTCTCATCGATGTGCGCGTCAAATCGTCCTCTCTACCGTCCGCGGATCTAACGTCCGGCCTACCTTTGCTTTCCATCCCATCGGCTGCACGTCAAACTGTATGTGCTCAAACCAGTCCGAACCCCATACGCTTTCTCACATGGCCCAAAGTCTGACTTCGTCCAGAACAAGGATCGTGAACGAATCCAACATCGAGTCAGCCACACACCTTCAAGTACACACGATGGTCACCGATTGCCCACTACATATTCCAAAATCGTTCAGACGATTTCATCACACTGATCAAACAGGTCTTAGAGCGAAACATAGTCACATTTGTTGAGTAGGGATTTACAATTTAGAAAAGAAATGAGAAGTGAGCCGTTCCGTGTACGAGCTCTACATGCGAGACATCAAGCTAATTCAGTCCATAAAAATCATAGCAATGGTTCTTATCGTGTTCAGTTGGGACGAACACCTAGTACGCCATCAAGTAGGACGGTCCCGCCCCCGCGCCTCCAGATCCACGTCCGGGCCCTCCTCCGCGGCGCGACGACGGACCCGAGTTGCCGCCCGTCCTCCCCTGGCAATGCGCCACGTGCCTCTTGTAGCTGTCCACCCTGGCGAGCGCGACGCCGCAAGCGGGACACGTGTGCTGGGAGCGCTGGGCACGACGCGCGGCGGCGCGGCGAACCGCGGCCGGCGCTGCACTGATGTGCGACGGCGCTACTCCGCCCGCGCCGCCTGCGTGGGCACCTCCCATGTGGGTGGCGCCGGTTGATATAACGTTGTTGCTTGTCAGAACTGCGCTGGCAGCGGCAGCCTGAGAGATGTTGGTGGGGTACGGCGCGCTGCGCACGTTACCCGAAGTGTGGTTGTTGGTGCGGTGCGAAGCTGGGTGGATTACATCAGCATGGGCCTCGGCCGTTCTATGAGCGAAGGACGCACTTGGCGCCGTCGCTTCGCCAGGACGGAAATTGGAAGTAGGAAAGTCGGTGAAAGCGCCCGCGGAGACCGGGGGGCCTTGGCCGCTGGTGTCCATCGGCACATCGCCATCGGCGGAGGGCTGCTGGGCAACGGAAAGGTTGTCGAACATGTCGGAGAGGGACGAAATGGCCGAGGGCGGCGCGGGCGCAACAGTTGTCGAGACGGCCGGCGGGCCCACATTCGCGTTCTGCTCGATCTCATCAGCAACTGGGGCGGCGGAGAATATCGTGCTTGACGCACCTGAGCGCCGTTCAAGTTGGTGTTGGTGTTAGAGGCGTTCATGTCAGGATCGCTATCGTGGATGGCAGTGGCAAGATGGACGAGGGCGGCGTGGATGAAGGATTGGAGGGCTGTGATTTTATACCCCGCGTTCTCGGCGTTATATATTGATTTCTCAGTGCACAGCAGGGGCGGACACGTGTCGGCTGCCACAAAGGGCTGTCGGAAGATCGACGGAGCGGGGGAAGTTGGCGGGATGAGTGAGGAGCGCGCGCTGTCGACGTTATATAATAACTGGGCAGAGTACGGCAGAGTCGGACTTGCGTGTAGGCTCTGTAGGGACTGTGGCCATTGCCTCCTTTCAAGATATTGCAATCGCCTTCCTAAACGGGAAAGATTAGATGATCGGCATTCCCGTTGAACCCCGCTGTGGTTCGGCTACGCCCGGCAGGCGGGGTTGGATGGGCGCCGTTGCAACATCTGGCTTCTGCGCATAGAACAGTGGATGATCAGCGGTTGTGCGAAAATCAATTCAAATGATGGTATGCGAGGCGTGCCATCGATAAGACGGATACCCTAGTTCCCAGAGGATCGATGGCCAAGCCAAGTGCGTCAAGACAACGTCAAAAGATCAACTAAGCATCGGTGGCGTAGGGCACTAGCCAGTCGGTTGCTCGACATCTAATGCAATTCATATCGCTTACGTATCAGTCATGTCACGTACTCGGCTCAACCTCTCCATTCTTGCTTATCTAGATTTCGCCAGCGATCAACCGTACGACGCGTCTCGAGATTGAGGAGTTGGTGGCATGGCTCGTTTCTGCCTCGCTGTAGATCCCAGGCGGTAAATCGGCGGCTCCATTTCTGCCGAAGCATGTAGTGCTCCTGAGGTAGCAGTTTTTGAGCGAGTGAGCGAGGGTCCGTCGTGTATTTCGAGAGGTGTGGTCGAGGAGCATCAGGAGCGCGTCGTGCATTGATCGCGCCCCGCGAGCAAAGCATGTGAGCGCGTTCTGTGTGCTCGGCAAATGCCGCACCGCGCCGACGGACTTTGCTTAGACTTCACTGGACACCCGCTTAGATTTCTATATGATTGACGGCCAGATTGGGCGGCAGAATGGGCCATTCTGGATGCCGCGCGCCATGGTTTTGTACACATCACATTTACACGCTCAATCAGTGAAGTTCTCGGCCGACGTTCTCTTTCAGACTGTACACGATATCGGGATCCCCACAGGCGCCTCAACGACTTGTAGCGCGCTTCTCTTGTAGGCTATGACCACGGTGAAACTCATAGTGTGTCTGCGCAAACGTTTAGGAATGTCGCTAATCTTGACCGCCCTGAGTGCTGCAGAACTTCGGCTCGTCGTCGACGATGCTGCACCCTAAATTGACGCGCGGTTTTGTGGGCGCATGTACAGAGCGAGTGTCATGCCGCGTTGAGCCTTTTCGGCGCATGAGTGACTCAAGAGTAGAGATGGTGATATGTGACGCACCGAACTGGCCGCGCACTTCTCGCGCGCGGTATCGTCTTCAGTACTGAGAGTAAACGATGCAAAGCGAGACATGGAGAAGGGGATGGGACCTTCCGCCTTCTCGGCGAGCACAAGAAAGGAGCCACAACCCCTCTGCGAATGTCGGGGGAGGGACCTTGCCGTCGCGAAACAAGTCGCACGTTTCGACGGTGGAAACTGTAGAGGTCCTACTTCAAGTCGACGACGGCGTGCCGCTCACAACGTGCTTTGTCGTCACGCATAGACCAAGCAAATGCCACGCCGTTGAGACTGTTCGGCGAATCAGTGAATGAACCGATCAGAAGAAGATTGGTGATATGAGGCGTACCGGATTTGCCCGTCTGCCTCTCAGTCGTGCTCTCGTCTTGCGCAGAGTAGACGATGCGCGGTGAGCCGAAGGAGACGGGACCTTCCGCCGTATCGATGCCTGCGGCAGACGAGTCTTAAAGGCTCCTTGACGTCGACGCAGAAGCCCTCTATACGCAAACGATCTCTCGCAAGAAGACTTGTAGCCCTATGGCGCGATGAACTGCGTAGACGCTACGATGTATGGCATCCAAGCATCTGTGAACTCCGATGCATTTGAGCGTGTGGTGACATTCAGCAATGTGGCCCATCCCGGGTAACCTCCAGCCGCTGCGAAGTCATCAGAAAGAGAGCGAAGGACGATCACGCAAGACTTACAAGTTTCCGCCTATCTCTCGTACGTCAGTAAGTTGTGCACTCGATGCAGGGCAGGAACCGACGTCGATGTTTGGCTAGGGTACATGTCAGACGTGTGTCGCTTCGAGAGATGATGGAAGACTCACTCCTGGACGAGCAATCACCAGTATACCAACCTCTTTAGCGATCTGATACACTTCCGTTTGGTTGCGCCAATATTCGAAGTCAAGCTGACCCTGTCGCCCGGACGAAGAACCTCACCTATGGTACACAGAGACAGCGTTAAATTCCGCTGCCTGAGAACTTTAATCAGTATCATGAAGGTGTATATAGTGGCATGCGCGTACCTTCATCTTCTGCAGTACATCCCGCCACGTCGGTCCACCCGAAATGCGCTCGCCAGGGATCCATTTCACTGGAGAAGACGAAGGCGCGCCTCCCATCAAGGAATACTGAATGCTGGTCGAAGGTGACGGCGCATGTTGAGTTACTGGCGTAGAAGCCGGGAGAACCGGAAGGCACGATATACGCGCTGCAGCAGAGCGCGCTGGCCAGCGCGACAAGGGCGGTTGCGATGCCGAAGGTCTTCATGCGATGTCGCCTGCCAGTTTCTTCTGCGGACTCGCGGGCCTATATAAGTGTGCGGGTTAGCGGAGCGAACACATACACGGCCCGCGCAGGTCACTGGGCATGCTGTATCCGGGGAATCATCTGTTCACTTTGTGACGGTAAATCGGAGCCACCGTACAAGGCAGCCTCAAAACAGGTCAGTTGACGTCGTCTTCGAATATGTCGTCATCTTGCGGTTGGGCCAGTAGCCATGAGATCTCAACTGTACACTGAAACGGCACGGAATATGCTCAGATGTGCGCATCTGTCGCTGCTATCGGGCCATGTGAGTCTGCGCGAACGCGCAACCCACTGTTCCTTCGTCCGATAAAGCTTGCCCAAATCTTCTTCGTTGACTCTGTTCTTTAGGGCCTTCTTGTACCAGGTAGCTCTGTAAAGTGACTCGTGTCCAAGCGCTTTCAGCATGTGAGTTGTGATTCGCGTCGCATTGCTATCGGGCTGTCGGGTTCGGAAGCGGAAACAGCGGCAACAGGTGCCAGCTGGTTCCGGGTGGTCGTGATGAGGCGAACCCGACAGACCCCAGATAGTGTGCAGTAGGAGTACATGTATCAATGGAGGCATTTGATTGAGCCATACGCCCTACCGCTGGACGTCGAAAGCAAGTTACAACCAACGGGACGCGCCAAGGAAAGTGACATAGTGACGGTGACAGGTAACGTTGATCGGGCACGAGTCTTCCTTGCTCTGAACGTCCGTTGCAGCTGTATGCTGTTCTCCTGGGAATGGCCTCTCACTCCCATCGTATCTCCGAGAACGCAATGACTCGGAGTGATAAGCGCCTTGCGTATCCCCTCGACAACCGCAAGCCTCGCTTCAAGATGTTACTGGGACTCGGTTCGGGTTATTTCGGGCTACTCACTGTAGTACTTCGAGCTCATCCGTCCGCGTATGACCCAGGGCGCTTTGATCAGGCCTATAGGGATGCCCGAACGGTTCACGTCATGTAGAGCATATGCCCGTTTAGGGCTTCCATGTTTCCCATGGCGCGATGCATACCATCTCCGCTTTGAGCAGTCCACCTACGAAACGGGGCAGGTCGGGTAACGGAGGGTATAAGAACGATCCCTACGGACCCTACCCCAAGACCAGCCATCCGCATCATCGCGCTTCCTACCACGATGGTCATGGAGACCTTACGGACGAGCTCGACTCTCGTGCTTAATGCTGTCATGGAACTCTACTCTGCCACTCTTCGTCGTCCGACCCTGGCCACGACTATTGCTCTCAATCTCTTCGGTCTCCTTCTGTACCGCTTTTTGAATAGTCCTTGGCGAAAGCTCCCTCCAGGACCCACCGGTTATCCTCTGCTAGGTAGTGCGCTCAAGCTCCTCGACGCTTCTTGGTTATACAACGAGTGTCCCAAACTCGGTAAGCCTCGATCATATGCTCACCCAGAAAGGCTAATGAGAGCCCCTTCTCTACGACAGGGGAAATCGTTTACCTCAATGTTGCTGGGCAACCCACGTTTATTTTGAACTCTCAAAAGGCCGCGGCCGAGCTCCTTGATCGGCGTGCCGCAGTATACTCTGGCCGTCCACGCCTTATTGTCGGCCATGAGCTCATGAGCGGAGGACTGTTCTTCGCGTTCGAGCCGCACAACGATCGGTACGCCACATGAAGTCATCGGTGCGAACATCCGCTGACATCTATCTAGGTGGCGTCGACAGCGGCGCGTTGTACACGAGGGTTTCAATAAGTCCGCCGCAAGTCGCTTCCAAAGCGCCGAGGTCGAGGATGTTGTCCGCTTGGCGGCTTCGCTCGTAGAGGATTCTTCCTCGTTCCGCTCGCTCTATCATACCTGCGCGTGTTCGGTCGTGCTGTCCGTCACCTATGACCGACCTTTGCGCGGAGGTCCAGAGCACGAGGCGCTACGGGCACGGATAGACGATTTTGTTCATCGCAATCAGGCTGCTCTCCAGGTCGGAGCACACTACGTCGAACTTGTGCCGTGGATGCTGTACCTCCCTAGCTGGATGGCGAAGTGGAAGCGAGATGCTCTGAAGATGTATGAAGAGACAAGCGCATTCTTCTTGGGTCTCGTGGATGATGTAGAAACACGGGTGGTCCGTCATGCATTGTTGTGAAATCAGACGTACATAGGATGCTGACATCGTTTTCTCCAGAATGAGGGAACAGCACGACCATGCCTTACAACAACTTTGGTTCAGGAGGGCGAGCGATTCCAGGTCTCAAGACTTGAAGCGGCTTGGTCTGCTGGAGTCATGTAGTACGCCTGCACTCCTCGATTAATGGCACTCATTCGCTGACGCATTATAGCGCGGCTGGCAGCGACACTACTAGCAACTTACTTGAATGGTGGACACTCGCCATGGTCGCCTTCCCGAACGTGCAGAAGAAAGCACAAGCGGAACTAGACGCCGTGGTCGGTCGAGGCCGACTGCCATCTTTCTCCGATCGCGCGCTTCTTCCCTACACCGTTGCCGTTCTGCGCGAGGTCTTACGCTGGCGCACCGGTCTCCCACTTGGTTTGCCCCATCAAGCCGACGAAGACGGTTGGTATGAAGGGATGTTCATACCCAAGGGGAGCGTGCTCATCGCGAATGTCATGCCCTGCAACCGAGATCCGGCAGTTTATGGAGACGATTCCGAAGCCTTCAAGCCTGAGCGGCATCTTACTGAAGATGGGAAGCACAAGCCCGCACCCGCAGCAACGAAAGATCACGGACACGTATCGTTTGGCTTTGGCCGTCGCGTCTGCGTTGGGCAGCATGTTGCCGAAGATACACTGTTTATCGCCGTTGCTGTGCTATTATGGGCGTTTGAATTCGCGAAGGCGCGAGATGAGAAGGGTCGAGAGATTGACGTCGATGCGGTGGGATATGATGCAGCACAGCTTACTATGTATGTGGTCTATCATTTGCTTATTATCCTCTCTTCGCCGAACTGACGCCTGCACCAGGAAAGCCAATCACTACGAGTGCAGCATTACGCCTCGCTTCCCTGAAGTCAACACGATTCTTGCCGGGGAGACGGAGTTGCTGTCGTCGTGAATCACATCCGTGACGGACATTCTACATCCTCCTCTCCTCTCTCCTTGTCTCTTACCTGTGCCCCATCCTCGATCGGGGAAGCAAGCGAAGACTATGACCTACCAAAGAACTTAGCCTATCGTGGCATGTACACCGACTCGTCCATCTACCTCTTCTCGACTGTCGCCGAAGCCTACAGAGGCATCTATCGAGTCAGTCGCTCGGCGAGCTTGCGCGCGTGTTGAGCGCGTATGGAGGTATGGGATCCGTCCCCGAACCCAGAGCATGCGCTGAATGCTCATGCTTGACGAGAACACTCGGAAGACGATGATGATCAGGTGGACGTGGAGTGCGATAAACACTAGTACTACGATGCGTATACGGACACTGGGCAGGGTTTTACTCCTGATCGGACGAGGATCTTGGAGAAACAACTTGAAGAGCTTGAGGTCGATGATTCGGGTCGCGCTTCGAAGAGCTTGAGGAGAACGAGAATGCATCCGAGAAGCTGTACGAGTCTATCGTTGGCTCCTATGATGTAGAGAAGACGCGCGCAATCGCGACTGGAAGGGCGCGTTTAGCACCGACCGGCAGTAAGCCGGATAGCGCCTTGTCGCTAAATTGGTCTCACCGCATAGGGTCGAGTATTGTAAGAGGCTGTACGAGGCCTAGGGCGAGTGCGTCGGTTGGTCGGTAAGCCTCATCGTGTGAGATGCCGCGTATGCGAGGGCGTTAGTTCGTAATTGGCGCACTTCTCACGCACCATTCTGTTATCGCACAAGCCTCCATGTTAGACAATAGTGACTATAAAGTGAGGGCGCGCCTATCGAGCTGCTAAGCATGAGATACGACATTGAGTGCAAAAACGCGTGAACAATGTGCAAGTGGGGTGATCGCGGCACGCCGGCAAAATCCGGGCCGCACGAAAACTGGTTTGCAAGCGGCGGTTTGGCGAAACCGCCTCGCAAGTACACACAACGGTTGCCGACTGAAGCACTGAACCCGCGATGTCCAGAGACCATCCACGATAGCATCACACTGATCGGTCAAGTCGTTATCTAGAGCGCAACATTGTCATATTCGGGGAGTGGAGATGTACAAATCAAGATACGAGAAGTGAGCCGATCCGTGTACGAGCTCTTCATGCAAAACAGTAAACTAATTCAGTCCGTACAATCTTAGCGGTCAATTGTCCTTATCATGTACAGTCGGGTGAAAGCCTTAGGACGCAGTCAAGCGGGACGGTCCCGCCTGCGCGTTTCCAGATCCAGCGCCCGCGCCACCTTCCCGGGGCCCTGCGTGGCGTGTCACATAATGGCGATGCAAGGCGTCCTGCCTAGTGTATACCTTGTCGCAGGCGTCGCACGGGTGCGTGAAGAGCTTGTGGCCCTTGGGACGATGTGTGTCGACGTGGCTGATGTAGCGCTGGCCCTCCGACCACTCCCACTTAGGGTACCTGCCCTCCCATAGTTCTCGGTCGGCCGTGCAGCCCCGGAATTCGCACACGAGCACACTTTCAGGCACGTCGTCGGCCACCTCCCAGTTGGTAGGGTCACTTCGGATGGCCAGGCGGTGTTCGGCCAGCTGTGCCTTGAGGAGCGACTCCTTGGCTCTGCGTGTGTTGCCCGCACGGGCACCTCCCCTGCGGGTGGCCCTCGTTGATGTCAAGTTGTTCGCACTCAGGTCTACGCTGGCAGCGTTAGCCTGAGGCATTTCGGTGTTGTACGGCGCGTGGCGCGCGTTCACCGAAGAGTGGTGGTGGGTGTGGCGGGGAGCTGATTGGAAACGATTAGCATGGGCCTTGGCGGCCTGAAGAGGGAAGAACGCACCTTGCTCCTGTGCCGCACCGGGGTGGAAATCGGGAGGAGGGAGGTTGTAGAGAGCGTCCGCATTGAACAGGGCGTTATGGCCACTGGTGTTCGGCGGCACGCTGTAAGTGCTAAAGGGCTGTGGGAACATGGAGCCACCAAGCGGGAAGGGGTAGCCTATGAGGGTTGATGGCAGCGACGGTGCGACGACACTCGGAATCGCAGGTTGGGGCGCCACGATTTCGTTAGCGAAGGTCATGTTCAGCGCCGGCATGGGAAGAGGCTGGGTGTCGGAAGGAGCGAAGGTGTTGAAACCATTCGGGAAGACGGGAATGTCGTTGCCGCCGGTGTTCAGCGGCACACCGTAGGCACCACCGAGCGCGAGGACGTTGGGGTGATCCATAAGGGACGCCATGGGCGGGGGACGGGAGGGCGCAACAGCAGTTGGGACGGCCGGTGGGTACGCCGCGGCCTCGTCAGCGAAGGACTCGCCTGGCCCCGACAATGTAACATGCTGGAGTTCGCAAGGTGGAAAGATGTTGGGATTGTTCGAGAAGCCCCGGACGTCATAGTCGCTGGTGTTCGGCGCGCTGTAGGTGCCGAAGAGCTGCGGGTTCATGGGGCCACCGAGCGGGTGGGTGCGGAGATAGTTGTTGATGATCACGGAGCTCGAAGGCGACGGCAGCCTAAGAGTGGTCGGGGCGACCGGTGTGGGTGCGGCGGCCTGCCAATTCGCGATCTCAAACGGTGTGGCCACATACATGTTCTGCTCGACGATGTCAGCAATTGAGGTATCACAGGATCTCGTGGTGGACGCACCGGGACACCGTTATTAAAGGCATTGAAGTCGGGGACGATCACCGGACCGGCCTCTGCAGCCATCGCGTGTCCTGTGTTGCGCTATAGTAGGCAATCAGCGTCGAGTACGCTGGCGTGTTATAATTGGAAATATATCTACCATGTTAACCAGAAGTTCCTCATAATTATCGTCTTCGTACTGGCCGTCCCCAATGCCGGAGGCGTCGTGAGGGTGACCAGCGTTAAAGTTGGAGTAAGAGTTAAGAGTGTTCATGTTGAGGTCGCTATCGCGGATGGGAGCGGGCAGATATACGAGTGTGGGGAAGGATGCGGGACTGAGGGATGATGCCTTTACACGGCGTGTTCTCGTCGTTATATAGAGATCTCGCAGAGCACGGGAGAGTCGAGCACGTGTAGGAGAAGCGCGGGAGAGGGTAGCGGGAGGAGGCTTGATTTCTCCAACGCACACTCTTGCCGATATATAGTAATCTGGTAGAGTACGGCACAATCACACACGTGTAGGGGCTTTGTAGGGCCTGTGCCCATTGCCCCCTTTCAATATATCATTGATCAGCTTCTTGAAAGGGAAGATTAGATTATCGGCCTTCATATTGAACTCCGCTTTGGTTCGGCTTCGCTCGGAAGGCGGGGTTGAAAGGCACTCTTACGCCCGCTGGCTTCTGCGCAGTGCGCGCATCGGATGATCGACGAACACGTTGTCTCTCATCGTTTATTACAATCTGATGCTCACGAACAATGGGAAAGCTCTCTCACAGCGTTTGGCCAAGCGCGGCAAGATCTCAACCACACATTGGTGGCATTAGAGTATCAGCCAGTCGGCTGCTCGGCGTCCGGCGTAGCATGTCATTTACGTTTCAGTATCTTTACGTACTCGGCTAAGCCTCTGCATTTTTGCTCATCTGGATCTTGCCAGCGATCAACCATACGACGCGTCTCGAAATCAAGGAGTTGGTGGCATGGCTCGTTTCTGCCTCGCTGCAGATCCCACGCGGTACATCGGCGGCTCAAAATTTGCCGCAGCAAGCAGTGCCTCAGAGGTAGCATCTTGTTGCGAGTGAACGAGCGTCCGTCGTCTATTTCGAGAGGTGTGGTCGAGGAGCATCAGGAGCGCGTCGTGGATTGATCGCGCCGCGCGAACAAAGCATGTGAGCGCGTTCTGTGGTTCGGCAAATGCCGCGTGGCGCCGGACATGTCGGGCTTCTCCAAGGCTTCTCTACGAACTGCAGACTGCAGGTGTGATTAACCCCAACCACGGCCGGAATCGGCAATCGGATGAGCCTGTTCAAGATCCCATCTATCCGCTCTACACGTAATATTCGCAATGCCTTTCGGCCAGCGGTACAGCTTCTGTATCTACTCCCAGTTCTCTTTCTGACTCTACGCAACATCGTGATTCCCGGCGCCTCGACGACGAGTAGTAGCGTCCTTTTTCGCCGACTGTCACAGCAGTCGAGTACATGCCGTTCGCACCGACGTTTTCAGGTCCAACCGGCATGTCGGGTGCCGTAGACGATCTTTTCGTCGTCGGCCAACTTACGCTTCAATTGCGCATAGACAGAGCGAATGCCATGTCTCTTAGACCACTCATCGCAATCAGAGACAATCTGCACTCGGCGCTCCTGAAATCTTCAATTGCACGATGGAACCAGCACCTCTTCCCCTACACCATACACAAGAACCTCGTATACAACACGCCTCTGTCGACACTCTAGGCTCTACCGTCCCCGACTCCTTTCTCTCCCTCTACTCCCACTCTCACCTTCCTCGGCGCCCCTCCTCACAACGCTCTTACTCCTCCCTCTTCCCGCTTGCACAGCAACGGGTTGTGGCGCATCCTCAGGCGCCGGTGTACCCATCAACGCGCTTAGCTGCTGCATCGCATTCGCCAATATCGCATGCGCCTGAAGACCGGCTTCGGGCGTGAGGCCGTTCGCGAAGAGCGCGTCGAAGCCGGCTGGCGGTGCAGCTTGCGATTGGGCTTGAGGTTGGGACGTAGCGAGAGGAGTGGATTTGGATGATGATGCAGCGGGCGTTTTGGGCGGCGGTCTTGTTGAGGTTGAGGTCGAGGCGGATGGTTTGGGCGCAGAGGGCGTCTTGGGTGGAGGTTTAGGTGGTGCGGAGGATTTGGGCGGGCGACCGACGGGTCTCTTTGCTGTGCTGCTGCCAGCGGGGAACGCAGCTGGTAATGGTGGAGGGACGTTTGAGGGCGCGGGTCCGCGGGATTTACTTCTTGCGCGGGATTTGCTTCGAGCTCGGGAAAGTGCTCTAGAACGGTCGTCTACAATGAAGATGCATAAGCAACGATGAAGGGAAGCAGAGAAGAAGGGAGTAGCTGACCTGTACGACGAGGCGAAGCACTAGCATCTCTGACAGGCGCCCGACTAGACGCCCTCGGCGCACGCGAGACTGACCTCCCACGTCCTCTCCCCATATCTTCTTCCTTTTCTTTCACTTTCTCCCCGCTCCTCCCTCGTTCGTCATTCTGAGCTGAAGACGAAGAGCCCACCACAACCTCAGGCTGAGGCGGATCAGGCACCGACTCGACCCTCTTCCTCTTCTTCACCGTAGCCGTCGTCGAACTAGACGGGGACGCAGGCCGGCTCCTCGACCTTCCGCGCGGAGGACTGAATTTCATAGGCGGCGACCCCTGTCTTGTTTGGGGTTGAGGTTGAGAGTAGAAGGACGCCGTCGACACGGACGCCGTCGACACGGACGCCGAGGTCGCAGCGGATTTATGCGGAAGAGGATGAAGAGGCGCGGCTGATCTGCTTCTTATAGGAGTCTCGACGGCGCGCTGTTTGCCCTTGTCCATACTGGATCCAACGAATGGACGTGGGAGACGTGGGCCTGGTGAGGGTTTGCGAGGGGATAAGGAAGATGACGGTGTCGATGGTGCGATTGAGCTGCTCGAAGATGTAAGAGGTGACGATAGCAAGGGTGCCGTTCGCCGAGAAAGTAAGACTTCAGCCTTGCGTAGCGGCCGTGGCGTTTTGCCAATGAGAGAATCGGTAGAAGTAGATGCAGATGCCGCTATGCGTCCTCCGTATACTGGTCTCGGCTTAGGTCGCATAGGCGTTCTTGTAGGTAGAGATGCAGTAGACTCAATATCGCTCGAAGCAGATGCGAACGATTCAGGCGGTGTGACCAGTTGGAAAGGCCGTGAGATCTTCGATGAAGATGCAAAGCCAAAGTCGAACGGCGCAGGCGAGGAAAAGTCCGTATCCGACATTGGTGGAGGCGACGATGATGGTAGCGGTGAGGAAGGCGGTAAAGGAGCATCCGAAGATGGGAACACCGGTGAAGAAGGAAGGCGAGGAGACGAAGGCGGCGTGTCGTCGTCAATCTCGATGACCTCTGTGCCCGGAGGCGGCACGAACTTCTTCTTCGGTCGCGGGGTCTGAATAGGCAGAGAAGCGGGTATAGGAGAAGGTGACGAGGGCGCTGAGGGCTCTGGGGAGCTGGCTGGGAGCGAAGGCGAGGAGTCTCGTGCGACAGGGGGCGGGTCCCTCACACGGTATATCGCCGTGGACTCGTCGTTTGCCCAAGCGCCCAGCTCGTCCTCAGACTCGTCATCGTCGTCATCAGGCGGACGACGCCTCTGTGGTGGTGGTCTTGACGGGCTAGCGGGCCGGGAGAGCGAAGCGAGGGGCACGTCGAGCGAGTCGGCGTCAGAGTCGGTGGCATCCTCCTCTCTCGTCACGTTCAGCTCGTCCTCCTCGTCTTCTTCGACGTCATCGCCATAGAGCTGTTTTCGTTGTTTCTCGGCGTCCATGAATTCGCGCAGGTCCTCGTCGTCGAACGGGTCTCGACGTCTTGGAACGGGCGCAACCACATCCGCCACCTCCAGCTCGTCCTCGCTCTCGTCCACCTCGCCCTCTCCCTCGGCTTCCGTCTGCGCCCCATCACCCTCCTCCTCGTCCTCCTCCTCGCCACCCTCCGCCTCCTCGGATAATTCGCCAAAAGCCGTGGACTGCGTGGTACCCCTCACGACGCCCCGATCACGCGTGATAGTGATGGTCCGCAGATCAATAATATCATCCTCGTCCAGCGCGCGCGTATATCGTTCGGCCAACGCAGCCCACCGATCCTGCAACCTCTGCACGCTCGCCAACCTCTCCTTCTCAAACTCCCGATCCGCACGTTGTCGCTCCTCGACCCTCGCCAACCGCGCAGCCTCACGTGATCTTTTCGCCTCTTCATCTCTCGCTGAATCTTTTCCAGCAGCAGTTGTAGCGATATGCTCAGATGTAGACGTAGATGCAGTACTGGAAGCAGAAGGACTCAGCCGGGGCCGTTTAGTCGGGCTGGGCTGATCGGGGTATCGCGAGGCTGGGGGTGTAGCGGATGGCGTGAGGAGCGGCGGGGGCATCGGAGGCCGCATCTCGAGCTGGGAGGGGTGCCATAGTTTGGAGGCCGGGTGGGCGTCCATGCCCGTCGGATCCAAGCGCCGCCAGACACGCTCTCATCCCGCAAGTCAACAGACGGCACGTGGTCGCGTTCTCTCCCGATTCGGTAACTTGTTGTTCTCGACCGCGACCGCCACCTCCATCGCGTACGACGAGTCTCTCCGAATACGTGGTGTCCTTTGTGCAAGTGTACAATGCGAGATGTTTACAGATATACGATCAGACGCGCCGGAGATGCTCGTTACGTAAGACAATAGTCCCTCCCACGCCTTGTTCTCCATATCGAACAAACATTCCTCCGCCGCCTTGTTCTTCGCCGTATACCCGCATCAGGTAACTATGGCGCTTCGAGCATTCAAGTCGGCTATTATAAAGCGGGTAAGTCGCCGACTGTATCTTCACCTGCTTCTTCTCGGTTGCTCATTGTACGGGCTTTGCCTCTCCTTTCATACTTCACGATCTTTTCACGAATCAACATCTCACTATGCGCGGCTGGCTCGCTCTCGCTCTTTCCCTCACTGGGCTCACCTTGACATCCGCTGCTCCGGTACCCGCGACGCAGTCCAAGTCCCGCCAACACCTCTCGCGTCAAGACCCCTCCTCATCCAACTCAACAAGCTCCCCGTCAAACACTACGGATGCCTCCCGCCCGAAACTCGTCATCGCGCACCACATGGTCGGCAACACCTATCCCTACACCAAATCCGACTGGGCCTCCGACATCGCCCTAGCCTCCTCGGCCGGAATCGACGCTTTCGCGTTGAACGTCGGAACGGACGAGTGGCAGCCTGATCGTGTGAAGGATGCGTATGATGCGGCGGCTGAGAGCGGGATGGGGTTTAAGGTGTTTATGAGTTTCGATATGACGTACGTGTTCTACGTGGGTTGTGAAGGAGGGTGGTACGCTGATGCAAGGTTGTGTAGTGTTATGCCCTGCGCCTCGCCCGACGACGCGACGACACTCCGCAACTACATAACGACCTACGCCTCCCACCCGGCCCAACAACTCTACGCCTCCCGCGTCCTCGCAACAACATTCGCGGGCGAATCATGCACATTCGGTCAATCGTCCGTCGCTGAGGGCTGGAAAACACAGTTCACGCAGCATCCGGATTTGATGGGGGATGGCGGAGAGAGTAAGGTTTGGTTTATGCCGAGCTTTTTTGTGGATCCGGCGACGTTTGGGGGGTATGATGGGGTTATGGATGGGGCGTTGAATGTGAGTTGATTCTGTGTATGTGGAGTTTAGGAGGGATGTTGAGCTAATGGGCGCATTTGTGCAGTGGAACTCGGCGTGGCCGCTCACGATTGCATCCAGCGACTCCAACGCGCCGTCCATCGTCTCACAAGTCCTCTCAACAACTTCCAACACCAACTCGACCTCAAACAGCACGCTCGCTTCTCTCCTCTCATCCTCCACCACCTCCACCTCGGATGCGGCACAACAAGCGCTGGGCGCGTTCACGGGCACCACGACCGACGGACAGTACCTCTCCGGGCTTGCGAGCATGCCTAATGGCGGGAAAGCGTACATGGCAACTGCCTCGCCATGGTTCTACACGCATTACGGACAGGACAGCTTCAACAAGAACGTGCGTCCCTTCCCTTCCTCCCCCTCATATGATCCCCCTCTAATGTGTGTCACGGATAGTTCGTCTACTACGCCGACGCACACCTCTACCCAACCCGCCTCTCAACGCTCGTCTCCAACTGCGACACAATCGACATGATCCAGCTCCTCACATGGAACGACTACGGCGAGTCGTCCTACCTCGGCCCCATAGCCGGCGCGCAGCCCAACTCGCAAGCCTGGGTCGACGGGTTCGAGCATACGGGCTGGTTGTCGCTCACGGCGTACTACGCGCAGGCGTTCAAGGCGGGCAGCTACCCGGAGGTTAAGAACGATACGGTGTGGATGTGGAGCAGGCCGCATGTGAAGGATGCGGTGGCGGGCGGGGATGGGGTCGGCAGGCCGGATAATGCGGATCTGTTGGGCGATACGCTGTGGGCTGTGTCGCTGCTCTCGTCGCCCGCACAAGTCACACTCTCGACGTCCCCTACAAACACGCGTACATTCAACGTGGACGAGGGGATCAGTATGCTGAGCATCGATATTTACGCGGGAGATACTATGCGCGCGCAGGTCGTTAGGGGTGGAGAGACGACGGTGGATGTGAACCCGGAGTTCACGTTCCAGGGCGCTGCGGGGACGTATAACTTCAATGCGTTTGTCGTGGAGGGGTCGAGCGCGACTCCGAGCGCTTGAGTTTTTGGTTTTGTATTTCAGGATTGGGCTGAGGGCTTTACTCGGTGTGTAGCATAGTGTGATTTGGATTTGGATTGTATCGGTAGCTCATGCTAGGAATTCATTAGTGTTGTACTCTGACGTCGACCATTCGCGTTTCAATGAACTTTGATCCGCGCGCCCGATTTGGGAGCGTTGCGAGCACGTGTTGCTTGTGAAGAGGTTTGGGTGTGTGAAAAGTGAGCACGTTCTTATTTAGATGCGACGACAACGACGACCATAACCGCCACCACCTTCACCCTCGCTACCACTGCGACCCGCCATACACAATGTCCGAGCTCCCACCTCCTCCCCCTCTCACCGAACCGCTCAACTCGATCGAGAACCGTCTCGCGGCTCTGCGCCATGAACGAGCCCTGCAGCACCTGCTATGTACCACCTCACCTTCTTATCTCTGACCCGCCAGCCTTCTTACGATCATGATATATAGCTGACCGAGGATACAACGCTCTCCCGCCCACCGAAGCCGACCTCGCCGCGCTCGATCAGGCACGTCTACGCTCGGTCCATCTCCAGCTTCGGAGTCCGCCGGACGATATACCTCGTGAGTCTATACATCGACGATGGCTTGAGTCTACAGTACAAGTTTGGACTGAATGGACTGTCCTGTATGCCAGCCCCTTTTGCTCCTGCCGCCAACGGTAACGTCGCGGCACAGGACCAGGAGGCTCTCACAGCTGCGGTCACCGCTGCCATTGCCCCGCTCATGGACGACATCGCTGCGGTCAAGACCAAGGTCGATGCCATTCCTGCGCTCAGGGACGACATAGCCGCATTGTCCGCGTCCGTTGCCGCGCTCGGGGACGACATAGCTGCAGTGACCGCGTCCCTCGCCCCGCTCGACGGGGCCGGAGTGGATGAAATGCGCACTGCCATTAAGGACATCGAGTCCAAAGTCGCGCTTGTAGACGAAATGCGCACCGACATTGCGAGCCTCAGAACCGAAGTCGGCGCCTACCATGCGATGTCTATCCGGATATATACGTTGATGGCGAAGGTGAGGGTCGCCACTAGTTGCGTTATGGCTATCTAATCAACTCTTGTTTCTCTTGAAGGCACACAATGGAGTCGTCTCCAGTAGGCAGGCCGCGCTGCTCGATTAGACGATGGACTTCGAGGGAGATAGACTCAGATGGGCACGGGGGCGGTCGTTCTGTTTCTTCGTGGTGGCCATTTGTGAAAGTATGAGTGGATTATTCTTCGGCATTCTCAATATCCTGTACTATTACTGTACTATACTCCAAATCGTGTATTTCTCCCTTTGTGTCAGAGGTTATCGGACGTCTTGTATCCTCTTGTAATGCATACGATATGTCTTGTCTATTTTCTACCCAAGCTGTGAGAAGCAAGTGCCCGCGCATGAGTGCACGACATAGGACGCGCTATCGCACGGCGCAATCTCGCGCGTCGGCGCCTGGACGTGGCGCGCGACTCGCACGGCATGCGTCGATGGCGCATCTTCGAACTTCCGCTTCATCTCCCAACGGCGCTCGTCGCTCAAGCGTACAAAAGTTTGACCGTAGCGTCTGTGCTGATAACCTATACCCTGCGAGCAAGTGCGCCCCGTACGCAATATCCTACGCCATTTTCAGCCGTTGAGTCTCGGGCACTCGGACCGACCATCCGAAAGCGCGCGGGGCACAAGCAAATTCTTCTCGCTCGCTCTCCTCCAACTCTCCCCTCCCCCCCAATACTCCACGCGGGTCACGATGCACCGCCCCGCGCGCTACAACGCCAAAGCGCGCCAAGGCGGCGCACACAAGAAAAGCAAGACCAAGCGCCGCGAACAAGACGCGCCGGGGCAATTGGTCGAGAACGGGAAGGAGAGGGAGGAGGATGCGAACGCGGATATTTTGGAGAGGAAGAGTGAGGAGGAGAAGGAGGCTGAGCGGAGGCTGAAGTTGCGTCAACAGGTGCGTGATGAGTATGGAATGCGGAAGGGAGGAGGTGCTAATGGGAGATGTGGCGTGTAGATGTTGGAAGAGAGCAACTCGCGAGCGTCGAGCAAGAAGAAGAAGAGGCTGGACAAGTACATCGTGCGTCTATATCCACCCTCTATATGATACTCTCATGCTGACTGCGGTGTACAGGACAAAAAGCTTAAGAAAGACGAGCGCCTCTCGCTCTTCGACAAGCTCTCCAAATCGCAAGCCGAGCTCCCGTCCACGCTCGCCCTCCAGTCCTCAGCCACGCTCGGCACCGGCCGCGTCACCACGCACTCTACTCTTCAGGCCCGGGCGGAAGACAGGCAGGTACGGCGCGCGATGGACGGTGTGGTGTCGAGGAAGCGGAAGCGTGGGAGTGTCGAGGTTAGGGCGGCGAGTGGGAGCGAGAGTGAGAGCGGGGATGAGGAGATGGTGGCGAGTGGGGTCGAGGAGATGGACGTGGACGGTGATGAGGAGCCCGGGCATTCGGCCGAGAACCCGGTCGTCGTGGTCGAGGACTACGGGCCGGCTCCTCCACCTGCCAAACAACCTACTGTTGGCGGCGCGTTGAAGCGCAATGCGGATGGCAGTATCGCGGCGCCCAAGGTTCTGGCCCGGAAAGATAAGGGGAAACGGGTAGGTGATCGTCGTATCGTATATTTGTACTTGGGAACTGAAAGCGTGCTCTACAGACTATACTACAGAAGTGGAAACGCCCGTCGCAGGCCAAGCCCGAGCTTGAAATGGCCATCGAGTCTGACTCTTCGTTTGATAGCTCAGACTCTGCGAACGACTCTGACGACTCCGACGCGTCTGAAGAGGGGAGTGACGACGAAGATGCGTCCGACTCTGGCTCTGGCTCTGGCTCCACAGAAAATAATGAGGACGATGCTGAGGAAGAAGAGGAAGAGCCCGCGCCGAAGAAACGGAAACTAGCCGACTTCAAAACATGGGCCATGAACCAGCTCAGCGCCGCAAAAGGCTACATCGCACCCACCACACCCGATGCACCACCCACACCTCCCCCGTCCGACCCTACCTTGCCTCCACAAAAGAAACGCAAGCTCACACCGCCCCCCGACGGCCTCATCCACGGCCCGCTCGGCGAAACGCTCTCCCTCCCGTCCACATCCCTCGCGCAGTCCCTCCACTCCTCCAAGTCGAAGTCGAAGCTGAAAAAGTTCGTCTCGGTCCACCGCCCCCCCGACGTCGCAGAAGCGCGGCTGCAGCTCCCGATCGTCGCGGAGGAGCAGCCGATTATGGAGGCGATCCTGCTGAACCCCGTCGTTGTTATTTGCGGTGAGACCGGGAGCGGGAAGACGACGCAGGTGCCGCAGTTTCTTTATGAGGCTGGGTTTGGGTCGCCTGGGAGCGGTAAGTCCTCTTTCTCAAAGTTCACACAGAGTCGTATGCGGTATGCTGATGATGTGCGGTGCTGTGCGGTACAGATAATCCAGGCATGATAGGGATAACCCAGCCCCGCCGCGTAGCCGCCATCTCAATGTCCCAGCGCGTCGCACACGAGCTCTCGCTGCCCCCCTCGCTCATATCCTACCAGATCCGGTACGACGCGACGACGTCCCCTTCGACGCGCATCAAGTTCATGACGGACGGCGTGCTGCTGCGCGAGCTCGCGAGCGACTTTTTGCTGAGAAGGTACAGCGTTATCGTCGTGGACGAGGCGCACGAGCGGGGCGTTAATACTGATATTCTGGTGGGGGTGTTGAGTAGGGTGGGCAGGCTGCGGGAGGATATGTGGAGGGGGGATCCGGAGGGCGATGTCAAGGTACACTCTTACTTTCAGTCACTATATGCTATACGATACTGACTGTCTTCAATCTTTGACAGCCGCTGCGCCTGATAATAATGTCCGCAACGCTCCGCGTATCAGACTTCACCTCCAACGCCACCCTCTTCCCCACCCCGCCCCCCATCATAAACGTCTCAGCCCGCCAACACCCAGTGACGATCCACTTCTCGCGCCGCACGTCGCCGGACTACGTGTCCGAATCCATACGCAAAACCGCAAAGATCCACGCGCGGTTGCCGCCCGGCGGCATACTCATATTCCTCACAGGACAGAATGAGATTCAGGGCGTGTGTAGGAGGCTGGAGGAGCGGTTTGGCGAGAGGGCGGTGGAGGAGAGGAAGAGGAGGAGGAGGGAGGGCGTGAAGGCGAGGGACGCGGGGCGGTTTTTTGAGGAGGAGCCGGTAACGGTTGTGAAGGCTGCGCAGGTGCCGCTTGAGGCGGAGGATATTGAGCTGGGGGAGGCGCTTCAGGCGGATCTGGCGGACGATGTGGACGGGGATGGTGGTGCGGAGGTGGATGAGGATGAGGACGCGCTGGATACGGACGACGATGAGGTCGATAGGGAGTTGGGGATCGACGCTGAGGAGTCTGAAGGTACATACCCGCATACTCTTCTCATCATTGTTCGTGACGCTGACGCGCATATATCGACAGTCCCGATGCACATCGTGCCCTTGTACTCTCTCCTGCCCAGCGAGAAACAGATGAAAGTCTTCGAGCCGCCGCCCTCAGGCCACCGACTCGTAGTAGTCTCAACAAACGTAGCCGAAACCTCCCTCACGATCCCCAACATCCGCTACGTCGTCGACTCCGGGCGCGCAAAAGAGCGCAAATACGATCCCTCCTCCCACGTCCAATCCTACCCCATCTCCTTCACGTCCAAAGCCTCCGCGTCGCAACGCGCCGGGCGCGCGGGCCGCACGGGGCCCGGGCACTGTTACCGGCTGTACTCGTCCGCCGTGTACGAGAACTACTTCCCGCAGTTCTCTGAGCCGGAGATATTAAGGATGCCGATCGACGCGCTGGTGCTGAGCATGAAGAGTATGCATGTGGATGAGGTGGTTAATTTTCCGTTTCCGACGGCGCCGGAGAGGGGGGCGATGAGGAGGGCGGAGGCGGTTCTGAGGAGACTTGGCGCGTTGAGTGGGAGTGGTGCGAGTGGTGGGGGAGGGGGGCAGATTACGGATCTGGGGAGGACGATGGCGTTGTTTCCTTTGAATCCGCGCTTTGCGAAGATGTTGGCGAGCGGGAGGCAGGCTGGGTGTTTGCCGTATGTGATTGCGGTCGTGGCGGCGTTGAGCGTTGGGGATCCGTTTGTTAGGGAGGAGGCTGTTGGGGGTGAGGATGACGATGAGGAAGGGGAAGAGGAGGCAGACTTGAGGCATCTCACGAGTGCGCAGGCGAGGGCGAAGGAGGTGAGGAGGGTGAGGAGGAAGGCGTTCTTCGAGTCTCAGCAGGTACGACGCTCATCCTTCTTGTCATTCTGTTTTTCATTTACTGATATTTGAACTAGTTACACGCATCACTGGGCAAATCAACCTCCGACATGTTCCGCCTCCTCTCCGTCGTAGGCGCATACGAATACAACGCCACCTCCCCTCCCACCACCTCACTATCGACATCATCCTTCTGCGTCCAACACTTCGTCCGCCCCAAAGCAATGGACGAGATCCACAAGCTCCGCTCGCAGATCTCACACATCGTATCGACAAACTTCCCCGACACAGACGCGGGCTTCATCCCGCATCTCCCGCCGCCGAACGACAAACAGCTCAAGATCCTGCGCCAGCTGTTCGCGAGCGGGTTCATCGATCAAGTGGCCGTGCGCAAAGACCTCACGTCTCAGGATACCGGCACAAAGGGCCTCAAATTCACGACGTCCAAGGGCGTAGCCTACCGCGCGCTCGGCGTACACGAAGACGTGTACATCCACCCCTCGTCCGTCCTCGCATCGACATCACCGCCAGAATACATAGTCTTCCACGAGCTCGTGCGCACGAGCCGGACATGGCTCAAAGGCTGCACTGTAGTCAATCCGGCGTGGCTCGCCGCGTTGGGCGCTAAGACGGGGTTGTGTAGTTTTGGGAAGGTGTGGAAGGATAGGAAGGGCGGCGAGATGGTTGTGCCGAGGTTTGGGCTGCCGGGGGAGGGGGCGGGGTGGGAGTTGCCGGCTGTTAGGAAGGGTTTGGTTGGGTTGTAGTATGTAGTAGTAATAGGTGATTGTGGGGGTGTATGCTATGGCGTGCTTTAGGGATACAGTGTGAGACGTGCGAGAGACTGAGATAGAGAGAGGGAGACAGCGAATGTTCTAGTGATGCCATAGAGGAAAAGAAACGACGACATGGGAGATTGTAGCAAGGACAATGACAGCATATGCGGACAGATGCGATGGAATCGTGGAGAACCAAGAGCTCATCATGAAAAGGGTCGTAATCACTGTAGCGCGTATGAGCACAAGGTCTGGCGGACCGGACAGTGCTAGGGTAATCGCGTACCTTCTTCTTCGGTATGAACAACGACTTTGTCTTATCCTTCGTCTTCACCGTCGGCTTCGCCTTCTTCTGTGGCGGCCCACCGCCCGGTTTCGTCGGCCCGCTATCCGCAGGTAACGGGCGCTTCTTCGAGGCGCCCGCGTCTGTTGGCGCTGATGGTGGCGGGACGTCACCGCCGTCGAGTTCTGGCGCAGAGGGCGCAGACGGGATTGAGCCCTGGGATGATTTCGTGCGCATCTGGCTTGGGGTCATCAGAGCGGGCATCGAGGAGCCTGCGGGTACAAGCGGGACGTCGGGCTTGGGCAGCGGCGGAGGTGGTGGGGGAGGAACGGCTTTGGATGATGGGCGCGCCTTCGGCGGTCCGGAAGCGGTGAAGTATGATCCGTCGACCTGTGAACGTTATGAGAATGAGTAGAAAGGTGGGAGAATAAGCGCGTACGTCTGTGAAGAGTTGTCTACTCCGAGCGTCTTGAACCATGTGTCGCCAATTCTCGTCGCTGCGCTCGAGCGTGGGCGCATGCCCGAGGATGAAGAGCGACGATTTGGCACGAGTGATGGCGACGTTCAACCGACGGACATCTACATCGAGTATGAGCTATATAACTCCGTACAGACAAGAGCTTCACTTACCCCTCAAGAAACCGATGCTCTCCAGACCCGGTCCAGCACGCACACAAGAAAGGATGATAATCTCCTTCTCCTGTCCTTGGAAACCATCAACAGTGTTGAAATCAATAGCGCCCGCCACATCATCCCCGAAGTTCTTCCTGAAAGCTATTCGTAGCGCCTTGACCTGCTCCCGGTACGGACTGATGAACCCGATGCGCGACGTAAAGTCGATCGTGGAGAACTCCCTCGTCAAACGACGGAAGAGCTGCACGGCAGTCTGTACTTCCATGGGATTGGTAGCGGAGAACCCGACGTTCGTCTCTTGACTGCCGACGATGTTGAAGAAGCGGTAGATGCCGAAGCGAGGGTTGTCCTGCCAGACGCGCTTTGTGCGTTCGGCCATATCGGGGCCATCTTGGAGGCGCCCTTGGTAGAAGAGCTGGCTTGGAAGGACGCTGATCTCTGGGTGCATACGATATTGGATACTGAGAAGGACATGAGTGAAAGAGCGCTTAACAGGCGCTTGAATGTACCTGAGCAAATGGACCGCTTCCGGGCGCTGCTTCTGCAGTCGCACGAACAAGGACTGGTTGTACATGTAGCGCGTAGCCTACCCAGAGACGTCAGTCGACATTAGACACCTCGAGTTAAAACATACGAACCTCTTTGGAGATGACTGTCGGAGGCAGCTGTTGAGGGTCTAGGACGCATCAGCGTACGAAGGAAAGCCAGGCAAGCATCAACGTACCTCCAACCATGACCACCCGTTTGCAGTCGAACTTAAGAGGGATGAGCGTGCTAAGCTCAATAGCCTGTGCCGCTTCATCGATGATGATCATCTCAAACTCGAGGACGTCCAGGTTATCATGGCCAGCGCCGGACAACGTCGCACAAATGACATCAGCTTCGGCAAGGATAGCCGCGCGGGCGTCACGCCGCCTCGAATCAAGTGTGCGGCTCTCGTTCTGGTTCTTGTCCTTGATGACGTTCAACTGCTTAGAGAGATCACGGCGCTTGTTGAGCAGAGCGCTTCGATCCGACTCCAGAACCTGCAAGCGCGCCGTGTTGTCCACGACAATGCTGGCCTCGTTCTCCTTTTCCAGGATCGCCGCTTTGACAGCCTGTAGCGCGGATGCAACGCGCGCGTACTCATCATTGCCCTTCATAGCAGTATCTCCTCCCAAGCGCTCGTCAACGAGAGCATCCAGCGCAAGATCCTTCGTGCTAACGTTCAGCGCCTTCTCCGCGCCGATACGGACAACCTTGATCGGTGTCTGTGCGCTGATACCGCGGTCGCGTATACGGCTGGCCACTTCGTCGATAGCAGCGTTACTTGGAGCGCAGATGAGGATCTTCTTCACGGGTGTCTTATCCGTGGGCGCAGCGGTGCGTCCAGCAGTCACGACGGTGCTGGTACCAGAACGCTGTGCGATGAACGCCTCCACCAGGCTACAGATGGTCGAGGTCTTTCCTGTACCCGGAGGACTATTCCGCGTGAGCATCGGGAAGTGCATTTTGCCATGGGAGAAGCTTACCCTTGTATAAGCGCAAAACCTTCTGAACGTAGCGCTGACACGATTGCGCGGGCTTGCGGTTCGTTCAGACTGTACTTGCGCATGGTCCTGTCTACCTCGCCCTCATCTACCCTACTGGGCATCGGTAACTTGGGAGAGAGAATGAATGGACAGTGATCGTAGAACTCGAGGGAGACGAGGGCGCCGAACTCGCGGTGTACAGTGGCCAAGCTGTAGGACATCAGCTATCATCTATCAATGGCAGAGACGAATCCTCTCACCTGAACGCCTTGCTAATCTGCCATCTCGTATTGGGATTGAGTCCAGGATCTGGGCGTCCTGCCAGGCAACAACGCAACGTCGCATGCACGCCAACCTTGTTCCCACGGACGGTCCTGTACGAGTTCGTCTTTGCGAGAATCGACTTCCGACTGGTCGGGTGGCGCATGAGTACGATGTCGGTCTCGTTCAAACTCCAACCGGGCGCAAGACTCTCCTCGATGAAAACGTCCAGATCAAGCCACTGGTCGACGTACTGACGCGACGTGATCTGCGCCTCGTACTTCTCCTGCTTCTCCGAGCGACTCTGAACCAGCTGCGCCCAGCATTCCAGTAGAAGGAGGGGTTCAAACGTGGTCCGGAAGTCCCAATACGTGCGATATACATCGCGGACCTGTTGTGTCTTGAGGGGTGTACCGGGTGGTACCGGCCCGTCGTGCTCATACTCCCACGAAAGAATAGCCTTATGCAGCTCCGACACGTCCGGGCGCGTACGCTGTCGTTTGCGCCGAGCCTCGTCTCTCGCCGACAACGCGCCACGGCCGTATCGTGCTGCACCAGGGATGTTGTCCATGCCGAGAAGCATCGTCCGTCGCTCAGGCTCAGCTTGCCGTTTGCGCTTCTGCTTCGTCTTCTTGAGGGTGTTGAGCGAGGCAAGACCTCCTTCACCATCGCTCCCTGATGATGATGCATCCTCGGCGTCGTTGTCTGACGGACCAGACGCATCTGAGCTCGCGCGCGATCCTGACCTCGCCGGTTGAAACGGTTTAGGGCGTGGAGCGGCTGCGGCGCTCAGCTTCTTCTCCTCGCGCGCGGACAGACGTTGGGCCTTGTGGTATGAGGCCTGAGCTTCCTTCATGAGCGAAGAGGTCGCCTTGTGCGAAGATGTAGACGCCGAGGGCTTGGCCTTCGGCGGTGCGGGTGGAGGAGGCTTTGTGGCTGGTTTGAGCCCGCGCGACTCCGAGCTGCGCGAAGACGAGCTGGCAAAATCCTTGATGGACAGCTGTGAGCGACCTGTTGGCTTCAGGCCCTTGGAGGTGGATGGTTCAGGCGTCGCGGACTTCCCGCCGAAATCAAGTTTGCGCTGTTTAGAGGGTGCCTCGATGATCTCGACTTCGTTATCGATGATTTGAGGCTCGTCGTCTGCGAGAGAGTCGGCGATCTCCAAAAGCTCTTGTAACTGTTTCTTGTCGAGGCGACTAGAGTCCGGCTTCCCCATCCAGCGCTTGATATCGCGTCTGATGCGATCCACCGACTCTGAGTTGGGTGTCGTACCGGCCTCCTCGAATACGCCGAGTACACGCTTGATCAACTCGAACGATCTTCGTAGAAGCTCTGAGTCCGTCAAACGCAACCAGCGGGTGAGGTCCGCGAGCATGATTTGTAGGTCTTTGAGCATATTACGCCCTGTACGCGACAGACCACGTGTGGTCGAGCCTTCGGAGGTCGACCGAACGATTGCGTCCTCAAACTGGCGCCATTTGCTGACCATTGCCTCGCCCATGATCACCGCGTCACGCATCCAGTTGACCATCCACTGGGTGTCTTCGACGAACATCGACCACTGTGGTGTATACTGGAAGATAGTCGCGAGGGCCTTGTTCATCAAGTTCCAGAGCTCTGGCATACGCGTTGCTGGCCTGAAATCGACCTGTCCCTTCAAGAACTTCTCGTCGTAGAGAAGGCCGTCTGGTTGGTCGACCAAAACGCTGAGGATGTCCGCGAGGCATTGAACGGTCGCGCTGGAGAGCATGCAAGCCTCCACTGCCGTGGGAATGTATTTGACGAATGAGTCGATGAACGCCAGGATGCCCTTGACGGCGGGCTCGGGGAAGTGCTCAATAAGCCCGCGGAAGCAATCGACTCGGACGTCGAAGTCGTAAGGCCGACCAGCAAGCGACTCGGCTGCGGTGCGAATGTCGTCGACGGGGCATAGCATCAGCTCAATGAGATTTTGGACTGCTCCACCCCGCTGGAACAACTCCACGACCTTGACTCCGTTGCGGTTCTCGAAGACGTTCAGCGCCTGCGGTAGTCTCTCACGAAAGACCTCCAGGCCACGATTGACTCCATCGAAAGCCGCTTTCGTCTCCCTATTCGCCTCGAGCAGGGGATGGTATGCCTGCTTCATGAGTTGGTCGAGGTGTGAGACCGGCGAAACTGCTCGGAGGAGGAGAGCCATGCCGTCGACATCGTCGGCCATCAAGCGATCGTAGTACTGCGACCAAATGCCCTCGTGAACGGCCGGAGGTTCGCAGGATGGTAATGCTGGCACACTGCGCTTCGCTTTGGCCCGCTTTAGAGACCACCATGCGCTAGAGAGCCCTTGAACCGACTTCAGAACGCTCTTGACGTCTTCGAGCATTGCATGGTATATGAGCTCCTGCGCCAAACTTCTAGCAACCTTCCACTTGGGTTGCAGAGTCTCCCGGCTCAACGCAGTAGTAACAATGGGCCCCACATTGACGCTAATAGCAGATAAGGCGGCTTTGACCTGCTCTTTGCTATCTGTGGTCGCAGTCTCCGACCTGTTGAGGGTTGCTGATACAAGCTGGTAACGCAAGGGTCAGTCAAGTGCACACATTTATCCGCATATTTTACTAACCTTCGCAGCCGCTGCCATGGTCAAAGGCCTCGAGTCCTTAAAGCGTTCATGTTGCAACTCTCCACAGAGAAACGCGACCATCGTCGCGAAGACATCGCCGAACCTCGGAACAGACCAGATGCTCCAAGCAAAGTCAAAGAGCCCAGTAAGATACCAAGGAAGACGTTCGTCCTCGCTCATGGGCTGAAGCAGGCCGGAGTATGAGGAGTTGCCTCTGATGGAATCAAAGATCATCTGCGGATAATCGTCGCCACGATCCCTCCAAAAGTCACTGTTGAGACGTTTGATGGTGAAAAGAAAGCATCTGAGTACATTCTCGAAGTCTGTGCCGAGGTCAGTCTTGAGCTCGACCTGAGATCCGCATCTTCACTTACGAGAGCCGACGTCGTGTAATCTGCCGACAATGGCGTTTGCAAGGTCTAGCGAAGTCTCTTTATTGGGACGCAGATATTTGACGGGTATGTATTGGAGCTGGACCCTGATAACGTCCCAAAGAGGGATTGGTTCAACAGAAAAGGGAAATGTCGAGTCAAGTTGAGAGCTGCCGGCCGCGGCAGAGTTCGAAGTAGTGATTATATGGCAGAGCGTTTGAATCACGTCTACGTATGACCCCACAAAAACATTATCGGGTATTGGGACGCTTGGGGAGAGGCGGAGGAGGTTTGTGAAAAACACTCGCACGTGCTCGTCGCGATGTAGACTGAGATAGAATAGTCCCGGCGCAGGAGTAGCAGACGGCCAACCGGGCAGGGTTCGTGTCGTGTCCGTCGGTGGACATCTTTGCAATGCGGAGAGGATGGATGAGTCCCGCATAACATCGAAATTGGAAGCAATGTGGTAGACGACAGGAAGGGGGGCATCGCATAAAGTAGCTGTAGGGGTGCCATCTAGAACGTCCCCTAGGCGCTTTGCGACGTGTTGCGCCTCCCATTCGTTCAAGGCTTTGATAAAGTAGTCCACAGTTTGAGAGTCGTAGTTGCCTAGATACCTGATGCATGCAATCAGTATTACGACGTGTCAAGCTCAGGTCGCAAAGTACGCACGTATGTCGCGTTTCCCGCTTCGCCTCCTGTAATCCTCGCACACAGTCGCAGCAGCCGGATAGCACGAGACCCAGCCTTTCCTTCCACTTCTCGCTGTTACTGTACGAGAACATGCACAGAAGATATGCGGATGCCATATTCAACAAATCCCCTGCACGGTGGCAGTACCAGTGGTGCCGCCCATCACCCGTAGGAGACTGGGACATTGCCCAAGCCAGGACATCCTTGACATTATAAGGGTCTAAATCTTGCGGTGTATCTCGTAGGCCGGAGAGTAAGGTGCGCAGTTTTTCCGGCTTGTCGGCCGGGAACCTGGACGTCATACGAGATGGTGGTTGAAGTCAGGAAGAGGTTCGGGCCTTGTCACACACGCGACGCGTCTGTTCATCATGAACGCGTCGCGTCGCGAATCGCGATCGGAAGCGCGTTGGATCGGCTCACGGTTTCTCTCCTACAGCCATGGACCCTGACGCGCTTTCTCAGCTCAATGCTATGCTCGACAATGAGCAAGAGCTCAGAGAGGTACATGCACAAGCTATTCGATCAACATCAAGCTCAAGCTATACTACTCCAGAAAATCAAGGAGCACGTCACAGATCTCGATAAAAAGACGCGTACTATGGCTGGTACACTGAACAGGGTACACTCGACGCCACCTACACAGAGTATGCCGTCACACCTACGCACACCACCTACTGGTATCTGACTCTCACAGTACCCGCTCTTGTCCAATCCGCCCGCGAGGTTCTCTTTACTTGCCAGAGCACTATGGAGAACCTGGCTGTCCTGATACCTGAGAACCAATACTGGAGATGGAAAGACATGTGGATCAACTCGTTACGCTCTGCCGTGTACTCCGCTGTCTTCTGCGAGTTCTTGACGAATGGAACGCTCTTGTCACTCGAGTCAACGTGTGATCAGCTCGGCAGTACGCCTTCCTTGAAACTCGCAGACAACGTGCCGTGTTTCACGACTATGACTCGCAGTTAAGAGCGAGTGGAAGGACAAGTTTCAGCTTGCCGTTGAGGACTACTTGCATGGCGTAATTACCTTGGTGAACGAACTGGTGAATCTCACTGCTTCAAGCTGGCATCCCGTCATTCATCTGTTTCCTCAGTCGAGACTAGCCATCAATTCAGTGACCCTCGGGGACTTTGAAGCGCCCATCAAAATATCCTTCTTCGTCAAGGACATCTTCGCGGGCTTCACAATGGTAGACGGCAGGCATTGTTATGACTAGAGCCATCGCTAACAAAGACATGATTAGCTCAACTTGAAGAACGACTTGCTTCGTCGCCGCTTTGATAGTCTAAAGTACGACCTGAAGAAGATCGAAGAAGGTACGTCATGTGGTGGCCTTCTTCACTTTTCATGTGTTGAATGAGCGTCTTCAGTTGTCTACGACGTGTCCCTCCGCAAGCTCGCCAACCCTCGAAGCTTGTCCACCACTGAACCTGTTGCGCCGACTGATGCGCAGATGCAATCTTGATCGTGACCGTCGTAACCACATCATGCATTGAACATTCGCAATCTGTTTCGCATGTCCACGTATCGCACCGGTATCAGAACTGCTTCTTGATCAGGCGTAGAGCGTCACGGGTGGGCGTATATTAAGATGTGTAGTAACATGAAAGATGTGAAGTCGGAACGTGGAAAGATGTCTACTGCTTTCTCCTCGAACGGATTCGCTTCCCACCCTGCACGGACGGACCATGTCTATCTCAAACATCAGCCACGGCTTCACGCTTGTAGCCTTACTCTGATACGCACCCACGAATCTTCTTCTTCCCCCTTGCTTCGTGCGCAAAGCTCTTCGGGTCCTCTCCGGCACGGAACTTCTCTAACGACCACAACAAATACCTATTCTCATAGTTAATATTCCGACAGATAACTATAGACCGGCCGAACGCACCTCCTATCGCGCACGTCAACACCATCCGCCTTCAACTTCTCACTCTCAAGCTTGAACAATTCGTCCCAAGACTCCGGCGACACTTTCGTGTCCATCTTGCGGCCAATGCTCTGCAAGAACGCTTGTGGCGTGTCAAGCCCCGCTGCTGAGTATGTCAGCGTGATACTGGATACATAAACTATCTCTAGTCATACCGCGTGTTGCGGGCACCAGTTGTCGGAGTAATGGGGCTGAAGCACGGAAAGCGAAGGCCATGGCCGGTTGAGACGAGGACGAAGTCGCGCTCGTCGTCCAGCGCGTTCACCGAAAGCGCGCTGACGCGATCATGTGATTTACACGTCTATCTGCAAACGCGGTGACCCACCCGCGTGCGTGATGTGAGTGACCCGCCCACTCCTATGATAGCCGAGAGTGACGCCTAGAATTCCTTTCTCGAACTATTTCACACGTCTACGATGGCATGGTGAGGCGTTCTCGACCGCCTTTCAGAGAGCGCGTATTGACGTGAAGACCCTATATGACGGCGGCGTGGACTCGCCGAGGAGCCCCATGGGCCTGGATGTATGTATTGCGAGTCGCTCCAAGGGAGATGTACGTAGAAGTTATCGTAAGTATCCGTCGTCTAGAATACGGGTGCATCTCGTAAGAACAAATGAGCCTCTTCCTTCTTGATCCATCGCGCGACGGCATTCGCTGCACCGATGACTGCCGTCTTGGGTAGTCGCGGCGACACGGCCATATACAGCTCAAACGGTTGTGTGATCTATGAGACGAGACATGAGCGAGGTCTTGATCAACAGCAAGACTCACATGCTCACCCAGCCGATAACGCCCTCCTTTTCCGTACGTATGTACTGCAGTTTCAGCGGAAGATCTTGTCCAGACTTGGCGTGAATATTGTCATGCAGTATTTGGTAAAGCGTCATCAGCCTGCGGGAGCCGGATGAGCGGCCTTGTCCTAAGAGTAGAATCGGGTTCTCACCTTCGTCGTTCGTGCAAGTCGTCGTACGGATCCTCATACAGAGGCGATGTCACTTGCACATGCGCCCGCGACTTGTAAACGAAGTGACGCAGGCCAGGTACGCCAAGGTCGGCGCAAGAGTACTGGGTGGCGCCGGATCGCACAGCTTGTATGAGAGCAACGGCGGAACCTTCGTTAACCATGCGCTATTATGCTTTGAGTGAATAGATTGCCGGATATAGCGAGGCTGGACGAACCTTAACAACACCTTCGCCCCAGGCGCGAATCGCCTCAAAGTCACCACCGCCACTCACGGCAATGAGACCAAGACCGGCGGACGGCGGAGGCGCTACCTCTTCGGCAAGTGACCCTTCACCTTCTTTCGTCGAGTTCGTCTCAAAGGAAGGGCCATCTGCAGACCCTGTCACAGATCCCGCACGAGCGGGGGTCCCGGCATCAGGTGTACCCGTGTGGCTACTAGTGGATCCTTCATGATCCGGCGGCACATCGTTCTCTGGTAGAAACGAGACGAATGCGTTGACGAAGCCGGTAGAGTTGAATTTGGGCAAGCAGATAGGGAGCCAAGACGCCGACGCCGAAGAATTCAGAATAGAAGGTGAGTGGACGGTATTGAGTAGTATATGTAGATCTAGGGCGTAGTGTTCGGGTCAGGTGCCGCGGGCGTCGCCATTCGTATAGAAGAACATACCGGATGGGTGTATGGAATGCTTGCGGGGCCGCGCGAGGGTGACAACGTGCCCGTCCGCAACGAGAATGATGTACAGAAGGTCCTTCATCTTCGTCGTAGGCACAATCGCATTTGCCGCCTTCTTGCGAAGGGAAGGGTCTACCTTCAGACAGCGCAGAGACGACGTGTTCATCGCCATATCAAGTTCGATCTTGTTAAGCAGGGAGTGGATCAGGTTTTCGGCGCCCGTGAGTAGCCGGCCCAAGTCGAAGTTGCCTCTGCGCTCAAAGAGCCGCCGAAGCTGTGTACCGGTCACGACGCTGAGTACCTGCTGATGCAGATATTCTAGATGGGTGCGTGTCTTGCTTCTACACCGTAAGAATGGGCACGAAAACCGAGCAGCGGGAGGTACTGACCACCGACTCTGGTTCACCCCACGCGGATACGCAAGCGTAGTACAACGGAGGGCGCAACAAGAAGGTTATTCGTGTCTTCCCGGCGTTGATGCACCGCAACTTATCGCCATCGTCGATGAAGACAGATATAAGCGCTTGCATAAGGCCAATTACAGAAGCGAGGTTATCCCCGTCCCGGTCCTCTTCATTGCTGACGAAGACGGGCTTCCCGGCGTCGGTCAAGACAAAGTAGCGTCTTGGGGGAAAGGAGTTGACTACATGGTCAGTCCAGTGGAATGAGAGAGAACGGAGGAGACACACCAAGCTCGCGAGACAGCTCCTGTACATCCTCCGATATATTCCTTCTTCTCCTTCGGGCCGTCGTATCTGATTATACAGCGTTATCCCAATATACTCTGAAGTATCAGCAGGCGACGCGCACCTGGTATTGACTCCTTCTTGTTCAATGTCCTTCGTAATTGATCTCTCAGCGCCTTCTTCGACTCCTCATCACCTAGCGGTATGGGCTGCACGATGGTGCTTCCGACGTCCCGCTCAATCGTATCGACATCCGCCTCTGGCTCCTGTACAAGGATACCAGAGTTGGTATCAGGTGTTTCAGAAGAGCCGCTCGACTGGCCAGTCTGGCTGTTAAACTGCACGTGCATAGACGAGAACGAATGTGTAGGGCGCAGTACTGGTGTCGGGGTGAGGGTTAAACGAGAAGGGGTCGGCGTCCCCGATCGAGACGGCGTCCGGGATCGCGCCGGTGTCGCAATTCCACTCAGACTGGATGACATAGCGAAAGAGCCACAGCTAAATTCAGATATGATCGTATGTTCAGCGTTGCCCAGTGGCTAGTATACACTCGCTTCTCTTCTTGTTGAACCTCAAACGCTGTGCGAACGTTTCCTGTTCCAAGGTGTTGCGCGGAGATAAGTTGCGAGGCGGCAAGCGCGTTGACGCCGCCGTCCTCGGGTTGATGCGCGCCACGCCACCCGCCACGCACACTGCGCGCTTCGCGGCTTGATCCCAACACCCACGTCCCCGTCCTCAGACGAGAGCCAGCTCGTCTCCGCTTTACAAGCACGCCCAATCTTTAACATCACAATACGAACTCTGTGCTTCCCCACTGATTGGCACCAAAGTAGACCAAAGTCGTGTGGACAAGCGCTTGCGTGAAGGCTTCAGCCCGGTCCAGAATGAGAAGCTGATCCCGAGACGGGTCACTGGTCACCCCACCACCAAAGCACGCGCAGCGAGGCTGTATGACCGGAGATCATCTCGCCACGAATAGCAACGATGCTCTCCTGGAACCTTGTCAATGTCCCTTATGATGCAGCGAATGCACTGTCTTCCAGATGCCGAAACACTCGGCAGTTAGCCCACCCACATCGTACCCTACGTAGCACAGGCATGCGGCGGTGAACGTTCTACCCGGCTTATGCGAGTAACCTTACTTCCAGACCACTATAAACCCCGCAGTTCAAGAGTCCTCTGGAACCGCTTCTCTTCAATCGTAGAGTCTTGAGTCTTCCCAGCCCAGCCGCACCATGTCTTCTCAGGTTGCGCCGCATCTGGACAACTATCTCGGCGCCCTGTTTATCGGTGTCATGCTGTCAACAGCGTATGTTCTACCGTTCATGAAGTTGATCGGGAGGCTCACAAACGGAACCCGCAGGATCTATGGTGTTACATGCCTTCAATACTATCTGTACTTCGCTCACTACAGTAGCCGAGATAGCCGCCTCGTAAGGGCTCTGGTAAGCAGATATCACTATACGAGGGTCTTGCGCTTATCTAAAGAATGATCTATCAGATCAGTTTCTTGCTGTGCGTGCGCCTATTGTGCAGCATACAACCCTAGGAATCTAACAAGTGACACAGAGCACTAGACACCTTGCATGCTGTTCTGCTCGGCGTTTGCTATTACTACTACTCCGTTACTCATTTTGCGGACTATCACGCATTGATGAAACCCCACTGGTGCGTTTGCTGTGTAGCCGAGCAAGGTCATTACTCATACTCGTGATAAGGTCACTCCTGGCGCAGGTGGGCGTAGGCGTAAGATTTCCCGCGTTCAGCTCCTATCTTCACGGCTGACCAACCCGTTTCCTGTGCAGACCGCGATGAGCCTGCTCGTACAATGGTGAGTTCGCCCATAAGACGCAGAAGCCATTCGCTGACGCTATGGGTGTGACATCTAGCTTTTATGCGTATCGTATACATCGACGTACGTAACAATCACCCCCCCCCCCTTCTCTCGAAGCGTGGCAAACTCACGCTCGAGTACAGTCAGCAAAGCCATCCTAGTTCCCCTAGTGATTGTCGCGCTTTCCCTTGGACAAGAAGGTCCGTTATCATTTGCACTTGCGCTCATAGTGTGGCGCTAAGATTTCATGACGCAGTTGCGGGTGGCATAAGTGAGTGGATAATCCCACGGGGACCTCTAGGGCGTTGCTGACAGTACCGGCCTTGTCAGTGTACATGTGGCGCGCGTGAGCATCGATTTCTCTACCGCCTTGCATTCGCGACTGAGCACAGTGTCGATAGTTTCCAGGTTGACACGATCCCACTGACACCATCAGAAGGCGCCATTGTGAGTCTCTTCTTACCTTCCACTGCGTATGCTCACCCATCGAGCAGGCCTTCACCACTGCGGGTCTCGTATGCGATGTCGCTTGCGATATATGCATCGCGGTAGCAAATATTACGTACCTCTACAAAAAGTCGCCAAACAGCATGAGGTGAGGCTCCCAATTTACATGCGCCACACTTGGATTGATCATCCCTTAGGTCGAACAGAGCCATTGGACAGCTCATCATGTATAGCATGAATACGTGTAAGGACTTACATTTCATTCTCAGTAACGTGTTGCTCATCTTGGAGCGTAGGTCTTGTCACTAGGTTCGTTGCTGCAAACTCGTGCGACAGACTTCGCCTAATCTCACTTCCCGTCTCAGCGTATGCGCATCGGTCTGCCTCATCGTGGTTAGTTGCAACCTTGTGCATTCGCTATGTCCTCTGAGATGAAGCTGCAGTGGCTTTCAACAAGTCAAAGGAGCCTCATATATGCGCCGTTCTTCTTCATCATGATCCGCCGTAAGCGCGCGGCACCTCATCATGTCGAACCACGCACTGACACCTGTGTCTAGTGTACAGCTGCTCCTTGATGACTATGTACGGGCGATGGATTGCCCGAGCCAGTATTGCTTACTGACACGTACTTATCTAGCATGAATAGTCGGCAGAATGTGCTCAAGACGTTGCGCGACTCCCAGGGACTGGATCCGATAGGCACTGCGAACGTAGGATCTCGCTCACGCACTTGGGGTACATGGGGAACTCTGCGAGACACGCTTCGCTCAGAGTCTCCCATCTCTCCCCCGGCGCGTACGTACAGTGCCGACATTGAGAGCCAATACAACCGAAAACCATCTCCCTCGCAACCCCCGGAGAGCCACGAACTGTCATATTGGTCTGTTCCCCGAACAGTACGTATTATCTATCCGCTACATCCATGAAGTCTTGCTCATACGCTGACGGAAGGTCAGCACAACGGATGACATGTCCAGGGACTGGGGACACGCTATCTAATCTCGGCTTCGACGATCTTCACTTTCTGCCGTCAATGTTGGCGCTGGTCGCTCTACCATCAATGCGAGAGCGTGTACAAACAGATACCGTTATGCTAGCAGCCCGTTCGCATTACCTACAGCTGCGGATTAATCCTGATAACGATTGTTACCATCGGTGATCGCCGTGTGCTGTGTGGTCACAGCATGGCTGACAGTCCGTCAAACCCGCCAGCGCTCCTCGCGACCACCATGATGCCTGCTTTAAGCAGTGGTGCGCGTCAAAAGTACTCAGCGCGGTGCTGAGGCTCTGCTTCTCGTCTGTAGCTGCGAACATCGATAGCGGTGGCGACCAGCGGCTAAAGCTTTGAGCGCCACATCATCCGTTGCGATGGGAGGTGAGATGATCTTAGCGCATTGTCCCTCGCAGCTCGACAATTACTCTTTTGTTTCTCTGCGGTCTCCCCGACAACGTATGTCCGTGGTTTCCTTACGATAAGTCGCAGCTCATTGTGTGTAGCCTCATGCGTCCTATTCTTGCGCATGGGAACCGCCTCGTACAAGTGCGGTCAAGCCCCGATTCTACGGACGTTGGATCAAGAACAATGGGGCGAAGACGATCCGCGGCGGGACCGGGGGAGGCCACGACTGGTGGCGTAGATCATGCCCGACGCCCACCACCTCCAGTATCGCACTCGTGACTACTCGCAGGCTGTAGCGCGCTCCCACTGGCACCAGCAACTGTGGCAATCCGTGCGCGTACCGTTATCGCAGGTCCCGTATACGTTGCGCAGTGCACATCTTCGACTTGGATCCGCTATATGTTCTATCAGGTCAAAATCTACTCCCATCGCCTGTAGGCGGTGCTCCTAACGCCGCGAAAAACGCCGCCCTTCTGCGCCTGCAAACATATATGCGGATATACGCCACAGCTTCTAGACGCCTAACAACTTCCATCTTGGGACTGGTGGACCCTTGTGCTGCCGTTTGCGCCTCAACGAACGGTGCCTTACCCAGGCGACCACTTCTCACAGGCTTGGGCCTTCCCAGAGTCTAGCTTCTTAAAAAGCACGTTGCGCGCCAAGTTGAACAAACGCAACTCCGTACCCTCTGCCCGCCTGTATGTCCGCTACCGACTCCCCTCCTCGTCGCGCCCCGTTCGACCTCAGATACGATGGTTCCATCCCTCCCGAGAACCGTGGTCAACTATGGCTTGAGGACGGAGATCTTATCATCATCTTTCAAGTTGACGCCACCGCGTGGAAAGTCTCTTCCGGCGTCCTCATGAACCGCTCGCACCGATTCCGAACCATTCTCCTCAACCAACCTGCAAGGCAGCACATCGAGGACTGCCCGATGCTCGCACTCCTGGGTAACGAAGATACCGCCAGGGAAGTTCAGAGGTTATTACTCCTCATTCACGATAGAACGTACGCAACCCCAGTTTGTCCTACGAAGCGCCCAAATGACGTGACCCTCTTTGACCTACAGTTGTATACCAAACTTCCGCAAGCCGGAGCATTTCTCCGCACTTGAAGACATTGTCCGATCGACTGCCAACTACGAGGCGTGGTACCTGTTCTTCGACGCAGTGCGACCACTTGCGTACCACTACCAGGAACGCCTCTCCGAGTTCGTACACTGGGATCGCACACACGACCTCGCGCGGCCTATAAGCCCCGTGCACTCGCTCAACCTGTTTTCAACCGCACATGACGCGTTTCAGCGCTTCGGCGGCTACACACCCGGAGCGGATCGGGAAACCGACCAGTTGTTCTCCTTGTTCTCTGCCGGCGCGCGTCTGGATCTCAGCCTTTACCTAAGCGAGGCAGATCTGCTTGCCAGTTCGAGCAGTAGACCGAAGGACCGTAGGGGGAGGCTGCAGGAGAAGGAGATGCCGCTTTACCGCAAGCTCGTTGAGGAGCACAGGCTCTTCATCACCGAGCTGTTGCACGACTGTGAGACGTTCGAAGACGCGGAGATCGAGTCTCGGCATCATGACCACATCCGCTGTTGCGGTGATGGGATGCGAACCATGTTGAGCCGGCTCGTGTCAACGTTGGGGACGCCGGAGACTACGCGCAGAGGGGCGTACTTTCTGGATCTGATTCGTGCATTGCACACGGACAGCGGCCGAGCATCGATGTGCCCGGAGTGTTTGGGAGACCTCGACGGCCTCGTGAGCCAGACGTACGACCAATGGTGGAGAGCCGTCTCGCCACTCATCCGAAATATGCCAGACGCGTACTTTGACGAGCTTGACCACTAGACTTTCTTGCCTGCTTTCCACGCATATGCACACTATTCTTCACGTAGTCATCATCGTATCGAGATCGCCGCGCCTACACTCTTGTACTACATATTTTCCCTGTTGTATCTGTACGTAGCTCAGCATCAATACCCCAATAATTACATGCACGAGCCATTCCACTGTCGAAGGAGAAACAATGCAGGAGCCTATGATACAAATGCGTCCAGACGAGCGAGCGAGAGAACAGCGCAGCACAGAAGAGGGTATAACACATCATTAGGGTTCCGGGGACAGGTCCCTCGCTACCAACCTCTCCCAGTCGGGCAACCCGAGGACGCTGGGAAGGTTCTTCCACCATTCCTCGCGTTGGGCGTTCACGTCGCGGCGGAAGCTTCGCTTGCAGAGATTGCACACGGTATCGTCCGACTCGATCCAACTAATCGCTTGGAGCATATTATGGAACACGCCAGTACGAACAGACAGCGCTGTCGCGATTTGGAAGGTGAGTCGTTGGAAGGCGCGTTTGCAGCGGAACGGTTCTCCCAGACATTCCGGGTCCGTTTCCCGATCGCCACAAACGCGATGGATGAACTCGAGCATCATGTTCATTCGATGTTGGTACATGAGCGTATAGTCCTTCAATCCATCGTGTGACAATTGCGAACTCGGAGCGGATGGGTGTTTGACCTGCAGTTTGGCATGGTCGGCTCGTAGGAGGTCGGCAAGGGAATATATGGAGAGGAAGTAGAGGACTGCCGGTAAGATGACAGTGACGTGGGTCTCTTGCGCAAGATTCAAGACATGAAGAGGGTGCACAAATGGATATGAGGTGCCACCAACGGCGGGGGTGGATAACGCGCGAGCGACCATGCTATCGTGTCCGTCGAGCGTGTGAGACCACGTCTTTGTGAGTTGTTCGATGGCTTGCAGCCGCAGTCGGTTCACGAGGTATTTCGTAGCCAATCGTAGAATCCCAGCGAGATAGAAGAAGTCGTTGACAGACTTGTGCTTAAAGACACTGCAATATAAGCATGGAATCTAGTCCTGATCATCACACCAACTCACCAACCATCATATAACGCCTTTAGGAAGTTTCCCAATTCGTTCGCCCTGTCGCCCACCATGTACACAACTGGGCAGCCATCTATAGACTCGGCCTCACTGACAGGCTGCGCCAACTCGAACAAAGACTCGAAGACCTCGGAATGTCGGGCTACCACTCCTCGATGCACCTTGAACGCGATCGCGGCCTCCATGGACTCTGCCTCTGTGACAAGGACGATGTTGCCGTCCGAGAACCAAAGGCTGCCATGCTGGATGGAGGATAGCCCCGGTGCATTATTCATCCAACAGAGTACTAGTAGTATATGAGATGAATGTCCAGTTTTATTCAGCAGCCGAGTGGCAGATGGTGGTTACGGTCAAGGGCCAGTCCCCGCATGGCAAGCGCGGCGGAACTTGCATGTTGCTCCCAACCGCCATGATCTGATCCTCCCCATGATTGTATGAAGACTGGTCGTCTGATCATAACTGAAGAGTGTCTAGGTAATGTACATGGAATGTTGTTGCTTGAATAGTGATACACGTATTATCTGTTCGTCTAGTATGGATGAAACCGCCTATCTCAGGAAGCTCAACCCCAGCCCGAGCCCGCTCAGGCGTGGTGGATCGCTAGCCCTCACAAGCTTCGCGAATCCTGCTTCCTTCTCTCTTCCTTTCTCCTCTGCCACCGAACGCGTCAAGTCCGGGTCAGAAGCGGATAGTACCCTCTTCCATCCCAAGCTTCCCGGAAGCGAACTCTCAATCTCGTCGGATAGCGACATGCGGGCCGTAGGCGGAGCGGGAAAGTCATCAAGGCAGGCATAGGTGCTCGCAGTTGCGGTGGAGCTCTGGCTGCTGGCCGCCGCCATCTCCAAGGCCATTGACGCACGGCGGACGTCCACCTCCGCGATGCTGGGCGACGTAGTGACGACGACAGACGGGAACTGCTTCGAGCCCTCGAGGGCTACTTCGGGGAACGAGATGAGAGACGCGCGTCTGAGCTCTCCACTGAGGCGTTCGAACTTCTGCACATGCTGCACCTGGTATTCGGCGAGATCAGACGCGAGCGACGGAGTGAAGAGCGAGGCTTCGTCGGTCAAGTACGAATGGGATTCGGATGCGCTTGGCGTAGGCGTGGATGCGAAGGAGATGGCCTCTGGCATGGGGGACGTGTGCATGGGTTTCTGACTCGCGGACTTAGAAGCCGAAGGAGCCTCAATGCCGTCGTACACCTGGTCCGCAAGATCTATAGACTCCAAGGAGGAGAGAGAAGCCAAAGACGTGGAAGCCGCATCGATGATCACATTCGCCATTCCGGCGATGAAGCCGAGTCCCATTGTCATGGAAGATGAGCGTGGCCCAGGTTTCTGAGTCTGAACGGCGGCGGGACTTGATGACGACTTCGGCAGACCAGGCGGCTTCGGCGTCTGCAACAGCTTCTCGGCGGCGCGCCGCTCCTCGTCCTCGTTGATCGTGAAAAGGGCGGGAGATGGAGCCAAGGAGGGAAGGCGCGGAAGCGCAGAAGATGCAATCGTCTTCGACTTCCGCTGTGTCTCCGCCAATGCTAGGGAACGTCGGCGATGGCGTGTACCGGGAACATCATGGCGGAGTACGGCTAGCGGCGGGAACTGGGGTTGCAGCACAGCGTACTTCTCATTGCGGAATGCGGCCTCTGGTTGAGCCATCCGATCAAGTACCACCGTGACGCGCTTAAGCACGGATTCGGCCTCCATCCTATCGTCCACCTTGTTGGAGCCCGAGCTCGACGTACTCGACCGCATCATGGACCAGCTCATGGTCTTCTCCGCACTCTTCGCCTTCAACCGTAGCATGCGCAGCTTCGGGCGCGCTTTCCCGCGGTAGTACCAGGCGATGGATATAGAGCCGGCGAGGACGATGAGACCAGTTAAGGCCGCCAGGATGATGAAGGGCAGTCTATACCCGAGCGCAACTGGCGGGGAGTTGCTGCGGTGTGGAAAAAGGAATAGAGGGTTGGCCATGTTCTCGAGACCAATACCAGGCGTCGAGTCTGAGAGGTTCATCATAGACGGCTCGTCGCGCGGGATGCCAGCTACGAGATCCCATGTATGGCGCTTGCGCATCTGGGCGTGGCGAGATAGACTGGGCATGTGCATCGTGCTAGGGTGTAGGCTCATTGGCGACCGAGTAGAGTGCAGGTGCCCGCCTAGTGCGTGTTCCGAGATCGGCGATGGGTCTTGCGTGCCGGCGAAGCCATCGAGAGACTGTGCTGGGGGCATACCGAGCTGCCCGTAGTAATGTTGTGTAGTGGCTAGAGACAAGGGTGTCGCTAGGCGTTGAACACACCCTTCGCGTTCGTGGAATGCATTCACGCCTTCAACGTTGTTAATGCATGATGTATGTCGTTCGGAGCCGTTCAATGACATTCAATCCGCAATCTCCGCTCTTCAAGGGCATACACTCAGACACATATATGATGCCTATCATACCGTTTCCCAGGGTCCTACAGGTCGTCCTTGCACCCACATACCAGCCCTATTGCGCGTATCGCCTAGACACCACCATTTCTCAATCATCTCTAGATCCAGCTTTGCCGAACCTGCGTCCAAGTCGAACCAGTCAAGAGGCCCTACGCCTTTCGACGTCTCTCCATCGTACAGATGAACTGAATATCCATGTCAGCGAGTGCCAATGGAGCATATTGGGGGAACAAAGCGACTCACTGAGTTGGGCGTCAAATGGGCTACCGACTGAGAAGGCACCGCACTTCAACCCCAGGGCTTCTGCTCCCCCTTTAGTAGCGAGATACAGACTCTCCTTCCAGTCTATCCTTCTCGAGTCATCCAGTCCCAGATCCATTCCACCCATCGCCTCGATCCGGGTACCATCGCGCATGCGTGCAACTCCCACGGACCAGCGCATAGCAGACATGATGTCGGCAGAGTAACCTCCGGCGATGTCTGTCCCCAAACCAACTCGAACGCCCGCTGAGAGCGCTTCTCGTAGCGGGAATGGGCGGGCTGAGAAGTAGGCGTTGGATAGCGGACAGTGTGCGATTGCTGTACCGGCTGCGGCTAGGCGACTGAGCTCGGTAGAGGTGAGATACGTGCAGTGAGCTTGCACTGTCCTCGGAGTGTGCAGTTTTGCCTGGACGGAATTAGCAATGCATATGTTTATCAAAGCGCGATCAAAGCTGACCTGTTCAAAGACGTCGCAGTCCTCCATACCGCGCTCACCACGGACCCATGCAACTTGATCATGGGCTTCGGCAAGATGACTCTGTACGCGAGCGCCAGTGCGCTGCGCGATATCACCGAGCCCATGTAGCAGCTCGTTTGAGCACGTGGGCACGAAGCGCGGCGTCAGTACAGGCTCAACCAGCCTAAGATGCTCTTCCTTCGCCTGATTGCGTACGTTCATCTGCTTCACGAAGTCCTCTGCGGCCATCAGAGATGATGCGCAGTCGTGCTCTGTGTAATCCGGGAGCGAAGAGCGATCCATCGAGAGCTTGCCGACCAATGCGCGCAAGCCGGCTTGCTCCATAGCCTCCGCGAGTATGAGGCTGTAGAGTATGCATGAGCGATAGCTAACGACGGAATGAACGCCTCTTCACTTTGACTCGGTCTTGATTGTACCAAATAGCAATACAGCCCCAGTCCCGTGTTCGATGAGCCGTTCAGCCAACCGATCATAAACGCGCTTCGCCAATGTCGGATCAGAATCGATACGCCGTTCAGCTTTGTATGCGTACTCGAATAGCCAAGTCATGAGCGGAAGGTCAAGGCCAGTTCCCTGGTACAGATACTGAGGCGCATGAAGATGCAGATCGCAGAATGTAGGGATCATGAAGCTGCCCTTGGGAAGAGTAATGCGCTTATCATCGGGAGTGACGTTCATGAGCAGAAACTGTGCGTCCATCGTTCGGTTCCGTACGAAGAACGCAATATGACCGGTAGAGTTGACAGCTGGGTGGTACGCTGAGCAGATGGGAAAGATGACTTTGTGCTGGACTTGCCTAGCACGTAGTCATGGTAGATCTCTACCGATCCAAGCGTAGGACAGTGTACAAAGTCACCGATGAAGATGGTATTTCCAGGCATCTCTCGAAGCTCAAGAGTGCGGTACAGCTCAGACGGCCCTTGACGCTCGTGTTTTCGAGTTAAACTCAGTATGTATGGTACACTCTATCGGTAGTGGTGGTACGAGCGCAAGCTCGTGCCGGCTTCCGACGCATTCCCGAAGCTTCCGGCCATTGCCGGAATAGGCGCCCGAGGCCTGCCCGAAGCCACTCGATCGTGTGGCACATGCACGTACGTCTCGACGTCGAGTCCACCCGACTCGCATCGAACATGCTCGAGCGTCGCAGATCCGTCCGACTGACAACGTATATAAACCCAATTCGCTAACCGCCGGTCTCTTCACCGTTCAAACTACTCTAGTTCTCAACCAGCGCTTACAACCACCCACTCAAACTCTACCACTCTACCACTGCTTTATAAACCATGTCTCTTTCCCGCAACTTCATGCGCGAGATGCGTCCCCTCTTCCGCATGCTCGAGGAGCCCTTCGGGTTCCACCCTGGCCTCCAGAGCGCACCCATGCGCGCCTTCTTGAACGAGGGTCTCTGGGAACGCGCTCGTGTGCCCGTCGACGTTACCGAGCAGGGCGACGCCTACGTCGTCGAGGCCGAGCTCCCCGGCGTGAAGAAGGAGGATATCGATGTTCGCATCGGCGACAATGGTCGTTCCGTCACCATCGAGGGCCAGGTCGTCCGGAGAAGCGCTCCTGCAGTCACTCAGGCCGACGCCGCGACGGACTCGACTGACAACACCGCTGCAGCACCTACAGAAGGTAAGTCTGAGGACTTGTTGGGAACGGAGGGACGCAATGCTAACGAGGACCTAGGTGCCGTAGAGTCTTCTCAAAGCCAGGCTGTCGCGCAGACAACACCAAACTCGAACCAGCTCTCCGTTGAGCGAGCGTTCTCGAGCGAGTCTAGGTTCTCGCGTAGCATCATGCTCCCGAGACCAGTCGACGCGTCGAAGGTCCAGGCGAAGTTGGTCGATGGCGTGTTGACGCTGACTATCCCGAAGGCGGAGGAGCCTGGCGCGGTCAAGATCAACATCGAGTAAACGCATGACCGTGCATGCGCTCACCCTGTATCCCTGGCGATGATTCGAGGAACTGATTTGAATCGGACTGTCTGCTTGTTGTCTTGCTGTGTATAGTTGCTATCATCACTTGTATCATACCATCTAACTCCCAATGCCATGGATACGTTGCACATTACCTTGGACAGTGCGGTGTGAAGGGACCGCAGAATTTGAAATTACGATTTCACGTTCCCAAAGACTGCTGCGATATTGCAGGATATTGCCCAACAGCTCCGAGTACGTGTGACTTGTCTGCGAGGCGACGGCCTGCGCAAGTAAAAGGGATCGTCTCGAAGATGTGCTGTACGAGACACTGGCATAAGGGTAGGTCACGAATACAATATTCGCCCATTTACTGGCTCCATCAATCAGGATAACGCGGGTTCAACCTTTCATGCCGCGGGAACAGCTGTCGCAACTCAAAGAAACCGAAAACGCGTTGATTTTTGTCCACCTCCATGGTTCTCTGGTCATACGCCAGCTTTGGCTTGTCAGATATGAACACATCGAGCGAAGAGATGATGGGGAGAAGCAAGAAGCAGGGACCCGCCCCTCGACGCTCGCGCGCCTCGAAGTGTTCAGTTTCTTGAATCTCGGCGCGTGCCCTGCGCCCCCATTTCCTGGGTTCTCCCGCCGCGCACTCGCGCGCTCGTCTTTGCCACCATCACCGACGGCCCCTCCATCTATTTTCCCGTACATTATTCTCCGCTCGTTCCCCCGCGAGAATGGACCCGATTTACCTGGACGGAGAAGCGCGGACGCCGGCGGAGGAGGAGCCGATGGACTACGAGGAGGAGGAAGACGAGGAAGAGGACCAGCTGATGTCCGACGTCGACGAGGAGACGCCGGCCGCGGAGACGCCCGTCGAGCCCACGCCGCCGCCTCCGCCGCCTTCCAAGCCACGCGGCGAAGAGCTCGAACCGAGCGACGACGAGGGGCACTGGACTACCCCCGTCGGAGTCCCGCAGAAGGGCGCCAAACCCGGCGTGCGCGTGCCCGGCGTGTCACTGTTTGATGAGCGGCGCGTCAACGTCATCCTCGAAGAGAACGGTATGCCCTGCTGTTCTATACAGTCTTATACGTGCTTACGCCACAACGCGAGCAGGTTCCATGACCGCCATGTCCAAAGAGGCAATGTGGGTGCTGTCTGTGGCTACTGTACGTGACGTCTATCCGAGCCAGGTTGTATACTGACACGCAATGCAGGAAGAGTTCATTCGACGGTACACACAAGCCGGTAACGACGTTGCACGCAATGAGAAGAGGAATGTCATTCAATATGGGGATCTTGGTAAGCTCAGCGGGGAAGTTGTTACGTGTTCAAGCCTCTGATCCCAGTACAGCTGCTTCAACATCCATGCGCTGCTTCTCTATGCTTGAAGGTATATCCAACTCCTTCCGTCCTACATTCTACATGAACTTACATCTTCCCTCATAGACGTTGTCCCCATCACCCGCCCTCTCCAGAAAGCCATGGAATCCCGCGAAAGGTTCCTCAAGCGCCAGCTGGCCGACGAACCTGCTCTTATAGCCAGCAAAGAAGAAGCCGCACCCAAATATGATCCCGACGCGCCACTCGTACCATATCCATCAGCGGCGTCGACACCCTGGGAAGTGACGCCAAACGGTACGCCCGCACCGGGTGGCTCCAAGCGTACCAAGTCGGCGCCGAAGAAGGACAAGGAACCCGCCACAACGACCGCCCGGCCACGACAGAGCACATCTGCCGTCAAGACTGACGCGGAGAAGGACGCTGATCGCGAACGTCGAGCGAGCGCTAGGCAGCGTGACAGGGCCGGCAGATTCAGCCAGGGAGGAGACGAGGCTACACCTGCCTCTGCCTCTGCCTCAGCACCGCCCGCTGCGTCCGAGCCATCCGCTGAACCTGAGCCACCCGCCGAGTCTGCGCCGTCATCATCATCCGGTATGATCGCGCCTCGTGCTCCTCCAGCACCCAAGCCTGTAGTCTTTGGGAAAGGGAACTTTTTCTCGCCAAATCGTCCGGCGGAAGACGAGGGCGCGCCATTCGCGACGAGCACTGGGCGGACGATCTACTCGCAACGATGACTTCTCGAACATCCTTTCCTTGTATCCTTTCTGTTGAACTTTCGGTCGTCTTGCGTTCCATCACACTTTGTATACAGCTTTTGTAATGATGCAACCTTACTCCTGGCCTTGAGCGCTTGTTCAAATCCTAGACTGATACCCTCGGCCATCATGGATGTGCCCTGGGTCGTCAAAGGCCTCTGCAGGCGTTCGTCGGATGCAACATAGGTACAAGTACAACGATCCCACGGGGATTCGCCTGATCGCCTCTTCCGTCTTGCGCCTACGCATGTTCATGAGCTGAGCGTGCTGGATCAGTGTCGAACCACTATCCTCTGAACGAGAGTACACTCACGGGCACCTCGGACCTTGTCGTGGATGATCATGTCATTGAACTTGCTATCAGCAGATTCATGTCAGAGAAAGACCTCGCGTCGTCAGTAAGCAGGAGCGAGGCAACTCACCCCACAAGCGAGTCGATGTATTCGCCTTCACTCATCCCGCTCTTCTTCATCTCCTGCACCGCCTTCTTTGCCACTCCAGGGAGAACCGGTACCCAGAAGAACTTCACATACGACGTACGATCCTTCGCGTCCTTCGATCTCTGGCTACCAATGAGTAGCGGGATGTGACAACATGTCGGATCTCCTCGTACGCCCGTTGCAGCATGTAGCCTCGCGTCCGCAGCAGCACGAGAGGCCAGGGTCTCAGGTGCAGATAGGAACGGTGCCCCGCGTCCCGTTAGCGAATGCATGCTCGTCAGCTGCAAGAGCGTGTGCCACTGTCCACTCTTGTCCGCGGGGCATCGACAAGGACGAAGATCGAAACGTAGGTCCGTGGCAGTGATCTTCGCGCTATTGTCCACCGTTGTGATATCGTTCAATATGCAAACGAGCTTGACGATCAGCTGTAGGTACGCGTTTCCGGGATCCGTCAAGGGCGTGGATAGGAGGCCCAGAAGCTCGGGAACGGCGTCGACTGTCTTGTGAACGATGGCGTTGTAATCGAGCTTAGAAGTGTCCTGCTTCTTGCAGATCTTCTTGTGATTCTTCCTGTACGGATAGGTGAAGTGGTCGGAGGAGTCGCATATGGATCTATCAAGGGTAAACGTACCAATCCTTCTTCTGACACTGCAAACGGACGATCCGGATAAGCAAGCTTTATGGTCCGCCATGTAAAGTCTAAGTACCTCTGCGTTGCAGTACGGCGCAACCTTGCACTGTCGCGGAGATACAACAGTTAGTGAGACCAGCCACTCATCGCACTTGGACTCAAAGAATATACTTGAGAACATCTCAGAGCGGCTCCCCAGCTCAAGCAAGTGTTGCACATCCCAAGCTCCGGAGGCTGTGCCATATTCTTCGACATGAGCTGTACAAGATCACTCAAGATCACTCAGAGATTGGGGGCTAGTGATGATGGTTGGAGGTTAAGGACAGGAGGCGCCACAGTCGTGAGCGATATCGTAGAAGTGCTTCTATCGCGATGGCAAGGGCTTCGAGAAGCGTATCGATGGTTCATATACCACGCTGTATCATCTATAGACGGTTTGAAATCGTCCAGACATACAGAGTCATGATGATAGGTAAGAGTAGAAGCGCATCGGGCGCGTCGCGAGCTGGGCTGTTGTCGGCCGATGACCCGACGGTGATAGCCGTGAGCTTTTTTCGCACATAACGCTAAGCGGGGTTTCTGCCTCGCTCCTTCACGTCTATCATCCTGGTTTGTACTCGAGGTCACAGCGGGCTGGGTACTTTCAATTGATTTTCGGTTATCTTGCGTTTCATCGCGCCTTGTATACAGCCTATGTAATGCATCTTTTTACATATCGTGCATGAACCCTGTGAAGCCCCGCCCTCCAAGGACTCAGAGTTCAAGCTGTCGTCTGAATCACCCTTGGCGCTCACTCGACGCTCTGGGGCCAATTCTTCCAGTCCTCGATAGGCCTCTCACTACACAGACACCTCCCACTCGGGCCACAGATCTTCTCATGCGCAACCATCAAGTTGAACTCGCTGCGAAAGACAGTCAACATCACGGAGAACGGCCCAGCAGGGCTTATCATCGGACCACACGTACGACATGAGTCGCTCAACCCAATAGAGACATTCCGCACACGGTGTTGAGCTCGGATCGACTGAACGAAGAGCGACTGCGGATGCTCCACCACAGTTTGCGATGGCCTCGGAACGGCCACTCACGCAGGCTTGAGCGGTCTATAAGGTCCGAGCGACCGTCGAGGCGACGCTCCAACCCGCACCACGAGTTGAGTGAGCGAACGGCCAAATTACCGTGTGCGGAATGTCTCTAATCATCTTTGCTCTTCCCGCTGTCCCTCATCTCCTGTACGGCTTTCCTCGCCACGCCAGGATGCACAGGAGCAATGAAGAACTGGATGTTCGATGCCTTCGCCATCCTTTCAGTAGGATGGCCGCTCCCAAACACGAGCGGGATATGGCAGCACGTTGGGTCATTGCGCACGCCCAGCAGGCGATGTAGGATCTCGTCCGCATAAGCGCGGGTGCCCTTCGTATCCGGGGCACCAAGAAGCGGCATGTCCTCCTCCGTGAACGGGCATGCCGTCTGAAGTTGCAGGATCGTATACGGCTGTCCGTAGATGAGGGGATCTGCTGTGATGTAGCTGAACCGCAAATCCACTCCAGCGATGTCTGCACTGTTCTTTGCCTCTGTGATGCCGTTGAGGAGACACGCGACGCGTATTATTGACTGGAGGTATTGGTTGCCTGGTTGGAGCATCCAGATGGGGTCGAGAAGTTGAGAGAGTCCGAGTAGCTTCGGGGCGTCGTCTACTGCTGAACGTATGATGGTCTCGAGAGCGCGTTTCCCTGGGTCGGGATTCGAGCATGTCTTCTTGTGTGATTTCCTAGAGGAAGGGTAGTGAGGAGCTGAGCAGATGGCCGCCGATCGTAGCACGAGATGCTCCTGACCAGTCTCTGTTTTGACACTGCAAGAGAGATCAGCTATGTGGGCAACGCTCATGAGTACGATGCACCTCTGCATTACAGTACGCATTCCTCTTACACTGTGGGGTATATCTAAGTTCAGCACGAGGTGCGATCGAGTTCACGCGCATAGACGCACCCGAGAGCATCTCTGAGTGGCGCCCCACTTGAAGCACGCGGTACACGATCCGACGGATGCTTCTTCTTCCATGCCAGCTTATACGAGCAAGGTATCCTTCAGGAGTGATTGAGTACAACGTAGATGGTGATGGTTGAAGTCAGAAGGGGCAAGGGTAGCGGAGGAAGAGTTCAGTGTTGTCCCTGTCTCAGATCCTTTGGCACATGAGATCATGGACAGCGCTTCAGGGTAAGAGGCACCAAGTTGTTGGAAGCCAAACAGTAGCAGACAACCGGGGCGTATCGGTATAGAAGAGTAGTATACAACACGTACGGAGCACAATTTAGCCTTTGCGAGATATCCCATCAGCCATCCGAGGTTCAAGTTCAGTCCATCCTAGATCCGTTCAAGGCTTCACCTCCTCTGCTCTCACGACCGACCCCTCCCTACTTCCCGCCCTACTCTGCTCCCTACTCGCAGCCCGACTCTGCTCCCGACTCGGCACAAAGTTCGCATCGACCTTCCTCATCAAAAAGTCGCCATAGACCGTCGGCTCGTACTTCTTCTGCGGCCACACCCGATCGTAAATCTTCTCGCCGTGCTCCCCGCTCTCTGCCATGTCGCCTTGGATCCTCAATGCGGCGGGGAGGGGAGAGACGAGCGCGGTGAAGTTGGGTTCGTAGAAGAATGGGATGCTCACGCTGCGAAGAATACATTGAGCTTACATGACGCAGGTGAAGGAGAGAGTAGAAGCTTACCGGTAGTTCTGCCCGCGATGCACGACACGATGCAACGTGCTCTTATACAGCCCATTCGTCCATATCTCCCACATCTCGCCGATATTGCACACCACGCATCCGGGGATAGGATCGGCGGAGATCCACACGCCGTCTTCGAGCGACTCTTGCTTCGCGCTCTCTTTCACGTCGGAGTTGTCGTTGGTGTTGACGAGGACGGACGTTTTGTCGTGTGGGAGGAAGACTTGGAGCGCGTTTTTGGTTGGGTCTGCCCAGAGGAAGCTGAGGAAAGCAGGGTTAGTAATGGACGATGTGTGAAGAGGTGGGGGACGAACGTTAGGCAGCCGTAGTCTTTGTGCGCGCCGCATGAGAAGCCGTTTGCGCCTTCTGGCAGAGGTGGGTATCCTGAACAAACGTCAGATGAGGCCGCGCGCAAGATGATGAGACCTACCAATGATCCGCATAACCCAGAACGAATCGTCCGTCTGATCCCTCAACTCCTTGTACTCCTCGGGCGTCATTCCAAGTCCAACAGCCATCCTACCCAAAACGTCAGCTTCAGTCACACGACCCAACACAAGCCCGACGCACGCCTCCATAACAGCCATCCCAAGCCTCTTCATCTTCGCGGTCCACGCCTCATACTTCTCCCTGAACCCCGGTATCCAGTCCGGCCACTGGTTCTCTCCCCACAGCGGCCGCTCCTTATCCGGGTTCTCGACGGGGCGATAGAAGTCGATCGCTTCGTGGTTATCCGCTAGTCCGTTCGTCACGTTCTCGTTGAGCCGTTGATAGCCTGCAGGTAGACGAGATTGATGGATGATATGGGTGCAGGCGCCACAACTCACCTCTCGCGTGATCCTGGTGCGCGATGCTCAGCTTGTCCTTCTCTTCTTGCGGCAGGTCGAAGAACTCTTGCGCCAGCCGCCTGAGTTCCTCAGGCTCGCTGGGGTCCGCGATCGCGGAGATGTTCAAGTAGAAGAAGCCGTACTCTAGACAAGCCGAGTGGATCGATGCGGCGACCGACAGTCGGTGGGATGTATCCGAGTCAGACAGCCATGGCGAGATGTCGATGATGGGGAGGGCGCTGAGAGCTTTGGCGATCATGGTGGAGGCTAGAGATAGAAAATGGTTCTAGGGAAACCGGACACGGACACGGTCAAGTGCGGGGTCGAAGCATCCCGATATCGTCAGTTTGGACCTATTTAACCGCGGTCGAGCTCGAAAGTCCGAATCATGAGGACGGTCAGCCAACGGTCAGGGCAGGCGGGATGCCCATGAGCTGGCCGCCTCCGCCGGCAGGTTGTCAACTAAGTATATCGTCGCCGAAGCGTTTTGTGTAAGCCCCAGTGCCGCTTCGGGCTTTCCGAAGTGCGAACGACGTCGTCGCCGACTGCATGATACCAAGTCGAGGTTCGGCCGAGGCCTGCGGTTCACATCAACGGGATCCGCGTGTTCCGCGTCGCGTGGCACTGGAGCTCAGGTTAGGGTCTAATCAAACCCGCGTTCTTTCTAGAAAACGGCTTGCCACCTGTGACGGAGTCAGATCAAATAGATTATCTCTGTGCTATGTTCGCACTCGGGCTTTTCAGAAACCCTCATCTCGGCCTCACGCGATCACTACCGTTCACGCTACGAAAAATGTCAGGACAGGCAGCTCTATCGCGGTTGCAGCCGCCGTTGCGCGATCTGGTCGCTGGCGCGGCGCAGGATGGGGCGAAGGACTTTGGGCAATCGGAGAAGGATAAGACGGAGGTTGCCGCGTGGATCGAGCGCGTCGCGCAGGGCGACGTCGCCAAGCCTGAGAGCTTGAAGGTGTGTATGGCGAATTATAATGCGGGATGTGGTGTTGACGTGGAATAGACCCTCGACGCCGAGCTCACGCCGAGGACGTACGTCGTGAGCAATCATCTCACCGCCGCGGACGTCGCGCTCTACGGCGCATTGCATCCCGTAGTCGTGAGTTACCCCTCCTTATATCTGTCTATACTCAACTAAGTATCTGTTTAGTCACAACTCCAGCCTGATCAATACTTTGCCACTCCCGCCATCACCCGCTACTTCGACCACATCCAGGCCCAGCCCTCCGTGCGCAAGTCTGCCGATGCTCTCGCACCCGCATTCTCTACCGTCGCCTTTGACTTTACGAATGCGCCACCCGCTGTGCGGAAAGTGCCGGAGGTGAAGAAGAAGGAGAAGAAGCCAGCCGAGGGCGCTGCTCCCGCTGCTCCTGCCGCCGCTGCCAAGGAGGCGAAGGCCGACGTGAAGAAGGGCGAGGCCAGCAAGGACAAGGCGCCGAAGGAGAAGAAAGAGAAGAAGGAAAAGGCTGCGGCGGCTGAGGGAGGGAAGAAGGACAAGGGTGGCAAAGCAGCAGCTGCTGCACCCGCTGAGGATGCTGGAGAGCCGGTCCCGTCCATGATCGACTTGCGCGTCGGCCACATCATCGACGGTGAAGATCTAACTCTTGCTATCTTCGTCCACTCTCGTACTCATTCATGCCCCTCATAGTCAAAAAGCATCCAGACGCTGACGGTCTATACGTCGAGCAGATCGACTTTGGCGAGGAGACTGGTCCTCGGACCGTCGTTTCCGGCCTGGTCAACTACGTCCCTATCGAGAAAATGCAGGACAAGTGGCTCGTTGGCGTGTGCAACCTCAAGCCTGCGAACATGCGCGGCGTGAAGAGCTTTGCGATGGTTCTCTGCGCGACATCAAAAGACGGCAAGGAGGCCGGTATCGAGGTCATCGACCCGCCACCAAACTCTAAGCCTGGTGAACGTATCTACTTCGAAGGTGCTGAGTTCGAGGGTAGGCGGACGTCTCTTCCTTTCGTCTTCGCTCGTGCTCAAGTGCAATGTAGGCAAGCAGCCGCTATCTCAGCTGAACCCGAAGAAGAAGATCTTCGAGACGATCCAGCCTGGTATGCATCGAGAAACCTGCTGTATAACAACCCAGGCTGACTTCGGCCATCATAGGTTTCATCACCTTGGATAACAGGGAAGCAGCATGGGTCAACCCGGTAACGAAGAGCGTCCATAAGATCCGCACATCTGCCGGTGTCTGCACTTCTGCGACGCTCGTCGGCGCTTCCCTCTCATAGTCTTCGGGAATAAGACTATCCTACTATCTCCTCACATCTCGCGAAAGAGCGACGCGCTTCTCTTGATACAATCGTCTCCTTTGGCTACTCGAGCACTGGTGATACATCATTTACAATACAGTGTATACAAACATCGCAACATTTATCAGCGTCCGATCCGATCCACAAAGCAACCGTATCTTCTCGATCAGGTAAAGTCAACGCATGCCGTCTACTTCTTATGATGCAGCAAGCTGCTCAACAGACCGTGATGCTTTTGAGGCGGTGGCTGCTGTCCATACCCTTGCTGACCGCCATACCCCTGCTGACCACCATAGCCCTGCCCAGGTGGCGGCCCTCCCGGTCCTCCGAATCCTCCCTGCTGCCCACCGAACCCGCCCTGCTGCGGTCCACCATACCCACCTTGCTGCCCACCATGATGTCCCGGACCGCCTCCATGATGCTGCCCGCCTCCACCAAAGCCTCCCTGCCCGCCTCCACCTCCTCCAAACCCACCGCCCGGGCTGCCGCCAAAGCCTTGTCCTCCACCTCCGCCATGATGCCCGCCGCCACCACCGAAACCGCCGCCTTGAGGACCGCCAAAGCCTTGGCCTTGTCCTCCACCGTGTCCGCCCCCAAATCCTTGTTGACCGCCTCTGGGTCCACCAAACCCTCCACCACCGCCTGGGCCGCCAAACCCTCCACCACCGCCTGGGCCGCCAAATCCACCACCCCCACCACCGTGTCCACCAGGACCGCCATGTTCGTTACGTCCGCCACCGTACATTGTGAGGTGTTTGTGAGGAGTTGAGTGAGTAGTTTGGGTGTTTGTTTCGATAGTATCGGGTATGAGTAGTGTGTGCGCGTGTGCAAATGATGATAACCGCGAGTGCAAGAGCGCAGAGCTTTATATGCCTGTGCTCTGAGCGCAGGGTGGCCATTTCGTGCCTAGGTATGGCGTAGACTGCGCAATCAGGTAGGGTTATGTGACGGTTTGGGGAGCTGCGCAGTCGGTGCGGTGGAGTCGGGCGAGGGCGCGAGGCGCGGTACGGACGCAAAGTCATAAGTGATTGCACAGTGTATGTCGATTGGACCTGGCGCACTGTACGCGTACGCTTGTGGACGTTCACCTACCAGGAGAGGGCTGGGTAGGGGCCCGCTAAGTACACCTGTCCTTAGCGTACCATACGGAAACACAGAGTCGCGGCCGCAGCATGCAACGACCTACTGAGTGATGTCACGGCTTCTTTCGATGTCTCGATGATGGCACCAGACTCGCAATACCACGACAACTGCTGCACATCATTCACGCGTGAATATCTGGGGAAGATACACAGCTGACCGAGCGCGCTCTGCAAGTGTAAGACGTAAGACCATGAATATGAAGCACACAATTCAACCCAAGACCTAAAACCCCACATTCACGTCACCTCCCGCTCACGAAGAAATATTGACAACGAACCCAGCATCTCCGTCAGCACCATCGAACAATATATTACTGTGGGCATCATCGTAAACAAAACGCGTCAAGAACCAACGTCCACTAAAAGATAGTGATGAAATCCTGAATCCTGTCCCTCGCCTCCTGCGCAATACACTCCGCGATCCACGTCACGTTCCTGATCTCCTGCTCCTTCAACTTAAAATACGCGTAAAACACGCCGTACTGGAACTGCTGCAGAAACGCGAGCTTGTTCAGCGCGACCTCCGTGACGAAGAACTTGTCCTCGAGCCCCGACGTCGGGTCGTCGCCCGCGTCGCCCGCGCGGTGCGACGAGCCGTCGAAGAACGAGCGGTACTCCACGACGCCCTCGCACGCCGCGCGCACCTGCTCCGCCTCGTCCGCGCGCGCGAGCTGGTTGTTGCCCTCGGGGTACAGCCGCCCGATGCTGGGGAACAGCCGCGCGCGCTGCTCCTTGCCGAGCTCGGTGCCGAGCGAGTTGAGCGCGATGTTGATGGACCGCCTGTCGGCCTCGAAGGCGAGGATGCGCGTCATGACGTCGGCCGTGGGCCCGCCGAGGGAGGACACGAAGGCGTGGAAGTCTTCGAGGTAGGCCTTGTAGAGCGCGTTGCGGATGATCTCGATGTTCAGGTCGTCGAGGTCGGAGGCGGAGAGGCAGTCGCGGAAGTAGGGCGCGAGCGGTGTTTCGACGAGCACCGTCGCGTAGAGCTCTTCGACGTTCGTCGCGACGCAGAGCGCGGGCATGGTCTCGAACCAGCCTAAGGGATGGCAACGCTCCAATAACTCGTGGGTGTCGCGTTCGTGGAGGGTGCCGGTGATGAGCAGGACGACGTTGTCGATCATGTAGCCGTAGGTGATGTAGTCCAGGAACTTTGATAGCGGCTCGACGGCGCAGGAGCGGATATATTTGAACTGGTCGACGAGCAGGGAGGTCGCTTTGTCGGCGATGGTGCTCGTGGACAACGGTGTCGGCTCGTTGGCGAGGAAGTTGCCGTAGTCCGTCGCGGACAGTTGTGTCCTCAGGTCTATACACTTATTAGTACGACTGTGCTTATATCTAATGGAAATACACACCCTCGAGCGTCTCGCACTGGCACAAGTTGGCGTACTGGCCCGAAGTGAGGATCCCGGCCTTGTACCCGCGGATCACGCCCTCCAAGAATCCGCTGTCGACCTATAGAGTTCGTCAGCCTTCACATATGCCACAAGTCGGTTACAAATAACGCACATTGAAGAATAAGGCCTCCATGGCTGATGGACGCCGAAAGCAAGGTATAGGTCGAGCGTGCGAAGCGGATCAGCAGTGACACTGCACGGCGACCGCGACGCGCCTCTCGAGCTCAACGACCATGTCCGGTGTCTGTCCTCCATACGCACCCTTCTTCGGCTTTGCCGGCGTCGCCTCGTCGGTGCGTAGTGCATTTGAATATTCATATAGAGTGCCCGACTAATGCATGGCTACAGATGGTGCTAAGCAGTATGTACTAACTCGTTCGGAATGCTCAGACAGGACGCTGAGTGTACCGTACAGCCGTCGGCGCCGCGTACGGGACTGCCAAAGCAGGCATCGGAATTGCCGGTCTCGGTACATTCAGGCCAGACCTCATCATGAAGGTGCGTTCGCCCCACACCTCCTTTCAATCTCTGACTTAACACCTTGATGTGTAGTCACTCATCCCCGTCGTCATGTCCGGTATCATCGCCGTGTACGGATTGGTAGTGTCCGTTCTCATTGCAGGAAACTGTGCGCGCTCGAAATATGGCTCACTCTGGGGAGGAGTTACTGACGGGCTACTCGTGTAGTGGATCCGGCAAACGACTATACACTCTTCGCGGGCGCCATGCATCTCGGCGCCGGACTCGCATGTGGTGTCACGGGTCTCGCAGCAGGCTACGCTATCGGCATCGTGGGCGACTCCGTACGTACCCTCTATATCTCACGAATGGTGTGGCGCGAGAAGCTGAACTCGCGGATAGTGCGTGCGTGCGTACGTGACGGAGAGCAAGGTGTTTGTGAGCATGGTGCTCATCCTCATCTTTGCCGAGGTGCTGGGTCTTTACGGGTATGCCTCCCTACGGTCTTCTGCTTAAGTTCGACCTGCTCACATAGCATGCAGGCTCATTGTCGCGCTCATCATGAACACGGCAGCAACAGGATACAAGTGTCTATAACCGCTTCCCGCTTGTCTATCTATCTCAGCATGCATGTCACATCCGGACAATCTCGTACACTAATCAAGCATCATATGCATCGCTGAAAATATCCGGATATATTGTACACAGGAGACGAGAACAGGCCGTATAAGGAAGCAGAGAGCAAGCTCAACGGCGCCGCGGCGACCGACTACGACTCTTCTCTCTCGCCCCAGATGAATCCCTCCGTCTCGGTGTCTTCCTCCTGCGTGACCCATCGTCGTCAGAGCCTGAGTCAGAGGACGAATCAGAGTCCGAGTCTGAATCTGAACTAGAGCCACTTGAGCTGTCGCTGTCCGAGTCCGAATCTGAGCTCGACGAGGGAGAGCCGGATCTACGAGGGCGGCTAGTCAGAACCGAATACACATAACGTATATTGAGAACGTTAAGACGTACCGCTTCCTGCGTTTCTTAGCCGGCTCCTTGCCCTTCTCACGCTCCTTCTCCTTCGCGCTCAGGATCTTGTTCGCCGTCCCACTCCTACACACATAGTACTGTCAGAGTCATTCCTGAATGTGAGATAAGCAAGGTCGTACTTGGACTTGAACTCCTCCGGGACTTCCACAGACGGTTTACCCTCCGCGCGCATCTTAGCCAGTAGACTAGGCTTCTCGAGCATCTGCGTGCGCGAGGGCCGGGAGACGTAGGGCGCGGCGGTGGACTTGCATTGATATGTGAAGTGACCTGTATAGTCTCTAGTCAATATGCAAGACAACGAGTAATGTGTCGAGAGAAAGCGTACCACTACCGAGGCACTTCTGGCAGACCGTGGAGCTCGTCGCGCGGACGTTGTTGCTCGAGCGGTGGTGTGGCGCGAATTTCGACATGACAGTAGTAGTAGAGAATATAACAGTCCTTCAATGAAATGTACGTTCACCAGCCAAGATATTCGGTGAATGTGACGATGAATCAGGTGGTGGCGTGAACCAAAGAACACAGAAGCGCGAGAACAATGCGTTCGCCACGTCCACGCGACTTTCTCCTCAGCCGCCATGGCGTCCTCGTCCCTCCTCGCCCGCGCAGCCCCGCGCGCCTCCCTCCTCGCACCCACACCCCGCGCCTCATCATTCTCGACCTCCGCCCGCGTCCTAAAAGACAACATCGGCAAACTGCCCATCCCGCTCCCGCCGAACGTCTCCGTCAACGCCCTGCCCACACTCTTGACAGTGACCGGTCCGCTGGGCAGCGCGACCGTCCCGCTCGAGCCGTACATCCGCATAACCCAGCCGTCAAATACCGAGCTCCTCGTGGCCGTCGACGACCGCGACATCAAGCGCCAGCGCGCAATGTGGGGCACCACGCGCTCGCTCATCGCCAACGCCGTCACGGGCACCACGACCGGCTTCCAAGTCCCGTTGTTCCTCGTCGGCGTGGGGTACCGCGCGGCGCTGGAGGCGGATCCGAGGAAAGAGGGCGGGCAGCGGTTGAGGATGAATTTGGGGTACAGCCATGTCGTTTATGTGCCCGTGCCGGACGGGATTAAGGCTGAGGTGCCGCACGCTACGAAGATTGCTTTGAGCGCTACGGATAAGCATCAGCTTGGGCTGTTTGCGGCGGAGGTTAGGGCGTGGAGGAAGCCGGAGCCGTATAAGGGCAAGGTATGTGTTTTATAGTCAATGTGGTGTTTATAAGGACTGACGCGGTGTATAGGGCATTTTCATTGGGAACGAGACGATCAGGATAAAGGCTGTCAAGAAGAAGTAGTCGCGCTACTCTTATTTGTCTGCTTGCACTACACTATCTTCTGCTATTCATTGCATTGCATGCTTTGCTGGTTCTAAACTTCGCATGGCACCTTCTCTTTCGTCCTGAATCAGTGAGCGCGAGCAGCAGAGTATCATAGTATCTGCGGCTCAGAGTCTATCTCGGCCCTGCGTCTGGTATCTTTCGAATGGGCTGTCCATTCTCCAAGCACGGCTGCAGTCGCACATCTTGCGGCCCTCTCACATTGCGCTTTAGCGACGCTATTCATCCCATGCAAGCACTGGCCTCTTTTCAATCACATACTAGCAGTGAACTCTGCTGCACCTCACAGTATTGCCAATGCTTCATGCGCTAATCTAAGACTCCATGCTATTACATGAGGTCGCGCAACGCATGGGAGGCTTCAACTGTGGCGAGGTCCAGTGCCTTCGCGTACCGTCCACTGCGCTTGTCTACAGTCTTTTGCACCCGACCCAATGCAATTGATTTGTGGGGTGGCGAGGAGATGCGCGCTTTCATATCAGGCCTCAAGGTCCGACTCCCGTCCCCTTTCGACCCGCCTCGCATGTTCTACTCAACGTGATGCCGCCATCGAGCAGTGCGCACGGGAGCCCTGTGGGCTGCATATACCCATTTCTGGACTTCGTCGATCAAGTCACGATTGCGCTGAACAGTCTAAGGCATCACACTCGCTCTGTCTATGCGCAATCGAGTCCGTGTCACGTAGACTCGGGGTGCGGCATCTTTGGCGACGACGAGCTGAACGTCTACGGCACTCGACATGCCGATAGGACCTGTAAACGTCGGGGAGAGCAGTGTCTACTGTGAATCTCTGCTAATACAGTAGGCGCAAAAAGCGACGCAGGCGCCGGCATCCACGATGTCGGCGCCGCGCAGAATCTGAAAGAGAACTGAAAGTTGTTACAGAAGCCGTACCGCTGACCGAAAAGCATTGCAAATATTACGTGTAGAGTCCGGATAGATGACATCTTGAATGGCCTGATTCGATCGCCGATTCCGGCCGTGGTTGTGGTTAACCCCACCTGCAGTCTGCAGTGTGTAGAGAAGCCTTGGAGAAGCCCGACATGCCCGGCGCCACGCGGCATTTGCCGAACCACAAAACGCGCTCACATGCTTTGTTCGCGCGGCGCGATCAATCCACGACGCGCTCCTGATGCTCCTCGACCACACCTCTCGAATAGACGATGGACGCTCGTTCACTCGCAAAAAGATGCAAACTCTGAGGCGCTGCATGCATCGGAAGCTTTGAGCTGCCGATGTACCGCGTGGGATCTGCAGCGAGGCAGAAACGAGCCATGCCACCAACTCCTCAATTTCGAGGCGCGCCGTACGGTTGATCGCTGATAAAATCCAGATAAGCAAAAATGAAGAGGCTTAGCCAAGTACGTGGCAGTACTGATACGTAAATAAATGTAAGGCATCGGACGTCGAGCCGCCGAAGGGCCGATGCTCTAATGCCACCCATGCGTGGTTGAGATCTTGACGCGCTTGGCCAGACGCTGTGAGAGAGTCGCAAGCACCAGACTGTACTGCATTATGAGAAATGACGTGTCCGACGATCATCCGATGTTCTGTGCGCACTGCGCAAAATTAAGCGAGCGTAAGAGTGCCTTTCAACCCCGCCTTCCGAGCGAAGCCGAACCAAAGCGGAGTTCAACTTAGTTGCCGATAATCTAATCTTCCCCTTTCAAGAAGCTGATTGATGATATATTAAAAGGGAGCAATGGGCACAGGCCCTACAAAGCCCGTACACGTGTGCGATTATGCCGTACTCTACGGATGACTATATATCGGCAAGAGCGCGCATTGAAGAAATTAAGCCTCCTACCTCTACCCTCTCCCGCGCTTCTCCTACACGTGCCCGACTCTCCCGTGCTCTGCGACATCGCTATATAACGGCAAGAACGCGCCGTATAAAAGCATCCTCCTCATCCTCGGATTCTTCCCCGCATTCGTGCATTTTCCCGCTCCCATCATGGACGACTTCTACCCTTACTCCAACTTTAACGCTGGTCACTCTCACAACGCCTCCGGCATCGGGGACGGCCAGTACAAAGATGGTACATTCGAAGAACTTTTTGTGAACACGGTAGATAGATCTCTAGTTGTTAAAGCTAGCGTACTCGATGCTGACTTCATACTCTAGCGCAACACAGGAAACACAACGGCTGCAGAGGCTGGTCCGGTGACTGTCCCCGGCTTTACTGCCTTCACGAACGGCGTCCCGGTGCGTCCACCACGAGATCCTGTAATATCTCAATTGCTAACATTGTCGAGCAGGACACGAATGTAGCAACACCGTTTGACGTCGCGGAATATCAGGTCGCCGCGCCCACACCGGTCGCCTTGAACGCCTTGACTGCCTTGGCCGCCTTGGCCGCCTGGCCCTTTAGGCCGCCGTCACTTTCGAGCGTCGCAGCCTTCAACATCTATCTCCGCACCCACCCATTGGGTAGACCAATGAGCCCCCATCCCTTCGGCACTTACGGCGCGTCGACGAACGTCAACGGCCACGGCGGTCCGGTCTTCCTGAGCGATCCTCACACTTCTCCGCCTTCCGAATCCCAGCGTGTTACATTGTCGGGGCCAGGCGAGTCCTTCGCTCACGAGGCCGCGGCGTACCCACCAGCCTCCGTCCCGACCACAGTCGCGCTCTCCCTTCCTCCGCCCATGGCGTCCCTTCTGGACGACGCCAACGGCCTCGGGCTCGGCGGTCCCTACGATGCGCCACAGAATACCGGCGGCCACGACGTTCCGGTCCTCCCAGACGGTTTCAACACCTTCGCTCCTTCCGACATCCAGCCTTTTCCCATGCCGGCGCCAAACATATCCTTCGCTAACGAAATCGTGCCGCCCCAACCTGCGTTTCCGAGTGTCGTCGCGCCGTCGCTGCCATCGACCCTCGTGGGCTACCCCTTCCCGCTTGGTGGCTCCATGATCCCACAGCCCTTTGGCGCTTACGGCGGGCCGCCGAACACCAGTGGCCATAACGCCCTGTTCAACGCGGACGCTCTCTACAACCTCCCTCCTCCCAATTTCCACCCTGGTGCGGCGCAGGAGCAAGGTGCGTTGTTCCCTCTCCAAGCCGCCAAGGCCCATGCTGATCGTTTCCAATCAGCTCCCCGCCACACCCACCACCACTTTTCGGTGAACGCGCGCCACGCGCCGTACAACACCGAAATGCCTCAGGCTAACGCTCCCAGCGTAGGCCTGAGTGCGAACCACTCAGCATCAACCAGCACCGCCCACATGGGAGGTGCCCACGCGAGCGACACAGGCGGAGCAGAGCAGTCGCTCCTCCAGGCACAGCTGGCCGAACATCGCCGGGCCATCCGAAGTGACCCTATTAACTGGGAGGTGGCCGACGACGTGCCTGAAGATATCCTCGTGTGCGAATATCGGCGCTGCACGGCAACCCGGCGACCTCTATGGAATGGCAGGTACCGTCAGTGGAAGTTGTCTGAGCTCCAGCGCTACATCACCCACGTCGATACACATCGTCCTAAGGGCCAGAAGCTCATCACGTACACGTGCGCCGCCTGCCGCACGACATTCACCAGAAAGGACGCCTTGCATCGCCATGAGTCTGAGACGTGCCCGGGGCCCATGAACCTCAACCCGGACGAAGGGGACGAGGAAGGTGGCGCGGGCGCTGGATCTGGAAACGCGCAGGCGGGACCGTCCCGCTTGACCGCGTCCTGAGGCTTTCACCCGACTGCGATATATGATAAGGACAATTGACTGCTAAGATTGTACGGACTGTATTAGTTTGATGCTTCGCATGAAGAGCTCGTACACGGAACGGCTCACTTCTCGTATCTTGATCTGTACATCTCCACCACCCGAATATGACAATGTTGCGCTTTACCTACTGATTTAACTGATCAGTATGATGCTTTAGTGGATGGTCTCTGGACATCGCGGGTTCAGTGTTTCAGTCGGCAACCGTCGTGTGTACTTGCGAGGCGGTTTCGCTTCAAACCAGTTTTCGTGCGGCCCGGTTTTTGCCGGCGCGCCGCGATCACCCCACTTGCCCATTGCTCACGCGTTTTTGCACTCAACGCCGCATTTCAGCGCTCAGCGGTTCAATAGGCATGCCCTCAATTGGTAATTACTACTGTCTGACATGAGGCCTTGAGGGCTTGTGCGATAACAGGATGATGCGTGAGAAATGCGCTAATTACGAACTGACGCATTGGCGGCATTCCACATAATTGCCTACCGACTGACCGATACCCTCACCCTAGATCTCGTACAGCGTCTTCTAACACTCGCCATTACACAGCGTGGCAAGGCGCAATCAGGCTTATTGTTGAACGGTGGTGAACGCGCCCTCCCAATCGCGATCGGCAGCAAGTTCCGCGCGTGTCTTCTCCGCGTCACCAGAGTCGATGACAGACTCTACCAGTTTTGGAACGCATCCCCTTTGTCCTCTACCTCTTTTACAAGAAACGCAACTCCGCACCATCGACCTCGAGCTCCTCATAAGATCAGAAGGTGCCGCGCCGTTCAATCCCTGCCCAACATCCGTATGCGCGTCGTAGTCCTAGTAGTTATCGTTCTCCGCGTCCCCCTGATCATCATCGTCCTCCAAGTGTTCTTTCCAAGCATGAGCGCTTGAGCATCCAGCGCATGCTCCTTCAAAATTGGGGCCCATATCAGGATGAGGCGATATGCCATACCCGCTCAACACGCGCGCAACCTCGCCGGGCGGCTTGCCGACGCAAGGGTAGACGGTTGAGTCGGTGCGTAATTCGCCATGAGCTGAGTTCTTGAGGAGGTCAAAGTCCTCGCATGCGTCTCCAATTCAGGATGTGGTACAGGAAAGAGACCAGGAGAGAGGAGGAGGTATTGTCGTGGATTGAGATCTAGACGAACGCGGACGAATGCGTCGATGTGTGGCGCGAAGCCACGTGCGAATTCTGATCCTGATGTGTATGAGCTCAACTCTCTTTCCCCGACCACCACCTCACCGGGCACGTTCTTTCGCTGTACCACTTCTTTGGCGCTCAAAATTGCTTCTCCCTGTCCCTCAGCCTACATCCCACCGCCAATGCAACTCCTCGCCAGTCTCGACCCCCTTCGCGAACCTGAAGCCGCTCTTCGTGGCTCGTCTCCACTTACGAAGACACCCATGCAACTTGAGCCGTGAATAGTGTACAAGGAGCGCATAGCCGCATCCGCGTCTACTTCTATCAATTCTTTTGCCAGCAGAATACCTCGCCTGTTGCTCATAGTTGAAGTTCTACTTCTCCCCCGAACGATAACCTCGCCATCGTCACCATCCACTTCGACGGCGAGGAAAAAAATGGCCGAGTCTGCGCCCGATTCGTTACCGACACGGTTTGAATCTGTTGTGGGCTCGTTGAGAAGCGTGGCAAACGAGCAGCGGCGAGGGAAGGGGAAGGACTGCGGGAAGTTGGTTTCGCGTGCGCCGTTGGCGCCCAGTTGGGTGCCTATCAGGGATAGCGGTGCTTCCCCCCGTCGTGTGTGGTACAGGTCCACTCTTCTACCCTTTTTAGCTCTCTGAGCTGCTACTGACATGCATTTGCTACAGACCGCTGTTTACGAGCACTCTCCTGAGCCCGAAGCAAGTCCCCCGCAGCCAATTCCGCCGGCTCGCGCCCTCGATCATATCACCTCCATTGCCTGCTGCGCTCCCCGCCAGCAGCGGCTTTTCGAACAGACCAGCCGTCGGCCAATCGTCAAAGTTCTTTGCCTCATTCAACACAAGTACCGGCTCCTATCGTGGTATCGACTCGGATGTCGCCGCCAATATGCCGATGTACACTCATTGATCTGGGCCTGCAAGCCTTTTCGTGCGAGATCGCCGACACATGGAGGGCTTCTCCGCCCACGTCAAGGGTTCTTTGTGGGTCATCTGCCGCGGCTCATCGACACAGCGGAAGGTCCGTCTCCTGCGAATCGCCGCGCATCGTCTGCTCTGCGCAAGACGAGACCGCGACCGAGAGGTAGCAGACGCGCAAGTTCCGTACGTCCCATATCTCCAATCTTCTCCTTCTGATCAGTCCATTCACTGATTCACCGAACAGTCTCAACGGCGTGGCACTTGTCTGCGTGATAATGATGCACATAGTGAGCAGCACGCCGTCGTCGACTTGATAGAACCTCCACAATATCCACAGTCGAAACCTGCGACTTGTTTCGCGACAGCAAGGTTCCTCCCCCGACGTTCGCAGAGGGGAAGTGGTTCGCTCCCCGCGCTCATAGAGAGGGCGGAAGGTCCCATTCCCTTCGCTGTGTCTCGCTTCGCATTGTCTACTCTCAGTGCTGAAGACAGTGTCGCAACCGAGAGGTGTGCGGAGAATTCGGTGCGGTGCATATCGCCGTTTTTTCTCTTACTGAATCGAGTCACTTATACGCCAAGGGGGCTCGATGGCAGGACATTTCCTCAGTGCATGCGCTCACGAAACCGCGCGTCGATTTGGGGTGCGGCATCGTCGACGACGAGCCGAAGTTCTGCAGCACTCAGGGCGCCAAGATCAGCGACGTTCCCATGGAACCTGGAAACGTCTGCGCAAACACACAATGAGTTTCACCGTGGTTATAGTCTACAAGGTAAGCGCGCTAAAAGTCGTTGAGGCGCCTGTGGCGATCCCTTTGTCGTGTAGAGTCTGGAAGAGAACATCGGACGAGAGCTGTACCGACTGAGAATGTGAATTTTGCGTGTAAAAAGCTCTAGCACTTAGCGCGCTGGCGTCCAGAATGGCCCACTACACCGCTCAATCTAGCCGTCAATCATAAGAAATCTAAGCGAGTGTCCAGTAAAGTCCCAGTGAAGTCTGTCGGGACGGTGCGGCATTTGCCGAGCACACAGAACGCGCTCACATGCTTTGTTCGCGCGGCGCGATCAATCCACGACGCGCTCCTGATGCTCCTCGACCACACCTCTCGGAATAGACGATGAACGCTCGATCACTCACAAGAGAGATGCAAACTCAGAAGCACTATATGCTTCGGCAGAATTTGAGCCGCCGATTTACCGCGTGGGATCTACAGCGAGGCAGAAACGAGCCATGCCACCAACTCCTCAATCTCGAGACGCGTCGTATGGTTGATCGCTGGCGAAATCTAGATAAGCATGGAGAGGTTTAGCCGAGTACGTGACAAGACTGATACGTAAGCGATATGAATTGCATTAGATGTCGAGCAACCGACTGGCTAGTGCCCTACGCTACCGATGCTTGGTTGATCTTTTGACGTTGTCTTGACGCACTTGGCTTGGCCATCGATCCTCTGGGAACTGGGGTATCCGTCTTATCGATGGCACGCCTCGCATACCATCATTTGAATTGATTTTCGCACAACCGCTGATCATCCACTGTTCTCTGCGCAGAAGCCAGATGTTGCAACGGCGCCCATCCAACCCCGCCTGCCGGGCGTAGCCGAACCACAGCGGGGTTCAACGGGGATGCCGATCATCTTATCGATCCCTTTGAGGAAGGCAATTTGCAATATATTGAAAGGAGGCAATGGCC